TTCTATACGTCGTCCAAGATTCAACCATCCATCCACCGTTGATTCCATTCAACCGTTGATCCACCGTTGATTGGCCCCTGCAAGTTCCGCTACTGCGCTGCAGCTGCACTCTGCCTTGTTATCTCAGTTGGGAGTTGTACTATTTGGTATGTTGCTCATCAGTACAACTTTTATAAACCACAGTGCATCCAGCATGAACGCATGGCTCGTAGTATAGACAATAATGAAAAATCATAGTCCCATAACTCGATGTTAATATATATAGATGGCTCCGAAATGTTGTTCTACTGATGATAGTCAATGCAATTCGTCTGATTGGGATTCCAAGTTTCGACATCCATTGATCCCCGTCCGAGGCATGACGTCACGCGGATGCCATCAGCAATCGTCATATTTGCAACCAGCTTGCAATTCGCATCCCTTTTCTTCCGGAACGATAAATAAAGTTACTTCTTTAATCAATAAGTCAGATTATTCAACACGATCATTCAGCATTCACTGGTTCCCGACAATTTGCCCTAGTCCCATCTCAATTGCCCCGATAGATCACCGCAGCATCCCAACAGTGGCGTGGGTGAAGACCAATCCGTCAAGACCCCGCACACAAGAGTCCTTTGTTCTTAAGGTATCTTCATCTCGTTCTGGCTTCTCTCAATCATCGGAGACACCATTGAATGGTTGCCAATCCATCGAAACCTTTTCACTATGTCCTCATCTCGATTCGTCGCCCGCTCGTTGCGGCCAGTCGCGGCGGCTCGAAGCAATATCTTACCATCAGTCACGATGCGAGGGATGGCATCAAAGGAAGACCGGCTGAGTAAGTTACCCAATCGATCCCAGTCTGCTCCTGCTCTGCCGCTACTTTCCCATCCATCAATGTTACCATGGCACTGTCCTCCTATTAAACATCAATCCCAACCCCCAACAACCGGATCCGATTCTCCCTCACCGATTCCCTGCAGCTCGACAATGGCATGGAGATGGCGGAAGAATGTGTCTTGTACAAAGGCTAACATGATCGACATCGTAGACCAAGACCCCGCCGCGGTATCCGCCGAAATCCAATCGCATCAGGAAGAGCAGGTGAAGAAGCGGAAGCATGGGGCCGGCCATTGGGAGGAGCAGCTGGCGAGCCAGAGCGAGAGCATCGTACGTGAGACCTTTGGGTGACTGGTGTCCTATGGCGCCTCATTTGCACGGTTAAAAGCGACCACTGGAATCAGTATGAAAACTAACGTCAACATCGGGGTACAGGTTAAAGCCGACCGCAACGAATCGGGAAAGTCGACGGAAGAGACGATTAAGCAGCTCAAGGAGGAGGCGAAGAAGATCGGGCGGAAATAGAGTACGCGTTGAACGTGCTCTGGTCCCTCGGTTGTGGAGCTACCACATGATTGCATCATGCGAGGAAGGAGAAAATTGACGGCCCGGATTGGAGATGAGACATGTAGTGGTTCCTCACCGGCACTCAGGGGACACTTCAGTTAGGGGAATAATGAGTAGCGTGTATACTTGCATTGTTCAATCGAATTCATTCAAAATTGCGTCCATGGACAGTCTCAATAGGGTGATCATTATAGTTCAATAGGGGAAGCTAACAATCTAAACCGGAATAATAGGAAACAATAGGTAACGCTGGGCGGTTTTTCTCCAGACCAAACCCCTCCATCAGCTCAATCGTTTCCAACCTGCGGCCCCCTTTCCCAGAACCACCGCCTACCGACCATCTAACGTCGCCACAACGACCTTCATCCCCGCCGGTCTCCGGAAATGCGCCTTCAACGGCACCCAACTCTCCCGATTATACCCCTCTTGCACCTTTGCGCACTTCTTCAACCCCCACTCCGTCACCCCCACCATCAAACAGCTCTCAAACATAAACGCCATGCTCCCTTCCCCCACCTTCCCCGGCCGCAACTCCACCTCACTCGCTTTCGCATGCGTCGCCGCATCCGGCCCATGCGCGCTCATCACGTTATGCAGGCTCGCGCCGGCCGGCTGGAACCCGCCGCGCCCAGGCTCCTTGGCGTCGTAGGCGCCGTCGATCAGCCCCATGAACTCGGACATGCAGTTGCGGTGGTACCAGGGGGGTTTGAAGGTGTCCTCCTGTACGAGCCAGCGGGGCGGGAAGATGACGAAGTCGGCGACGGCGGTGCCCGGGCGGTCGGAGGGGGCGGTCAGCACGGTGTAGATGGAGGGGTCAGGGTGGTCGTAGGTGACGGAGCCGATGGCGTTGAAGCGGCCGAGGTCGTATTTGTAGGGATAGTAGTTGCCGTGCCAGGCGACGACGTCGAAGGGGGTGTGGTGTTGGGTAGCGGAGAAGAGGTGCCCGGCGAATTTGGCGGAGAGCGTGTAGGTGGACGCAGTGTCTTCGGTGAAGGCGGCGACAGGGGCTTGGAAATCGCGGGTATTGGCAAGCCCGTTGGAACCGATGGGGCCGAGCTCGGGGAGGGTGAAGTGATGTTGGTAGAGTTCGAGGATGTAGCCGCGGACGGGGCCTTCGGGGAGGGTCACCCGATAGCGAACGCCGCGCGGGATGACGCAGATTTCGTTAGGCCGGACGAGGAGGGGGCCGAACTCGGTTTGAATATCGAGGACTCCGTGCTGCGGGACGATAAGGAAGTCACCATCGGCGGAATAGAACGCCTCGTGGGCGTCCATGTCCTTCCCCGCGGCGAAGATCATGATCCCGAGTCCAGATTTCATCGCCGAATCGCCCGCACCGGCGACGAGGTGCAAGGAATGCACCCAATCCACCGACTCGTCGAGATCGAACGGGTCCCAACGAAGCTGGTTCGGGATCTGGTGGAAGGTGCCCGATGGCTTGTTCTCAGGGTTGAGGTTGTATCCAGGCGAATCCCGGGACTGGAATGCCTCGTGGGCGGAACTAGGGAGGATCCTGTACAGCCATGACTGTTGATTCTCGTGACGTGGGGCCGTGAAGGCTGTACCGGACAGCTTCTCGGCGTAAAGACCGTATGGGGGTTTCTGAGGGGAATTGGCGCCTATAGGAAGGGCACCTTCGATGGCCTCAGTTCTGTATCAGAGTCAATGCCATTCGATAGCGGCGGTGTTTCCGGCCGCAGCGGAACGGATGCCATACTCATGGTAACAATTGAATCCATTCTGGTATAGATATTTTTCGGGGACCGCGAACTTTGTGGAAGGCATCGTGCTCCTCGTTATAGTCAGGGTTAAAGAATTCTGTAAGGTTTCGTTCGGTTAACGGTGCTGTATAATAGTCTGTAATGAGGCCAATGCCTCCTGGGTTGCCACTCTTCAATTTCCAGGTTAGAGGCAACTTGAGGTTCTTAAATCGTCGCCAGGGCGACTTCCTCAGCGAAGGCATGGACGAGGGGGGTGGTTTAATATCGTCAGCAGGCTGGAAGCCAGCATCGCGCCGGACAGGGCGGAGCATTTCCATGGCGTCAAGGTGCGGAGTTACACCTGTAAGTGAATCCTAGTCGTGAATAGGTAACTATATGACGATCGTTACTAATACGGAGTACGAACGGTAGGGATGAAATGACAAGGAAATGGATGCAAGGAGTTGCATAAAGTTGCACTGGAGTGACTGGGGTGTTTTAGGGAGGAGAGAATCAGCTTTGCGCTCTTGCCCTTTTGCCCCTTTGTTCTGTCGGGTATCCCAGCTTGGTTTGGTGGGGCAGGTATACCGCGGAATGCGGAGGTTATTCACGGCGAGCGGAGAGATTCCGCATTTGATATTCCAACCCCGCAGTCTCAACCCCCACAGCTCTCCATCGGCATATGCTATTCAATTGATCGGTATTCGCTTGGATTGAATAGATTCAATGCTCATTGGAACCATTAGACTGTCATAGTGCCGTCGACCTGCAAGGGTAAAGCCATATGTGAATGGAAATTCCAGCTGGGCTTCGTGCTGTACTCCCTACATCCCCCTGAAAAGGCTGAGATACCTGTACCACCATGGCCTCGATACGCTCCTGGTTGAGCATCCGAACAGGCTCTCCTTTCTCAATCGCCAATATCCCATTCGGCATCATCTCGACGAAAGCTTCAGCGACTCCTCGCCCAGCCGTAGCCATCGGAGACTGGGCACTGGACCTGGCTGAGTTCAGTGCTAACAATGGCTTCTCCGGCTTATCCACCATCCAACCTCATCAAGCTGTCTTCTCCGAGGCGACCTTGAATGCATTTGCAGCGCTTGGCCGGCCAGTGCATGCTGCAGTCCGAAAGTACCTCCAGTCCGTCTTTCTCCTCGACACTCCTTTCCCGGATGTCTTGAAGAACAACAAGTCCCTCCAAAACTCTGCGTTGCTTGCTTTGAAAGACGTTCAGATGCATGTGCCGTTTGATATTGGAGACTACACGGATTTCTATGCTGGATTGAACCATGCGTATAACGTGGGAGTTCTCTTCAGAGGCCCAAGCAATGCCCTACAACCGAACTACAAGCATCTTCCCGTTGGCTACCATGGACGTGCATCATCCATCGTCGTCTCAGGCACCCCTATCAGACGACCACGCGGTCAGATTCTCGAGAACCCAGCTGCCGAGAAGAAGGTTCCCATCTATTCTGCCTGCCGAAAACTGGATATTGAACTCGAACTGGCTGCGTTCGTTTGCAAATCAAACCCGCTCGGCGCACCGGTCCCGATCGACGAAGCCGAGGACGCCATCTTTGGAGTCGTGTTGATGAACGACTGGTCTGCGCGAGATATCCAAGCATGGGAATACGTCCCGCTGGGTCCGTTCGGCGCAAAGAATTTCGGCACATCCATTAGTCCCTGGGTCGTACTTGCGGATGCATTGATGCCGTTCATGGCCAAAGGGCTTGAGAACGAGAACGAGCTGCTGCCGTACTTGAAGCAAAGGAGCGAAAAGAATATGTACGATATCAACCTGAAGGTTGAGCTGGCCAGTAAGCTTCTTTCGTCAGGACCCCAGATTCAACGACAGATTGCTCACCATTGACAGCATCGGCGGGAAACACAACGACTCTTAGCGAGACATCTTCGAGAAACCTGTTGTTCTCCTTCCCACAGATGCTTGCGCACCATTCCGTGACCGGATGCAACATGCAAGTTGGAGACCTGCTGGGGTCCGGAACGATCAGTGGGCTGGAGGCACATCAGCGTGGCTCGATGCTCGAGCAAAACGAGAATGGAAAGACGGCGATCAAGCTTTCTGGTGGTGAGGAGCGAAAGTTCCTGGAGGATGGAGACACAGTGGTTATATCAGGTGCTTGTGGGTCGGATCCTAATGCTCTGGTAGGGTTCGGGGAGTGTAGTGGCACTATTTTGCCTGCGTTAAAGTCGTGATGTCGGTTCTGGGATATGGTCAATTCACTGGCAGTAACTAGTGATAATGTAAGACCTTGTCAGTAGTTATGTTAACATCAGTAAACTTTAGTGACCCCAGATTTCCTCTGCGAGTAACAAATCCTAGCTTAGCATATCTGGCAGTCCATGCAACCTCAATCAAAATTCTCTGTAGGTTCCATCGTTGGAGGCCTAATGACCGCAACAAATCCGCGGGCGGAACAGTGATGGAAATGATTCCGCAACCCCGCCTTTGGGGTTTTCAGGGGCTACCCCATTTGGAAATGATTGATGCAGACTTGAACCATCGAAGGGCACGGCAGATGTATTCAACGCTCATCCTGATCACATAGGTACATAGAGACGTGGTCTTACGGTTTGAGTCCTGTAGTGATTCGTGCGACTACGATTGCCGTGTGGACGAATTCCGCGGTGCTCCATGTGATATTACCCGACCCGGAAATACGCCCTTAACGTCCTCGTATAAGTGTTTGGCCCGGGTGCGTAATGATAATTGATATTTATCAAGCCTTTGGGCCCAGTCCGGTGACATTCTTCTTCCACGTACCTTGAATGATCGAGTGGACACGATGCAGCAATCAATTGTCTATAGCCTCATGTCGAACGAAGCCATTGGCTTGGTGGTCGTGTCTGCGTTGTACATCGTGTATAAAATCCTCAATCAAACAGACACCCCCAAGATAAAGGGCATACCAGAGATCCCCGGATGGCCACTATTTGGAAACCTGCTGGAACTCGGGAATGAGCATGCGAAGGTCGCTCGAGGATGGGCTAAGAAATATGGGCCCGTATTCCAAGTTCGTATGGGGAATAAAGTGAGTCTTTCCATATACAAAAGGAGAAAGTGTCCTGACATGGTTCCAGAGGATAGTGTTCGCGAATACATTCGACTCCGTCAGGCATTTTTGGATCACCAATCAGTCGGCCTTGATCTCCAGACCTACTTTACACACCTTTCACAAGGTGGTGTCGAGCACCCAAGGATTCACAATCGGCACCAGCCCTTGGGATGAGTCGTGCAAGAAACGGCGAAAGGCCGCAGCGACGGCGTTGAACCGTCCCGCAGTCCAGTCATACATGCCTATCATCGATCTCGAGTCCATGGCCAGCATCAAGGAGATGTTGCAGGACAGCCAAAACGGGGTCGTGGACATCGATCCCAACCCGTATTTCCAGAAATATGCGCTGAACACGTCACTGACGCTGAACTATGGTTTCCGGATCACGGGAAACATCGACGATGAGCTGCTGAAAGAGATCGTGCACATCGAGCGGGAGGTGTCGAACTTCCGTAGTACGAGCAATAACTGGCAAGATTATATCCCGTTGCTTCGTCTTTGGCCAAATACAGACACGGCGGCCAGGGAAACTCGCCATCGCCGAGACGTGTACATGGAGAAGCTGCTCAACATGCTAGAGGAGCGGATTGCTAATGGCACAGACAAGCCATGCATCACTGGTAACATCTTGAAAGATCCGGAAGCGAAACTAAACAGAGGTAAGCAGCTCACCCTACCAGTTCTCCCTTACCATTTGTTGACACGCATTAGCCGAAATCAAATCAATCTGCTTGACCATGGTATCCGCCGGCCTAGACACCGTCCCCGGCAACCTCATCATGGGCCTCGCCTACCTCTCCTCCCCCGCCGGCCAACGCATCCAAGCCCGCGCTCACGCCGAGATCCGCTCCGTCTACCCCGCCGGCGACGCCTGGACACGCTGCCTCGCCGAAGAGAAGCTCCCCTATGTGTCCGCGCTGGTCAAGGAGATCCTCCGCTACTGGATCGTTATCCCCATCTGCCTGCCGCGGGTCTCCGTCAAAGACATCGCGTACAACGGCGCCGTCATCCCCACCGGCACGACGTTCTACATGAACGCGTATGCGGCGGACTATGACGACGCGCATTTCAAGGACCCCGACACGTTTGAGCCGGAGAGGTTTCTGGATTCGTCGATGGATGGGTCGGGGACGCCGCATTATGCGTATGGAGCTGGGAGCAGGATGTGTGCCGGAAGTCATCTGGCGAACCGCGAGCTGTTCACGGCGTTTGTGAGACTCATTGAGGCGTTTGAGTTCCGGTGGCCGGAGAAGGAGGACGATCGGCCGCTGTTGGATGCGTTAAAGGCGAATGCATTGCCGACGAGCTTGACGATGGAGCCGAGGCCATTTAAACTGGGGTTGAAGGTACGAGATCCGGAGGCGTTGGAAGGGTGGTTGAGTGAGAGCGAGGAGTGGACGAAGCATTTGTAGGGGTGAATTTGTCAGAGATCAGGCTTTCAGGATATCTCTATTTTTTGGGATCCGCCGGTCTCTCTACCGAGCCCCCATTTCGTAGCCGTACTTAGGTGGTCTAGCCCCCATGGTTCCCCCATGGTTCCCCCGTGGTTCCCGCGTGGAGGAGCATACCATACCCCACGATATCACCAACGCGTCTTTCTTTGCTTCTTCGCTCGTTTTGAGGAAACCAAGGTTCCCACGACCATCAATTGTATACAGAACATATAAGATGAGCGTATTCCTGTAGTTTGTACGCTCATTAAGGATCAAGATCAATCAACACTTTCAATTCTTGGTAATCAAGTGCTCTCCTGCTGAAGTCGCATCTCCAGATCGCCTGATCAAGGGAACAGCTATCTTCTGTTAGAATTGGTTACGCCTGTATTTTAGGAGGTATTTTAAGGCATTTTGGGGACAAATCTCGAAATGCTAGGGACAAATCTCACCAGCCACAATGGTCCGAGCCATCGCGGGAAGGACTCGAATAACTTCATAAGCATATCCTGTCTCTGGGATATCCATAGTCCTTCATCTGACGCTCAACCTCTCCAACCCCCTTCCTCCTTCCTCTGCGCAACTCAAAAAGAGGATTTTAAGCATCGACTTGTACAATTCTTTCGGCGTAGAAATCCTCCATATCTCCAAAATGATAATTCAATACTATTTTTGGGGTGCAGGAAGCGTACACTCCTCTTGTACCGTGAGTCATATTCCGTACTTGAACCAGTTCTGTCGGGTCGTTTTTCTATCCTATCTGTTGCAAGTTCAATGCATGAAGTAAAAATGTGCGAAATATTGATCCCCTATCTAGAATACTACGTGACTGCGGAGTGACGTTGTATGCTACTGAAATTGCCTCCAAAAACGGAGGTTTCTTATAAGGACTAAATCCCTACCACGGTAGCGAGAGTGGAATGTTCGCAAGAACATCAGCCGACCTGTTAGTACTGGAAGCTGTGCTCCGGAGGTGGCCTTACATTAGTACATGAGAGTCGGTGAGGGCTTGTGTTCGTCTACAGCAACATAGCCTCGCGACAGTCGTTCGGGGAAATCATTAATTAATCTCCACGAGCAAATTCAGCGGGTCAAGCACTCAGACTATAGAGTCCTAATGGTCCTGGTTGGAAATCATTGCTCCAGGAAAGCAGAACAGGAAGTCATTTTTGATGAAGGCTTCGAACTTGCCCAAGCGCTCGGGTACTGCAAATTGCTGGAAGCAGACAAAGATTCATAATTTAACGCTAAAAAGCCTTTCTCGACCATGTTCGAGAGACCAAGCGGCATTATTATCGTGATCATGTCCATCTGCAAGTCTTCCTTCGCCAAAAGGAGACGAAGCGAGTTCAGGATTGGGGAGTTTAAATTTGGCCCTCGTTCGGCGACGAAGGCTTCCGCGGAGACACTGCTGAAAGAGAACGTCTAGAAATGGTCTTTGCGGACTAAACCATATAAACGCTACGGGGACAGCGAAAGCGAATGCTTTAAGCAGCTTGTAGCCCTCTCAGGCCTTCAGTGCCGTACTATTGCAAACGCCCTGGTCTGTGACTGATGGCGATTCAAAAGTGATTGCATCAGAGTCCCTCCCTCCAATCACTATGACAGATTCGGCTAACACAACGTTAACCGCTGCATTTAAATAGGTATCAAAGGAGTGACTCACTCTGAAGATCGTATTGCGGCCAACCTAGCTTCGACAAGCCGCGAACCGGGTCCTTCGCGAATCCCGTCCACGCCGCTCGAATCTTTTTGATCAGCTTCGTCTCGTTCTCCGTGTCTGGACCATTATCCCCCAACCCAGTATTCCCGAAGATGAGCGCAATCTCTGCTCCATGCCACGCGCCAGAAACGTTGGCAAAAGCGGGCCCGAGACTCTGATTCGGGAACTCGCCAGCGTATAGATATCGCCAGGCTGGAACGCCAGCGGCGCGCCGTGCTCGAGCAGCCGCAGATGAAGGGCAGTTCCGAAGAAGGCTGACCAGACTTCCGGGCTGGGTTCCGGAGGAGGCACCTTCGTTGTTGACGTTGCCAACAAGCATGGGCTGCATCACGTTAGCGAACCTCACGCGGAAAGGAGAAATTACTTGCCCGTTTGACAAACTCTCCACGAGCAGCACGAGCAGCGAGCCCGGACGGAATGGTCTTCTCATCAGCCTTAGGACCCCACGTACCAACTGCGTCACCCGATTCCCTCGGAGCAGTGGCATCAAGGATGGCACTCGCAGGTGCATCGCGCATACACTTGAGAGTCTTCGTCGCATCTGACTCTGATGCAACTGTACCACAGCCGAGTGTATTCGAGAGACCTGACCACGAGACCACCGTTGCGTTGGAGGGCGGCGATGCTGGGATCCCTGACGCCGAGCCACTCTGAGAGATGAAGCCCGAGACGATCGGATCGCGTCGATACGCGTAGCTGTAGAAGTCTACACTCAACCCACCTGCCGACTGGCCGAATATGACCATTCTTCTGGGATCGCCACCGAATCTTGCTATGCTACACTTGTGTCAGGCGCTGTTGCGAAACATGTGGCAGGGACTTACTTGTCTCGGAGCCATTCTATGGCAACACGCTGGTCGAGAAGGCCGAAGTTTCTTTCCGGCAAAGGAACGCCAGAGAATCCGAGAACACCAAGACGATAGCTGTGATGGTTTAGCATGGGCCAGTCATGAGCCGCTGAGTCTTACTTGATAGTCACCAGAATCACGTCCTCTTCGTCCGCAAGCGATGCCCCATTATAGACGGCATTAGCTCCGCTGCCGACGACAAAGCCACCTCCGTAGATCCAGATCATGACTGCCTTCTTTCTGTCGCCGATCTGTGGCTTGGTCCAGATGTTGAGATATAAACAGTCCTCTCTTTGCTCATTCTCCGATTGACCGATATTCTGAGGGGAATCCGGGTTGCTATTCGCCAGTCGAGAGGCGGATTCAGCGCAAGAGCTCTAAGAATCAGTCTCCAGCTATATTGTTGGACTCATTGGGAACTTACTAGCCCTGAAGATGATGTTAGCGATATCGTACGTCAGGCAGTCGGACCATCCTCACATATTGAGTCGCATTTATGACTTTCCCGTCGTGCCTGATCGTCTGAGGCGGTGCCCATCTCAAGTCACCAACAGGAGGTTTTGCGAACGGAATGCCCAGGTATTCGGATACAGCGCTCCGCTTGGAAGATGCCTGGCCCACAACGAGTCCACTCGTGGTCAATACAGGTTGTCCAACTCTCCATGTCAGAGTCCCTACAACTTCACCAACAAGAACAATGGAGGACAAGAGTAAAGTAAAGAAATGCATCTTGAAGCGAGCTAACCGAATAGTGTTTTACGACAAAACAGGGAAGCATACTTCTACATCCTCTGCACGACCGGCCCATTATGTATTCTACAGGTCCTTAATCTGCCTCGGTTCAAGAAGCTATGTAATTGATTCTTCAAACATTCTAGAAAGTCCCTCTCTGGGAGTATTAAACCTCTGCGAGATTCAGGTACTCCAGCAAGGTTACATTGATACTAGTTCGACCCCTCGCCGATGTTCCCGAATCCTAGGTTATGTTTAATATAATCATCTAAGCAATCCTGACGTAGGCTGGCAAAAGTGGAGGACGTACAGCGATCTAGGACACTATTAGTGTCTTCTGGAGTAAACGCGATTCGTCAACCCCAGCCAGTGCACAGGCGTGCATCTACTGGGTCCAACATATATCCAATCGCGACGCCTTGCGAAAGTCGTACTCGACAAGACTCGAAAGTCGGAAGAGGAAACGTCGTCACGGCAGGATTCCTTTTCGAATTTCTGGATCGCTCTTTGGTCACTTAAGCCCCAAAAGTTAGTTTTTCTTCTTACGTCCTCAGCATAATCAATTATATTAAGTTATAATGACACTTGTCACTTACCAAATCGATTGATAGCGTGTCCCTCTCTGAGCGTCGTTCGTGCTAAACGGGACTTTTTTCCATCAACTCAACCATCACGATATTAAACACGTCGCCAGGTAGGATCACGCCTCATACTAGCCACTAAGCTAGAAATTCCTCGTGTACCGCCTTAAATGCCTTCATATGCCTTGCCTGACGGCCCTTCCAACCCCGTGCCCATTTCTCGAATTCCTCCCGTTTCTCTCGCTCTAAACGCTACTTGATCATAGATCGAGCTTGTTCCGACGTGATATAACCCATCTCAGACCGTAAGACGCGTCGGTTACGTCGATTTCGTGCCTCGCGCGCCTGTGTTTCCGCCATAAGGTACTGCAGGGTGTGGGACAACTGGTCGACTTGGAGGGAGAACTGAAGGCTCCCATTGAGGCTGTTTTCGAGGTTCTGAATGATAACTGGTGGTACATCGAGTTCTTTGACCGCTGAGAGGCGCCACTCTAAGCGCCGCCGTAGTGTAGCGTAGTCTTTGGTAGGAGAGAGGAGCCGGCTGAGGTCGAACGGTGGCTGAATCATTTGATTTAATGGAGTACTTGGCCTCTCCTCGTACGCAGCTCGCGGGTGACAGATTTCGCGGCCCACCATTTTGCCGAAGTAGACCCGCCCCCATATAGTAGCCCTAATATGATATCTAGCTGAAAAGATGCCCTGATCAGTGCCATTCATTAAATATGATGGTTTCTACCCGTAATCATACTCAGCGGTATGCTGCAAATTGAGATAATGTTCAAAAAGCCTACAGTTCCTCCAAAAAAGCCCGAGTCCGGGGCGCTGTGGAGTTCAATCAGGCCCTCAGAAAGCAGTATGGATTTGATCCATCAAGGACTAAGAGCAAGGTTTACCAACACTTTGGCGTTCCATACCAGCCTGGAACACGCCTGGTAAGTGAAAATAACCGTGATGAACGTCATTTGAGCCCGGCGAGGACCCAAGGGGCCGCCCTCGGCTCGTCGAAACCAAGGATATCAACGAGATGGAGAGGATCATTGAAGACCAAGATGTCTACGGAAGGACTATGTCTTGGGAGGCCTTAGGGTATGAGGCTGGTCTAGACGTATCCGGGCGTACGATTGAACGGGCTATGGGCACGAAAGATTACCACAGATGCGTCGCATGTAACAAGACGTGGATCTCTCAAAATCAGGCGAAAAAACGAGTCGATTGGGCTACTTTGATGAAGGCCCGGTATCCTACCAAGTATGCCTGGCGGAAGGTCCGTTTTAGCGACGAGTCCCACGCTGGGCATGGTCCGCAGGGAAAGTTGATAATCATTCGACGAAAGGGCGAACGGTATTGCCCCAAATGTGTACAACGCGAAAGAGACGTTAAAGAAGACGCCAAAAAGAAGGTACACGTTTGGGGGGCTGCAGGGTACGACTTCAAATCAGACCTTATAACGTACGATGTACCGAGCAATACCACAGGCAAGATGAGCCAACGCGTATATATCGATTCTATCCTGGATCCCATTATCAAACCTTGGATCCAGAACGGTCACGATTTCGTATTAGAAGAGGACCAAGTCTCCGGCCATGGGCCCGCACGGAGTAAGGGAAATATCGTGAAGGAATGGAAGGCTCAAAACGGTCTGAAACACTACTTCAATTGCGCCTCATCTCCGGATCTCGCGATCATCGAGAACTGTTTCCAACCGATGAAGCAACACATACGTAAATATACCCATTGGGAGCCCGAAGAGACGCTACAGCTTCTAAAAGAAGGAAGGGTCGATATTAAGCAGGAATGTATCAATTCCCGCGTTGATTCTATGCCTGAAAGGCTTCAGGCCGTGATAGACGTAGAGGGATAGCTGATTGGAGATTTTAAAGCGAAAGCCTAGAATCTGTTAGACATAGAGTTTTTAAGCGTTCTAGATAGCATCATTTATATTTAACAGTGTTTGAACTTATGTTGGTTGAGATATTTGCGTTGAAACTATCAATATATGCGGTTTTGTATGGTGATGTGGACCCCTGTCAAGGTGGTGGGCCGCGAAATCTGTCACCCGCGAGGCAGCTAATTAGTGCAGTGTCTACAGCCATTTGGTCGGTCCGTAGCTTGCCTAGCACGTGCTCTGGGTTATATGGGTGAAGTCCCGTCTCATTCCACCCTCTCATAATTGTCCTCTTCTTAAAGGTCTGCCAGCGGATGCTCTCTAAGGCGTGGAGAACTCGATCTTATTAAATTCAGTGCAGCCAGTTCGTGTAGCTGCGTTGACTGCCTCAGTATGCCAATGCTTGTACGGTTGGAATGGACCAACGTCGAGGGGCTGGAGGATATGGCTACTGTGAGGGGGAGGCGGTATGGAATGACGTCGTGTGCTTCAAGGGTCTCAAGGAATTCTTTCGTACAGTGGCTATCGAAACCGTCGAAAAGGAGAAGACGGTATTTCCCTCGTTGCGACCTTGCTGAGTACTTGATAAAGTGTCGTATATAGTGTAGGCTGATCTCGTCGTTGTTGAAGCCCCTCTCAGAAAGGCAGACTGCGTAGCCGGATGGAAGGCTTTGGAAATACTTCTCGAGGAAGGCCGCGCCTGGGAGAATGATGAGCGGTGGTATAACCTGACCGGCTGCGCTTACCGCCTCAATAATTGTAAGGCTATCACGGCAAGTCGGAGATGGCAAGTAGTGCTTCTTATTTGGGTAGAAGGTAAGAATCCACTGATCTTTCCCAATACCTACACGGAAGCCTGACTCATCGAAATTCCAGATATCTTCGGCAGCGATACCGTACTTCGCTTAGATCGTTCGAAACTTTAATACCATTGCTCAATGGTAGGTATATCATGAGATGCTTTGCGCTCAAGATCAAGAACTCTAGCACGTCGTTCATAAATGCAAGGCTCGCATTTTAGCCACGCGTGGGCCCAACGCGTCCCTACCGTTGGTGGGAATCCTTGTGCCTGCTGTGCTTTGTGATCGATCTGGAGAATAGTATTCGTAGTAGATATAACTTGATTTATCCGTGGTGCAATTCCAAGTTCATCTAGCCGCCGTAGGTATGCTTTGAGAGCAAGATTTTGCGTCGTACTAAGCTTGAGGGAGTGGTTTAGTCGGTCGAAGAGGTTTGGACGCCCTTTGGAACGAGCGAGTAGGCGTTTTTAAGGGACGCGAAATTCCCTTGATAACGCCTTGAAATTGGGATTAATGCCTGTAGGGATAGACTCAAGAGCCCGCTGAATACGGGACTCAATTTCATTATTGTCTTTTGGCATTGTGTCGAAAGATATGAGCGGATAAAGTATCGTGATGGTTGAGTTGATGGAAAAAAGTCCGGTTTGGCCCACAATCCCGTTTGGAGTGTGGGCGCTCCCTATGGGAGCGTCTACAAAACTGAAGATCATGAGTAAGCTTAAGCTAACGAACCAGGGGCACAGCAGATACAGTACATATAACATTATACGCTTCACTGTGGCAGTTCCCTTCCGCGCAATGCAGTATTGCAGTTCACCATTTCCGCAGTATCTATAGTTGCTGCATCAAGAACCAAATGGACTCCCTAGGCAGACCTTGCTGCTGGAAAAAGTGGAAGCCCATATTTGAAACTGCTGAGAAAGCGATTAGGTCTAAGTGCGGGAAAGTGTGCTTATGGAATCTTCCAATGGTCACTGATCGTGCACGACGCCTGGCATCCTCTCATCAGTGCTCGTGGTGAGTCGCCGTCACCAGGTACGCGTGAAAGCTGCTTTCAACTCCCATCCCTGGAATGATTCCTTTCATTCCTAGGATTTACATCTGATGCACCTATACCATAAGGCTGTCACCAGGCTAATTTTGGTAAGGTTTCGCAACAATTTCATACAGGGAACTTGCATAGATATCATCAGATCTCAATAATCTCATATCTGCGGTATCCTGTTCACACCAAACACGCCGGTGAAATAATCCGAAATCCGCTCTAGATTCCAGACCCGAAGTCTATAAGCCCAAAGTCTAGACTCTCGAGCCCAGAATCTCAGTGATTGGACAACAGATTACAGAATGGACTGTGGTGCCGCCGGACTAACCCAACACAGCCACTCCTTGATCGGGATTCGCAAAAACCAGCACACATTGCCGTCAGCCCCCGTACGCCCACGCCAATTAACGCTTCTTGGATCACCAATTTTCTCCTACTCCAGAATAGCCTGGCGCTCGCTTCTAGCATGGCCACGACCTAGACCGCATTAATGCCATTTTCATTCGCTTCCCCTTGGCAACATGGATATATCATGCCTGTTCCCGCCAGCAACATCTCCCATCCTCGCAAATGCCATTGGGTTCAGCAACGCCATGGCGGACGACGCCCATTGAAATGATTGACCGGAAGCCTGAGGCCAAGGAATGTGCAGAACCGCACATTGATATCGTGCAGTCCAGTCCGGCCACAGCGTGCGAGCCACGGAACTCTTCCTGAGTTCCTGCTTCTCATGCGTCGTGGGACGGTCGAAAGGCTGCGCTAAGACCATTGGAGCAATGCGGCTGATCAAAAATAGGGTTATCGTGGCTTACTTGAACTGGATATCGCATGCAACCTCGAAGGGTTTTGCTAGCGCAGAGCCTCAATAGGCCACAGAGCCAGGGCGCCACAGACCAAATGGGTAAATGAAGTGCCAATAAGTAGACCATGTTTCTTCCCGTAGTCCCGTTGCGTATTTTCGCGATCTCAGTCCGCCCAGTCCTTCTTCATTCAATCTTTCTAGCCATTCTGCTTCATCCATACCTGTGTAGTCATCTGTTAGGTTGGTCAGTCGCTAGTCAATTATTGTTAAGAGAACTTCGAAATGGAAGAGAAGTCTACTGAGCAGGCTATCGTCCGGACCCCTTTGTGGGTGACGATAGTCCAAGGATTCCAGATTTTCTTCGCAGTGGTGATTCTCGGACTGTGTGGTTATATTATCCATGGCGTCGCAATGGACCAGATCGTCTTTGCGCTTGTCTGCGTAGGTGCCGTCTCCTAGCGATCTGCCTCCAGCCAACTAACTCACGCATCAGTGCCTGTTCACCTTCGTCATCTGCGCGTACACTATGATAACCGAGAAGCTGACCGGTTTCAATTCCTCCTACAACATCTTTGCGGTGCTCGCACTCAACGCGTTTATGGTCGTCTTCTGGCTCGCCTCGATGGGTGCCGTCGCCGCCCGACGAGCGACATTTACCGTCCCCGTCAATGCGAGTTGCTACAGCACCGGATCATCGATTAACAGCGGCCGCTGCGACATCTACAAGCGCGCTATTGTGGTGACGCAGGCCGGTCTCGCCATGATTTCCGCAATCGCCGGCCTGTCCGCGTTAGAATGGTGCGTGCCATGACCGTCTCCCCAGTCCTATCACCAACACTAACTGATCCCACAGCATCTTATTCATCACCGTCCTTGTCTACGCCACCCTGGAATACAAGCGCAACTTCTACAAACCTTCCGCCGCGGCTGCAACCACTCCGGGCACAGCCGAAGCCGGCCAGGCCGTCGAAATGAAGGCGCAGAACCAACCCCTAATGGACCCCAACCACCCGCAGCAAGCGTACCCGCCTCAGCAAACCTACGCACAGCCGGTGCTGGGGCAGGTTGCGCAACCGTACGCGCCGAGTCCACAGGGCCAACCGGCGCTTCAGCAATATTCGCCGTATCAGCAGCAAACGCAGTATCCGACCGGCCATACGGAGATGCCTGGATATTCGACAGCTCAGTCACCACCCCCGCAGCAGGCGGTTAGCCCTCTACCGCAGCAGTATCCGGCCGGCCGTACGGAGATGCCTGGATATTCAACGACTCAATCACCCCCTCCGCAGCAGGCTGTTAGCCCACCGCCGCAGCAGTTTACCCCTCAGTCACAGGTCGAGCAGCCGTATTATCCTCCTCAGCAGCAACAGTAAAAGAGTCGCATGGGATGACGCTGGAAATCGCATGAGGCAGCCGTTCGACAGCAGGCGAAGAAGCATTGGATCTAATACGCTTATGTCTATGCATATCCTAGTTGATAAACCAATGCTCATTTAGCTTAGCTTCATTTTTCGTCTTTCGACTATTCTGTGATATGGAATATCAATTGGATGCTCTGTGAACCATTCCATCATACCGTCTCCTTCTGTTGCGTCCCTCACTCTTTTTTCTTGCCCAATCTCGGCAACGCCAGCCACGCTGCCAAAATCACAACCAACAACGCCAGCGCGATGGGCTGCAACACCTGCACCCCCTTCTTCTGCGCAATCGCGCCCACCGCGAACGGAAACACGGCCGCGCCCACACCCCCCAACGCCGCCGCGAACCCAATCGCCGTAACATGCAGATGGCGCGGCAGCAGTTTCATAGCTACAATGACGGCCGCGGGGAACATCGGGCCCAAGAAGAACCCCTCCAGCGCCACTGCGACGGCCGACACGTGGAACTGCGGTACGAGCCAGAAGACCAGCTGCAGCGCCATTGAGATGGGTAGGTAGATGCAAATACTCAACTTCTCCCCGATCCGCGGTGTCACGAACCCGAGCACTACCCGCCCCACCGTCATCCCCAACCAGAACCCCACGGCCGCCATGCCGGAGGCGAAGTCGCTGCCGTGGCGTATGCGCAGCATGAAGGTCACGATCCAGCCGCCGAGGGTGACCTCGACGCCCATGTAGACGAGGAGGAAGACAGTGATGAGCCAGACGACGCGGGCGTAGGGGCGGACGAAGAGGGCTTCGCGGATGGTGTTGTCTTTGCTGCCGGGGGTTTTGGCATTGGCGGCGCGGAAGGCGGCCCCGGTGCCACCTTTCCAGAAGGTGGGGAGGCAGGTGACCAGTTCGAGGAACGCGAGCCCGATCTAGAACGTATAAGTGATGGTTGATGTGATTGTGGTGGGGGACTTACCATGACATAGTAGAAGTTGTACCATGGTAGGTTGGCTTTGGTGATCATGGAGGTAGCTATTAATGGGCTGATCGTGGCACCCAGACCGTAGAAGCCATGGAGAAACCCAAGCAATTCGTTGGCGTTGTTCATGTTCCCAATCCAGGCGTTCCATGCTGCGTCAAGCAACCCGTTTCCGAAGCCCGCTAGCATGTAGAATACCACAAGGACCGGATATGGAGGATGAAGAGATGCGACCATATATGCTACTAAATGGGCGATGGGTCCGACAATCGAAACGCCACGATGGCCGAATCTGACATGGATATAGTTGTTAAGAAGCGCAGAAAGGGTGTACCCTACTACTGGGCTCAGAAAGATCAGAGAGACAACCGTGTAAGACAGTTCATAATATTTCTCGAGCTGCTCGAGGTTAGTGGATGTCGGAGGCCACCGTCATATCTTTTCTTACATATGGGATCAAGGCCTATTGAACGTTAGGCATGGATATTCGCAAATGGGGAGTAATGAGAGCATACACCGAGAGCAGCATCATTGGCTCCTAGAACGATGAAACAATAGAAGGTCGCGAACGTCCGGGCTATATTACTTCTAGGATGATTCCAGAAGACCTTTTTCTCCGTCGCTGTCGTTGGGGACGGCAGGCCATCCGAGTCTGATATCTTCGTCCCGCTAACATGACTGTGACGTCGTGAGGCCAAGGATATGTGATCATGCTGTTTCTGCTCCGACCGAGGTTGATTCGTGTTCGGATGCTCTGAAAGCTCCATCGTGTACGTAGAAGTTTGGGTGGCCATGTTACTCCTTGGGAGACTTGACTTTGAGAGACGAGACTAGAATGAAAAGTGGATAGATGACGAAATCCCCATATGGACTTCCAGCGATTGATACTTTTATAGACACTCAGGGCTCATGATTTGTTCAATTGAGTCATTCAGGACACATTTATAATCAGACACATTGCTCAGAAGTAATTGAGGAGTCGAAATGTGAACACAGTATGTATCTCGGTGTCACCTGCCCGGGATGTCGTGTGGTTGAGGTCCAAGTCTCGATTCCATTACGGAATATCAAACTTGAACTCCACCCTCACCATAAACTCCCCTCCCTCCGTTTCGGTGAACACGGATAAACTTCGGATGCAGGAAACTAGTGGCTACTGTAAGTTAGTTAGTAGTCTGTAACTAATGGAGAGGGCTGAATCCCAATGTCTGCAACCATCCAGAATATTAATAATCCTAACAGGTTGGATGACTCTGAGTTGCCGTTTTGAAACAATGCGATTCCAGCAGACCATGTCGATCCTGCCTCAATCCGGTAGTAGTTGCGAGTCTTGAACGCTGTAGGAGAAAAATCCCCCCTAGCGCAGATCTCGGAATAGGCCTTCGGTTCAGCATCCCTATTCTCCGTGTTGATACTCACAGCTGACAGTGGACTGAGGACAGGCAGTATCCTGGGTAATTTATCTTGATACGTTTGTCCAGGCCGTTGTATTAAGCGGCATCAGGCTAGAATCGCACAAAGGCATAGCATGGGTGCAGTTGCCTAGTGGGATTTGATCAGTGTCACTCAACAGAGACTGGTCCAATACAGGTATGTTTATTGTGAGGTTGGTGCAGTAATACAACTGAAGGAGATGGATGGCGGCGCATCATATGAAGATGTCGTCGATGTTTGGTGTTTGGGCTGGGCAGAATGACATAAAGTTGACACCTTGTTGCCTTGCTCAGCACTCACGACTCAGTGAGACTCGTCACTCGTGACTGACCATCGCAAGGCATCAACCACTCCATCAAGCTATCAACGACCAAGGAGCATCGAGGATATTGCATCCATTGACGTCCATGAAAGCGGAGTATTCTTGATCTTTTCGAATCCCTTGTATCGACCTTGAAGAAACAAACACAGGACTGACGTAGCCGATCATGTCGTTGTTCTTTTCCACCCCAGTCGATATCGACGTTGTCCTCCAAGACAGCGATGATCGAGCTACCGTCGACGTCAAGCTCGGGGAGAAGAACCGGCGGGAGAAGGTCCCGCTGTATATGGATGGCGAATCGGTCAAAGGCGCCGTGACCATTCGACCGAAAGATGGGAAACGGTTGGAGCATACGGGAATCAAAGTCCAATTCATCGGAACAATCGGTCAGTCTTACATGTCGTGCAGCATCTTGCTTGCTGTGAGGGTGGAGGAGCGGTGTCTGACAGCATGTAGAAATGTTCTATGACCGAAGCAACCATTATGAATTCCTTTCCCTTGTCCAGGAGCTCGCTGCTCCCGGGGACCTCCAGCATCCCCAGACCTTCGATTTCAACTTCAAAAATGTCGAGAAGGCATACGAATCATACAACGGCATCAACGTCCGGTTACGATACTACGTTCGGGTGACGGTCTCAAGAAGGATGGCCGACGTCACAAGAGAGAAGGACATCTGGGTCTATTCATACCGAGTGCCGCCGGAGACCAACAGCTCGATCAAGATGGACGTGGGGATCGAGGATTGTCTGCACATCGAGTTCGAATATTCGAAGTGCAAATACCATCTAAAGGATGTCATAGTCGGGAGGATATACTTCTTGCTGGTGCGGTTAAAGATCAAGTACATGGAATTGTCCATCATAAGGAGGGAGACAACGGGAGCCGCGCCGAATCAGTACAACGAGAGCGAGACGCTGGTGAGGTTCGAGATCATGGACGGTTCTCCGTCAAGAGGTAGGTTGGGTGACGACAAACGGAGGACAAGGTCTGATTTGATACAGGTGAAACGATACCGATCCGATTATTTCTCGGCGGCTTCGATTTGACCCCGACCTTCCGAGAGGTGAACAAGAAGTTCTCAACGAGATACTATCTCAGCCTCGTCCTGATTGACGAAGGTATGTGTAATCGCACTCTTTCATGAACCGGGCTAACCACCTCTTAGATGCACGAAGATACTTTAAACAATCCGAGATCGTCCTCTACCGACAAGCGCCGGAGAATCTGGCCCCGCCACGAATACAGACCCCCGAGATCAGGAGCGCTTAATGACGGGAATCTTGCTTGAACAACTGATTTATTGTCCAATTCATAAGCCGGAGTCAGGTTCAGGGAGCCTTTGAGCTCAATCCTAGGTTGTTCATAACAGCGCTCCGCTATCCACTTTCCCAACAGAGGGCGAGCCGGTCGTCCTATTCCCGATAATCGGCTTGGATTCGTCGCGACGAGATTGAGGGGATCGACACCAAAGGCCGGACTCTGTGTGTTGCGAGGGGGTCAGTGGCCAGCTTGGGAGCATAGATATTAATGCTGTCCAACTACTTCATGTATTCTCGTCCTCGTCATCCTGCTTGACATTACTAGTGCATCGTTGGACGTTCGAATAGATTTTGATCATGGGGTCGCGTTCCGTCTCCTTTATGTCCGCCTCGCCCTGGCGCTCTTCCTGCTGCCCTCGTTCAGCGGCTGAACATGTTGCAAGGCGTGTGAATCCGCTGTCAAATACGATCGAAGTGACAGGATCTATCCCATATTAGCATGAACCGCCAGTGTCTCATACACCGTACTAACCTTCATGAAGCCTAAATTCTTCACTGGGCTCCATCTTCCCATTGACGCTATGGCAGTCCTCCCACACGCGAACACAACCATCCATCCCACCCGCCCAAACCTTCTCCCCGCTCTCCGTCCGCTCCACCGCAAACTCCTGCACCAAATTCGACGTCCGTCCCCTCCCCACCAACATCCCCAACAACCTCCCTTCCACCCTCACATCATACACCCTCACCCCATCGCTCTTCCCCTCCCCCACATACAAATACCTTCCACACCCCGACCACTCCACCTGCGTTACCCTCCCCCCCTCCCCCTCCCCCTCCAGCCCCCACGCTGCCACCCCCTCCCCCCACCCCTCCCCCCCATACAACCCTACACATCCCCTCAGCGTCCCCACCGCCGCCAGCCCCTCGAAACTCACCCGCACGCTCGCCCCGATCCCCCGCATCCCGCTCATCGCCCCGTCCCGCGCCATCTCCACTCCCCGCCAGTTCCGCGGCCACCGCGCCCAATGCGCTGGGCCCTCCCCGCTGCGAGTCACGTCGAACGCGGCGAGTCCGCCTCCTTCGCGGCCGATGGCGGCGAGGATTCCGGCGCCGTGGTGGGTGAAGGTAAGGGCGTGGGCGGGGAGGAAGGCTTCGGAGTGGGGGAGGATGAGGGGGTAGGTTGCAGTGGGGGGTGGGGGGTGGTTGGGGTGGGAGGCGAAGGGAAAGGCGCGGATGAGTTGGATTGGCATGTGGGTGGAGGAGTGGAGGAGGAGGGTGGTGGAGGGTTCGGTGAGGGTGAAGTAGGGCCATGGGACGAAGGAGCGGAGGGTGCTTGAGGAGGAGAGTGCGGTTGAGAGGGGAAGGGGTTGGGGTGGTGAGGAAACGGTGCATGGGGAAGGGAGGATGCTTGTTTGGAGCTTATGCGATGCGCTTTGCGCGATCAGACAGCTACCGTCGTAGGACCTGTTGAAACGTTATCTTTTGGTTCGGAGTTCCTCAGGATTAATAGGTTTTACCATGTAAGACGTCGGTAACCATCAGTCTCTTGACTTTGGGCTGCCCCAAGAAGCTCTGGGGGTGCAAGTCCTTTCGTTGTAGACATATCGCCCGAACGCTTGTACTTTCGATTAAAGGCTCAAATTTAGTACAAAGCAATAATTATTCCCAAATGATGGCATTTCTATAATTTCCTTGCTCTTTATTAGTACGAAATAATACTGAAGGTGATGATGAGGTGGAGAAAAAGATCGATGGTGTCAGTCCTGCTTCAAGACCCAAGGCGGAGAGGATTAGTCCCAGGTGGAAATGGCGATGATATCACAACTTCAACATTTTGGATGGAAACAAGAGTATTAACGATAGCCTCGCTGTAGGGTACCATCTGTCGGAATGTGGGATATTTCATTTATTTTTGACAGACCAGAATAACATCGAGCAGAAGGGCGTTCTTTCAAGCCGGTGAGTCGGAGAGAGTTTCTGGTTTGGTTTACGGAGGGATGGTTGAATGTAGCATTTAACGTATTGGATTCTGGCCACTTTATATTTCCCACAGACTTAAAGACTCCTTACCATCCATCGTTCTATTCATAACTCATGGCTCCTTCTGCGAGAACATCCCCGAGAACCCAACACGTAACCACTGCTTCCCCTTTTTCTGATTCTTCTTACTATCCAGCCGTGTCGCCTCCTCCTGCGTGATCCCATCCTCGATATCCGTAACCTCGGACGACGAATCCGCGGTAACTTCCCCTTTCAGCCTTGCCTTCATCTCCCTAAACCTCGATTCGTCTAACATCCATTGCAGCGCCTGCTCCCGGAGGTCATCAACCGCTTTCATGGGTATTGTCATCTTATCCGCATCATTGATCACGGCTCGGATGCGAGATTCTTTGATGCCGATCCCTCTATCCAGAACCTTGTGTACGTCTGCGGCGCTTTCCTGCTCGAGAAGGACCCTCGAATGTTCTCGGAGGACGGCGATCGCGACGGCGAAGAGGAATAGGTACCCATCAGGAGGTTGACGGCAAAACAGGATATCCCAAACTCGGTATGTAAATTCGGCAGACGTATTGTGGAAGCCGTCCGCAAATAGGGCGATAAACCATCGCATTGTGAAAGGTGCGATCTGTACTTCCAACTGCTTGAAATGCCGGAAGATATCAGGTGCCGCCCTCGAGAGGAGCGTCATGAGCACTTGTTGGTCCGCAGTCGGTATCAGGAGATCGCCCGTCCAATATCCGTGTGGCATGATCCTCTCAATGACGGACGACAGGAGTAAGAATGCCGGTGCAGGTCGCGGTGTGACGAGGATCAGGAACGCAGCAATCTTGTGCATGCCTTGGCAGTATCCCGTATCTGGATTTCGTACGGCGTATGCGCAGAGGATTTCGCGGATTCGGTCTGCGCCTAGCCCTTTGGCGCCGTAGAAGAAAATGTTGGTTCTCGTTAGTGTCCTCTGAACATCATGTTCAATCTCCAATCGAACGCTTTCAGAGAGTTCGAGTTGCGATCGGTCGACATAGGACTTGAAATCGTCCTTCGACAGCAGCAGATACGACCCCGCTGCCTCCAGCCAAACTTCGGCGCGGAGCTCAATAGGAATTCCGGTCCGTACGAGACCATCAAATGTGGACTGAAAAGTCTTCCCTTTTTCTTCGTTATTGCCCCATTCCAATATCGCAAGCGGCGTCTCTTCGGTGACCTTCTCTGGGTCAATCTCCTTCTCACACTCTTTCTTGAACTTGTACCACGCCCCGAGTTTACGGAGCTTGACCTGGCGGTCTTGAACGGTCCGCAAGCTCCTTTCGGCGGGCCTTTCGACCACTTTGAAACCAAACTTATCCACTATCAGGTCGGAGTCGTCTTCGGTGGACGCTGTACTTTCTGCGTCGCTCGACAGGTTATCATCAAGGGGCACCCACTCTCTCAGTGCTGGAGGCAAGGACTCGGGCGCATAAAAATCACCCATCCGGAGCGGTATTCGTGAATCGCCAGACACAACGGACTCTCGTTTTTTCGAGTTGTCCTCCTCCTCCACATGGCGACTTTTTCGTTTCTGTCGCGAGTCCTTTTTGGTGGTGGCATCGGACGGTAAGGTATGGCTAAATTACGTCAACACCCCGTCGAGTGCTGTTTGCTCCCACTTCCTCAAGTACTCACCGGCGTTCGTCCTTAGGCTGCTTGGCTGCTGGTTCCTGAGTAACATCCGGCTTGAAATCAGGATGAAAGGGTATGTTTTCTGAACGTGAGAGGTGTAGAGCCTCGAATAGGTTCTCCGTCTGATAGCCTTGGGTATCATCCTCCGGGCCAGGGAGAGGCGGAATCAACTCCCCTGAATCCCAGAGGGGACGTGTTTCTGGTGGGTTAATCTCCCCTGACGGGCGTCGAAGAAGCTGCTCGATCTGGGACTTTCTCCACACCTTGTTCTGTTAGCAGAATATTCATAAATTTGGAATTAATTTGCCTTACTACGTTGCTCCCAGAACTCCAGGTAGGGTCTTCTTCGTCGCCTTCTGGAACCGTAGCCTCCACTTCGAATCGTATTGCATTCGGACAACGCCCGTTGCTGCGGCCGGAAATAGGAGCGGATGAACTTCGTCGTCTGTTGAGAATCACGTTTTTAATCGACTGATAGGCGGACGAGCTGGGTCTCTCTGTTGGTGCTTTGACTGGAGCATCTCCCAGTTGCGCTATCACAATTTGTTAGACATAACTCTCAAAACTCGGAGAAAACCAAGATCCGCTAGACATGATGCTCGAACGAGGAGGAATTAAGATATGCCCCAATAGTGCGGCGTAGAATGTAGCCACGATTGATTCAGCACACAACGCAATCGTGGAAGTCAACTATAAGCACCCTTGTCTTACAAACAAAACTTGGCGAAGAACGTCTATTCGAATAAAAAGGGACATCTTGAGAGGTAATTGGAACACATTCCGAGATTCTAATGACAAAACGGACACATGGGGGTGGAGGCACGATCTGGGTGAGGCGGGCAGATGAGAGGTGTACAATGGACAGAAGCAAGTATAGCAGGATTTGCACCATTCTAGGAAACTGCCCCATATCATCACTTACCCGATTCACCATCGGCACCCTCACTGTCCATCCAAGATATGACTCTATCCAAAAGCAGGTGGCTGAAGTACGGAGATTGTGGGGGCTAACAACGAGAAGTCAATGTGGGAGACATCCGACATTTCAGTAGACGAAATGTCCGATCGGTGTGTATATGCTGGCAAAAACCCTGGCTTGATGATTTGTGTTATAACTTGAACAGTTGTACTCAGTTGTAGAGTCGTGAATGGAAGATAAGTGTTTGATACAGGTGGTTAAAGCAGTGACGGAAGATCATTATGACATGATACAACGGGCGGGGGTCTTCCCAGCAGTGGCAAGGACCCTCGTCGCCGAGCTTAATCCTACCTCTCCAATATTAATAACTTCATTGTTCATGATGCATGATTGCTTGCGCGATTTGCAAAGCCGTCCAGACTTCAGTCTATCTCCTTTGGACTTTGGACACAGACCAGCATGATAAGACTAGAACAGGGAGTCAATGATCAGATTCCAAACTGACGTGTAGGTCAATTGTCGACGTGCTTGTGTCTTGATACCAGACGGTTCTCCATAGAGCGCCTTATTCTTCTATCGAATGGCTTCTCGTACAGAAACGGATGAAGAGGCTGCTTTGGAAGCGATCGCAACACTGCAGAACTGCTCGGGGGAGCAAAAAAAGGCTCAAGAAGAGATAGATACCCTCCTTCTCGATGAAAACCCCTTCGCCAACATCAATGAGTTGTTTCCGTTGTATGACACCTTGTACTTCCGTGGTCTCCTCCTTCGCGACCGGGTGGAGGTATCTTGGTCAAGTAGGTTGACATTGTAAGTGCGTCTAGCTGTATTGATGGGCATGGATTAATCAAGAATTGCATAGGTGCGCTGGAATATGCGAACTGCTCAAAGACAATGCTGGAAAGTATAGGCGGATCCGAGTCAAGCTGTCCGAACCGCTGTTGAAGTATCGCACGCGAGAGGACACTGTAAATACGTTTCTCCATGAGTAAGAGTTTCCATAGAACCTGTTTAATGGGATTGTATTGATATTGACAGGCCACGGTGAACTAGGTTAATGCACGCATACTTCTTCGTCACAACCTCCTTCAAACACTCCCGCGAAGACGGCGGACATGGACCAGGATTTCTCCTCCTCGCCAATTCTATCAACAACCACGGGAGCTACTTCATTACGGTATTCCACACATTCCATGACGAGGTCGACAGCTATCGTACACACGTGTGGCAATGTAACGGCTCCTGCAAAGACCGGCCACCATTTTTCGGCCTCGTCAAACGAAGCATGAACCGCCCTCCGTCGAAATCGGACTTCTGGTGGACGCGCCATGAAGCAGAGTGCGGCGGCGAATACACCAAGATTGCGGAACCGAAGCCTACCAAGGCGCAGATCGCGTCTTTGTCCGCGAAGGAACGAGCAGGCCGGCAGAAAAATAAGATCAATGCGTGGCTTACGCCGGCGGCAGATGCAGGCCCGGTTGACGCAGGCACCGAGGCCTCTCGTCGTCCTGTAAGAAAGCGGGCGGCGGACGAACAGACGGAGCTGACACCGAAGAGGGCGACCGTGGAATGCCCGATCTGTAACGCCCGTGTCGCAGAAACATCGATCAACGATCATCTGGACAACGAGCACTCTTCATGACCGTTCTGATTCAGGCGCCGTCATATTTATTTCATGAGCTCTTCCACAATCTTCGATTGCGAGTCCGACAACGTCGAATTAAGCGGAGGCCTTCCCGCAGCCGCAATCGGTGCCTTTGCCGACGATCTACTCTGCGCAGCAGGTCTCACCTTCGGATTGGGGGTAGAACTTGAAGCACTAGCCTTGGGGGACGAAGCCGACGATTTTCGCCGCTCCTGTTCCTTTGCTTGTGGATAAGGCCAGGCAGATTCAGCCACTGCCTGGTGCTCAACGTTGTTCAAGACCCGTGCGATGCTCGAGCTATATGTCCCGAACCACTCGCTCCACGATTGTTTCTCGCCATCGCCTACAGCCTGGGCTAACTTCCGGTCAGCGGAGTCTATGGTCATGGGAATATAACTCACTGATCCGAGGGGCCGCTTGCTCGGTAGCCTTTGCTCTCGCATTCGCTTCTGCCAAGCTTCTCGCAATATTCCCCGCTGACGTGACGCCATTCTGGATGGCACGGACATCGTCCATGGATAGGTTAGACGGTAATCGGACCTGATAGGTGCCGCTCAGAGTGACGGAACGATCCCGTTGAGCTGACGGATCTCCTGGCTTCTCTGCCCGCGGGATCTCTTCGACCTCCTCTTCATCTATGACCGGTTCACACCACTTCCTACCACGCGTCCCAGTCACGACCGGCCTCGGTGAATTATTTCTACTCGACCGAGCGCTCCTGACGTCATCTGAGCCCGCACCATGGTGCCGAAGCTCCCGTCTTGCCTCCAACAACACCTGATTCAACCGCGATAGCTCTTCTTCCCTCGTTACGGGAGTGTCCGAATCTCCTTCCGTTCCACCTGTTCCCCTTTGTCCATCCTGCCCTACCCCTTTCTTCGCGCGCCCTCGTCGTCTAGGCAATTTCGGCGCAGCTGCAGGTCGGGAATATAGCTCCCGGACCTGCTCTTCTATTTCCCGCACACGGCTCTTCAAGGCTTCAACCTCGGATGATAGAGGCACTCCGCCATCCGTACTTGCATTCGTGTCTCTTCGATTCAGTTTGCGTGGTCGTCGCCGGGCGGTGGCAGGCGGGTCTGCTTGTTCGGAATGCTGGTTGCTGGTGGCATTTTGCGGTTCGGTCCGCTCTGGTGATGAGATACGCACTCCGCCCCCAGAACTGTCACGAGAGAGGTCAGGTTCGCGAGCTAGCTTCCGTGGTCTCCTCCGTTTCGGTGCCGTTTGAACTGCGTCTGAACCCCGCTGTGGAGCATCCGACTGTGGGGGAGCCTGATACGGCATGATGTTGACCCCGCTGCTGGGCCTTGGACTGACTACTTAGTTTTACTGTAGTTAACTAGTTATAGTTGTTACCTAAAGAATAGTCAAGACGGTCCTTCATTGTGCGGTATATTTGATGTGACCCCGGTCCCCATTGCCAGGTTTCTCCAACTTCAACATCAAGGCGGCTGATGACCTATGCCAAGCCGATGGTCGAATGCGGGCAAGGGTCGTCCCGCACATGCAAGGGAGGTGTAAATGTTCACCATTCTCATCAACCATCACGAGCTCGAAGCTGATGTTGTTGGGCTCACCTCTCGTCTCTTTTCGTTGAAAAACAGTTCTCTCTATATCTGCTACTAAGACATATCTCTATGTACTTATGACTAGGTACTCAGTAGAATGCAGATGAGAAATCGCCATGGCCACTTCTGATGAAGAGATCCTGCGCGATCCTTATCGACCTATCCCGTGTCTTCCAGGCGTAAGGCCAGTTATAGTTCAACAGTAATTGGTTCCCAATTTGTGAATACATGTACGATGGCATGCTAAGATATTGACAGGAGCAATAGCTTAGAGCGATCGATTTTCTTGGATAGACCTCTTTTCGGTCCACTCCTCTTTGAGAACAAGGACTCGGATGCTCGAGACAACTGCGCAAACGAGAGAAGTACGCCTTGAAATGCTAATATTTAAGATATGAGCTAATCTAACACGCCTTAGCTTTTCTTTCATGGCTTCGGTTGTCCGTCTACATGTCCATTGTGGCCGTCGCCATCGTGATATCCTTCCACCTCAAGACACAGCCTTCGGATATAGAGCTGCGGCTTTCCCTGCCCTTTGGGCTTGTCTTTTGGTTTCTATCATTGGCATGTCTAGTCTCTGGGGCGGCAAACTATATTAAAACAGTCACCAGGTACAGTCAACGGCAAGCCTTGGTACAGTCCGGATGGAAAACGCAGCTGGTCAGTCATTTTTCATTGTTACGTTTGATACTCGTGCTAACGAATGTTAGGTATTCACCATCGTTTCGGCAGCTATTGTTGCTGCTTGCGTACTGTTCCTATCAACCAATGCGAAAAACAAATGACATGTCGTCGATGCCTGGGATAATCCTTCTTAGACATGCGCCAATACAACGCCTAGTACATGACAATGCCGTCGTTATTCTAATCGCCTTCGCACTCACCAGTGAATCTCCAGGGTGTCTTGCTACCCAGCGACAAGAATGAATACATTACATATCAAGTATAGCCCAAGTGCTGTCGTCCACTGTCGTGAAGATCAGCCCCAATCCCGCAAGCTCCTCTGCAGCATCTTGTGTTTCTTTAAGGTTCATGCGCATCCTTGTGGCAAGGTCGTGGATGTGCAACCCTTCAGTAACGCCGGAACTTTGAATCTCAGCGAACAACTTCTTTGCGCGGGTCGACGACCCAGGTGGTACCTGGGGCCCGGTTCCGGTGTTCGTGGCATTGTTCATGTCGTTGTTCACTCCCGCATTCTGGGCGCCACTGGTGGCATTCTTTGGTATGCCGGACTTGTCGAGCGGGCCTTTGGTGAAATACATGTGTACGGAGGTCGCTTCGAGGAGGTGGTATTGGATCTCGTTCAGATCGGTAACCGCTCGGATGATGGTGGTACCAACATGCTTCTTGCCGTTGAACTCCTTCAGTTTTCCGAAGACGCGACAGTAGCCGTTCTCCACCAGCGCCGATGATTTCTTGCCCTCGGCATCCATCTCTTGTTTCTCCGTGTCCAACCAATACTTGACATCCAGTCCTCCGGTTCCATCCTCCACCTTGTATGTGACGTTCGTGGCTTGGGTCGAGATGTTGCGGATCTGGGCCACGAAAGTCACCTGGCCAATAGCGGCTCCGTCGATCTCGAACTGATCGTCTCCTAATGATTTGGCATCCAGTATTTGCTTGATCGTGACGGGTCGCAGAGTATCTTTTGCGTAGGCCTGGCTCTGTTAGGAATACTGCCGATTTCGCCTTGGATTACTAGCATCCTTACCTTGCTTGCACTGCCGGGACTTGTTTGGCTACCATTTGCCATAAATCCTCCTCCGCCAGCACCGCCTTGGGCGCCGTAAGACGTCGTAGAATACCCGCCTCCACCTCCGCCGCCACCGTAACCGAAATCTGCCAGACCCTATCAGTATTGCGGTTTAAACAAATAGCAGGTCAACTTACCCATTGTGATAAGAGGCCTGGCTAGTGGTGATGAATTTGAAATGAGGGATCCCGGCACGGAGCTCGAGGTTTGTATTGGGATGAGTTAACAAAGTTGAGATGATTTCCGATCTTCGTTGGTCCTTCGAAAACTTGAGGAGCGACAAGTCGGTGCCGCGTTGGGGGACGCGTTTCGACGCGATCCCCTCAATGTCACGTGATGATAAGATAGTTGCAAAAAAAAACCCATACCATCTCCAATCTCAACCTCGCAGAACGGGATCTGAATGATCACATAAAGACTCAGTCCATGATCTTTTATTACACTTCAAAACAAAATGGCTCCTAGAGCACCATCTCCGGCGCTTTCAGTCAATGAGTTTGATATAACAGATTCCTTATTTGGCAGTGGCAAGCAGCAGTTCGAAAGTGATGGCGATGCACGGCGTCTTAAATCGGACAATCCCAACTACCAAGAGCTGGGGGTTATCTTAGATGAAGATGGAAGTGATGATGAAAAATTCATTGCGGCGCAGCAAGCGGCTTCGAACCGAAAAGCGTCGAATCTCAAAGGAAGAACGGTCAAGAAAGGAGGAGGCTTTCAAGCTATGGGCCTCAACCAGCTGCTTATGAAAGCTATAGCACGAAAAGGCTTCTCTGTCCCTACTCCAATTCAGCGAAAAACCATTCCGTTACTCCTTGAAGGCAAAGATGTGGTGGGAATGGCGCGGACGGGATCTGGGAAAACAGCGGCCTTTGTCCTTCCGATGATCGAAAAGTTGAAGACTCATAGCGCAAAGGTGGGCTCGCGTGCGATGATTCTATCACCTTCACGAGAACTGGCGTTGCAGACATTGAAGGTCGTCAAAGAGCTTGGAAAAGGAACGGATCTTCGCACGGTGCTACTCGTTGGTGGCGACTCGCTTGACGAGCAATTCAGCGCTATGACAACGAATCCCGATATCATCATTGCCACCCCGGGTCGGTTGATGCATCTGAAAGTCGAAATGAGATTGGATTTATCATCTGTTCGATACGTTGTCTTCGATGAAGCTGACAGGCTGTTCGAGATGGGATTCGCTTCTCAGCTCCACGAAATCCTTGCTTCACTTCCGCCAGCGCGGCAGACATTGCTCTTTTCAGCAACACTCCCGAAGTCACTCGTGGAGTTCGCTCGAGCCGGATTGCAAGAACCGACCCTAGTCCGCCTGGATGCAGAGAGTAAGATCTCTCCCGATCTTCAGAGCGCCTTCTTCACGGTCAAAACTGCGGAACGTGAAGGGGCTTTGCTCTATATCCTTGAGGATATAATCAAAATGCCTCAAGGGCCCACGCCGCAGGCAATGAAGCTCAAAGAACCAAAATCAGAATCATCCGGGAAAAAGAGAAAGCGAGGCATCGACGCCCCATCTGCGAGCGAGTCGCCAACCGAACACTCTACGATCGTCTTTGTTGCAACTAAGCATTGCGTCGAGTACCTTGCGGCGCTCCTGAAAACATATGGATACGCGGTCTCTCATGCCTATGGCGCGTTGGATCAGACGGCGCGGAAGGTTCAGGTTCAAAACTTCAGAATGGGCTTGAGTCAAATCATGGTTGTCACCGACGTTGCGGCTCGTGGGATTGATATTCCGATCCTTGCAAACGTTATCAACTACAACATGCCTTCGCAACCGAAGATTTTCGTTCATCGCGTGGGACGAACTGCTCGTGCCGGGAAAAAAGGCTGGAGCTACAGTTTGGCGCGAGACGCCGATCTGCCTTACCTTCTCGACCTTCAGTTGTTCTTGAGCAGAAGGTTAATCGAAGGTCGAGAGAACGATGGCGATGTCAACTTTGCAAGCGACGTTGCGGTTGGAAGTCTTCCTAAAGAGAGGCTTGGAACTCATTGTGAGTGGGTTGGTCGACTCCTTGACGAAGATTTCGACGTACAAGCTCTCAAATCAACCTCAATGAAAGGCGAGCGTCAGTACGAAAGGACACGAAACGGCGCGTCCTCCCAGAGTGCCAAAAGATCGTCGATCTTGATGAAGAGCGGACACATCTCAACCTTGAATCCATTATTCTCTGACGAAAATCACGTTGAGGCGCTAAAACGGGAGAAGATGATGGCCCTTGTTAGTGGATTCCGACCTCAAGAAACAGTATTCGAGTTCGGTGGCAAAAAGGGGGAAGTGAGTGAAGTGGCTGAGATTGCCAAACGGCGACGCCAGTCCATCCAAGCACGGAAGCAAAAGCAAGAGGTGATCACCGAGGCGGAAGTATCGATCGATGAGGACTCGCCTGAAAGTCCTTCAATGACCATTTCTCGGCTTGAAGAAGCCATCGAGCCGGTGGAGCCGGAGGTCGATATCATGTCAGATGATGATATGGAAGTGTCAATATCCAATTCTCAGAATCCGAAGACGGGAGGCGGTGAAGAAAGCTGGCGAGATGACGAGAACTTCCTCACCTACCAACCGAAATCACTCAATTTGGCAGAAGACCAAGGCTACGGCGTTCAGTCTGGGACGCAATCATCACGACATCCTGTCACTTTCCTCGAACAAGCTCGTGGGGCAACGCTTGATCTTGTGAATGATGAGTCGAAAGGCTTCGCTGAGGCCAGCAAAGTCCGGCTCGTCAAATGGGATAAGAAAGCCAAAAAGTACGTCAAGCGAAGCGTGGATGACGATGGTTCTGGGGACAAGAAGATGATCCGGGGTGAAAGTGGTCTCAAGCTTGCTGCCAGTTTCCGCAGCGGCCGCTTCGATGAATGGAAGAAATCCAACCGGATCGGAAGACTACCTCGTATTGGCGAGGCGGAAGTGACTTCGAAGGCTCGCAATGGACCCCATGGCGACAAGCGCTTCAAACACAATTCCGAAAAGGCGCCAAAAGAAGCCGATCGATTCCGAGACGACTATCACACGCAAAAGCAGAAGGTGGTCGAAGCCAAGGAGAAGCGCATTGGCAAATTCAAGGACGGCGTGGGTAAGAGTGAGGTTCGAAACGTCGATGCGATACGGAAGCAGAGAAAGGTCAAGGAGCGACGCAAGGAAAAGAATGCCAGGCCAGCCAAAAAGAGAAGGACCTAAACATCCATTTCTAGTCAATATCTCCTATTGTAGGTGGCGATAGAGTGACTTGCTCTCACCATTGGATGCTCTAGACCTCAGACGAGCGTTTTTAAATACTTTATACACTCGAATTAAGTTTTTTTCAATAACTCAAGCCATTGGCGTCATAAACAACAGTCGAGAAACGGAGGACTAGGTCGTCATTCTCTTTTTCTATCGCTCTGCAATTCGCCCAGCAATTGCCTGGGGACATTCGACGGTGATCCTGATCTTCGTCGAGCCGAGTCTCAAGAGGAAGGTTTTCATAACCTGGGAAATAAATGCCAGACCAGTTCAACGCTTTTGAAATCAATTCTGCCTTAAAGTCTCCCCAGAAATAATCAATCTCGGATGCCGCTTGGCAATATCATTCGGTGCCACTGTGGCTGCCCTATGGTTTAGCTCCCGCTCGATAGTCCTACGGAGATCAGAAACCGACCCCACGCATGCAGGAACAGGACGGGATCTCACATTATGGTGGCGCAGTCAAGTGTCACGGTGTCTGTCAGCGCGGGCTTCGCTTTTGACTTGGAATCAGGAATCTCGTGTTCTGTGTAAGCTTTCGATTACGAACGGCGTACCCAGCTTTGTCAAACTTGGATCGGGACTTTTCATCAGGGGTGAGGTCAGAGGTGGAAATTTGTCCAACCAATGCGCCAGTTTCAGTGATGTTTTCATACCGATAATCGCCCTGTCCGGTCCGAGAGCCGCTTCATTCTAGCGCTAATCAAAATATATTGGAACTGTCAATAGTTTCAATATTAACATTCATGAACCTTACATACCTCATTACCTGCCGTACTCTGACTGGGCCCGGTTCAGAATTTGCACCGTCATCCCGTCAATAATGCCCAATAGCGTCGACATAACACACGGGCCTTGTTCACTGTTCAGGTTTCCAGGTCTGTGGCAGAGCGGCGGAGCCACGCGAACATGCTGGGAACATTCGGGGGTTCAAGGCGCATCGAATATCCGCGTGGCTGCTTTCACCAAGAACAAAATCAATTATTAAACCCACGGCTCACGAGTTTACGAAGACAAGATTCTCATCGTTTCTCTCTGCTTGATTCCAAATTATCTCTCCCCATACAAAGGAACCCTAGGATACCCCGAGAAGTTGAACTGCCCTAAAAGAGGAAATCCCCTGCCACTTCGAATCTCTGATGTTCATGATCTTCCGAACTCCACGACATTCATCCGGATCGACTCAGCATCCACCTGCTTTTATCAGCCATGAATGTATCACTCCCCACAGGACACGGATCTTCGGGCCTTTTTTTCCTCCCGCAACCCAGAGAACGTTCAGCTGTCAGTATCGAACTGTTGACTGTTGAGACCTTTGCGCCTTGAGGGTCTCAATATTAAGTTTTTCCCAGCTCTCCAGACTCCAAGTCCTAAGTAAAATGACGTAGCGCAAATACCGGTAATAAATGGGCAAGATTAACAAAATTTTCCCGAGTGAGCTGCTTAGGGACACAGGCAGTGATTGTGGAGGTCGGGAATTCGGGACACGAGAAGTGCCCACTTTCCAGCGCCGACTCCCAACTACGAGGCCTTTTTTGCGGCCAGTCGAACAAGAGATACCTAGCCAGATTCCGCAGGTATGAACATCTCTCCCCCAGTAATTCCCCTGAGGCTGAAATGGGTTGTCACCTTGTCCATGCGCGATGGCTTATGAACTATTGGAGGATCTGCAGCATCAGGTCCCTTGCTCTGGGTCCATGGGATGACAATCCAGAAAACGGATCTGACTCCGGAAAATTATTTTGTGCAAACTGCAAAGTATCATCCTACTTTAAGGGCCAAAGCCGGAAGACGCATGGGAATTGGGAATCAACTAACGTTTGTGAATCACTGAAACTGAAACTTTGGATATCTTTCCTCCGATATCAATGGCTGTTTGATCGGAAAAATTCTTCGATTTTGACGGAAGGATCAGATTATGCAGGATGGGCTTGAGTCTAACCAAAATTGGCAAGTAGACAGATGCCCTGCGGGCTGCGGATGCAAACGCATATCTTCGCTCGTCCGCCGACCACCACATACCGGCATGAGTAGCAGCACTATAATTGAACAGTTCGGGGCAGAGAACATGTGAGGCTTAGGTATGGCTTTATCACCTCAATTAGTCAACCTAGAGATATTATTCCGGAAAGTCTCACATTGGCCCCTTTTGTTTGCAGGGACGCCTGGTCAAGACGTCACCAAAAGTCCCTGGACAATACTCGACTGTTGCACCAGCGAAGTTGCCAGCCGTTGGATGTGGGCGTTTGGCGGGTGCCGAACTCGCTAAATCGTTAGACCAGGAACCTTACCAAGCTCCAAGGGTTATATAGGAATATTGGTGGTGCAACAGGTTGGAGATTTTGCTGATGCCAGGATTTTATCGTTCACAATTCACAATTGCCAGAATGAGGCACTGAATTCAATCACCATGAAGCCTTCGTGTCGAAGGGGTACGGTCCATATATAGCATTGCAGCTTTACAGGCCTCGTACTCAGCATCTTCTCTCTCTTTAGATTTCTTCCTAGACGACTTCGGTGCCATCAGTTCCACGCCTGTATCGGACATCGGTGGGCTACGCATGTGGTGAGCGATGACGGGATTAATGACCATTGCAGGGGATCCGCGCGATATTAAACCTTCCAGCTTATGAGCGTCCTTCCCTTTTTCTCTGCATTTACGAGAAATATATTGGCACATGGACAGGTACTCGGGAATTATGCAGAGGTCAACTCTCTGGTTGTCGAACTCTTCTGGAGTTTCGTGTGACATAACTGGAGACTCTTTCGTTTGTGTCGACTTGTCCTATTTCCTCGCATCGGAGAGCTTCCAGGGTCCGCATCACCGTTTCTGCAATGTCACTCCTCTTATTACTGGGATTGCTCACACAACCTCGGCCTCTATCGATGCTTTGAATCCAACACACAAATTTTTCGTGCAAAGATGGAGTTGTTTCAAGACCTGGGACCCGGTTGGCAGACTCCGGAGCGTGCGCATGGCCTCATGCCTCGGAGTTTTATCATCTCGATCATTTTCCCTCACAGGACAGGGTCCATCCCGCATAGAGTGCATACGAGGTCTTTGAGCCACATGTCTTTGATGAGATTTTTCGATGCATGGCTTTCAGCACGACCATGGTCACCAGAACGAACGCATGAGCGGTGGCGTCATCAGCGGTCTCTTAACATTGAGCATGGATGACCTCGAGTGCTCGACCAGGATCGAAGCGTCGAACCGGGTTCGGATATATTACATGTGTTACAATAATAGTATCGCAATATCGGAATGCCTGGTCGGGAAGGTAACCGAAAGCTCAATGGGCCCGGTAGCCAGGAATCGCGATATTAATTCGCTTCAAGGGAGTCGGCGCGGGGCACGATCGCTGCAAACCGACCGGGTGAAGGTGTCTCATGTGGTGATTTGGAAAAGTTTCCTTGTGCAGTCTCGGGCGGAGCTTTATCCCTTCACCTACAGAAGCGGGACGGTTGGTGATGTTGGCAACGGCCGAACGTTGAACCAAGACCAGAGTAAATGCTCGAACGGTACTCCGTACCTGGAACAATTTTCCGATAGACAGGCGAGAAATTGGCTCAATGATCAGTGATGGAACGTGGATAAGATGTCATGAGAATCAATCGCTCTCAATGTCAACGCTTGTTCTCTGTCTTCAGACTAGAAGGGATCATGAAAAATCAATCTATCTTCGGATCCAAGAACCGCATCTGGGCCCTCGCCGCTGCTTCCCTAGTTCTTATCAGCATCTCTGGTTATATTAATATGTCTATATTAATATAAAAACGGTCTGTTCGACCCGATCTATGCTGGGTTCCCTGGACGACAACGTCGTCGGGGTCGAGAAGGTTGCTCGACCTATGGATTCGATAGCTACGGGTTTGTGATCAACTGGTTATACGGAAATACTAATTATCCTATCGAGGTCCGTCTGAACGGACAAAGGTTGAAGGCAAAATGTCTGGCCATCCTCAACTGTCTCTGAAACGCACCAGTGGAGCTCGGGGGTTATAATTCAGAAGCCCGAGGCCCATCGTTCGGCCAGCCTTCAGAGTTCAGATGGGAGAATCAGAGGGTTGAAGCTCGAATCGCACATGTAAGAGCGGTCCGAATACTGACTTGACATTCATCTTCCGGCTGCGAATGTAGATGGACCGGTATTCGATGGACCTTGACGAGAAATCCACAGTCGGACCATTTCCAACGATCTGCGACAGGATCAACCACCAATCAATCAGTTTACGTCAAGCGACAAGCGGGTCTGTGACTCTGTATTTTGTGCGACACGGGTAGAAACAATAGCCCCACACAATTTGGTCCGCGACATAGACGTTTAAATTGATTCAAAAACAGGACGCATTCACGGGATGGAAGAAGGTCTGGCCAACTCGGTTCCGTTCTGAAGGGACCAAGAAGTCCGGTGCATCCGAAAACCGCTGATATGGGAGGCGAGAGTGTCTCAAATTGATAGACCTGCGAGGCTTGGGATGGGTCATTCGGAGAGGTGTGATAACAGGTTGCATACAATCCGGGGTCGAGCAGAGTGATCCTTCTCACAACTGTGCATGAAGCGCATCTGCTGCTGCATTTGCCTTTCAGAGTATCATTTGATATTAGCACCGGACTCGAGCGATGGTGGCTGATAGGACTTAGGAGGGCAGATCAGCATATCACACTCCTCCATTTCGGTACCACGAGACCTGCAGCCTATGCACACAACCTCCGGCGATGTAGACCCTGCACAAAGGCCGAGCGAAGTGCCTGTTTCGGTCAATTTGGCTTGAAGCTGCAATGGTCACTCGTTCGCCAGGCATCTGGCTTGTAGGATGTTTCCTAGGAAAGCAAGTCGACACTCGAAAGCAGAATGACGACTGGCAAGGTCAGAATTTCAGATTGAGGAAATGTCCAGAAATCGGCACGACAAGGACTCACTCCTACATTAGCTCCCGTACCTCACCGTCCCTTGAAAAAGGAATTTGGCTTCTTTGTCTAGCGCTGATCAGCGTTGGTGGCTTCCTAGTTCCTCGGCCTCACTCCGTCGGAGACCCCACAATGCAAGCGTTATTGCTTCCTGCAGCATCAGATCTCAGGGTGCGAGGGTGAGTTAGTGACTGTCTCGTCGTCAAGTCCACATGTCACCAAACAAGACCGGAGTCATGAAAAATGGTACAGATCTCAAATCAATAACCATGGCGATCGATGATCATGGAGATTGCTCCATCGGCATCAAATCTTGAGGTTGCCTTAGCAGAAGCCGAGTCATAGATCATGATACCATATTCCTAAATACTAGTCCGAAGAGTCAAGATCTCCCTTTGATAACCTCGATGTGTCGAAGGAGGCGTCAGACTAGGAAATAGGAAGATTCAACCACCTCCGGAAGAATGCTAACAACCCTTGCACTGCCGGTTTACTGCCGCTTTAGAGACGAGCCGACCGGGCTATTGAATTGCCAATCTGAATGTATGATTGGAAGCGCCATGCGAGCGTCTGCCGGTTCGTCTGTGAGGTTCTCGGCCTCCAGGGTTTCGCTACGGTATGGCTGTATGGATAATGAGAAACTGGAACAGGGCTACCCATTTAACCCAAGTACCCAGTAAACGTCGAACCAGGTTCAAAATGCACGGCTTGTGTTTTTGACAGGCTGGCCTTTACCGTATCCGTCGGAACGCCGTTCATGCATCGATAAAAAGCCGATCGACGGATCCAATAGGCCCAATTCGATAACTCGCACGTACCACTAATGGCCATCCGGACACCATGCTCTTTTGGTGATGTTCGCAGGGCTATTTGACAACCTGACCGAGCTCAAGCCACTTGTTTTCAACCTGAACTGTACGGTAGTCGGTATTATTAACAGGATATTTGATATTACCGTTCAGAGGTTAGACATCTGGTAAGTTCTCAGTCGTGTCCGTGTGAGCGCCGCTGTTCTATTGTTCACTTGGCCCTCTTCTCCTCCTCCTCCTCCCTCCTCAATTCCCCCCCTCAAGAACATCTGGTCGATCCTAACGGCCGGGTTCGTTACCGACGACGACCGCCTGAAACGAGCCACAAAGGTACTATGCTCATCATTCTGTTCCACTCTCATATCATCGAGGCATGGACAAGTGGTGCCACTCCAAATGCCCTTATATCACCCCGCTCACAAGCGGACGGTACTCCATGCTCCCCAGTCCCCACCACTACCTGGAATTCTCTCCGACGGGCCCATAAAGCTTACAGACTGAGTATGGCACCCGTTCCCGCGGGCGTTTTCCTGTCAATGATCTGCATGTCGCTGACTAGGCGAGATCTGTGAACCCAACCTTTGTCCTAGTGAACCACTGCGTGCCAACCGATCTGGGTATTTAGTATTGCATGCATTCCACTCTCACAGGGGTCCGAATACAGCTCCTCTCTTTCCTCTCTTGTCATTCACCTGCTCTTACTTCATTTCCTCCCTATCGACTATCGAGTCGCTCTCTCATTATCTGGAGGCGCCAAAAGCCCACCGCGCCGGGTCTCCCAGCCGCCTTCATCTCCCTTTTCAGTATTCATCGATTTCTCTGGAGTGGTTCGATGTCCCAGTTCCGCCTCATCCAATTAGCCTAGGTCGTGGCACACCGACCGGCTTATCAGATAGTAACATCCACTTGCCCGGAGTGGTGCCATTTGCAAATATCTTCCAGCGCGGCACTCTGCCGCAGTAGATGTTCACTTGTCCAAGTAAGAACTGCAATTCCATTTATGTCCTGGCGCTTTCGGCGACATTTGTTGCGGTCTATAAGTCAAGAACGTTGTTTAATATCTGCGTTTAAGTGTCGGCGTGAGGGTCAGGCTCTGATGGATCGTAGCTTATATTCCCTACCAATCCTGTTAGGCGTTAGCAACAGAACAACTTTACTATCTGGTCCGTATATATTCAACACCCCACCTCCCTTCCACGGACCGCTGGATCTCGAGATATATATCACCGTCATTGGCTCCTGCCGATTCCAGGAAGGACTGGCGATTTCGATACTACTGGAGTGCCAAAGCAAGGAAACCCCTGGTGGAAAGTTTGCGACTTCCTAACGACGGCGGGACCGCAATCGACTGTGGATATGCATATCTCGTCCTTAACCAACGAACTATTTCTGCCTCAGCCATCAGCGGGGCACGGTTGGGTTGTCGAAACTCCAGTGAGAAGCAAGAAGACGTCGGAACGGTTGAGGACGGTGTCGGAGTCGCTTTCGTATCCCTCCCCTCCTATGTCCGAGCCACCGTCTCCAGTCAGATATCCGGCCTCGATTGCTGCAGACATACCGTCCGACTCCCCCCGGGCCCGAGAACTGGAGCAGAGGAGGTGGCAGAGTTCCTTTCAGCTCCCACCGACGTCTGCCCCGCAAGTACCAGCTCATGCCGCAGCTCTTCCGCAACCTCCCAGGACATCTCTTCCGGGGCCCGCAACGGACCAATTGAGACCTGCTACCGCAACTGCCACCGCTCATCTGGCAACCGCTCATCTGGCTCCTGCACCATTTGGGGCGTACGGGCCAACTGCGGCTCCGGCGCAAATGTCGACGATCCAGGCCACCGGGCAATTCCAGGGGCCACTCATCCGGCCCGGGCGAGCAAGGAAAATGCCCAGTATGAAGAAGGCCAACGTCGCAGCTGCATGCGTCAACTGCCGGCGGGCTCATTTAAGTTGTGATGTTAATCGACCATGTGGGCGGTGCGTGACGTCAGGGAAACAGGTACGGACTCCCTCATGCTCTTGACAATACAGGGACACTGACTCCTCGGAATGAACAGGATACCTGCGTGGATGTCGAACACAAGAAACGCGGCAGACCGCGGTTACGTGACCGAGAGCCTGGTGAAGCTGTACCGGAAGTCGGTATTCCCCAGCTGCAACCTCTCTCCGCAGGGGCAGCGGCAGAGCAACTTCCCACTCCATCGGGGCGAAGATCAAGATTGCGATCACGGCCTCAGAGTATCAGCTCACTAGCCGAAATCACACAAGGCGCGATACATCAGCTTGGAGGCTATTTGCGGTCGCACATAGGCCCGGCACCAGCAGTGCAAACGCCCCCACAAGCGCCTCGAGGCCTCGAGGCCGACGCCAGCAATCCCGTAGCATTCCTCGACCTGAATCTGCAGATCCTGAAAACAAACCAGGCGTTTCGGGACTGCACATATGGCCCAGGGGATCCGCGGGGGCGCGAGCTGGCCTACTTGGTCCAAAGCCAGTGTATTCCGCAATTGCAGCGCCTCCAGAGCGACCTGCGTGTGGAACGGGCGGAGCGCGATCCCACTCACCTGCCGCCGATCGGGTCGAGCGACGGAGAGAGAGCGGTTTCCGATGTTGAGGAGGGGGATATTGCGCGGATTACGCAAGGGTTCACGGAGCGGAGGGACATTTGGAGGTTTATCCTATCAGGTGAGAACGCGGCTGCCTTGCCGGTACAGATATCGCTGGCACGGACAACGACCTTCTTCGTAGTGCTCGTGTTGCCACGTATGCCTCCGCCGAGAGGAAGGCCCTTCGAGACCCCCTCACATATGTCTCAGCAGGGCTTCGCGCCTAGACAAACTGTTAGCGGTGAACCAAGTGGCCCTGCATTCTCCAGCCCTCACTCTCCCTTTACGTCGATCCACGCCACTGCGACAACACTACCTCCTACGCCGGGAACGATTCCTTTCAGCCCATCAGCAACAACCCGACCCGAGCAACATGGCCAAGAAAGCCGCCCGACCTCTCGCCGAGCTGAGCAACTTCCACCTCCGAATCCATTCCATCAAGTTTCCTTACCACCACCGCCACAAGCCGCCACCTCCTCCCGAAGTCCAGTCCATGACCTCCTCAATTCGTTCGACCACCAGCAACGATCAGCCGCCGAGAGTTCGAGCGTCACAGCGCAACAACCCAGCCCGGAGACAAGCCGTCGAAGAGAACGAGAGCCATCGGCCACGGGGTCGCAACCGGACCATGACGACGGGCGCAAACGGCGGCGACTGAACATCGACGAAGTATTGGATTGAACGAAGAATGATATGAGGAAAAGATATCTTGCAATAGGAGCATTGGAGCGCGAGTGATGCATTTAATAGAACCGAGAGAAGCAAGGAAAGTCGTGGATGATGCGACGGGATGGATCCATTCAGCAAAGGACGGATAGTGCCAAATATTGGGATTGCCGCATATATTTGGCCGTCTAGTCTATACATACGTTTAATTATTCGGTTCATGGAAGCGTCATTGTAATTGCATTGGCGGAGAGGGGAGTTGGCATTCTGATATCCTGGGTTAAGGCAAGGCATCATGGGAATGTATATCAACATCTTTCAAGATACGAAGTGTATAACAGCGCTCGCAATATAAGAGGAGGGGATAGAATGATTACACACGGGAACGTATGTGCAATATCTAGTTTATATGACCGCGATATGATGGCAGCCCTAAGCACCCATTCAGGGTGGTGCAGCCGGGAACAAGATTAATCACCGAGCCGCTGATCACCAGTCCCCGAACTTCTGCACCGTCCGATAGTGACACAAGAACGGTCGACCAAGACGGCAAAGTACAACGAAACCGGGGAATATCCAACCGATGATCAAGATGTATCGCTGATTCCTTAGGGGTTGTACAGGCTGGACGATCGCATCCCTGGCGCGATGTTGTGCGTCGATTTGGAGAATTTTCTGGCGTGGCTCCATGCATACCGCGGTTCATGCAGGCCAGATGTTGTCGCCCAGCATGGCCTTGGGAGGTTATCTTATTAGACGGATTGGACGGATCGCAGACCTATTCCGTGTAAATATTGCGACGGGATGTCATCCTCTTGTATATTAGTGTAGCTGCACATGCGAGGTATAGTCAAGCTTGGGAACCCAACCTCAATATCCCTGATAACTTCCACGTGCGTACTATCACATCAGTAGAGGGAGCGGTAGGAATTACTCCTAGCAAAACCTCATATGGTTTGTCCATGAGACTTCCATGAATGATACCGCGATCGTCTCAACCATTGAGACGTCACGAGTCTATGTTGGCTCTAAGTCCACGAGGAAAACTTATCGTTCTCCACAGGAACGAGCCCCCAAGCGCCCATCGCCATGCAAAGCAAGTAACCAGCAAAACGCTCCCTATCACCCCAGCACCTTCAGCTTTTTCTTTTTCTTCCCCCCCTCCTTCGGCTTCCCCTTCTGAAAGTCCCGCCAACTCTCTATCCGCTTCTCCCTCGTCTGCTCCCAACTCTGCTCATGCTCCCGTTTCCGCTTCCGCTCCGCGATCTCCTCCTCCTCCTTCTTCTGCTCCCGCCCCTCCTCCTGCATCTGCGCCTTCAGCTGCTTCCGCCGCCGCACCTCGTTGTCCATCAGCACCATTTTCGTCTTCTCGCGCCACGCCTTGCGGAACTCCGCGTCCGGATCCTTGACTTCCGGGCTGTCGACCGTGAGCTTGCGGTCGCGCATGAGGAGCATGCGCGCGTCGGCGATCGCTTCGTCGAGCCGCTCGCGGAGCTTCTCGTCCATTAGTTCGGTTTGCGCTTTCTTGAGGCGGTCGAAGGCGTCTGGGGCGAGGGGGTTGGAGGTCTTGTCTGGATGGATGAGGAGGGATTTTTTGCGGTAGGTGAGCTTGATTGCGGATTCGGGGACACCGGGTTGGAGGTCGAGGACCGCATATGCGTCGAGTCGGAAGGCGTTGAGGATTCCTAGGCCATCGGGTTAGATCTGCGGCCAATAGATCTCGCGTCGATAAGAGGTAGGGGGGGTATTACTGTCAATCTCGGCATCCTAGGAGAGCAGCTGGTCAGTAACAGCACTACCGCAAAGCGTAAGACTTGTAATTATGCTCACGAACCTTATCGAATTCCTTGGATTCTCGCTCCAGCGCATCGAGGATGTCCTTATCGTCGTCTTCAGCCATGCTTAAGTGGGTTCGGAGGTGTTCTGTAAGTGGACGAGGGAGTGAGACCTAGTAGATGGCTCATTCACAAGAGAAACCTGGCGCGTAAAGTAGAATATAGCGATGTCTTCCTAGACAGATATGCAATATCAAGAACATATCAGGACTGAGACGGGCCGCCCCTCACTGGGTCGCTGCAGGTGGGCCCCCTGCTGTGGCTCACCACCCAGACGACCTATGGTCTGCGCCACCTAAATTTTCTTGACCATCACTGCAGATCTGATATCCGCGAATGTCCACTGAAATCTGCCCGTGATTTTATTGCCACAAAGATTCGCTTGACGAAGAAGGCTACCGAGGATCTCGGAATTGGGTTTTAGCAAGTTCCGTGTAGGAAAGGTCCAACTCATCAGGGAATCCTCAACACCGGCACCATGGGGAATCGAGTCGAGAAGAGCCAGCAGAAGAAGAAACGGGGAGCAGGTTTCGGTCAAAGCAAGCGGAAAACGGACCATACCCAGATTGAAAAGCTAGAGAAGGCCATTAACGAGCTTGTAAGTCATCCAAGATTGTTCCAATTGCCTGATATCTGACTCTCCGCAGGACCCCAAAGAGGATTCATTCAAAGATTTCGCTGACCTTCCGATTTCCGACATTACCAAAGAAGGCATAAAAGCCAATCACTACTCAGTGCTCACCGACATCCAGGCCAAGGCCATCCCATATGGGCTGAAGGGATCCGACATACTTGGAGCTGCGAAGACCGGGAGCGGCAAGACCCTAGCATTCGTCATTCCGGTGCTAGAGAACCTCTACCGCGCACAATGCATAGGGAAAGATGCTGGCCTAGGCGCGATGATCATCTCGCCGACGAGGGAATTGGCGATCCAAATATTCGAAGTGCTCTACCGGATTGGACGAAAGGGACATCTTTTCGCCGCTGGACTCGTCATCGGAGGGAAGCACTTGAGAGAAGAGCAGGATGCGCTCGTGCGGATGAACATCGTGGTCTGCACACCTGGTCGCATACTTCAACATTTATCCCAGACGGTCAATTTCAACGTGGATAACCTTCGGATGCTGGTTCTAGACGAAGCGGACCGTATCCTCGACATGGGTTTCCAGAGAGATGTGGATGCGATTATCGACTACCTGCCCAAAGAAAGGCAGACAATGCTATTCAGCGCAACCCAGACCAAGCGAGTATCCGATTTGGCAAGGTTAAGTCTCCAAGACCCGGAATACATTTCAGTTCACGAAGCAGCCACGGCCGCAACTCCGCAATCGCTTCAACAGAATTACGTCGTCGCACCGTTACCGGAGAAACTCGATACCTTGTGGAGTTTCTTGCAGACGGCGAAAAAGTCAAAGATCATCGTGTTCCTGTCTTCAGGGAAGCAGGTTCGATTCGTATATGAGAGCTTCCGCAAGATGCAACCCGGCATCCCACTGCTGCATCTCCATGGACGACAGAAGCAATTTGCAAGGCATGATATCACCTCAAGATTTGCCAAAGACAAGACGTGCTGTCTGTTTGCGACCGATGTGGTTGCGCGAGGCATTGACTTCCCTGCTGTCGACTGGGTTGTCCAGGTCGATTGCCCCGAGGACGCCGACACTTACATTCATCGCGTCGGGCGAACCGCAAGATACGAGCGAAATGGTCGAGCCATTCTGTTCCTCGACCCCACCGAAGAGGAAGGGATGGTGAAGCGTTTAGAGCACAAGAAAGTGCCGATTGAGAAGATCAACATCAAGGAGAAGAAGCAGAAGAGCATCAAGGATCAGTTGCAGAACTTGTGTTTCAAAGATCCGCAACTGAAATACCTCGGACAGAAGGCGTTCAGCTCCTACGTCCGATCCATCTACGTCCAGAAAGACAAAGAGGTGTTCAAACTGGGAGAGCTACCTCTGGAAGAATTCGCGGCCAGCCTCGGTCTTCCCGGCGCCCCCCGAGTGAAGTTTATGGAAGGAGACGACATGAAATCTATCAAGAATGCCCCGAGACGCGGCATGTCTCCTTCCGAGGACGACACCGAGGAAGAAGAGAACGATGCTAAAGATGCCAAAGGAAAGGCAAAGGTGCGGACTAGGTACGACCGTATGTTTGAGCGGCGTAATCAAGACATTCTGGCGGATCACTATACCAAGCTCATCCGGCCGGATGAAGAAGTAGACGAGTCAAAGCTGGCGGAAGACTTCAATGGGGAGGCCGTCCAGGACGACTCCTTCATGACTGTGAAACGACGCATCGCTGTCGACGAGGACGGTATTGGTGCGTCGTCATCAGACGAAGAGGACGCCGCTTCGGGTGGAGCCGGGCTCCCCGTGAAGAAAGTGGTGGCCCTTGCCGGCGCTAAAGAACCGCTGCTCATCGACTCCAAACGACGGGAGAAGCTGCTGAAATCGAAGAAAAAGTTGCTGAACTTCAAAGACCACGGCAAAAAGATCATCTTCGATGACGACGGCAAACCGCATGAGGTGTATGAGCTGGAAGACATCGACACGTTCAAGGCGAAGGGTGGGGCTGAGGAGCAGCGGAAGACCTTCTTGGACGCGGAGAGGCAGCGGGTGCAGCTGGCGGATGTGGAGGACAAGGCGATGGCGAAGCAGAAGCGGAAGGACAAGCGGGAGAAGCAGCGAGAGCGGGAGCGGGAGGAGTTTGAAGAAGAAGCGAACGAGGAGGAGGAGTTCGGGGTTCAGCTAGGTGATCGGCATGCTCGACATATTCCGGTCGATCTGGGATCGGATGAATCGGACGAGGAGGTTGAGGCGCCTGTGAAACCAGCTAAGAGGCCGAAGAAGTGGTTCGAGGACAGCGATGAGGAAGAGGGTGGTAAGCCTAGCAAGAAGCGGAGGAAGCAGATGGATAATGCCCCTGAGACTTTGGAGGACTTGGAGGCTCTGGCTGCCGGGTTTCTGGGAGGGAAATAGGGTTAGTCATGATTGTAGACATGCATTGAAATTTCATGAGAACTTCAATAAGACCCATTAAAGCCGTTAAATGAATTGATCCGATGTATTACTTCATATTTCTGTGAATTCCTCTATCCTCGTCCAATGGTTGATCTTCCTCGTCGTCGTAGCTGCCCAATATTAGCACATTTGGCAAATATCGCCCACCGTAACGCATCGCAACCTCCATCCAAAGTTTTGTGAAGACCAACCCTGAGAATCTCGCTGCATGGTATTGTACCTGCATCCGCCTCGTCACGATCATGGCCTCATTATTTTCCAAAGCTCTTCGGAGGCCCCAAACATTATTCGTCCAGAACCAATGGATATGGCGAACGCCCGCGATCCGGGCCGCCTCGACGGTTGAGAGCGACCCTAAAGCCCGACCAGCAAAACGAGAAGCTGAAGAGGAGGGGATCCGTGAACAGCTCGAATCCCTCGAGATCGGTTCAAAATTCACGCCCGAACAAGATGCTGCCCGTGCCGCGAGGCAGGCCGCAAGACGAGAAGCGAAAGAGGCTCGAATGCGTGAAAAGCTCGATCCCAACTACCAGGCCGAGCAAGAAGCCCTCCGCGCCGCCAGAGAACAAGCCAAAGCCGACGCTGACGCGGAGCGACTCCGTGCGAAGCTCGAATCCATCGGTATCCCCGAAGCGCCCTTCTTCATGGGCCAGAAAGAAGTCTACCTGTCCGTGTCCCCCTCCCAAATATTCTGCATCCACATCACTAACCTCTTCTAGCCCCAACATCCGCATCGCCCTCCTCAAAACCCCCCAACACCCCCCCTCGTTCGCCAAGTTCCTCGTCCCCCTCACCTGGAACAAGCTAGACCTGCGCGACTACCTCTGGAACGTGTACGGGGTGCACGCGGTGCGCGTGCGCGTGTACGTCCAGCTGCAGCGCGTGCGCATGGACAAACCGCGTGAGAAGTACCCGGCGGCGCGCCGCTGGTTCCGGCCGCAGAGCAAGAAGTTTATGACGATCGAGATGGATGAGCCGTTTTATTGGCCGCCGGACCCGGAGGATTTCGTGGAGTATGTATTCCTTTTCTCTTACCATTCTTGGAGCCGACACTGCGGGTTTGGAGATCATTTTCCGGATTGGATACGATTGGAGGGAAATAAACTGACGTGAATCGTTCCATAGGTGGGATAAGGACACGTTCGACGCGGCGAACAAGACGAAGATCAAGGAACGAGACTCGCGGATGCCGATCGGGGCGATGGAGAAACCGGCGGGGGCGGCGGACCTGCGGGCGCTGGCGAAGAAGTTTGTGACCGGGTCGGAGAAGTGGACGCCGCCGACGGATCCGTTTGGTCTGGATCGGCATCTGAAGAAGTAGTTGATGTGAGCAGGGTGATTGAGAGGACGGGTGGAGGGTTGTATGATAACAGGAAGGGTCTTGCTGATGGTGGGCGGACATGCATCGTGGTTGGGTTCGAAACGGTGTATGGACTGGCCGTCGACTTGTACGATACACAGGGATTGAAGGTGGTCAGGATGAGGTACATTACTGTTGTCGCTGGATACTGGTCATAAACCGATGAGGGGCCATCACACCCCTGAAGCTGCTCTTGGTACATGATGGGACCATTGGTACGTCTACGAGATATTCAGTCCGAGATATATAGAATCTAGGATGGTATCTGCACGATTGACTCCGTCATTGCGGTAAATGTAAGGTAGCTCAAGCTTGACTACCGCTGTTACATTTGTTGCCTTATGGACGCTACGTCGGTCCTAAATCCTACGAATCTAACGAGTTATCCAAGCATGTCGCTCAAATTGCTCTACTCGTATATCGACAACCATAACCCGTCATGCCACTAGCTTCACCTCCGCCTTCTTGATCGTGTCCCTCGCGGTCGTAATCCGTAATCCCATCCTACATCGGTCAGCCACATTCCGCACCACCAGAAGTCGAGCCAATCACTTACCTCGCATCAAGATCATACGCCTCCCAATTCGCCACCTTCTCCAACCACTCCTTACACTCCGCCAACTTCCCCCTCCGCGCCGCCTCCCCCTCTACCTCCATATCCCCCCACTCCTCCCACCGGATAATCGCCATCTCATAATGCGCCAACGGCAGCGACCAATTATCCTTGTTCCCCCCCTTAAATGCCGACCACGGCTCTCCCAACACGTTCTCCCTCAGCCCCACCTCCGCCTCCTCCGTCCGCCCCAAACTCCGCAACGTCGCGCTTTTGAGTACCGCCATCACCCCCTTCTCATCCACCTCCTCCTCATCCCAGGGCACGGCGCCGGCGCCGGCCTCGCTCCACGCCAGCCGCTCGAGCGACGTAGCCAGGTGCTCGGGGCGCATGCGGCGGTAACCGTTCCAGAAGTAAATCATCTCCTCGAAGGGGGAGACGCCGGCAGCGGCGACGAGGGGGACGGAGAGGGCGGTGGCGCGGGATTGCCATTTGGTGAGCTTGCGGGCGACGAAGATGTCGAAGGGGAGGGGGCGGGAGAGGAGTTTGCGGGCGGAGGCGTTTTTGGGGATTTTGGAGAGGAGGGATTCGGCTTGGGTGGCGTGGGTTGTGGATAGATCTGCATCTTTTTCTTTGTGGATGCGGTAGAGTTCGATGTGGGCGCAGGCAGCGATGTAATAGTAAAGGGAAGGGGACCAGTTGTTCAATAGAACGCACTCCATCTGTTAGCATGTGGAAATAGCTCACGGCGAGCGACTTACCTTTTGGAACCCTTCCGAAGTTCCCTCATAGTCATGCCCGTACATGCAGTTCAAGCTGATTTCGAACCATTGAAACGCCTCGACCTGTTTCAGCGGAGATTTCGGGCTGTCTCGCAAAAACTGCACCGCCTCCTCCAGATTTTTCTCGGCGGACATCATCCGCGCCTCCTCGAGCACCCAAAGCTGGCTCTTCGGATAACGTTTCCTACAATCCTGAAGGAGGTTCCTGCATCGTTCCTTCGGGTGACTCCCACTGCCCACCCTCGGCAGGATATCGCAGAAGCCGACCATGACATTGTAGTAGCCCAGCAACACCAGCCCGGCAAAGGCGCCGTTGATGTTATCGAACTTGGAGGCCTGCCATAACATGGAGATGGCGCGCTCCCGGTCGCCCTTGATGCCGGCGATCTTGAGGAGCATGCTGAACGCCGGTGGGACCAGGGAGATCAGGAGGAGCAGCAGGCCGAAGGCAAGGTTGATACCGGAATGGACGAAGACGTCAGTGGGGTTACCGGTGATGGCCTCGGGGTCCGGGCCCTCTTGGTACGGGTTAGAAACGACAGATTGAGATCGAACAGGTCCGGTAGTGCTGCCATTTGGCTCCTTGATGCTCCCGTTGGTAAAGGAGACTGTCCTCACTGGGTTAGTTGCCGGTGGCTTCGCCGCTGAGCCGTTTTCGGAGATTTTCAGCTTCTCTACTTCCTTTGTTGGGACCGCTGCCTCTCGAGTAGCTTCCTCCGCATCGAAGAATTCGTCCTCTTCCGTCTGGTCGCTCGAATCGATCGGAGACGATGCTTTACTGACCGGTATGGATTGGTCCGGCTCGGGTTCATGCTCAATGGTCGCAGATCTTGAGAGCGCTCGAAGAGAGGGAGTCTCGTTAATGACATTATAGCCATGCTTCTCAAAATACACCCTTTCTGCCTCCACAATGGTGTTGAGGGTCATATACGCTTTCCGCATCTTGTAAAATCCGCGAATCGCCTCCGTCAAACTCTCATTGAGTGTGGCGATAACCGCCGCCATGATCTCCGACAAGGCCATGGCATATCCGAACTCGGACCCCGGAGGATAGATATTCGACGGGTTGGGATTCAGGTCTCGCTGAGCTTTCCGTTGGAACTCTCCAGCGCTTGTCGCAGCTTCTGCAAGGCGGTCTGCGGCTGGATAGGGAGGTGTTAGGACTAAGAGGGCGGTTGGGTTGGATCCCACCCACCTAGCTTCATATACTCCTTCTCAAAGCCTAAGGTCGCCCGAAGGAAGACCGTGGTGCCTAACCCTAGCTATCAGGAAGTTAGATGAGATCCCTCTTGTATCAACTGCAGCGGTGGGGATCCACTCAGGCTGCCTTACAGAATGATACGGCGACTTATGCTTCGAAAGGGCTTCCTCAGCTCCTTCCACATCATCGTCCATGATTTTCAGGACACCTAATACGCAGATGAGCATTCTGGTCCCGGCACTGACGACGCATGTGATCGGACGGAGAGCATACCCTTGAGTGAGTCCTCCACTGCGGTCATTCAGTCAGTAGAAGCCGGGAAACGGGGCGATCACGAGGGATTCCTACACAGAAACATCTGCTCGTCGACGCCCAAGTCCGGGGACGCGGCGTCCGCGCTCTTCGAGCCTCTCCACCAGCTCTTCATCATGAACGTGATCGCACGGGACCCTGGGGATACTGAAAAGCGGAGCGGTACGAGATACGGCAAGGAGACCAAAAATGAGCCACGGGGGACATCCAGAGAACGAGAGTAGCACAGTTGAACAATACCGATCTAAAAACGCAAGAGGAAACAGGAAAACTCAGAATTGGAAATCCAATGGCTCTCTCGGCATGACGAGGGACTGTGGACGACGTTTAAGAGGGACTCGGACATCGAGCTAGAGATCTCGGTGCCATAACTGTCTGACACTCCGGTCTGTAGGTCTCCGTAAATGAACCTAATTCCTTGCCTGTGATAGCGGAGGGGGGCGACAAGGGGCGCCTGGCCTGGCCGGAACAGGGATATGGTGCCTGAATGCCTGAATGCCTGCACCCTGATGAACCAGACTTTTGCCCCGCGCGGACCTGCGATCTCCCGTTTCCGCTCCAGCCAATCGGTGAAGCCTCGGATCTTTTGAATCATGTGACCTCTTCAATCCATAAATCACGTGATTCGTTCGATCCTGGTATCCATCGATACATCCATCCACCTCCAGTGGTGCTCTGAATAGACATCAGTACGACTACCAAACATCCTCCCACTCCATTTCGATACGTTCTAGAAACCCTACAACCTACTACTCTTCTTCCCAATACCACCCCACCTTATCACCATGGCTCCCCCATCCGAAAAGCCCACCGAAGCCCCCACCAAAGACCCGAAGCCCGGTGCCGCCTCACTGGAGGAAGACGACGAGTTTGAAGATTTCCCCGTCGAAGGTATGTGATATCGATCCACACATGAAGAAGCCAATGAAAGACTCGGATGGCTAACTTGTGCTTGTTTCGGGGAACTATAGACTGGACGGAAGAAGACACCGAGCTCCCCGGCGAGAATCAGCAACATCTGTGGGAGGAGAGCTGGGATGACGATGGGGCGACGGATGATTTCGCGGCGCAGTTGAAGTATGTGGTTGGCGAGGCTTCCTGTTTGGGTGGAAGAGATTATAGTGCTAACTTTGGATTTAGGGAGGAGCTTAAGAAAGTGGAACCGACTAAGCGATGAGAGGGATATGAAGGGACGGAGAGGAATCTGCAGTTGCGTTGCGATGCTCGTGGTGATAGGATGTGGAATAGATCGGGATATCCAGCGAGCGAGCGACGATAGAGGGAACGAATTCACGATATGCCTTGGCGGTACTTCGGGACGGATCAGAGTTCGGAAGAGGATCAGTGAGGGGAAAGATTGAAGGCACATTGGGCCAGGCGATAATAGATACGTCGCGCCAGCTTCCGCCGTCCGGAGTTATGCACGGTAATATGGCATCGTTCTACCAATATCAATTTTCAGTGTCAACTGGAAGTTCTATATGACAGCTCCATTTCCTCTTGTCCCACACCCGTCTCTCATTGCTCACCACGCCATATCTCTCCCCACCGAATATCTCTACAACTTACTCTTCTCCGAGAGCGCTGTCACTCCCGGAAGCTCCTTCCCCTCCAACAACTCCAAACTCGCCCCACCTCCCGTGCTCACATGGCTCAGCTTCTCCTCGGTGCCATACTTGGCCGCCACCGTCGCCGTGTCCCCTCCACCAATAATCACGATCTTCCCGCTCTGCGCGCCGGCAACCGCCGCGTCCATGGTTGCCTTGGTGGCGGTCGCGAACGCGTCGATCTCGAACACGCCGGGCGGGCCGTTCCAGAGGATCGTGCTGGCCTCGCCGATGGTGGATTTGAAGAGCTCGATGCTCTTCTTGCCGCAGTCGAGACCCATCCAGCCGTCGGGGATGCCGGATTCGTCAGTGGCGTAGCCGACCTGGGCGTCGGCGGCAAACTTGTCGGCGGTGACGTAGTCGACGGGAAGGACGAGCTTGACGTTGTGTTTCTTGGCCTTCTCGACGAGGCTGGCGACGGTCTTGCTGCCGTCCTCATCGAACAGCGAGTTGCCGATCTTCACGTTCTCGAGGGTCTTCTTGAAGGTGAAGGCCATGCCACCGCAGATGATGAGGCTGTTGACCTTGGTGAGGAGATTGTCGATCAGCTGGATCTTGTCGGACACCTTGGCGCCGCCGAGGATGGCGAGGAAGGGCCGCGAGGGGTTTTCGAGCGCCTTGGCGAAGTAGTCGAGTTCTTTCTTCATGAGGTAGCCGGAGGCGCGTTGGGGGAGGTCAACGCCGACCATGGAAGAATGGCCGCGGTGGGCGGTGCCGAAGGCGTCGTCTGCGTCGAATCAGTGCTGGTGCTCGTGCTGGGTGAGGGGGCAAGAAAAAAGAAAGGGCGCTCTCGTACTGATAAACACATCACCCAACGCGGTCAACCCCTTCCGGAATTCCGCGACCTTCTCCTTATCCGCCTTCACCTTATTTCCCTGCGCATCCTTGCTGCTCCCCTCCTCCTCCGCATGGAACCGCAAGTTCTCTAACAGGATGACCGCGCCGCTCTCTGCGCCATTGACCGTGTCCTCGACCGCCTTGCCGACGCAGTCCTCGGTGAAGAGGACCTTCTTGCCCAGCAGCTTCTCTAGCTCCGGGACGACGGGCTTGAGGGAGTACTTCTCGTTCACCTGGCCGTTGGGACGGCCGAGGTGGGACATCAGCACGACGGCTTTGGCGCCTTGGCCGAGGGCATATTTGATGGTGGGGAGGGCGCCGGCGATACGTTGGTTGTTGGTGATGTTCTTCTCGGCGTCGAGGGGGACGTTGAAGTCGACCTGTTTCATGGGAATTAGTCAAAGGACGCGGTATATTTCCAGGGGAGCACTTACTCGGATCAGGCAGCGTTTGCCTTTGAGGTCGACGTCCTCAATGGAGAGCTTGTTGGAGAGCGACATGTTTACTAGACGAAACTTCGGATTAGGTGTCGTGGTCTTTTCCAGCGTCAATTGATCACGAAGGAAATGGAAGAGTTACCAAAACGAAAAAGCTATGAGATGTTCTGATTATCGGATGGGATAACGTCAGGTGTGGGATTTTGTTTTTTCCAAGATATCTGATCTGATATTGTTGTTGTGTATTCCGTCCTGTTTTGCCAATGGTGGGGGATTGGATGGTGGGGTGACGAATTGAAGTCATCAGGGTCGAGCCATCGGCTTTGGACCACCCGCCTTTTAAACCCCCAGCCGACATCCCCCAGATTGTCGAGTGCCCGTGATTCCCCGATTGCGATGGAGCCGGGGAATTCATCGAAATCATTCCGAAACCTGGATCTTAAATGTGCTTCCTTCTCCGCATCCGAGCATAGGTCGCAGCGCAGAATCACAGTCGCCGCCCTCGCTGCCGGTGATGTCGAACGAGATGAACAATCTGAGGGGATACTCTGGTATCATGTCGATTTACGGGTATCTACCAAATTTCCATGTGTTTCTGTAGGCAAGGAGTGTGTAGTGCATACAGTGGACTCCGGATAGTAGATGAAGAATAACCTCCCAGAACTCCGCAAATGCTCGTGAACCTGCGCCTGAACCATAAACTCCACCCAATTTGTTCTCAAAGAAATGAGACGAACCGCCCCCAGGCCACTTTACATCCGGTCGTCCTCCGATGCGTTCGTCAGGGAAAGGTAGGCGGTCCACGCAATGCCGATGGTTGATACAAAAGGCTGCGAGCGTTCATTAGCTCACGATTATATTCCAGGCTGGGGATGCAAACATACAATCTGAAACTGAAGCGGTATGATCCGGAAATTGAGGATCTGCACCGCCGGCCAAACCATGTAGTTCGCTTTCAACGCGGGCATGTAGACGTCCCGGAACTTCTTCAACACGGCTTTTTTCCCACCACCCTCGGCTACCGTCATGTAGGTGAAGAAGATGCCCAACCCTATAAATCGTTAGCTACCATACCCAATAATTTTATACTGAGAACACGTACCCGCCGGCGCAAATATCAACTGATCAAACGCCACCCGCTTCAATGCCGGCACCGTCCCACTCGCCTTCGTCAACGGAAACGTCCTGGACAAAAACGCGAACCACCGATGCTGCACCGGCGCCATCAGGAAACCGTACGCCATGAACCGCGTCAGCCGCTCGAAGTCGAACGGCGGCGGCAGCCGCGGACTGTCCGGGATCAGCAGCTCCTCGTCCATGCTCTTCTTGTCCAGCTCGTGGATCTCGATCGCGAACACGTCGCTGCTTTGCACGCCGCCGGGCTTGCGAACGGCGCGCTCGCGGACGGCAGTGAGGGATTGGGCAACGGTGTCGGCGACGCCGCCGAGGATCTAGGGGGGGTAAGTAGGGGATGGGTGAGAGGTTAGGGTAGACGTACGGCGTTCGTGACCATCGTGGTAAGGACTAGGTGGTGGAGATTAGTCATGGCAGTCGACAGAGCGGTCACGATATGGAGGACGTACCTGGCCGCGCGGCATAGTATGAGTTAAACTTCCGGATCAATATCGACGCCATGGCCAATTCAAACAGAAAGACCAGCGTATGAAGGAGAGGCTGGACAATCGCGATGTTAGAAACGTTGGATATCGAGGGTCGACGCTCGACGGCTTTCGATGGAAGGTCAACTCACAGCCCGCCCGTATAACCATCTCCGATTCAGCGCACGCAAGATCCGTCGTCGCTGGGTGTCGATCATGGTGATCGATGGAAACCGGAAAGGTGCACGCTGTGCCTTTATGGATGGAGAGGAAGTAGACAGTGGAGTTGCCTTGGATTCGTAGGAGTGACGTCTTCCTCTGTTTCGGAGTCGGATGCCCTGTGCTGGTGGAGGTGTGGCGTCTGACGTCTCCGCTAAGTACAGTGGCGCCTGTGCGATCGGACGTGGTGCGGCCAGCGACGTGGAAGAACTTGTCGAGGTATTTAATCTTCCGGCGTCTGTCCTGGACTAGCAGAGTTATAGAAGCGGATGTGGGTGAGATGGAGATGTGAACAGATGCGGTTTGATGAATAAGGTTCACAGGGCGGTGCGGGTGCCGGTCTCCGATTCAGCACAACATTCAACGTGAGACGCCCCAGTGGATCCTCCTCACAGACTGGACGCCCCGCACGCCACCCCTTGGTGCAGCAATCTAAATCTCTACGAAACAGTACTACCAGCCCTATTTAAGTTGGAAAGTCTCAGGAATAGTTGTAGGACCAATTTATTGATATAGTAGATGGCTTAATTAGGGACTGATTTAAATATGTATTGGGGACTGTCCTTCCACGGCGATGATATCCGGCACGTCGCGGATATCCGTCGTGTCCTGCGTATTCAGATCCACCACCCGCAGCGATTCAATCCGCAGCAGTCCTGGAGAAAGGGGGAGGAATTCGAGCTCGGTGGAATAGCACGCGGCCGCAACAAGCGGACTAGGAGCACGTTAGCTGGACCGTAAATGTGACTGATGCGCCAATACTTACCCAACTCGCAAGTCTGTAGTGAGACAGACCAGTTCCGCCGGTTCCATTTCCCCCGTCCTAAGCATCCCATACAGCAAATTCGCCTCCACCACCGGCTCCGCCAACTTTTCCTCATCGCTTGCCTCCGTCCCAGACGTCCGCTTCTCCTGTCCCCCCGTCCCACTCAACCGATCCCCCCGCCGCGGCGTACGCCGCTTCGACACCGCAAGTACGGCCAGCCGCACCAGTGACTCCGACCGATTAACGATGAACAGCTTCCACGTAAACACCTCCCCCACGCGCACTTCGCTCGGCGCCGAGATCGTGATCACCACCCCGGAGTCGGTCGTCATGCTATGCGACGTCCCCGGTCGCTCGATGTCCGTAGATCCGGACCCGCGGTGCCCGTCGGGTCCGGGGCCCGGGGGCAGGCTGCGGGGGATCTCGATGGAGGTGGACTGGTGGAGGAGGGTGGAGCGGGTGCGGGAGTGGCCGAACTTGGTGTGCGTGGAGAAGTCGACGGGCATGCTCCAGGCAATGGCGAGGCGTGGGCGGCAGGTCGCGGAGACGAGCGCGGTGCCGGTGATGTGCAGGCGGAGTTGGTGTTTGCGGGACTCGTTGGATAGAAGCTCGTCGAGGGAGGGGTCGGGGTTGAGGCGGTAGAGACAGGTGACTTGGTCGCCGGGTTGGCATTGGATGGGCAGGTTGGTGCCGAATGGAGTTACGACGCCCTGCGATAGGGACATGGAGATGTCGGTAATCAAGATGTCCGCGGAGGCGAACGGCGTGATCTCAAAATCGAACGACGCGACCAGATCGTTCGTCTTCGGTGGGGAAGCGCTCTTCGAATAGCGGATCCGCCATAATAGTGGTGGTGCAGCTCGGTACATCCTCTTTTGCCCGGTCGTCCGAATGGGCCGAGCGACCTGTGGGGTTATGGTGTTCGACGGAACTACTTTCGTGATTCGAAGTGCTGAGAGCCGTGGTCCAACTCCGGCAAAGGTAGGGTCGTGGGAGAATGGCTCCAGCAGGTTCATGGCCGCCGGGACGCCGCTTGGGAGGTAGTCTTCGGTCGAGGGGGTATCTAGAGATGGATCTGGAGCCAATGCTCCGGAGACGGCGAAGAACACGGCGACTTTCTGCAACTTCATACGAGGGCGGGCTAACGTGATACGTGCGTTAATATCAAGACCATCGTGCATGGAAAGGAGGGTATACCTAGGGGGATGGTTGCTTTCCAGAACAAATATATCGTTTGTTTGGAATCGGACTCATCGTCACTCTGGGTGCCGCTTGCTGCTACGATCGGCTCTTCGGCCGTGTTTACAGCGGTCGAATGCAGCATCTCCTTCGCAGGAGGCGGCGGCTGGTTCGGTCTCGCATCTCCGTGTCTGGGGAACGGCGGAGGGGGGATTCCCGTCGCCCATGTCTCAATATTCACCTCTAGTTTCGACAGCAGCGGATTCAAGACCGCTTCTGATACCAGCGGCGTTCGAAGCACCACGTAGACGTCCACCACCTCATCTATGATCGGTCAGATACTCGTTCAGCACTTAAATCGAGGGACCCAAACCGAGCAATAAAAACGGCCGCTGTTGAACGAATGCCGGTAGATGCCCGTCGTCGTCCTGACCGTCGCCATCCCATTCTTCCAAGCTCTTCTTCAAGTCCAACTGCGAATCAGCGGGGACGATCACGTCCAGCACCGAGTTTTCGATGAACTCGGCCACATCTTGAGGCGAGGGTTCCGATATCGTGCCAGGCATGGCTCTTTTGTAGCACTCCGTAGTTGAGGAGTATGAATAGGAGGTGTGGTACATGTACTTTTCATGCCACACAGCCCCTGAGTCCCTGAATGGAGGCTCCCAGGCCCAAACAGCGTGAAGCGGGAGACGGGAAATTAATTCATAACCGCGTAATTTTTCCTTTTTCTTTCTTCAATTTTGAACACGACGCCGGTAGTTCAACCCGATTTTATTAACTGATTCTAGTGAAAATGCCTATATCGGTATTATTCAGATGATCGACCACAGCGCGTTTGTTTCGTGAACTGTCAACTGTGAAGGTTGGATGTGCACGGACCACATACCGCCGACTTTCAGATTTGAACCGTAGAGAGTTCTTGTTCAGTCGCGAATGGAGTTATTACACAGGCAATATCTTGTTGAAATCACTCCCGTATCCGATCCCATACCTCTTTCACTGAATCCTAGAGTCGCCGTGAGACCCTTGATCCTCTAACCAGAGTATCGTGGGATTCTCCATAGCCTCTCCTTCGTCGCTACGTTTGCAGCTGGCGCGATGAACGGCCTTCCTCCGCGACCAGGTCTCTGGCAGGAGGCCAAAAGCCCCGATGGACGGGTATACTTTTACAATACGCAGACCAAGGCGACACAATGGACGAAACCGGAGGATCTGATGACCCCCGCGGAGGTTGGTCTACCACCTGGTATATCCTGTTCTCACATCCCATGCATGCTAACCCGTCACTCACAGCGCGCTCTCCAGAGTCAGCCATGGAAGGAGTATAGCAGTGAAGGCGGCAAGAAATATTGGTACAATACCGAGTCGAAACAGAGTACATGGGAAATGCCCGAAGTCTACAAGAATGCTCTTGCGCAATCTCAAGATCAGCTCCCGCAGCGACCACCTCCCCCGTAGGTCACCCAAATGCCTTAAATCCCCTCATCTAACGTGTTATAGTGCATTTGTCGCTGGGGGCATGGCCGCGTACTCCCCTGCCCCTACCAGAGACCGCGATCCGAGAGACCGTGACCACAGAGACCGCGATGATAGTTATCAACAAGACCGTCCAGGGCCTGACCGCTACTCCTCCTACAACGAGCCACATCGATCTAGCTTCGCTCCCTCCAGCGATGAGCCATACTACGGGACCCCCGACGAAGCCGAGAGCGCGTTCTTCAAGCTCCTTCGCCGAAGCGGCGTTCAACCCGACTGGACATGGACACAGATGGTTCGCGCCTGCGCGAAAGACCCCCAGTATCGTGCGATCAAGGATCCGAAAGACCGCAAGGTTGCGTTCGAGAAGTTCGTCACCGAAGTCCGCACGCAAGAGAAGGAGCGCGAGAAGGAACGACAAGCGAAGGTCCGCGCCGACTTCATCAATATGCTGAAGAGCCATCCCGAGATCAAGTACTACACTAGGTGGAAGTCGATCCGTCCGATTATCGAGGGCGAGACTGCATTCAGGGCAGCGAAATCCGAGGACGAGCGGACTGCGCTGTTCAATGAATACCGCGACGAGTTGTGGAAATCGCATTCAATCGAGGAAGAAACCCTACGCAAGACAGGTCTCAACCAGTTGACGGAGATGCTCAAAGTCATGGTGGTAGATCCGTATACAAGGTGGTTAGAAGCCCACAATAAGCTCCAAGAGAATCATCGATTCAAATCCGAGCCGGCGTTGGGGGCGCTCAATACGTTGGATGTCATGAAATCATTCGAGAACCACATCAAGTCGCTTGAGCGGAATCACAACGAAGCTCGCCAGAAAGAGAAGCAAAAGAAATATCGAACAGAGCGCCAGAATCGAGATAAGTTCATCGCGCTGCTTAACGAGCTTAAGCGGGCAGGTAAGATCAAGGCTGGCAAGTCCTGGTCCAGCATCCATCCACTAGTCGAGAAAGACCCACGATTCGATGCGATCCTTGGTCAGAGCGGCTCCGGCCCTCTTGAGCTATTCTGGGATATTGTCGAAGAAGAAGAGCGCCTCTACCGCGCCCGACGCAACGATGTGTTGGATCTTCTCGACGATCGACAATTCGAGATCACTCAGAAGACAACACTGGCCGAGTTCACCCACCTCCTCTCTGCCGATCGCCGAACCGCTTCCATCGATCCCGACATCGCATCCCTCATCTTCAACCGCCTGCGCGACAAAGTGGTCAAACGCGCCGAAGACAACAAGTTCACCGCCGAGCGGCAACAACGCAAAGCTGTCGACGCGTTACGCTCACGCATCAAGCGCCTCGCCGACCCTCCCGTCACCGCCACCGACACCTGGGACCTGGTCCGACCCCGCCTCGAAAAATCCGACGAGTTCCGCGCCCTCGACTCCGACGAGCTCCGCAAGAGCGCCTTTGAGAAAGTTGTCCGCCGCCTCAAAGAGCGCGACGAGGATCACGAAAAGGAGAAAGAACGCTCCAAGCGCGACAAGGACCACCGCCGCGATGACCGCGATCGCGACCGAGGCGACCGCGACCGAGGAGACCGATATCGCGGCGAACGCAACGGCTACCCCTCCCGCCGCCACCGCACCCGCAGCCCCGACCACGACCCCTACGAAGCCGACCGCCGCAAAGCGCAAGCGGACCGCGAGCGGCAGTACCGCAAATCCAGCGCCGGGGTGTCGCCGCCGCCACCGCCGCGGAGCACGCGCGACCGCGACGATCGGGGCCGGCGGGTGAGCGGCGGGGGCCACTATGATCGGGAAAGGAGGGAACGGGAGGCGGAGCGGGAGCGGCTGTATGTCAACCGGGGGGATCCAAGGGAGCGGAGCAGTGAGTTGGATTATGGGGATTCGCGGTCGGGGAGCGTGCGGAGGAGGAGGGAAAGCGATGCGGAGAGTTTGGGGAGTCGGCGGGAGGTGAAGGTGAGTGGCATTCCCGGATTTTTTTTCCCGCGAGTTTCTAGAGAGGGTGGGCTGACGTGCTGGAAATAGCGAACACGACGCGAGCATGAGGTTCGCGAACCGGCGCTCTCCCCGCGCGAGTCGAAGAACCCGCGGAGGTCGCGGACGAGAACGCCGGCGCCGCTGCCGAAGGAGGATCCGGCGGGTGGGTATAAATCAGGGAGCGAGGAGGGCGAGATCGAGGAAGATTGAGGGGAATCATGGAGACAATGGGGATCACCTTGCTGAAAGAGTCGTGGGCTTCGAGAAGGCCATCAGAGCGTTTTCAGAGTGGAGTTGACCGGTGAGTGGATACGTAAATCATGAACTGCTTCACACGCTACTCATCTGGATCCGCACCGGGCGAAGAAAATAACGGGGAAAACGCAATGGCTTCTTTTGCGTCGTTGTCGTCCTCCTCGATGAAGCGCGATGGGTTCGAGGGAGGGGTTGTTGGGACCGTGTATGTTGTTCCAATTACCTTCGCACCTTTTTTTGCAGGTTTATCAAAAGTTTTAATTGCCCCAGGCATGCAGCAAGCGCACAATTCATGGTCCAGTAAGAAGACGCGAGAGAGAGACACGTATCGTAGCACGCACGACCAGACCATGTTCGGATCTCGGGCTCACAACGCGAGAGGAGACGTGAGACATCCCACGACGTATGTCAGCTGGCAGAGGAATGTTTGCATTCTAATCTACCTCATAGTGAAATATCCTGTTGCCTGGAAAGGAAAATTCATGTCTCCAGCGAGTGAACAATTGGTCGGTGAGAATCTCAAACAAGCATCCGAACGGTAAGTTGTCCCATCCGTTCTTCCATCTGGCACCCCCCGGCGCGTCAGGCAACTCCACACCCTCCTGTCGCCCGCGCCCTCCCTTCGGTTGACGAAGGGAGGATCTCATCATCCATGTGTCCCCGACGCTCTACCAGCCAGGGCGGACCGCATCCGCGCGAGAATCTTCAAGAGCACGCCTCTCTATCTCGGTAGCCGTCGAGGATCGTGTCATCATCGTCGTCCGCATCGTCATCGTCGCTGTCTGCTTCCCCAGTCGCCGACTTTTGGCCACTGCCCGATTTTTTAGTCTTGCTCTTCACGCGCTTGCGCGAGGAGCGCTTCTTGGAATCATCCGAGGCGTCTTCAACTATCATCTTCTAGGAAGAACTGTGGGAGGGAAAAGGTCAGTGGTGAATCTACGGAGGTGGGTTCCCGAGAGTACTTACGTAGTTTCCGCCCAACTTCTGCTCCTGGTCCAACTGGCTGCCAGCCTTGTTGATCCGCGGGCGGTAGCTGGTCGGATCGCGGCGGAAGGTGACGTCGAGGTTCTTGAGGAACTTGTTGCAGCCCGTCAGGAGGCTCTCCGGGGTGTTGGCACGGGCCTTGATGGCCGGCTTCCCGTCGAACACGATGACGCGGTCAGCGAGGTAGGTGGCCATGATGAAATCGTGCTCGACGACGAAGGCGGTCTTCTTCGCGTGCATGATGAAGCGTTTGATGACGCGGGCGGCCACGATACGCTGCTCGGAGTCGAGGTAACTGCAAACTTGTTAGATAGGCAATCAATATAATCTGTGATGATACTTACGCGCTCGGTTCGTCGATGACGTAGATGTCGGCCGGCATTCCCAGTGCCAGAACGATGGCGACACGTTGCAATTCACCACCGGACAGATGCTGCACCTCCTGGTCGATGAAGTCGTCGATCTTCAGCGGCTTGTAGACATCGGTCTGGAACTGCGGGCTAATGAACGCGGACTTGATCTTCTTGAAGAAGAGCTGGCGCACGGTGCCCGTGAACTTGGGCGTGATGGTCTGCGGCTTCATGCTGATGCTCATCTTCGGGATGCGGGTGGTGCCGTCGGGGGTCTCGTAGCCGGCCAGCATACGGCAGAAAGTCGTCTTTCCGGTGCCGTTTTCGCCCATCATGACGATGATCTCGGAGTCGGTGAATTGACCGGTTTCCACGAACAGCTGGAACGAACCGAGGGTCTTCTTCATCTTCGGGTAGCTGTATGCGTGGGCCTTGTCGATCAGGAACTCCTCGCCACCCTCACCGACGCGGAATTGCAAGGATTCATCACGGAAACGCAAATTCTCGGACGGGATGAAGCCGTCAAGGAAGTGGTTGATGCCCTCTCGGACGGAGGACGGCAAAGCGACCACACCATAAGCAGCGGGCTTGCCGTAGAGCACGCAGACGAAGTCGGACAGGTAGTCGAGGACGGACAAATCGTGCTCGACGACAATCACGTAGTCGTCGGTGCGAAGCAGGCCCCGAATCATGCGAGCGGCGTTGAGACGCTGCTTGACATCCAAGAACGAAGATGGCTCGTCGAACATGTACACGTCGGCTCGTTGGACGCAGACCATGGCGATGGCGAACCGCTGCAATTCTCCACCGGAAAGGTTGGAGATGTCACGGTCCAGAATTTCCTTCAGCTCTGTGTAGGTGTTAGTGATTGTTTGACCACCGGACCATGATGAACTTACCAAGCTCTTCAATGATTTCATCCTTGTTCTCCATCTGTGACTGCTTGTTGATAAGAGCCCTAACGGTGCGCTCTTGGCCCGGTCGGATGGCCTTAGGAAGTTGGTCCACATACTGAGGCTTGATAACAGCCTTCAGGTTGTCTTCGAGGATCTTGGTGAAGTAGTCTGATTGAAGTCAGCCAAGCAATATCGGGCAGGGCCACGCAACTCACTCTGCAACTCGGATCCACGGAAGTACTTCAGGATCTCCTCCCAGTCCGGCGGGTTGTCAAACCGTCCCAGATTAGGCTTGACCTTGCCGCTGAGGATCTTCAACGCCGTGCTCTTTCCAATACCGTTTGTCCCGACCAGTCCCAGCACCTGCCCGGGGCGGGGCATCGGCAGGCGATGCAGTTTGAAGCTATTCGCCGAGTATCGGTGGGTGACTTGGGTCTCGAGATTGGTGGGCAGATTGATGATATTTATAGCGTCGAAGGGGCATTTCTTCGGGCAGATACCGCATCCAATGCAGAGACGCTCCGAGATGAAGGCGATCTTCGACGTGGCGTCCACTTCGATGCAGAGCTTGCCGGTTCGAACCACAGGGCACGACTTCTTGCATTCTTGGCGGCATTTCTACAATAGCATTAGAATAAGCATGATAGTGTGAGTGCGGAGAACTACCTTAGGTTTGCACTATTCAGAGGAGTGACGAGTCAGCGTATTGCTAGAGGTAATGGATTTGGTGAGAGTGTTTACCTTGTCAGAGCTGACAATAGCAATCCTATAGACGACAACCGTTAGAATATGTCACTTATTTGATCAAAGGAAGGGTATTCACCTGGTAAGTCTGTCTGCCATTTTGCTGTAGCCTGAAGGCGTGAAATAGTGCTATGGAGGATATTGGACTTGTTTCGGTTCGCTTGAGGCGGGGGAGGCAATGGATAAATAGTCGTCGTGAAATTTCGGAGGGCCACCTTCAGACTTGACTTCTTCGCACAAGCACCTGCAAATCTGCTGATTCTTTTCTGGAAACTTTCCAACCGACTTGATTTACGACCAAGAGCAATTTCCTTTGAATTTACAGACTCTTTCACAAAATTCAAGATCACTCGGTAAGTGCAACGGATTTCCCACACTATTTTGGTGATGATGGCAGAGTTATGCCAAGACTGGCTGATGACGGCGAAACATGCGCCATCCGATTGGTCCAACGCAGCGGTTGCTTGTGTGGCTGATCCCGTCGTTCGGGTCTGGCTGGGGTCTCTCATTGGCTGAACGGATGAGTGGCTTGAGACAGGCGCGGGGCAGGGGTTTTGGGCGGCACGTGATGTACATGTCAGGCAGCGACACTTGGTATTCACCAAATCATTCACTGTATCAGGCACTAATTAGCTAACCAAAAATTCGTTTTGCTGTGGTTCCTCAGTGGGTGAAAAAATTGATTGCCCATACAACCCGCCTTGGCACTCGTCACCCGTTTTCCTACACCTATATCCAACAGACCTTAATCTTCAACCCATCTCTAAGTCCATCATTTTCTCTTCATGGAGCGTCAGATTACGCCAGATCGGCCGATTAGGCGCGAGGAATATACTACAATCCAAAAATCGAGGTTTTTCGAAGCCTATGATAGCCGTACCGCAGATCAACCATTGTCAGACATCCTCCGCAAGCTCGACCTCCCTCGGCGTACAGCAAATTACTGGCTTTCTCAACGCCGTCGTATTGGAAAAGAGGCTTACCGACGAACGCGCCCTAACAGCGACCGATTAGGGCGACGCCGCGCTATTACATCTCCTCAGTTAGATGCTATTGTATCTTCACAGAACCCTATAAGAGAGCTTCCATATGAAGCGAATATCACGCATTTCAATCTCGATATTACAACCGGTCGCGCCCTCCATAACAATCTAAAAGATCGACGGGATGCAGGCCGTTTCGTTGAACAGCAGGGGAAACCCGTTTCTCCTCGGAATCGCAGGCTACGGGAGGACTATGGCCGCTTCGGAAGAGAACAACCTCTTATCGGCTATTGAGACTCAATTGAATTTACAGACGAGATGCACTACGATCCTTCGGAGCAGCCGAAACAGTGAATTATACGCCAAAAAGGTACACGTTATAATTCGGAGAATCTTCAAAAGCGGCCGCAGAAAACGGGCGTTGCACTTCATATTGCTGCGTCTTGCAATTGGTACTCAAAGAGCAGTCTTATCTTCTATCACGACAAGTCTGAGGATCTTCCAAAACCACGAAGGCCTAGAAAGCCTAGGCAAAAACAGACTGAGACAGACGAACAGTTCCCTTCTAGATTGCAAGAGTGGAAGGCAAGAATACCTCACGAGATTCAGGTCAAACGGAAGGGGAATTCTATGACCCAGGAGCATTATGCTAAGCATATTCTCCCAGCCTATATCGCGCGTATTGAGGCTGCTCGTTTATACCACCGCGGATCGTTCGGTGCTGACGTCTGTGGACCATTTATGATGTTACAAGAGGATAACGATCCATCGCACGGTACACAGTCATTTAACGTCGCGTCGGCATTAAAACATGCCCATTGGATTACATGCATAAAGCATCCACCACAATCCCCAGACCTAAACCCGATTGAAGCACTTTGGGGGATCCTAAAGCAGAGTGGACGCAAACGGGTATGGCGATCGATTACGGAGCTGAAGCAAGTCCTAATTGATGAATGGGACAAGATCTCAATGGAAGAGGTACGCGCTAGGATCGCAGAGATGCCGTCTAGATGTCAATTACTTGTAGATAGCAAGGGGAACATCGTAAAAACTGCGCTGTGGTAAGATAGCGATATTCAAATCAAGTTTGATATTGGGATTGCGTGCCAAGACCGGGTTGTATGGGCAATCAATTTTTTCACCCACTGAGGGTTGATAATTTATGCCTTGCTGCCTTGCTGCCTTGACGCCTTGACGCCTTGCAGCCTCGCAGCCTCACTTCCCTTGCCCGTCCTGCACCGCCATCCTACGCCCCAAGGGTTCCCTCTCTACTTCTCACTAACCAACGACAACTTCCATAGATCTTCACACTGCGACCTGTCTCTCTCTGCGGACAGAATCCACACCAGCCTCTACTCTTGTCGACTCCTCCTATCCCTCCCTGCGGGCACTTGGATCATGGCCTGTAAGTACAATTTTATTGCTTTCAATTTCGTTGTGGGAGTCAGGATCAGCCCCTCTCCAATGTCACTCACCCAGGCACGCCCGCATCATGGCCGGTCCATCAACCGTCATCCCAAAGATATCCATACGCGATCAGAGGCTTTCAGGTACAAATTTGTGCTTGTTAGCTTCGTTAGATCCGCTGGTTGGCTCTATCAACACCGTCTTGCTCTCCTCAGCCTGCCATTGACGGCAGAGCCCTTCGGCCATCAACCTCGTCTACGGTTCATCGACCAAGCCTGACTATCATCACCATATGCCTATTCCATCTCGTGTGGTTCCGACAAGTCGCATTACATGTCTTTGGGGCCGCCCAGGGTCGCTGTCTATGCGCCATCACTCCACACAAACTCAATCACTCGAAATCATAGTCCAAGCCTTGCTGACCACAATTCCATCACAGCCGGGTCGGTTCTGATACCCGCCGCCCCCGAGTCGGCTCCATCGTTCATCGATGGGGTTGACCAGAATCCCACCAACACCGCCGATCCCTCTCCTTCCAACAGTCCGGCTTCCGAGAGCGGAAGCGACCTCTCCGATGCCAAAGACCTCAACGACTCGAACACCTCCGACGCAGACATCGACCTCTTTCACTCCGGGGAGGCAGACACTCCCGCGGAAGATGCTTCAGATTCTTCTGACCAGGAAGATGATGAGAAAGATGGCGATTACTCGGAAGACGCCTTTGTTGCGGCACCCCAGCAAGAACCCCCATCACGTCGGGAGTCTACCGCATCACGAGCGTCGTCAAACTCATCAAATTCGTCGAAGCGAAAGGCAGAGGATGATCTCGCTTTCGCTATGAGCTTGAACCCTGATCTCTACGGAGTTAGGCGAACTGCAAGCGCTCCCTCTACTGTCAATCTTCATCGGGCTAACATTTCAACTAGCGACGGAACGTCACCAACAATCGCCGAGTTGTAAGGCTCCTTACTTGCCCTTTTTTGCGCTCGACTAACGTCGTTTAGGTTGAATCAGATTCAGAAGACGATGACTCCGATGTTCCCATTCCTATCAAACGAAGGCGACTAGCTGCCTCCATCCAAAGTATGCCCCATTGTACAATGCCCTTTCGCCCGCTTCTCTTCATGCTGACCGATTCTAGACTCTCATGCGCCCACACCCCGCTCGACCTTTGTCAGCGACCTCGAGGAGGAAGAGGACACGTACATCAACTCCCGCCGATCTCGTCTCACCAAAAAGCAGAAGACCCGTCAGCAACAGGTCGCGGCAGGATTGGCCCCCCCTTCGGCCGGAGAAGTACGATTCACGTCGAGGAACGTAAAGAAAATCAACTACAACGAAACGGAGGATGAAGATGAAGACGACCGCGAGTACACGTACGAGGAGGCAGACGCTTCGCCAATCATTGACGTTGTGTTGGACCATCGTGAGAAAGAGGGCTTGAGTCAGTCGCCAATTGAGCCAGATGGACGCGCTTGCTGACGAATACCTAGCCATCAAACCGGAACGACGCATGAAAGAGGATTACGAGTATTACGTAGGTCTCTTCCTCTTCCCGGAACAACTCATTTACTCACATTATGACAGATCAAATGGCAAGGCAAAGCGCACTTGCATGCCACTTGGGTTACCGTTGATTCCATCCCTTCCGGGCGCGTCCGAAAAATTGAGAACTATTTCGTCAAGACCGTACAAAAGGAACTCTCCGTTAAGCATGACCCTTCTATCCCCGAAGAAGAACTGGAGAAGTTCAACCTCGAACGCGACCGAGAGCGAGAGAGGGCGGAAAAGAGCAAGGAGACCGAACGTGTGATTGGGTCACGCCTGAATGAAGCTGAAGAGACGGAATACCTCGTGAAATGTAAGTGTCAGCGCTTTTCTCAATGCCTTTCAGCAACTGACCGTGTGTTAGGGTGCGAGGTTGGCTATGATGGCTGTACGTGGGAGTCTACCGAAACTCTCGAGCCGATCGCCGACACTCAGATCGATTCCTATCTCACACGCGCTTCCAAACCTTTCACGCACAATCTGACCGGTGCAAACCTTCCTGATTTCCATCATTGGCCTCCAGGTACTCAACCTGACTATATCAAGAAGGAGGTACTCAAAGACTTCCAGCGGGTCGGTGTCGAATGGATCGCCTTCAACTGGACCATCCATCGAAATATCATCCTTGCCGACGAGATGGGATTAGGAAAAACTGTGCAATCTGTCACAGCCATCAACCGAATGTACCAGGAGCACGGCCAGGAGGGTCCCTATCTCGTCGTCGCTCCTCTCTCCACCATTTCCCAATGGCAAACCACATTCAATGACTGGGCGCCAGACTTGCATTATGTCGTCTATCTGGGCAATGCCACGGCCCGAGACACGATACAACAGTTTGAACTCTTCTCGAATGGCGATCCTCGGAGGTGCAGATTTAACGTGGTAATCACTTCGTACGAATATATCTTGCTGGAGAAGACCATCTTGTCGCAAGTCAAGTGGCTTGCCCTCATTGTGGACGAAGCACATCGCTTGAAGAATCCCGAAGCTCAACTCTTCAGAGCACTCATGGATTTCAATATCCAACATAAACTCCTACTTACCGGAACTCCTTTGCAGAACACCATTCCCGAGCTTTCTGCTCTGCTGCACTTCTTACATCCGGCCAAATTCGACGTCAACAGTGATGTCGACATCACCGAAAAGGAGGCCGGGAAGAAACTGGCCGTCTTCATCAATGAAATCAAAAACAACTTCCTTCGACGGGTGAAGGATACTGTCACGACAGACCTGCCCAAGAAAACGGAAAAAATTCTTCGCTTTGTTTGCGCTGAAGACCAGCTGGAAGTTTACCGCAACATCCTCACCAAAAATTACGAAGCGTTACGTGCAGGTCCGAATGCACCCAAGCAAACATTCCTCAATGTCATGATGGAACTCCGAAAGGCAGCCAATCATCTATTCCTTATTGCAGGTGGACAAGAGATGGCGATGGGAAATGACCAGTCTCAGGAGAACTACTACCGCAAGCTCATCACCTCGAGTGGGAAGATGATTGTCCTCGACAAGTTGCTCAAGAAGCTCAAGGGGGAAGGACACCGAGTCCTTATCTTCTCCCAAATGGTCAAGATGCTTGATATTCTCCAACAGTATCTGAACTTCCGCAACCATCAACATCAGAGACTCGATGGGACGATGCCTGCCGCTCAGCGCAAAGCAGCGATTGACAGCTTCAGCGCCCCTGAGAGCAAAGATTTTTGTTTCCTTCTCTCCACGCGTGCCGGTGGACTTGGCCTCAATCTCACAGCCGCAGATGTCGTCATCATTTTCGACTCGGATTTCAATCCGCAGATGGACATCCAAGCAATGTCTCGAGCCCACCGCATCGGCCAGACTAGGCCTGTCACTGTGTTCCGTCTCGTCATGGAGAAGACAGTCGAAGAGGACATCCTGGAGCGCAGTGAGCAGAAGTTGATGCTGGAGGAGGCGATCATCAAAGAAGGAATCACCGACAAGAAGGCTCAAAAATACAGTCATGATGCTGCAACGAAAGGGCTCACGGACGCCCCAACCACCGCCGAGGCTCTCAACAATCTCTTGAAACGACGTGGTCAGGGTATCTTTGCCCAGAAGGGTAACCAGAAACGACTGGACGAGCTTGATATTGACGCAGTCATCGAGACGGCCGAAGTCAAGAAGACGGCTCAGCCCAAGGCTGACATGTCTGTTGGTGGTGACGATTTCATGAGGAGCATAGAGATCACGAACATCAAGATCGATGACTTGAGCTGGGACGACATCATCCCCAAAGAGGAGGTCGAGAAGATCCGCGCTCAAGAGAAGGAGAAGGAGCAAAAAGCCTTCCTTCAAAAGATCATTGCCGAGAATCAGCCACGAAAAGCGAAGCTCCTGGCCGGCGAAGGTGGCCGAAGTGCCAAGAAGGAGGCGCAGCGAAACATGAAAAAGCGCCATGAGGACGAGTCCGATGAGTCCGAACTGGAACGTCCAAAGAAGAAACAGAAGAAGTCGGCTGTACGCAGCGATCAACTTGGTGAAGCCGAGATCCGAAATTTGCTCAAGGCTTACGGCGTTTTCGGCTCTTTCGAAGATTGCCAGGATCAAATCATCAAATTTGCTGACCTTGGCGGTTTCGACCCAGCAGTTCTCAAGAAGGTGCTCGACGACATTTCGGATCGAGCAAGGAGGGAGCTGAGGGAGCGTGATGAAAAGATCAAGGAGCTCCAAAGCAAAGAGAACAAGATCTTGACGAAGAAGGAAATCAAAGCGGCCATGTTCTCCTATGGCAAGATCAAGCAGATCAACGCTGAGAAATTCTTAGAGCGACCCGAAGAACTGCGTCTCCTTCGACAGTTCGTGAGCAGCAGCCCTTCTGCGGCCGATTTCCGATTTCCCAAATCTGCATGGGAAAAGCTCAGCAAGGCGGATTACACTGGCTCGCCTGATTGGGGTGAACGCGAAGACGCCATGTTGGCAGTGGGGGTTTGCCGATATGGACTTGGAGAATGGCGTCTCATCCAGAACGACCCTGAGCTCGGACTTCATGATCACCTTTTCTTGGACGAGCAGAAAGTTGCCGTCAAGCGAGAACGCCAGAGCACGGTCACGGATGGCAAAGTCAAGGCCAAGACCCCAGGGCCCGTCCATCTTGTCCGACGCGCAGAAGGTTTCTTCAAGGTCCTCAAGACGCACAAAGAAGAGCAAGAGAACGGAGTCGCGAAGCGAGACGGCTCCCCGGAAGCAAGCGTGCCAAGGAAGCCTTCACAGAAGCATATTCGAAGGGTCATGAAAGATTCGGTTTCCCGTAGCCGCGCCCACAGCCAGAGCGAGTCGAGAGACGTTTCCGACCGCCGAACGGATATCGTGCATATCACCTCCCGCAAGAGTCCGAATAATGAGGCCAAAGCCCGTCAAGGCTCGGTTGACCGGGGCGCTCGTGCCAACTCGTCCAAGCCCACGCCGGAACCCACGTCCGAAGAGTCAAAGAATCTCCAAAAGAACAACTCTCCATTTGATGAGAAGCTGGACGCGGCATCTCCAGGGGCGTCAGTGGAGACCAAGGTCAAACAGCGCAAGTACATCCCTGGCCCTGCACCGGAATGGGTCAACCTTCCTAGTTTCAAGAGAGACACCCATCGAACGTCCAATGGCCACAACTCGAACCACATCGGCGGTGCCGAGATGGGTCGAACAGACTCTCATGGATCGACCGATTCGCACCGTAAGCGAAGTGCAGATGACGATGGGCGAGACTACCGGGATTCGCGCGACTATCGCGACTCTCGACATGGCGACAAGCGATCACGACACTATGAGCGTGGAGATGAACGCGATTACAAGCGCAAATCCGAGTATGATGATGACCGCGACTTCAAGCGACGTCGTCCGAGCAACGATCATGCCGACCGCTATCGGCCCGAGTCAGTGTATTCGCGTCACTCCAGTTCAGATTATGGAAGCGATCATGGTGACTCCCATCGCTATTACGATGGCCCACCCGGCGGTGGTCAATACCGTGAACCTTCCCACCATCGACGACCATCCAATGGCCACCGCGATGACCGTCGTCCGCCTCCGCCGAGAGTTCCCGATCAGCACTCCCCCGTGAATGGGACCGACTATCGAAAGAGCTCATATGCACGTGGTGGTGAAGCTCACATCGACCGAGACGCACGCATGCGCCAGATCTTGAACTCGGTCTTCCTGAAACTTGAAATCCTCCGCACCGCGAAACCCGCGAACTATCCCGACGCTGCGAGGCGGTTGGCGGTGATCAAAGAAAACATCCAAGACGTCGGCGACTTCATCACCCAGTTGCCGAGGAACGGTCATCGTGGCGACTTGGACGAGGTGTGGAGCTTCGCCGCACGATATCTCCCGTTCCCGCCTGAGAAGCAGACCTCCAAGATGTTCAAGGACTATTACCAAAAGTTGAGGGACCAGGGGAAGAAGCCCCAGTCTTAAGGGCCGACAAAATCACACGACACTCACATTACCCATCCGAAGCGAGCTTTCCGACACGAGTTTTCTCCCCTTACATATCTCATCACCCCTTTACGAACCGTAGGCCGCCCGGATGGTACTGTCAGAAGATTTCAGTAGACTTCGGTCCTGGTTTCTGTGAAAGTCGCTAACCTTCGTAAAGGGGTTGATTAGGGATTGGAAGAAGTGGAACCGAGGAACAGGGATTCTGGATTGGGTTCGATGGTGATCCGTTTTATGCATGCTGGACGGTACTTCTGGGGGCACCCGTGAGGGAAGGTGCCCTCAGATTTTAGACAATACCGTATCCAGCTTTTCTTCATTTGCTTTTTTGCTTTACTTTGCGTGCGATAATTTTCATGGTGATGGTTTTGCGTTTGCGCGTTTGCGCGTTTGCGCGTTTGATTTTCTTCGGACCCGTGTTGGTTTTCCAGTTTAATTGCGTTTCACAACTGCCTTCATATCGTAAGGGCGATGGCATTCGGCGTTTGAGATGACACATGGGGAATCACAGCATTGCATTTGCATAGCGACGGTGTCCTATCGGCATTCGGCCGCGCACGAGGCATTCGGAATGGTCCCACTGGGTCATGGGCATGGCCCTCGTGGCGCTTTCTTGCCTCCAGCGGTTCCATATGGCGGACATGAGGCCACATCATGATGAGATACACCTTGCTGCGTTTTGTACATTAGACATTACATGTTCCCCGATCGAGGGACGAAAAGCGACGGGATTACACATAGTGCATGCTGGGAATGGCATGGGTCGGCACCATGCCGTACATAGATCCCGATAGCGGAATCCCGGAATGGAAAACTTAAACAACTTGATGGTCTCCTTGACTCTGCATTGTAGTTTAGATTCCTTGGGAATGGTTCTAAGAGATCGCGATGATCCCGTAAACGCACGTGATTACTAGTTCTAACCCGGGAATAACGGTAATTACTTTCTCGTTGCATTGGTGATACGGCACAATGCCAGCAACGGCCAGAGCGTTTGACCGGCACCGGACCATCCGAATGCTTTTTATTTCGGCATCAGTTATTTACCGTTTGCCAATGGCTACCTCGGTGTGGACTCCGGCCGCACGTGTGGCGGCCCTGGCAGAATGTTCAAGTCTTCAGAGATCATCGGTTAAGGGAACAGGAAACCCCCGCTTCCGGGCAGCGGAATAAGCGCGGCTCCAAAGGCGTGGAAATTATATTTCTGATTCGGATCCGTCTCTCTTTGAATCCGTGAAGGTCATATACGAGAACCACCCTCGCCCTCACCATATCACCAGTCCATTCGACATCTCACGCCTTCCGAGACCCCTTTCCACGCGACATCCCTCACAATGACCTCCGCGCAGACCCCGATCCCCTTCGCCGAGCCGCCATGGTTGAACGGCCTGCCGTCTCCATACTACAATGAGAGTCACAGGAGATGGCAGAAGGCATGCCGGGCGTTCATCTCGGAGCACCTGCTGAAGAACGCGATGGAGTGGGAGCGGGAGGAGACGGTCCCGGAGCATGTGTTCGGGCAGTTCGCGGAGGGCCTGATGCTGATCCCCTGCCTCCCTGCTCCGCTGCCAGTGGAGTGGTTGAAGAGCCTGGGGATCCACGAGTTGCCTGGTGGCGTCAAGGTGGAGGAGTTCGACTACATTCACTCGGCGATTTATGGCGACGAGGTATGCTACCTACCCTGGTATTGGGAAGAGTTGGAAGCATGACAAGAGGTAGCTAACATGTTCTAGATGGCCCGATCCGGCCTCTCCGGCCCGTCCGGCTCCCTGACCACCGGCATGGCCTTTGGCGTTCCCCCCATCATCAAGTTCGGCAACCGCGCGCTCCAAGAGCGCTACCTCCCCGAGCTGCTCACAGGCAAGAAGCGGACCTGCATCGCCATCACCGAGCCAAGCGCCGGATCCGATGTCGCCAACATCCAGACCACCGCGGTCAAGTCAGCATGCGGGAAATTCTTCATCGTCAACGGCACGAAGAAGTGGATCTCCAACGGCATCTGGTCGGATTACTCCAGCATGGCCGTCCGCACGGGCGGGCCAGGTCCGTCGGGGCTGAGCATGTTGGTGGTGCCGTTGAAGGGATACCCGGGCGTCACCATGCGGAGGTTGAAGGTGCAGGGCCAGATTTCGGCCGGAACGACGTTCATCGAGTTGGACGATGTAAAGGTGCCAGTGGAGAACCTGATCGGTGAGGAGGGCATGGGCATGAAATACATCATGACCAACTTCAATCACGAGCGGTTGTTGTAAGTGTCTGCACTTCCTCAGGCCAATATCTTGGTGGTTAACGCATTCCATAGCATCGCCGTCGGCGCTACCCGACAAGCTCGCGTCGCCCTTTCCGCCGCCTTCGAATACGTCATGAAGCGTGAGGCATTCGGCAAGACTCTAATGGAGCAACCTGTTGTGCGCCACCGCCTGGCAAAGGCGGGTGCCCTGCTCGAGAGCCAGTGGGCCTGGGTTGAGAGCTTCGTCTACCAAATGACGAAGCTGACTAAGGCGGAGGCCGACGTAGAGTTGGGCGGCTTGACCGCCCTCACCAAAGCGAACTCCGGCATGGTACTCAACGAGTGCGCGCAGTGCGCGATCCTCCTGTTCGGTGGCAACGGCTACACGAGGACGGGGATGGGTGAGATTGCGGAGAGGATGTACCGTGAGGTTCCCGGTGTTAGGTAAGCCGCTTCGTTCATTCTGACGTGAGAGGATGGATGTTAACTACGATTCAGGATTCCCGGTGGCTCGGAGGACGTCATGCTCGACCTTGCTATTCGCCAGCTCGTGAAGAACTACAAGGCCAAGACGAAGGCGTTGGAGAGTGAGGGCTCGAAGCTTTGAGTGGGTGACTAGCAGGACAACATGATCGGTCTCGTTGAGACCATGGTACAATATATTGTATAGCATCTCCGTCGACATCGGCTTTTGGCGCATTTACACATCACACTCTGCAACTTCAGCGTCTCTATTGTCTGGATTTCGAGCGCATGGATTTCCAGCGACCACAAAATCTGCATTACCGTTCGATCTACAACCGGCGTCAATTGCTCGTCATGATGTTCTCTGCCTACCATCTTGGGGGCTTTGACGGAGAGATCATCAACTTCAAGTGTAGCGTGATCACGGCCTTGCATTCTGCAATCACCAGAACCTCGAGATCACATTTCCATCCAGATTTGACACGAGTGACCAACATTGCGCCTCTGCCCAAGTTCGACCTCGCCCCTCCCTCCAACACCAACTTCCGTGAGTCGTCACTCGTCACTCGTCACCCTAGCCCATACCCTTGTCAACTGAGTAGTTCTGTTCGTGTCAGTTCCCACACTTCCCAACCAGCTGACGGCGCCTCTCGGCAACGGCACTTTTCGGCGCTTTTTGTCGAAAACACCCTGTTCAGGCCTTCGAAGCTAGTGGATGCAGAGTGCAGGGCCACACGAGCTTCTTACTCGGGCCTTTTACACAACAACTGATTCGATTGGGCTGGCGAAAAAAGGCGATCAGTTGGCTGGTGTACCAGTGCCCCGCAACGTGGCGGGATGAAGGATTGTGGGGTAATGGGAGGTGAACTGGGGGCAGGGGTAGGGAACGGAGGTTTTACCACGTTGGGAGTTGAGAGGCACTGGAGGCCTGCTAAGGTTCTCGTACGGTTGTACGGAGCAGGGAATTGATGCGGATTGCAGAGGTTCTAAACTTTAAGGGAAGAGAGGCTAACTTGGATACGAATTATGTCTTCAGTCAAGTTGCACCAGATCGGGTGCTCTCTGCCAGGCCTTCTCGAGGGGATATGAAAATTCGTTGAGACAGGCCATTCATACTAGGAGAGGTCTCGACTATTGTCTATTGGGCACAAGTACGGAGTAGACTTGACGGAATACAATCCAGGAGTGGGTAAGTAGGCGGGTACTCGCCCTCCGATGTCGTCTCTACTATGGTAGGAAATAAACCTATTCCCACCTCCAAACCCCAGGTTCTAACTATCTCTAGGATCCATGATAAAATCCGGGGAATACACCAGTTTAGATCCCTTCCTGGTTCCTGCCCAAACTCACCCAAGGGGCCAAGTCTCAAAAACCAAAGTCCAAAGTCCCGCAACAAACATCCAGGACCGATACGACATCGTGTGCCGTGAACTCCGGAGTGGAGCGCTTTAGAGCAGTGGTCGCGCTCTTCCCTGTTTCCCCAAGATGTCCAAGCGACGGCGGGATGGCGAGATGCGCGCAATCCTTAGTGCGACATGATCAGCCTGTCAAACGAAGCGTCTCTTTACTTAGCAAAACTGCACTGAGCCGCTACTACTCCACTGCGGCTGCGCAAGCGTTTGACCTACGAAAAGTCCTCATGAACTATTGGTTGGCAAAAGCGCTCCTCGATTGAATAATGAATCAAGATGCTCGAGTCGGGCGATTAGCTTGATAGCTTTCCAGTAAGCGAACGCGGGGCCCCAGCAATGGCCAGTATGGACCTAGATTTTCCACTAGTCTCCTGGCTAACCAGATAACCAGAGGCAAGAAACGTCAGCCGTCCCTGTCGCGTGTGTGGCTGGTTTCTGTCGTGCCTTAGCCTCACGAACCGCCTTCTCCTTGGCAGCGTGGTCCCTCCATCTCCCCACTGGTTCGAGACCGTATGTGGAGAGGCTGGAGCAATTCCAAGGCAGAAGATCAGAAGTGTATCGCCGTTTGTGGAGAAACTGGGGATAGTGAGCTTCGTGACTCTGAAAAACACGGGAGGGAGTGGCGAGCTGGCGATGGAAATGAGACGGACACAACGAACGGTGGGGAACTGGAGATGAGGCTGACTTGGGAACCCGCTCTTTAGGAGGCGAAGAATCAATGATTGACTCGCTAACTACTTCCCACGTTCCATCGCTTCGTGGAGACGTGGGAATTGGAAATAATTAGATTACTAGAGGGTCCATCTCGATATTCATATTCCCGTCCAATTCCCAGGACCAGACGGCGACGGTGAGTGTCAAACTCAGCAGACATAGAGTGTCATGAAGACTGGAGAAGTGTGACGGGAGAAGACCAACACGAAATTGAATGATCAGTGAGGTCACGTGCTCGGAGAAAAGTCGGCAGCGCCAAGGCCGTTCTCATCAATCAACCATTCTGCTCTTCAGTTGTGCAACAATAATTAGTGTGCCATGCCAGGCAATAATGCGGCGAATTTTGGGTTGATCTAAGGGTTGAGGAACATGAGCATATTAGAGCATGCTTGTTGAGAATGATACTCTTCGAATTCAAAGTGAAACGACATCTCAATTTGTAAACTTCTGTTCGACTTCCTACCTACATTATCAACCATCATCATCTGCTCCAACCTTGAGTCTCATATACAACTGGCGAATCCAGGCCAAAATTCACCCGTCGATCTCAATAGTTAGGGGGGCTCAGAGTGAGCTTGTTGCTGATTTCACGCGCCCCTTTCATTTCTCTCCACCTGACGGTCGCCATTGCGGGATATGAGCCAAGCTGGAAGTCGGCACGAACTCCCCCCATGTAGCCATGCACGAGTCCTATTCGATACGAAGACAATCAGGCCGGAGTCGGCAACCCGCTGTGGCGCTCTGAGGCCTTTTTGGTGCCGTAAAGCCGGCCGATGGACCATTCAGGAACTCCTTTCGTCCGATACGCTGGTGCCACGCCGTCATGAACGGTCTTCTCCAGGATAGACCTTTCTTTGGAATCGCGGGGTCCTAGTAGGTAATGGCGTTATTTTCAACCCAGTTGTCTCCGCCGTGAACAATTGGATGGTTGTCAGTCATCATCGTTCTGCTCGAGACACAATTACTTGGGTACATTTGCAAAGCTAAATCTTTCTTATCCAACTCTCGGGATAGCGAGCTGGTTCATCAGATTGAACCGCAATTTCGGTCGGGACTGGCGGCTGGTTTTGGGCCGGTTTCAAATATCACAAACTGAACAACAAACTGAACAACTGGGTCGGATTTGAATCCACCCTGCCGGCATCACGGCATTTTGGCCGTCCGCAATGATGAGATCCATGGTACTTCCCGTTTACCTCGACTGGCCAACGACAGAGATGAAATTCCGTATTACGGTGTATTCTGGATTACTAGGCCAAATATTTGGCAGCATCTCGGGACTTCCGGCCTGCTCAGGGAACAGGACAAATTCACAGCCTAATAATCTAAACGCTAACAAAATGCTATGCAGCCAATTTCATCGAATAGAGTCGACATTCCCTTGATATGAAGGCCTAATTAGGCCCAATCTGTGTCAACTGCATTAGATATCTAAGGGATCGTCTTGTGAACGAAATTCGTTCTACACTTCTACCTAGTCGAATACGACTCCTGGTGCAGCGTATCAGCCCTGCATTCTAGATTAAGTCAATCTACCCCTATACTAGGCGGCGTTATTGCCTCTCATCTGTCCTTGCCTCCCTTATGCTTCTATTTCGCCATCCACATGTCACATATACCTGCCTACATTATAATACCAAGTCATATCACCATGAGGCGAACTCGGGAGCATGTGAACCTTTGTCTTCGGCACGGAGGCGGACTGAGGAAATCAAGAAGTCGGAAATCATCTTCCGAAGCCATCCGAGCAGGGGTCACTGAGGCATGCAGACGACTGTTCTGACCGAAACACGAACCAACAAACACTGAGCGTCAACTGTCAAGGAAGCGAAATTTCCCTCGTGCCGCTCACTACCGTGGGTTGTGTGGGGAGTTTGGGGGATTTGTCTAGTTGGGGTGGATTATTGGGGAGGCTTTGCGGCGCTCGGGATGGCACCGATTCCGTTAATCCGGGGCGTGACCCTAAAGGAGCCAAACTTCTAATACGGAGGGGCAACCACCCGCAAAACCCTCCCCAAATCCCAATGCCCATGCCCCCGCAGAGCGACTTTTGCTAGTTTGGCTGGTCTGAGGTTTCTTAGTTCGGCATCCAACTGGGGCTCCGAGGGGCACATGATTGAGTTTTTTTGGAGACTTGTCGTTAGGAGGCCGACGTACGCCGTGGCCGAAGATTCTTAAGCGCAATGCCGCAATCGTCGCAGACCCTGATGATTTGCGGGGCCCCGACTCCAGTGATGTGAAGTAACCTGTTCCCTCGAACGGGCGGACCTGGATAGCGCTCCAGAGGCCCAGACAGAACGAACATGCGTCTACGCTGGGCCTACTAAAGATCGTGCATCCCCCTGCTTCCCCGTACTTTGTTAGAGACGTTGGATTTTCTGAATCGACCCAAAGCCATTTGCCTGAGGGATTGATATACATATACATCTTGTTAGCCCCTCCGCACGTTTGGGATCTGGGAAGCAATCATCTTACCCCTCCCTCTTTTCTCTTAGTTCTAGTCTTCAAGGCCTACAACCATGGTCGATAGTCCTTCCAGCTCCTCAGACGTGCCAGATATCCAGATGGCTACTCAGCCACCTGCTCAGAAACGAAAAGTTTCGCAAGCAGGTCTAGATGGCACGACTCAACCTCGATCCGTCAAACGACGAGCCTCGAAAGCATGCCAGTGCTGTAGGTCGCGAAAGGTTCGGTGCAATGTCACGGAGCACGGCGCACCTTGCACCAATTGTCGCCTGGACGAGGTCGAGTGCATTGTGTCGGAGAGTCGGAGAAAAAAGTGAGTACGATCCGATCATTTTTTGGGATTTGTTATCCATTCCGAAGCACGCCCTTGTCCGGCTCCTTTCGGCCGTTTTTCTTGGTGTTCATCTCCTGGGTTCGTTCTCGTTCAACGGCAAATTCCACGCCATCTATACAAATTTGTTCCAAGGAGTATTTTTCCTCAAGGACCACTCTATGCTTCTAGAATGCATGTCGCACGGATGCAATTAATTCCCATCCTTACTTGCGGTGTTTGTTCTCGATTGCATACATGATCAATCTCTCCCTCCTCGACCAAGCTGACAGGTGATTCGCAGGAAATGGAGCAAGGATGACGGCACGCAGGGGACAGTCGAAGCGAATGCCTCGGCTCAGAATAACAGCAACGCCAACCTCAGTTCACGGAGATTGGAGTCGCGCAATGTTGCTGATGGGCTCCAAAATCTGCCAAATCTGACCAATCTGCCGGCCGCTTCAGGTACATGCGGGTCACATGACCAGGAGAATGGCGATGAACATGTACCACATTCGATCTGTAAGTGGTCTCCAATATTCTGTAACGCCTGAGATATATCGATCAATGCGTCTCGGGGCTGGTCCCCGGGTGGGAATAGGTGGCTGCTTGGACCGAGATATCTGCAGATATCTACAGATATACTCCTCGCTGTCACCATTCCTTTGGCATCATGGGATGAATTCACGACCTTCATTGGACCATTTTACTGACCATGATGTCCTTCTTTACAGACCAGACCACTTCTCAGCGGATCAACTTGACAATGCAGGCCATGAACCGCCGCATGTCCATGAACACTCAAACAACACCGTTCCCTATCATGGGTCAATCCCCGATGGCCAATGACAACACTCCTTTCTTCTCCGGCATGGCCAATCCTCACATGGCCGCACCGAACATTCCTTATTTCATCAAGCCACTCCCACCGCGGATTGGACCCGATGAGGTGGCTTACCTTGAGAAGAAGGGTGCCCTCACGGTCCCGACAGGAACGCTCAGAAACGAGCTCCTTAAGGCTTATATCGACTATGTACATCCGTATATGCCCTTGCTTGACCTGTACGACTTTGTCATGATCGTGGAGAGTGGGAATGGCACCCTTGGGCGGATCAGCTTGATACTGTTCCAAGCGGTCATGTTCGCAGGCTGTGGTTTCGTCGACATGAATCACCTTCACGCAGCTGGTTACCTGACCAGAAAAGAAGCACGAAGGGACTTCTTCCAAAAGACCAGGGTATGTAACCATCATCGGACCGTATTATTGCCCAGCTAATGGTTTCAATAGCTCTTGTACGATTTTGATTACGAGTCAGATCGTGTGTCGCTCGTCCAAGCACTGCTTCTGCTCACGTATTATTACGAGACCCCCGATGACCAGAAGGACACGTGGCACTGGATGGGCGTTGCGACAGCCGTTGCTCACACCATCGGCCTTCATCGAAACCCCGAACGGTCGAACATGGATTCCAAGCGAACGAAGCTATGGAAGCGAATTTGGTGGTCCACTTACATGCGTGATCGCCTCATCGCTCTTGGGATGCGTCGCCCGACGCGCATCAAGAGTGAAGACTTTAACGTGCCGATGCTCACCCTCGATGACTTCGAGTGCGTTCCGATCCCCGAGAGCGTGACTTGCGTCAGCTCGGATTGCTTGGTTGCCCGCGATGTTGAGAGGCAGCGCCAATTGGCGGTCATGTGCATTGAGAAGGCCAAACTGTGCCTCTGCATCTCGCATGTGCTCAGCAAGCAGTACTGTGTCCTCAACAACAACCAAGGCCTTGTCAATGATCGAACCACCATGATGCTCCTACCCAAGAAATTGGATCCAGAGACATCGGAGGTCCGAATCTGCGATGATGAGTTGCAAGCCTGGTATGACGGTCTTCCTCCGGAAGCTCAATACCACGAAGGCTCGAGCGGCAATGACTCAATCGATCTCAACAAGAGCTTGCTGCACATGGTGTTCTTCACCACCCTTTCTGCTCTTCACCGACCGCAAGTTCTGCCCTCCACGCCGTCAAGTTCGCCGAGTAGCCCAGCGGGTTCCGAGCTGCTTGACCGGTCCCGCACCAGCGTGCGTCGGGCAGCCACCGCCATCACGGCGATCGCCCAGCAGCTCGACAAGCAAAACCTTGTCCGCTTCCTACCGACGACCGGCGTGACGGTCCTCCTCCCTGCCATCATCATCCACCTCCTCGACATCAAATGCCCCAACGAAGAGACCCGCAAAGCTAGCCTCCGCGGATTCTGCCAATGCATGCACGTTATGGGCAAACTACGCGAGCTGTACGCCGCCGCGGACTACAGCACCGCCTTCTTGGAAGCCGCGATCCGCAAGGCCGGCATCCAGATTGGTCCCGCCAATGCCGTCTCCTCCCCTCAGATCACCAAACACGGCAAGCAGCGCTCCAAACCTGCCACCGTCGCCGACCTCGTCTCCGCCAGTCGCTCCCTCGACGGCCTCATCTCCACCGCCCCTTCCACTACCCCCCTAAATCTCGGCACCATGGCCGCCACCGCGTCCGCCCGCACCCTCACTCCACCACCCGATCCCGCCACCCTCTCCCCCGGCCATCAGGCCATGCGCGTCCCAGCCGTCCCTGGCACCATCTCCGACCCCGCGCAGTCCCTCACCGACACGTCCGGGATCCCCGACGAGGAGGTGGCGCGGCGACTGGAGACGTTCCTGGCGAGCACGCCGCCGGGATCGCACACGAGCGAGTCGGGCGCACACGCGGCGGTGCCGGCGAGTGGTGATAGCTCGTACGGGTCGCATGATGACGACGTGATGATGATGGATGTCATGGGCGCGAAGGGTGCGAAGTTGGCCCCTGTCGGCGCGGGCCTGGATGGGTTCCGCGAGCTGAGTGCGAATCTGAAGTTGGATGACCTGACTGGGAAGGATGGCGAGGCGCTGATGTTGTGGGGTGCCGGTGGAGTACCGGAGTTTGAAGGCGATGATGCCGGTGCGTTTGAGAGCTTGTTGGATTGGGAGGGTGTCGCCGGGGGAGATATGGGGGAGTTGAAGTGGGATGAGTTGGATGGCGCTGGAAACGATATTTGGGTCACTGGAGGGCTACTGCCCTGAGTCTGCTTGGTAACGACGGATCGATACGATTTTGCTATGGGAGGTTGGTGTTAGAAAAGTGCATTTTACATATCTGGATTAGGGCGCTTCATTGCTTGTCTTCACGACATCAGACACGGCCGTCGAAACGATTTAGATATGGCTCAGATACGTTTTCACAAATGAAATAAATGTTAATAAAAAAATATGCGCACATCGTCCACTGAATTATAGGAATAGAAACGAATTCAAGAGTCCGCTTGAATTGGTTCGGTGCGAGCTGGCCTCCGCTCAAGCACATCGTACGTCCCCAAACACCCCAAGACTTTTGCTACGGCAAAGCTCGTGGCCTACTCTTATTATACATCATAAAAACCGCGTGTGTTGAGCTCGCAGTGTTGCATCTCTCCTTCGTCCGGATGTTTAATCCGAAAGTACACAAAAAGCTTCGCTATATAAAAGGCCAAAAATCACAAGAGTCCGCCCCGTGGTATGATGACCACCTACCTTACTCTTCCTCTTGCCAACGCCGTTCCCTCAGGCTATCCGCCTTGCCCCGGCCCTCCACCGTCGGATACGCTGACTTCTTCCAATCCCAATACTCCTGCAATCGTACGATTGCATACTCCGCGTAGTCGAAATCGATCTGGGAGATCTGCGCTTGGATCAGCGCCCAAATGCCCCAGTAGAAGCCCGGCAGGCCTCGGAAGAGGTCGACTTCCTGCGTGAGCCGGTCCAGCTCCTCCTCCGGATTGGTTTGCGCGTCGGCGGCGACGCTCGCGCCGGGGGAGAATGCGCGGACGGAGGTGAGATAGGACCGAAGGAAGTCGCGGCGTTGACGGCGCGTGGGGAGGACGGAGTAATCGCAGTCGAATCCACCCCATTCGGCAAAATGGTTCGCAAGGTCGAATGACGCCGGCGCCGGCGTGGCGTATTCGTAGTCAATGAATGTGACGTGGGTATCTCGCAGCTCGTCGATGGTTTCCTCCGGGACTGCAGCTGAAACGTGGGTGGGCGCAGAGGAGGACGTCGATTTAGGGGTGGATGACGGGGACGTGCTACGGCTATCGGTTGATGATCGGGTCGTCGAACTCGGGCCGGTTGCAATGGAGGAAACACCCTTCGGCAAGACGATCACATTCCCGGAGAGGAGGTCACAATGGGCGAAAACCAAGGGCCGGAACTGGCCAAATGTCTCTACCAACCAGGCCAGCTCTCGCTGCAATGCCGTTCTTTGCGTACAATCTTCCTCCTTGTGGCATGGTAGCGCAGTTACCCAGCCTTGTAGCACAGTCCAAAGATTTGGGGTTGGCGCATCGAGGATATTTGCATGGTCGTTCACTAAACGATCAAACGGGGAGGCAGCTCTTTCGGTATTCGTGCCTGGCTTTGCGGAACCGTTCAGAGATTTGTTTATTGAAAGAGCGCTGCTCGCTGGAGGAACTGGAAGCTTCGTGTGCCATTCTGCTAAGCGACGTGCAACGGCGTGATAAACGGGAGGTTTCCGAAGATCGGCTGGCGAGCAGACCGTTCCAATGATGAATCGGTATAAGAGACCGTTAGAGAATCGAGCAAGGAGAGCGGGTGCGAGAGAGTGGTCGGCGAGTAGGGAGTGGGACAGAAGTTCCCCTATTGCATCGTTAGTCGGTTTCGGGCGGAGATAGCGATAGACCAACTATTTCGGTCAATTAAGATGTCCGTTCCCTCTCCATATGCTCGGAGAAGAATGGCTTCCGAATCAACCTCTGATGATGATAAGCCCGGTTTTAGCTTGATCGCTTTCATTAGCTGTACCACACACCAGGAGTTAGCCTCCTGCCCTCCATAAATTCAACAATGCCTTCCAAGGAATTCGGACTTGACGCGGGTTTTGTGATCACTAACCGTATTTGTTATGCCGTCCGTGAAGCGGACGAACTCTAACTTCCCATCTTCACCGTCCCATTCTGGCCGTAAAGCATGAATGAGTGCTCTTGCGGTCTCGTCGCTCTCCTGGGCGGTTGAATTTCTGTACGACAAGGGTATAAACGGAACGCGCGTTTTCGAAGCCATTACGCGCGAATCGAGGGGGAAAAGTAGGGTGCGGAGGTATCAGGACTCGAGAAATACCTTCCCTCGATCAATTCCCAAGGAGAAATTGGAGTTAGTGTGGGCGTGCAGCCAAAAATTGGCAGCACCGAGCAAAGGATGTGGAGGAGTTGATTGTTGAGGTTCTGTGTGCTGCACGTGTAAGAATCCACGTTTCGGAAAGCTTTCGGAGCCCATGTCGTGGAACAGAACGTACCTTGATGCTCCGATCTTGGATGGTTCTAAAGAGACAAGCAGGTATAGAGGTTGGGATGCACAAACGGCGTTATCGGATTCGCCACGAAAGAACAAAATGAGGAAATGTAAGAGATACCTCTAAAACTAAGATGGCCGATGGTCTCGTGCCCACCTTCCCTGACGTGTGGACTGTGGAGTGCCGACGTGGAGGCACAAGGGGAAGCACGAGTGAAGAGAATTATCAGAGAGCTTCCATGGTTGAGAGGTCGAGCTAAGGTTTCGTCCTCCGAACCCGCTGGACCCTAAAGTCTTAAACCATCAGTGATCATCGCTCCCCAGACTTGGAAGATAGGGTCCAATATTTGATATTTCATTCATATGAAACGAAACGAATTCATCCAATACCTGTGTTCTCTCGACTTGAGGTGATGAATGCGAATTTATCACTAATAACAATAGATGGTCGAAAAGGTAGAAAACTAATCGCCAACGCCAGGAGGTTTAAGTACACAGTTGTGCTGTTTGCTCCTCCAAACACATTCTGATCATGCCGTTTCACCGTTTCTAGTGCTGGTCAGTCATTCCAAAAACGATGGAAGTGCTGGAACGGTGAGCAATCTCAAGTGTCAGCCCAGTTGTACTCGGTGACTGGGTTACGGTACCGGTATACCATGGGACAATATAATTTCGTTGGATAGAGGACGGGAAGAATCGGACATGGTGGCTTTACCAGCAAACCGTGAGATTTGCCCTCGTATGAACTCTCAGCTCGAATAGAGACACTAGGGACTCAGTTGATTAGAAAGAAAATTGACTTAATAATAATTAGAGAGCACGATCAAGTTCGTATTGTATAGGTAAAGGTACGGAGTAGCCCGTCTAGCCTTGGAGTTTCGATTCGTCACCGTCATGCTCTGTCGACTGTCAGGAATCACTGTAACGTTGCCAGCGACCTAGAGTTTTCAGGGTAGCAATCTTCAGCCAAAGCCAGACGATATGTTTGTGTGGAAGGATTTAGATAGGAAAAGGTGACAAACAAGAGAGGATACTGACGAATCGGAGATAGAATACGACGGGGACAAGGCGATTTCTGAAAACAGATTGGAGGTTTGGCAGGGGGGCAGGGAGGCGCGGACTGGCGGGGCGACTGCCATTGTTGATCATGGAATATTAATAGTGAACATACTTCAGCTACTACTATAACATACATTTCTATTTCTGCGTACCGATACTTTCGTGATCTTTCTATACGGTACCTAGGTATATACATATAAATTTAACCAGCACGGCCTTCATTCTCGAGTGTCTATCGCCCAGTGCAGAGGAGCAGTTCGGAGCAGCATCCCCTTTCGTGATACAGTTGACCAATGTTCCTCCATCCCCGGGAAAACGAATCCTGGATCATACTAGGACATATTGACCTTTCCAACCTTTGAGGTTCTTATTAACTAAAGTCATGTTGGATCTTCATTGGATATTCGATGCTGAAGCTCAGGATCGCCGAATTTCTAGCCGTCCCGCGTGTAACCTCATGACCGCAAGTCTTACCAACCCTTGCACTATTTCCAACCTCATGCTTGCTGCAGGCACCAGAGATAACGATAGTCATCCGTATCTAAGGCAGCCATGGCGTCGATTCCGTCGGCAAATTTGCCGCTCCGAAGGATCTCGCGAGGGAGGGATACAGCCTGGGAGATGCCAGCTCTGCTGTTATTCCCCCTTCCGCATTGAGGAGACGATATCGAGTATCCAGACCAATCAACAAACCAAATGGCGGGCGAGCAATCGAGCCCGAACGAGCGAACGCATCTCTTGGGCGCTCATAGTGATAGGACGCCACGTCGAAATAGCCGGGCTAGAGAATCGGAAGTACAGTCCGTTGTGGGGAGTGCAGTGAGCAAGGAAGAAGCAGCACTGGGACAGAGCATCATTGGAGAACGACTCCCCTACAGCGAGTATACGACCATCGATTGGCTTCATGACATAGTATGACCTCCACTGAGCTTCCAAACGAATGGGTTCTAGGATATGACGCTGACGTCTATGCGAAGGTCAAATCCTCATACCGCTACCGGTCTCTACGTCCACCACTCACGACACCCACTCTCCGTACCCGCCTCGATAACATCCTCGACCTTCTGACACCATGGATTGCCGTTGCACTCATTGGAGCACTCACGGCCATAATCGCGTTCCTAGTCGACGTTGCCGTCGCCGTCGTCTCAGATTACAAGCTTGGGTATTGTCCCTGGGCCCTGACCCCTCGAGAAGAGTGCGCCAGCTTCCGGTTTTGGTTCACCGACAAGAACATTGAGCAAGTCGATATATCGAGAAGCGGGTTTTGGGCTGCGTACGCGGTTTACGTGACGTGGGCTCTGCTGTTCGGAGTCATTTCGTCGGGCTTGACCATGACGACTAAGAAAGAGCTGCCAACTGCGTCGGCAAACGAGGGAGGGGTCAAGGTCCCAGATACAGGTTCTGGTGAGACACGTACATATAATAATAAGGAGACGGGAAAGATCATGTACATGGCAGCAGGGTCGGGTATCCCCGAGCTCAAGACCATCCTCTCGGGGTTCCAAATCCCGCATATCCTCTCCTTCCCTATCCTCGTGGTTAAGGCGATCGGTTCGATCTTCGCGGTCGCTACAGGCATGTGTTTGGGGAAAGAAGGGCCTTTCGTCCATATCTCCGGCTGCGTGGGCAATCTGGTCGGCGAGCGGTTCGAGAAGTTCCGCGAGAACGGTCGTATGATGAGAGAGCTGCTGTCCGCCAGTTGCGCCGCTGGTCTCAGCGTCGCTTTCGGTGCCCCTATCGGCGGTGTTCTCTTCAGTTACGAGGAAATCAGCACGTATTTTCCCCGTAAAGTCCTCTGGAGAGCGTTCCTGTGCAGCATGGTGGCTGCTGTGGTCCTGAAGGAGCTCAATCCCACTGGAACTGGGAAGTTGGTTTTGTTTGAGACGAAATTCAATGCGACATACGAGCCACTGCATTACGTCATATTTGTTTTCCTCGGCGTCGCTGGTGGCATATTTGGAGGGATCTTCTGTCAGGCAAACTACCTGTGGAGCAAGTGGTTCCGATCGTTTCCAGTCATTAAGAAGTATCCAGTCTTTGAGTGTTTCCTGGTCGTATTCGCTACCGCAGTTTTGCAGTTCCCTAATCCGGTTCTGAGAGAGACTGGCGATACGATAGTGGAGAGACTGTTGGTCGACTGCTCCTCGGGCATCACATATCATGAGTGGATTTGCGTCCATGAGCGGCAGATGGAATCCAGCTCCAATTGGGGCTATGTCGCGTGGCTCATTTACGGGACGCTGGTCAAGCTGGTATTGATGATCATCACTTTTGGCCTCAAGGTTCCGAGTGGTGTCATTATTCCCGCGCTGGATGGCGGAGCCTTCTTTGGTCGGCTCGTGGGGCAATTTGTCCCTGATATCAACCCTGGGATCTTCGCCATGGTGGGAGCGGGTGCCTTTCTCGCCGGCGTTAGTCGGATGACCATATCGCTTTGCGTCATCATGTTCGAGGTAGGGAGTTTCGCATCCGCTGGGGCATTTTGCTAACGCTCTTATAGCTAACCGGTGAACTTGAATTCACGCTACCGAATATGATCGCCATCCTGACGGCCAAGTTCGTCGCTGACGCCATCTCCTTAGAAAGCGTATATGATCTCGCTCAAACCGTCCTGGGCCACCCCTTCCTAGATAACGAGCATGCTCTTCAGCGCGTGCAGCACTCGACGACACCGCTCACCGCCGCGGAGTTAATGCCACCGAAGCAGACCATGGACGAGATCACCATCCACGTCCCTCGTTCCAACAAAGTAAGCCTGAAGCTTCTCAACGAACGCCTGGAGCTCCTTCGACGTCGGGGCCTCCACGACGCTGGGCTGGTGCTGGTCCAAAAGCATGCTGGCGTCGACATCTGCCAAGGGTATCTGGCCCAGGCAGAGCTTGCGTTCGGGGTGGAAGAGATGGCCCCCGTTTATCTTAGCGCCGAGGACACGAGTTACGCACGCACAGAAATCGAGATCCGCCTGCTTGGGTCCGCGGCCGAGTTGGATGAAGCCACAGAGTCTCCAACAGGGACACCAGTGCTGGATCTCACCGCGTTTGTGGACCGGACGCCGTTGTCGTTAACGGCGAATGCACCGTTGGAGTATGCGGTCGAGATGTTTGGTAAGCTTGGATTGAGGTATTTAATGTTGACGGAGGAGAGTACCGGTGCGTTGGCTGGGGTGGTCATCAAGAAGAGGATGGTCGGGTACTTGGATACTCTCGGTCATCATTAATTGATATTCGGATTGTCGAGGGCTTGGGTTGGGTCTAACATGTTGAGTAAAGGTAGTACCTTACCTACCTGCCACTAAGTTCGGATTAGAGCCACAAGTCGTGATGTATGTAGTAGAGCTGGACGCGATACATAGTAGATCAATGCATACCCTTATTACGGCCAAAGACTTCCCGGTATCAATGGCATTCCCTCAGCTTTCTTGACTGATCGAATTCATTACACATACGGTAGTCGGACCCCATCCCATGAATTGGGCTGACGAGATCATAGCCTGTGTGGGGGCAAATAATCATAGCATCGACAACCATGCTCTAGACCGCGACTATCGCTTACTTTACTAGCTAAAGATATGAAGAGTCATTATTTAGGCATGCAGAGAATATCTCCAAGTATTTCTTAAAAGGAGGTATCGCCATGCCACACGATGAGGACGCGTTGCCTCGGATGATGCCATCACAGCTTTTTCAAACCACCCCACTGTTAGACTGCTAACTTCCAAACCACGCGAAAAGGATCTCCATTAACGCTTATTGATTGAAATACTATTAGCCACTGCAACCATGGATGAAGAAGTACTTCATGTCGCGCCGATCGATACGGCGCACTACCACGCGATACCTCCTGCGCCGCGTCATGCCGTTTCAACACATCTTCCCGGGTATTTATGATTTTGACAACTTTGTGTAGTTGACAGGTAGCTAATTGTTAACCGTAGGTGGGACAATGTTATTCGACTTGGAAAGAAGGATCCGGGACTCATTGCTCAATTTGTGAATATGTATCCACGATTTGTGCTCCATAAGGACGTGAAGTCGGTATGAAAATCCTCCAGTGCCAGGCGTAGATGTCTGGCTGATTTGCTCAAGCTCATTGCGTCCGTCCTCCAACATGTCAAGTCGGCAGGTCTCTTCTGCTTCCCGTTTCCGAGCAGGAAATCTGCACAGGAATTCGTGGACTACGTTACGACATCACCAAGGCCAGACGGCTTGGACGCGTTGGATGCGAGCGAAGTCACCATCCGAGGCTTTGAGATCGTGAATCGGCTCTTCTTCGTCTTCTTTCCGGTGACCAAAATCCCTCTGGTCATGAATTTCTGGACGAATACAGGCCTTGGTACTTCTAGTCGGCTGGCGGAAGCGAACCTCGCAGACGGTGACAAGATCCAAGAGGTCTCAATATCCGAAAGCCTCAGTCACAGGAGCTTGGAATCGCCGGCTCATGAGAAGTTGCGAAATCGAATCGTAGATTTACTGCAGAGAGCCCCGTTAGATGAAGCTCGAGCAAAGAAGGTGTCACCCAAAGACGTCTTTTTGTATCAAAACGGGATGGCCGCGATATTTAACGTCCACGACACTCTGAGACGCTGGAAGAAGCTCCCATCCAAGACCATCATGTTCGGAGTGCCGTTCCATCAGACCCTCCGGATATTCGAATACTGGGGCGCCGGTGTGGAGTTATTGCCACTGGGCGCTGAGTATGACGAGCTCGAGCGAATACTGGATTCCGAGGCCGCGGATGGCAGACCTGTGCAGGCCATCTGGGCGGAAATACCTTCAAATCCACTCCTAGTCACTTCGGACTTGAAGCGACTCCGTTCGCTGGCTGACAAGCACTCCTGTGCCTTCGTTATCGATGACACCGTCGGGAGCTTTTCAAACGTTGACGTCCTGGGACTTGCCGATATTATCCTGACCTCCTTAACGAAGAGCTTCAGTGGTTATGCGGATGTCATGGGAGGAAGCGCCACCCTTAATCCTTCCTCGACTATTTACGAAGAGCTCCGGCCCCTTTTCGAAAAGAATTACGAGACTGAAATGTTCTCTGCTGATGCCGAAGTCCTATTTCAGAATAGCGAGGATTACCTGAAGCGATCGACAACACTGAACCGCAACGCAGAGTCACTTGTGAATTATCTGCAGTCATTGACGAAGAGATCGAGTAGCAGTGTTTCTCGCGTGTTCTACCCGACGGTGTCATCGACGAGAGCGAATTTCGATGCGCTCAAACGACCAGCGACAGAAGAATTCGAGCCAGGATATGGTTGTCTATTTAGCGTTGAGTTGGACACTGTCGAGGCAGTGATCGCGTTCTACAATAATCTGCACGTTCATAATGGACCACATCTCGGTGCCCATAGAACCATTGCCCTAGCGTACGTGAAGGGACTCTACCTTACAGAACTGGACCGGGTGGCAAAATGGGGTTTGAAGGAAAGCCAGATACGGATTTCGGTTGGGCTTGAAGATTCCGAAGATTTGCTTCGAGCATTCAAATACGCTGTTCAATGCGCCGATGCTACAAGAAGCACCTTGGATATCTGATCATACTAGAGTATAGGAAGATGAAAGGTGGAGTCTTTAGATTAAAGACATGTTAGATATCAGACTCATTTAGATCGCATGGCTTAAGAGAGCGGAGAAGGGTCATGCTCTGAGCGTTTGCTTCCTTTTTTTTTAGATTGATTGAGGAAGGTACCTTATCCTTCAACCTCTGAAGAGACTTGTAACAAAATAAACGGTCGAAGTCCACGGATAGACCACTGGGTGTACCTCGTACCTTACTCGTGCAAGAAGCCAATCGATGATCCCCTTCTTGAGGGAGTCTGTTTTAAAGCTCACATCCCTATTCTGGTCTGTCATTTCCTGGGCATTGATGGCTCGCTGAAACATGTCAGTTTCTAACTTCTCGATATGCCGGTGCATTTTCACCTGTGTATCTCGGACCAACGCATCCCCCGATATGCAGGCATGGATGCGATCGTTCGCAAGAAGTTTCCGAGCATTTGAGTTGGGCAAGGCAGTTCACGACTGATTATATTCGGCGTCTTAATCTTTCCATTAATAGAGTTTGAAAACCGGCAACTATATCGGTCAGAATATACACTGACCGACCTCCATGCAGTCTCTTTGCCCGCACTGATTTCACTCTGCAGTCTCATCCCTCAGCCTCGTCCCTCAGCCTCGTCCAACAAAGGCTACCCAAGCGTCGATGCCTATATATAGGGTGTGCCGCGGCCTTGACTTTCAAGTCGATGCATGGCTGTGGTGTGATACAGGTTACTGACAGGACTGACCTGACCGGCTCTTTCATGGTCGTCTTTGGCCTGCTCGAAAACAGTCCGTGGTGTGCTCTCATGTTAATGGAGTCGGAAATGGACGAGAATGATGATATATTCGACGAAATTAGCAACGCATTTTCCCGGGACAGCATCCATAATGATAGGGCAAGTATCTGTCTTCGGGGACATAACTGGCGATTCGAAGTGGAGATGTCGGTGGCTTTCCGATGTGCGCGGAGTGCGACAGATGCGAAGTAATCCCTATCCATCAACAGTAGCTAAGGAAAAATCTGCCGGGAAGAAAAAGAAGGCCGGTGGTAAGCGTAGGAAGCGCATCCGGCGTGCGAAATCCTGATAGAGTGGCACATGAGTACTGGGAAACGCCGGTCAGCATAGAATTTGTAACGCTACGAAGACAAAGCGCTAATTATTTTCCCAGTGAAGTTGAAACCCCCGCGACCCTGTCCCGAATTGTATCGTCTCCTCATCGTCCTCGAATGGCGTTGGATCAAGCATGGCCATTTCACCATCATAGTCGGAACCCGCTGATTCGTCATCGTAATCACTATCTTCACTCGCCGTAAAAGTTCCGGGGTCGAGGGTTCTGCTTGGTTGGTTGGATTGTGTTGTCTCCGTGGGATCCTGATCTTTCGGCTTGGGACTACTCGTTCGAGCGTCTGGTGTCGGCAATGCTTTTTCATGCGATACCTTTTCATGGGATTCCCCTTTCTGTGATGTTCCTTTCAGCAATTCCCCTTTTTGTGATGGCCCTTTTTGCGAAGCTTCTTTCAGCGATTCCTCTTTTTGCGAGGGTCCTTTCTGCAATGCTCCTTCCTGCGATACCTCTTCATTCGATACGACTTTATTATGTGGCGCCCCTTGATGCGGCTTCCACTCAAGCGGTGCCTCTCTCTGTACTGAAAGCTGTGCGTTCATCTTAGACAAACCCGGTTGGACAGTCGCTTGTTCGACAACACCCTTCTTAGCATCGTCGATATGCAGGTTCTCAAGTACTGCAAGGTGACTCTCGATCTCGCCTCGAATCTGCGCATCGTCTACAATATGCTGACGAGGTCTTGGCGGTAGCGGAGGTTTTTCTTCCGAAGCGTCCGCTCCCAAATCCGCCCATCCGATCTTTTCCAAGATTTTGCCGATCTTGCTCTGGTAACTGGCATGCCCGTCGACGATATCGCAAACGTCGAAATTCTCGACTCCGTGAACGTATTTGACGGGTTGGAGGCCAGCGACACCGAACTGGATGCTGCTCGCGCGGTATAGGAAGCCTAGAATGAGGTCATCGCCGTTGTAGACATTCACAACGCGACCAGTCACGATTGCTCGAATGTTGGTCCAGGGCCCGGATGAGCCCGGTACTGGACTTCCGATGAGGACGACGTTTTCGATAATCCCGAAAGCATTCTGGGTCGCGAGTTCCAGAAGACAGGCGTATATCAGTCGAGCCCCAAGACTGTATCCGATGAGTGTGACGGGACGTTCTCCTTGGACTTTCGCCAGGAGGGCTTTTGCCAGGACTTTGCCCGCTTTATCCGCTCGAGCCTTGCCGACAGAGAACGGATTATCGACGATGCTTGCAACTTTCAACAGCCCTAACGGCCATAGTCCAGCGGCCAAACTGCCGAGTAACGTCCGCCGGAGGATCTCATATTTTGCAGAATCCCAAACGTATGTTTTCAGGACCGTGTTTAAGGAGACACCCAGGCGAAGAAGTGTTTCAACCTCCCATTGGAGGGCAAAGGCTTCGGACGAACCGGAATCGCAAGCTAGCCATGGACGAGTGATGTCGGATTCCTCATTAATCCATCCTGAAATTCCGATGCTCACTCGCAGATGATGTTCAGCCTCACCGGCATCTGGAGCAGCGTCGTTCACAGTATCCGGCTTGAGCGGAACAAACTTGAAGTCTTGGACTTCCTTCGCGTAGCTGTCCATCATTTTCCCGGTCATTTTGGCACCGTAGGCGCCGAACAACGCGCCGATAATGACACCGTTGCCTGCCAGTGCTCCAAGGAGACCGGACACGGCTCCTAAACCTAGTCCACCGAACACGGTCGAGATCCCCGCGGCGAGGAGGGGCGCTGCTAGGCCTCCAGTCACCCCAATCACCGCGGCACCAGCAACGGCGGCAAGACCGACTTTCCATTTCCGTGCGGTTGCCTCACCTGCATCGTTGCTGTTTGTGTGTGCAGCCAGAGCCGCCTGGAGAAGTAGATGGGCCACATCGCTTTCGTACTTCACCAGATCTTGGTATGTGACCTGAAGACTTGCGGCCAGCTGCAGCAACAGGATTCGAGAATGCCCAGTGTAAGACTCCAGGCTCAAAAGCAGTAGCAGAGCGCTCTGAACCAACTTCGACTTCTGCTCTGCAGACATCGTAGACAATTTTGTGGGGATTGGATCAAATGGAAGTAGACGCAGATTCTGTTTCACTTCGCGTTCTTCTCCATTCGCCCAAGACATGAAATCTTCCTCTTCCTTGGCTTTGGAAACCTTAGCTTGTCGGTCCGCATAAGACTTTCGAGCCTGTCGAACCGTCTCTGGTCTAACGTTGAGGACCTCGCATGATCGTTTGAGAACTCTTGACCGCCAGGAGTCGAAGTATGTTAGGCTCTCCCGCTTTATACCTTGGATGGCCGAAGATGACAATTCCCGTGATCTCTCAGCTAGAACTGCGGCTTCTCCATCCTTGGCTCGTGACGGAACTCCATCGTCTAGATCGATCAAAGAGTGACTCTCCTGTTTCTCCTGTCTCTCGGGCGGTTCGAAGACCGCGCAATGAGCCTTCCGCATCGCATCGGTGGAGAGGAGCAGCAGAAGAGCAAACTCGACTTTCAAGCTCGGGGAGGGAAGGAGGTCGGATAACGAGTCCCCGTCATTTTGAGACGCCGGCGGAGCTTTCAAGAACGAGAGCATGTCGGAATTTACCACTCAAACGCGTCCCAATCGTCTAGAGTGGGAGGCTCAATTCAAAAATCGAAACTGCTGGTTTATCTCCTCTCTGACTATGGGTTCGAAGGACCACCTCGTGCAGTTCCAGTTGACAACTAAGGGCCCGATATCCTAGAACAAGCGACGGAAGGAGGTCAGAACGAGGATAGAAGGATTGGATTCTGGTTGATATACAGGTACGAGCCTTGAATCGAAGCCAGAACAGGCGATTCACTCCGCCTCTTGGCCTCTATCGGACAGATGTCATCATCACTTTTGATGCTCTGTCTAAGCGTCTATATGAGTATTCCCTAGGCACTTTAGGAGTGGTTCATCACGTTTGGTCCTCAGGAATGCCTGGTAATTCCGAGCTGCCTCCCTTACCGCTTCTAAATGAGGTGAACGTGGCTAGAACGCGACACGTCGCGTAAATTTCGGAAGTATCAGCTCGAGCGGTGATTGGTTACACAGCACACGGTTAAATAATGTACGTACATGGATGCGTGGATGCGTCTCGGCCCGCCCTTGTCTGGTCACGTGCCAGGCGGTGCCCCCTTTCGAAATTTCCTGAATTTTGGTTCAAGCCACCACATCGAACCAGAGATCTGCTGAACCCTTCATCCGCGACGGTTACTGACGACGGTTCACCATTCGGTTAATACCCCCTTCATCACGATATGGTCCACTATCGCGTCCACTCCTCTAATCTTTGCTTTGATTCTTTCGCGTCTGCGTAGTCACTCTTTGGACTGGTTTTCTTTTGTTGGAAGAAGAGAGTCGCGTTGAACCGTGGGAGTGAGCTCTGAGCTGTCACCTCCCGCTGACGTCGTACGCGTCCCGAAACCCCCGGTTGCTTTCGGTGCCATCCGAACTCTGCTCGAGGATCTTCGAAGTGAATGGTTTGATCATGGTCATGGACGTGGTCTGTTAATGAGGTTGTTGAATGCAATCCCGACGCGACTTATCACCCCCTTCTCCGGTGCATACGTCTCCGAGAGACGACCGAGGTCGAGACTCTGACCGTGGTGGGATCGTGTCGCCGGGTGAGACTCTATTTGGGACGCCGTCTTCGACAAGGACACTTGCACATTCGAGTCCGGATCTCCCGCCTCTGCCAGCGTTTCCGATATCTGGAGCTTTGCCTTCTACACCGCCACGGACTTCGAACGACGACAAGAAATACTTCACTGCAAGTTGGGGATCACCATATCAAGCTCCGGATCCAAGTAGTGGACGACGAGGGATTGCGCCTGGGAACTGGACAGCGAATAGCGACGACTTGGACGACGAGTCTTCTCCGAATCTACGTTTCGGACTTTCTCACCTTATACCGTCAAGGTTGCCGACCTTCCAAGTCACCCCTACCCGTCCGAGTACCCCTTCCAGTGGGGTTGTAACGGACCAGACGCCTCGCTCGTTGAACTTTGCACCCAGCATTTTCACTAAAAGACCCGCGCGTGTCACTTCGCTGGTACCTGTTCGCGAGCATTCACCTTTCGAGGAGGAACCGGATTTGTGGGTGCAACAAGGCAACGAAGAATCAATACCATCGTCCCCACCTTCCGACCCTCTCGCTCGATATCAAAGACATAAATCCCGAGACAGTAACCTGACTCTCACACCGGAAGACTTTTGGGAAATCGGTCCCATTGGAAATCAAGTCGGCAACATGCATAAGTCTAGGTGGGCCAACCCTGACTCCTCGTCAGCGCCGAAGTCTATGGGATCGTCGGAGCCGAAGCGTCAAGATACAATGGAGTCGGAGAGGAAAGCCCCAGCTCTAGCTAGGTCGGAAGCACTGCCCTTACCCCGACAGGAGACGGAGTCGCCTGCTTCTTCCAAGGGCAGTATTCAGCCGAGACAGAGGAAGAAGATGCAAGTGAAGGGGAAGTCGTGTTTTGTGATGCTCCCAAGCATCCACGATAACCGAAACCCCATGAAAGCGGAGGAAATTGAAGCCCGCATGAAGCGATTTCAAAGCCATGGATACGACACGCGGGGCTATGTTGAGTATTACAAGAGCGATACCATTGCGGAGCAGAGCGGTCACACACAAGATCGTGCGGTGATCCCAGGATTGACTGATGATCATGGCGACAAAGCCCCGGCCAAGCTCCAGGTTGTTTTCCCAGACCTAAACAGATGGAAATCGCATATGGAGGCCTTTCGAGAGGCGAAATTGGCAGCCTTGGGCGTCACCGTTGGTGGAGATTCACCTCAAGAGTCACAGCCGTTGTCCCGTCAATCTTCATCTCAATACCGCCCCTCTCAATTCTCTCCCCCTGTACCTTCGACCTCCGCGACTAGCAACCGGATGAGCTTCCAGGGACCTAATCTTCCGGCTGCATTCACACCCGGGTCATCCAACCATACGTCCACGCGATCGATCGCATCGCCGATGTCGTCTCTTGGAAACCCTCGTTCTGCAATGCATATGCATCGTCAATCGATGTATGCGTCTCCCACCATGTTTTCACAGGGACAGCCGGTTTCACCCGCCCTTTCAGGCTGGCCACAGCAACCATTCCATGGTCAGCAGCTATCAAGAGGCGCGTCTCCAGCCCATTCGGGGTCTCGACCCGCCATTCAGGACGGCAGATCTTCCGGATCTCCGTTCAGCCCACACGGCGAGCTCCCGGGCGGTTTTGGCTATCCTGGAGATTTGTTGGCAGGCGTTCAACAACGACAGCAGCATCATCTTCAACTGCAACAACAACAGCAGCAACACCTGATGCAGCAGCAGGCAAAGCAACAGGCGCTGAGTGGTGTACGGTCACCCCCCGCCCTCGAAGGGGTGCCTGAAGTCGATAACGAAGGCGAAACTGTGGATGAGGGTTTGAAAACCCCACTGGTGAAGAAATCAGAGCCGGAAATCCACACGCCAAAACCCGGCCATCGTCACAACATCAGCGTCAATTTAGAACGGAATGTGCATAGCGCAGGCTACAAGCTAAACGATTATATCGCGCGGGACCTTGCTGAAGAAGTATCTGAAGACTCGATGGAATCGTCGCAGACGAACGCATTCGGACCAAGCATACCTACTGATCCCAGCTTGCTGCCGGTCCATCGTCCTTCGCTTCAGGAACTGCGCTCGCCGCCATCAGGATTGAGCCCCGACCTACCGGATCGCTCACACTCGACCAACGAGCTGCCGGAGCCAAATCACGTGAAGTTCTCCTCTCTAGCGGCGACTGCGGATTCCGAGAACGAGCGCGATGAAAAGGATGAAGAAAAAGATCATGCAACGGACGAGACGAGGACGAACCCACCACCAGGTCCACGACATGCTCACATGCCGTCTCATGTGACAAGTGTTTGGAGCGAAAGCGACTCGGTCATGGAAAGCTTGGCTTCGCAGCACAGTGAAGGACAGAAACAATCCAACAACCACTCCAAGCAGTCTTCCGTCTCGAAATTCAATGTGGAAGCAAAGGAGTTCGTGTTCAACCCCAAGTCCTCATTCAACCCCGGGATTTTCTCTCCAGGTCTCTCGTTCCAGCCGAAAATCGTCAAGCCATTTGGCGGCTCCGATAGTCCCAGTAGCGCATTGACGCAAACCACAAAGTTCAACATCGGTGCCCCGAGCTTCGCGCCGCGAAATGGCGAGAGAAATGGAGAATTCAGCTTCACCTCGCGTGGCCCCGTCTTCAAACCGGACGCTCCGGTCTTCGAGCCGTCGAAATCCTTCGCTTCCAACTCATCCGTCACCGGGGACGAGAATCGGATTTTTACCAATCTCGCCGATGCCGTCAGGCCGCCGAAGAAGTCGAAGGCTGTTCCGATTGTCAAACCCGTGTCTCGTGGAAAATCTGCCCCAGATGAGGAGGAGGATGAGAAGGAGCACTTCGACGCTTTTGATCGGCTCAGTCAGTCCGATGCGAGGTTCAAGCGCTCGAAGCGGTGGGACGATGGCGACCAAGTTCCACTATTCGCAATTCCCTCGTCGCCACCAGTTGTTGCTCAGCACCAACACAGCATTTCTTCGTTCCAGGAGGCAATAGATGACATTGACGACTCCGTTCTGGATGGAGACAAGGTCGAACATCATTCGGAAACTGAGAAAGCTCCCAAGAATGTGAAGGAAACCAATGTTGCAGGTGAAGACGAGACCAAGACCTTGCAAGAGGCCGCAATCCTTCATGATAGTGGGTTCCAGGACGGATCGCTACATTCGGATCCTTCCAGACGCCTAGACGAGGCCCCAGTCGATGTCACCGAAGATCCAGTTGATGTCACCGATGTGAGGGAAGCTGTGCAGCCATCGTTACTCGGCCACGCCAAGCAATTCTCCCTCTCTGCTGCGGCCAAACCGTTCGAATTCAAGCCGTTCTCACCCACCGCGCCGGCCTTTTCTCCTGGTATTGCGAGAACGTCAGTATCCTACCAGCCGCGGACGAGCCTCGGTGATGATCATACCCCGATTGAGAGCGGCAACAGTCATCTCCAATCGCCCACCGAAGTTCATCATCCGGCACCTGCGCTGGAACGTTACATACCAAGCACGGAAGATGAATATCACCCATCTTTCAATGAGATCGACGCTGTCATGAAACACATGGATGAGGAGGGCTCGGACTTCGGCGTGGAACGGGACGAAATCTCTTATGTGCAGTATACACCGGAGAAGACGTCCGCCATCGATGTCAACCGAGCAGATCTGCCTCCGACTCACTTCCGTAGTGATGCTCCCAGCCCTAGTCCCCGCCGTGTCAATTACCAGCGACAATATCGCGCCGACGATGGGTCGAATTCTGATTCGTTTAACGACGAGCGCAACGCTATTCCCTACGCGACACCGATCCACAAGCTCAACGACGCTGCTGACGTTCCAGTCAGCGATTGGGACGACATGGTTTCTTCGACTGAAGACGACAAGCTTCACGCCCGGAGTACATTCTTCGACAGCCACGTGGAAGAATTGATGAACGCTGCCCTGACGGCTCGCCTTGACCCTCTCACTCAGACTCTCGCTGCCATTCAGAACTCAATGGCAAGCTTTAACACCAGCCCCTACCCGCGACGTGGACGACGGGTGGTCTCTAGTGAAGCCATCGACAGCGATGCGGATGATGAAGATGAAGATGACGAGATTCCATTGGACTTGGGCCGCAGTCGCTCTCCGAGGAAAGATCGTCGGTTCGAGAAAATCAAGAACGTCGTGTTGGAGGCCATTGAGTCAAGAACCCCACCGGTTGCGCAAGCATCTGCCGCGCCCGCCGCTCCATTAGATCTCTCTGAGATCCAGGACGCCATTGCCAGCGTCAAGGAGACGATGTTCCACCTGAGCGATGTCAAAGATGTCGTCGAAAACGTGGTCGGAGAGATCTTCGAGCGAAAGCAGGCTTCCGACCAGGACACCACGGCCTTGTCGCTCAAAGATGATGGCGAGCGTTATGCAAACTTGGTCAATATGATGAACGAATCGAACTCTCGTCTTCTGGAGGAGAAAGCGGCTCGTTCAAAGCTGGAAGCGCAACAAGCAGAGACACAACGTGCGTTGAAGCTTGCGGAGGAGGAGGTTGTTCTCCTTCGAGCTTCGGCCGAAGACGATGCGGATCGCTATCGGGCTCATGATGCTGAGGCCCAACACTTGCGATCGAAAGTCGCTGCAACCGAAATCATGCATGATGACTTGAAGGTGGCTTCATCCGGTCTCAAGCAACAGGTTACTGCGTTAGAAGCCACTCTGGAAGAGTATCGCACGTCAAGCGCCCAATGGAGAGACGAAGTCGATGCACTCCGCGATGAGAAAGAAGCTCTCCGGAAGACGTTGGAGACGTTTAAGTTCCAGACCGAGGAGGCGATGCGCATCCGCGAAAACATGCGAGACAGACTCAACACCCTGCGGAAGGACATGACCACTGCCGCCCGCCAAATGGGCGATGAGAAGACGAAGTGGCAGCGTAGCGACGATGAGCACTGCAAGCGCTACGAAGTATTGATGGCACGGCTTGGTGCGGAGGCAAGGACGCGGGAGCGACTGGAGGATGAGCTGGAGCGACTGGAGAAGCAGGAGCGGGAAGGCATGAAGCTTCGCGTGCTTCTTGAGCAGGCTCAGAACGCAAACGCGAAGCTCGAGGAGACGGTGGACGGGCTGCGTCTGGAGTCCGCAGAGCATCAGAAGACGGCGGATCAATATGCGAGGGAGTTCCGCGAGGCTCGCGAGGCGGGACGGAACGAGGTCCAGCGGACACGCATGCTGATGGAGGCTCAACTGGATGCCGCGAGCAATGAAGTCAACATTGTGCGAGCGGACCTGGAGAGCGAGGTTTCTCGCGTTCGTGCGGAACTTGACCATGCTAGGATGGAAGCCGATACTGCGAAGGAGAAACATGAACTTGTCTTGGAGGAGGAAGCGGATACTCGAAGGGACGCTTTGCACGAAGCCACCGTGAAGATGGACGCGACGTTGCAGGAGCAGACAGCTCGTTATGAGCAACGAATTGCCGACTTCCAGCAACAACACCAGCGATATCTGCAGAATGCGCTCGAGGACAAAGAGCGCTCGGAAGCATTCCTCAACGAGAAGCTTTCTCTCGCCGATTCAAAGGCCAATCACCTGCAGGACAAGGTGGTTCTTCTGGAGGAGAGGCTTGAGGTTGCCAAATCCGCAGCTCAAGCCGCCATCGAGGCCGCAAAGTCAGCCAAAGCGCCCACTACTGCACCGGTTGAACAATCCACGACCCCTCGAATGCCAGAGAAGGTATCGGCGCAAGCACTTCGGGAAACAATCCAGGCGCTCCAGGAGCAGCTACAAGAACGCGAGACCCGCATTGAGACGCTCGACAAGGAGCTTTCCGAAGTCGACCAAGAGGCTCCCGCCAAGCTTAAAGAACGCGAAACCGAAATCGGCTGGCTCCGTGAACTCCTCGGTGTCCGCGTTGACGACATCTCCGACCTCATCAACACCCTGGCCGACCCGACTTTCGATCGAGAATCCGTTCGCGACGCCGCCATCCGCATCCGGACGAACCTCCAGATGGAACAGCAAGTGAAGGAGCGGATCATGGCGGGTAGTATGGCTTTCCCCAGCCTCGCCAGTATCTCCAACTTCGCGACCCCGAAAGCCGCCCAGCTTGCCGCGGCGTTTGGGAATTGGCGGAAGGGAAGCCAGGCTCGACAGTTCAGTATCGCCTCGAACGCGTCTACTGCTACGGACTCAACTCCGTCGAAGTCGCTCTCTTCGGCGCAAGGATTCCTTTCGGGCCTCATGACACCGCCTGCTTCGAACGTGAGACGAACACCCTCGCCTAATGGCACGGTGATCGCGCACAGGCGAGGAAGCGTCCGTCCCGGATCCTCCGCGTCAGCTGTGGAGCTACGGACACCTCGACAACGCGGTAAGGCGCGCATGAATCCGCCCACCACCCCGCCATTGATGCGACGTGACTCTTACGACACGGATGCGCAAGCGAGCAGCTTCCCTTCCGGGCGCTTCGAAGACGACGATGCAAGCAGCATTGGCGGGTTCGTGCACGACGAGAAAAGGCAGCCGTTGGACGAGTTCGGGCCAGCCATGGGTGAATCGGAAGCAGACGCGGAGACATACTCGCCGGCGTTCGTCTCGCCCAGACGAACATCACATACAGACTGACATAACGTACCCCAATTTCCTTTGTTGAATTGATATATTCGGTTCGGAGTGCAAACGACCCCTCACCGCGATGAGAGCCCGCACCCTTTTTTCTGCTGGGCTCCGTCTACATGTATTTAATATTTTGAGATTCGTTGCGCATTCTTTTTTTTCTTTCGCTTAAGGTCCCTTTGAGATCGAGAACGCATAATTCTCACACAACTTGATACCCCGGAGACACAGATTGACTCCCTTGCCTGAGAAGAGGACACGGAAGAAAGGTGGTTCATAGAGCTGCACGGGAAAGAAGGGGAGGAATCAGAATGCTTACCTAGCTGCGGAACTGCCTATGGCAGATAATTATCACATGTTTATCCTCAACTGGCACTACTCATCATCTGTATTTTGCAACGTGTTCCGGAAGTGGTATACATTGAAGGTCATGCACTTTCTAGTCTTTGGTTCCAGCACTCCTAGGGACACATATTGGTACGTTTGCCCGGATTTGCTGCGCCAACCCCTTCAGTCCTTTTACCAACGTCTACACACAAAGATATCTCCACCGGTGTCTCCTGTTGACCAGTATCAGCATATGACCGAAGTGTCATACCCATATATCGGAGTTCTCCTCCTCGAATTCCAAGGTCAAGCCCAGCTCTTGTGAGACAGTATTCAACCTATCCATGATATCCCACGGGAAATTGCAGTCGCTTTTACATGAATCACGGGTAAACACAATCTTGATGCGCCGCAACCTAGACCTCCGCTGGCAAGCTAAGCCCATGAATTGCGGAAGCACTCGTCCAGATACGTCCTGTGAGACTCCCCAGGGCAAGAACCAACTTCATCAAATCGGGTCATAACTATAGTAAGCTCTCGTAATTGCGGAGCTAGCAACTGGTCGACCACGATGGGAGGATCGAGCGTTTCGGGCGAAAGTCCGTCTCGGTAGCTGAATGAAGACCACGGAATCACGAGGGTATCCAAGACAGGGGAGCCGGAGACAATAACAGGTCTACCATGCCTTTGCTCGCAATCCGCGATTTTTATCGACCTCAGAGTAGCGCAATGAGGCTCCAGGAGCCACTCGAAAAAGGGCGTGCCAGGTGGTTCGGTAAGATGTACATTCCGACGTTCTACAAATGTAAAGTGCTCGAGTTTCCTGCACCACTGCACGATCGCCAAAACAGCCTCAGGGTTTACTGAAAATTGGCAAATATCCAATGTCGTGAAGGGTGCAGCTCCCTTTTGTTTCTAAAAGGCTATTAGTAGGAGGTCCATGATACCAGTAGCCGAGATGAGCAAGGGGACTGTGAAAGAAGGCGATCAACGCTATGCGAACTTGCCTTAAGTTCCCTAATGTCATACCAGATTAGAGGAGCCGGACCATAGAGTTGCAACCTTCCATGGCAGAGCGCCGATCTGGAGCGCATCAGACGTCTCGCGATTGCGAATTCTTGTTTTTCCCGCAGAATCTTCGTATTGGCGATTAGGAGATGATTGACACAAGGCATATCCCAGATGGCGTCTGGCAGTTTCTCCCACCCACTTAACGTTCCAGGAGGGTTGTTGGCGAGTTTTAAGCATTGGAGATCCTTTGACATTGATACAATATCATTGACGACATGATAAACAGACGCTGGTATCTCCTTACCCCCCATAGCGAGGTCAATGGACAAGCTGTGGCAGAGCGGCCGAAGTGCTGGATTTTTTTGAAGGGATCGCTGCAAGCCTTAGGATTGCTTCTCATAGCCATTGCGAGATCCCCCTCGACCTCTACAAATGGCGATTCTGATATGCGGGTAGAGCAAAGGTTGCGAAATCCGGTAGAAGCGGCGACATACTCGGAGAATTCTGTATATCCCTTCCTGGACATCAAGTCCATGTGGGTAACATCGTAGCTCTTTACGATAATCAACACCAAAACTCTTCCTTTCGAGGACGCGCTTCAGAATATCCTCAAGGAGCTCGTCTGGCAAGCACAAGAGGGGGGTTGTTCGTTTGGGTTAGATGTATCCAGATTTTTGGTCAAGACATTCTGCAGATTCCATGTCACTCAGACTGATGGCCCTTTCGATACAAGTTAGAGGATGTAGGCCCGGGGGGTTTATTGGGGTCAGATACAATTTCCAGCTCCGACGTGAAGAAGAAAGGGACCGGACCTACGGTAAGGCAGACAACCAGAATGTATAAAGGGTGAGCGATCGTCAAATGCATTGACTAACGTGCGGACAGAATTCTGGCACTGGGAATCTAATCCGAATTCATCGGTTGACTCTATTTCTCCATCCACATGGGCACTAATTACTTCTTCCTCCTTTTTCAAACTATCACAAAGTCATTCAAGGCGCCAACGTTAAAATGGAAGAAGTGACGACTCCGGCGCACCAGACACGCCAGTTGCACACAGCACTATCGCCTCAGGGGTCAGGACGACTCCACCCCACACATACATAGTACATTGTAATGAATCTCCAGCGACACTGGGCGATCTATTTGCAAACACGTCTAGTTTTCTTTTATTGGGTCCGTTGGTCTAATGGATGTAGTACTTACCTCTCATATAACGATTAGATTATGCTCTGACGATCTGGATTCAATTCCCTGTCGTGGAGTTTATCTTTTGCTTTTTTGGCCCAGTGTTCTGCAATGTAGTGTTTTGTGACCTCGACTACTATCTCAGACCACGAATATTATTATTGCTCGCGTTGAACTTGCGGGATAAACGCAATGAAACTTTCTTTTATCCTACAGGTGCTTAAGAGCCAATGCCGTATGAGTAATAGCGAGGGGGCCAGAGAACTATAAAAACCACTATCCTTTTGCACCAGGACCTCTCACAACCGGCTTCTGCGCTCTTCTAGCCGCTCACTGAGCAACCTAACTACCTTCTTCGCAGATCCAATCGAAAGCTGGTACCCAGCCGCCCCATGGCCATACGCATGACACACAAGGCGGCCATCGATCTCCTCCAACTCCACCCTTGGCCCTCCTTTTCGTCCTGGCCGGAGACCAACTTGCACGCTCAGCACGTCAAATTCGCCATCCTTGTTCAGCAGCTCCGGCGCCCACCGCTTCGCTCGACGAAGGATTTCTTTAGTCGTCGCTGGGTCGGGCTCGCCATTCCAGTCTCCCTCCTGCTTTGTGCCCCCTAAAACCGTGGTATTGGATCGCGGGCGCGGGATGATGTACATGACTGACGTCTTTGAAGTTGGAGAATCAATCTCGAATGATTCGAGGGTCGTTAGTTGAGTCGCTTCCCCGGCTACTAAGACCGTCTGTCCCCGGATGGGAAACATGTTGGGGTCCGGGACAAGCTTGTGTGCAGAGAGACCTGTTGCGTTAACGAAAGCTGAGATCTTGGGAGGCGCTCCGTGACCAAGCTCTTTAACCCGTGACGCTACCACGTTCCCGGCACACTGAAGTGTTTCCGACAGCGAGCCATGATGAGGAAGAGTCGCGCGAATATCAATGACACCTAGCGCCTGTGCAGTTTCGTACAGGTGCTGGATATACATTGGAGCGTTAGTCAGAATGCTGATAAACGTGTGACCATGCTTAAAGCCTTTTTCCAGCGACGCTTCTGGAATAGACTGATAGGAGAGCACGGCATCTGAAAACCAAGGCTCCTCTGGTAATGCACTATATGATTCAGCGATGAACCATAGGTTTGGTTAGGAAATATTACCCGTAAAAGAGTGATTTACAACGCTATGCATACGTCAGCACCCAAAAATGTGAGCTTGAAATCGATTCCACCTACCGCAAGGCCCGAGGGCGTCTTAGACGAAGGGCCGGTAGCCTCTTCCTCTTCAATGACCTTAAGCCAGTGTCTGTAGCTTTCTGAATCCCATTGCTGCAGCTCAACCTCATTTTCAGTGGCAAAGGAGCGCCATTGAGCTCCCGCCCTACGAATCAATCAGAACAACCATTCTGGAAGCTGTGCCGGAGCCGGCGAGATGTATTTCATCACAACATACCATGGCGAGGTGTATTCTATCGACTTATCCCCTGGAAAATGCTTGGCTACGATAGCAACATCATATCCAAATTGTAGAAGAGAAATGGAAGTTTGAAGACCGGTCACACCGGCACTGAACGGAAGTCAGCTACATAGAGAGCGTGTACGGAATAAACGTCATACCCTACAACCACAACTAGATTCTTATCGGGATTCATATTTTCAACCGCTGAAAAGCTGATAGTATTATTCGGTGAGGCGAGAAGTGGACTATATAGAACGCAATAAATAGAAGATGTTGTACAATTTCGCTCAGCTGTAGGATTTCTCTAATATATGTCGTGATTTGTCTAGTGGGCGGAATGTGGATAGCTCCACCACCCTAGTATGGATAAGGTATTTCGTTCTTTGATACCGAAGAGATCATGCTCTGGTGTTAAAGGAGCATCACTTAGGCACCGAAAGCATGTACACACATCCCATCCTGCTGAGGCTATATTACGCTGAGAGTTATCTATTTCTAGAAAGATCTCAGAGAGCAATTAATTCATTTGGAAACGGTGGAATCCTATGTATTCATTGTCGTCTATCCAGTATACCTAAGGTAAGGCCAGAGTTACCTGCCACTGAATCTAATCCAAACAGCACATATAATGCACTCTGAGTCGATGGTGCTCCATTATCCCTTCACGCTACGGACTTCTCTACTTCCGGGCCTTTGTAAGGGTCAGTTGCTAGACCCATGATATTGTAACATACTGCAGCAGTCATTAGCATGGAACATTCGGTTTCACATCCACGGATAAGAATACTCACTATTAAACCCGAGATCGTCCTGGAAGAAGTTCTGCATGACTTCATCTCCATACTTGAGACCCGTGTCCGGGTGGTATGCCACTGCTGTGGCACCCACCGCCAACGCGATCATCGGCGGGATCGGCGGCAGTTCATCGAACTTTGGCTCTGTACCGTTGTGCTTCTGTACCATTTGCTGGTAGATATTCGACGCGGAGATTGCGCCGGCAAACATCGCTGCACCGCAGCGTTTGATGCCGGACCAGGCGATCATATCGCCAGCCGCGAAATGCGAAGTGTTGTTTGGGATATCGCCGGTGAACTCAAGTCTGTACTAGGTTAGCATGGGCGTGGATGAATTGGTTGAAAGAACTCTCTATACCGGCTGTTGACCTTGACCAAACCCTCATCGTTCAGCGCCCCGGCTGGGATATATGAGCTGGTTGGCATCGGTCTGGAAATGGCACTGATGACATGGCTGGCGCGCATGTGTGTTCCATCGGTGAATGTGACGTCGTATAATGTTGTACCGTCGTTTGTGGACACCGGTTCTGAGCCCTTCACCCGGTGACCAAGTATTACCTCCACCCCTCCCTCAACCAGAAGTTCTTTGGTTTTCTCTGCCATCTCATCTGGCAGCTCTTCAGACGAGAGCAGTCTGTCTCTGGAATGCACGAGTGTGACTCTAACCTGCGGGTGCACCAGCTGGAGCTCCGCGGCCATTTCAATTCCCACTGCACCACCGCCGATTACTACGACCCGTTCTTTAGCTTCCTTGATTGACTGAATATGCCCGTCTGCCTCCACCAGCCACTTCTTCTTTTTCAAGGCCTGTGGAACCGTGGGCCACACACGTCTGAGGCCGGATGCAGCGACAAGATAGTCGTAGTCATGCTGTGTGTGTTCGTTGGAATCGGTTCTTGATATGGTCGCAGTACGGGTATTAGGGTCGATGGAGGTCACTGTTCCTTGGAGAAATGAGACGTCGGTGTGTTTCAAAGCCGGGATTTCAGAGAAAGGAACCCATGCTTTTCTTGCGTACTCTTCAGTAGCTAAAGCGAGGGGCGAACCGATGAGATGGACTATTCAGAGATGTTAGCGTCTTGTGTTCTCTAAATATCGAAGGGGAAGACTAACAGAATCCGTCTCGTTCATCGACGATTGTGATTTGGACTGGAAGCGCTGGCCTGTCCGACGCCGGCCGGTCAGTTGGAGCAGATCGAGCCTTTCTGCCTTGACTCATATCGAGAAGATTGAGGGCGGCAGCCAGGCCACCATATGATCCTCCAGCCACGAGGATTCTCGTTCGAGCTAAGTTTGCTACGGCCATTCTTGCGGCGTTTTAAGAGATCTGTATACTGAGAAAGACGAGGTGGTTACGGAGGAGATCAGACTTAATTGGTACGTGGTAAATGGGCAGTAGAGTGTGAAAAGACTTCAAACCAGGGTATGGGTATCAGGCTACTGGAGAGCAAGAAGAATGAAGGAGGAGAGTCTGCTTAGGACACGAAATATGAGGACATCGGGCTCATGATCACCCCGCAGCTTTCAGGCTAGCGGGGGTCATGAAGAAAGCGACGATTTCATGTTAGTCCCGCCGAAATCGCCCGTGCCGAGCATCTTAGGCCGTTGGGCGCTGGTTTATCATGAACAACCCACGTGCGTCTCACGGCAACCCGTACCCGACTATCCGTTGAGGGGATGGGATGTCCATGTTGAAACCCAGCACAAGCATGGCTTATGCACTTACAAAAATCCGCCTAGTATCTCGCCATGTGCCCTCGAAAAGTCGAAAGACTCCGGTATCGCGGACAATGGAAGATTCGATGGAAGGATGTGGTTGAAACCTCGGGGGTAATTTGCGTGTGGTGGTTCCAGGGCCCCAGTTTTCATGCATGTAAACGCGGATCTGATAACTTTAACGGATCTGATAATTCCAATTGCAAGGAAGAATTTGAATCAGATAAGCCCGCTACGCCAGATACGTCGGAGGCTTCGCTCTACCGGCTTAGTGCTATCCACTCCGGCTTGAAGACCGAGAGCCCGCGAGGGACGAGGGTTTGTGTGGAAATTCATCATGGTTTGTGTTCAGATGAACAGTACCTACACATTCTCGGCAGCATAAAGAGGAGAACTCTAATTCACGAGGAAAAGACACCAGATTGTTCCTGGCAATCGATAATGCCATGAAATCATGAAAAGGGCTGGTATGAGTCCTCCCTAGAATATATGGAATGAGGATTTGCCCAACAGCTCAGTCCTCCCCAAATCAGACTTCAAAAACCAACCTAGCGAGCCTTCGGATGGGCTACTACGTATGGATTACGTTGCTTATTCAAATAGCGATACAATAATCCTCATTCCCGGCGCGTATCTAGAATCGTTGGTTCCAAAGTCCATGCGCCGTAACCAAAAGAGAAACTAATGATAGAGATAGAAGTACCGTTAGACACCCTGTCTCGGACACTTGCGCTGATATCGGCAGTTCTCGAAAAATCCCCTTCTTTTATGATACCTAGTACCTTCATGGATCTGGACATTTCCGTCCCACTTGGCAAATACGAATTGAATAATACTTCGGCTTCCCCTTTATATTTCACTTCGGTAACATGTACCCAAGGTACACGGTTCGATAATGAGCCAAATATCACGATGTGATATCTATCCTCTGCCTGGATGCAGATGGCACCAAGTTTGCCGGGCGCTGGAGATGGAGGAATAAAGACACTCGTTTGTGGCTCCCAATACTCTCTTGGGTAGACTCAGTACGGCCGCCCGGAGTCGTTGATCCTGAATACCCTTATCCAGTTGCTGTAGATCGATGATACCGACCCGGAAAGGGGCTTTCCAAGCACATAGATCTCTTTATACTCGCCGCCAAACTTCGACCTCCTTGGTAGTACGTCAAGCTGGTGGGTATGCATCCTACCGAACTGGAGGTCCGACATCGAATGCCACTGATGAACTACTTTCAAGCGTTCTGAGATAGATTATCGCCGTGTTTTCCTTGTCACCGCCTACACAGCAATCCAGTGAGGCGCGATAGAAAGTTTCGTTACCCCCTAACCGCTCGTCCGGCAAGAGGTATAGTCGTACCCGGATGCCTTTGTTCGTCATTGAAAACGCGCCAGCCTTTCCCCAGGGTCCCTTTGAGTGGATATTTTTCTAATGTTCGAAACACCTCGGTGATCGAGCTAGAAGGCCACTCGTCTGATTAGGCGTCGAGTTTTTCCAAGCAAATAAGGATTGGTCGTCGGACTGCTTCACGATTTCCTGCTGTAGTCAAATAAAAGCCTTGGGGCCTTCGCCATAAAGTAAGGGCATGTTGACGCCGAACAGACCCATGAGGGAGTATGATTGATCCTCGACGCGGGTGGTTGTCCGTCTTGATGCCCACGACATTCATTGTGCAACGGAGAATATCTCTAGATCATGACCAGATAGAGCGGGTTGCGGGATTCCAGTGGTTTCATGGATCAGCAGCCATAACGTATCTCTCCGCCTGAGCCCTCTCCAGTCTTAGGAATAATAGAACCTGACGGATTTGGGTGCAAGGAGCTCTTGGAGTGTCCAGCCCCGCGTGAACCATCGACTAGATTTGAACACGATGCTAGAATCGTGGGAACGCAAGGAGCCCGAGTTTGGGATGTCCACGTCGGAGAGGTAAGCGCTGCAGGCAGCGGCTTCCTTATACCAGAGATACATGGAGTTGATTGCCTCTGAAAGCTCCGCGCTAGACGTTTTGTCAATACAGCAGGTATCCACCCAGAAATAATCACCCTGCTTTGAAGAAACAAGTTCCTTAAACTTCAAGATTTTCTGCAACCCCAGCTTTTGCTCTCCCGCTCCATTCAGGACGTCTTGATACGGGATTTCCTGATTGTTTGGATACCAAGTATGGGATATGATGTAATATGATGGGATGTCCGAGTAAAACTCCTCGAACTGGAGTCCGGGTTTCTTCGAGTGGAGGAGACCCATTGGATGGAGCTGGTGTAGGTGTTGGCGAGATGAGAACGGCGATAGGTGATATACACGAGCGCTCACCAAGCTACCTGTCACGTCCCTAGGTGATCAAGGTCTTACATGGGCAGCGAGTATCGGTTTGCTTTCACGGAGTAGGTCGCGGGTAGGATAGTCCGAGGATGCGTTGTCAGTTGTGTCTTTGCTCTTTACTAAAGACCCTGATGACGATGGTCAGATCTCTTCCATAACAAGGCTGAGGAAAGCGTCGGTCAGTGGGAAAAGCGAACACCGCCCGGCTCCATTACTTCCTCTGCTGTTGAGACGTGGTTGAGAACTTGAGATCAGTTGGCCGAGAGGGGCAGAGAGCGTGAGTACTGAGTCGGCATGGCTTGACGAATGCGGTTTAGCGTCACTTCTCCCCGATTGATCATTGATGGCTCGTCTCCTCCATGTCAGGCCTCGACGTTCCTTTATTGAACAACATCAATTCATGGCCAAAACAGCACGGTGTGAAGAACCTTATTTGGAACCAGTGAATCGGAACGTCAATTCGTCTAAGTTAGCTACATACTCATCAACTATCTCATAACTCGACCTCGGCGCTGTGCTAGATGCCGCTCAGCCGTCCCGTATGCCGTTAATGAATTGACTGGATACCTACCGACGACCTAGACCTTTTCCACTCCGGATTCAAAACGACCCAAATGAAATATCGCAGATCATCCGGGGTTGGCAAGGGAATATTTGATATCTCATTAACATTTCGACCAAGCCTTTCTAATTCTCACCAAGCGTATTCTATTCTATCTTGACAATATCTGCCAAGTGATATATCTGAGGGACGACGCAAGGGTTCCTCTTCTAGGTTGATTACGTCGAACGCGACGCCAGATTTCGATATTGGACTGGCTTCTTTTATACCACATTCACTGCCAATGTGGGGAAATGCGATTTTTCGTTCCTCGAGTCTGTATTCAAGGCGCTCTGATTTGTCTTCAGTGTCGACCATCCGGAATAACGATATTTTCATATGTTATTTGGCCAGTCGAGTACTTTGCAAACCCCTGGCTACTATATGAGTCGAATATCCTTTCTGTTCTGGAAGACTCTAGTTATGCTATAGGTTCATAAGTATTGTGTAACTCATCCAAGTCTGTTGACTCCTCGGGCTTCTCGATATAACTTATGCACAAAAATGAAGGGGCGATAGCTCGTCTATAATCAAAAGCGGGATTCATACATGATTCTCCTTTCTATAGATTATTATAAGTATCCGTGGAGTATGGAGTGGAAAATGTCAGGCCGCACCCTTCACAGGATTCATTTGATTGTTTTCAGTCTGTCTACAAGTTCGTTGTGAGTCACGATGAAGCAATTTTATTTCCTGTCCTTTTCCGCCCTTGCGGGCGCGGTGGCTATCCGAAAGGACCATGGTCAGTCAGACTATTTCGGCCATCACGAATTACTTGCATTGACACCGAATTAGCCAAACGACAAGACTCGGGCTTGATCGGAGCCTTCGTGGGGTCGTTGGCCCCGAAGGAAGCCATCACCGCGAACTTAACCAAGACTCTGACGCCGGAGATCGACCCGAAGGCTACGCGCGAGCTCAAAGTCTGGGGACCATTCAGAATGGGGCCTGCAAATGTCTGTCAATCCTATCACCGATGCCGCTCTTGGCACTTCTTCCCTTCGCACAAGCAAGCTAATATGTCCAGGGAACTCATGCCCCAGTCGGTGGCCTTAAAGCAGACCCAACCACCGACGCCTTCTACTTTTCCCTTGCCGACGTCTGCAAGGAATGCATGGTCCTGGGAGGTCAGGCCCAAGTCTCGTTTGCCAATGGATCCCGCCAGGACACCACTGCCGGCGTGTACACCCACCATCTGATCACGACAGATGTCGGGAGGAAGAGCCCTCAGTTGCCAGTGACTCCAGTCTGCCCCAATGGCACAGCCGCTGCACCCCCGGGCGGAGCGTCTGGTATGGGCGGTATGGGCGGTATGGGCGGTATGGGTGGCATGGAAGGTGCTGGTCACTCTCACGGACGGCGTCACTCTCTCGGACGTCGTCAAGATAGCACGGTTATCCCCGGATTACCTGAGGGGGCAGCTTCTATGGCCGCGTCGATGTTCGTCTCATCGGGTGAAGACGCCTCCCCATCATTCTACGCGTCCAACGACCCAACTGTTAAGACTGGGTTCTACATCGCAAAAGACGACAAGATCAGCGGCATGCTTGAACTTGTCAACTATGACAACTGGGAGAAAGACATCTATATGGCCTTGGACTACGAATACCTCCCTGGCCCACGTGAACCAGGATGGTTGGATGTTGGCAAGGGAACGGTCAATATTGACGGATGTGGTGGTTCAATTGATTTCCATCCGCCAGCAGACCGTGCCGTGACGTATAACGGAACCGACTGGAAGATCGGAGGAGACGGGTACGTGTTGAACTTCACCCCCCATCTCCACGATGGCGCGATCGATGTCAATATATTTTTGAATGGAGAGTCCATCTGCAACTCCAAGGCAATCTACGGCAATGGTGAAGGGAAAATGGAAGTCGATGGTGAGGATTGGGAGACGATTACGGCGTATGAGCCATGCGAGAAGGCGATCAAGGTCAAGAAAGGCGACATCATGAGGTTGGACTCCACGTACGACTTGACCAAGCACCGACTGTAAGTGATCCCCGCCCTTGCACTGTTTAAGCATGAATCCATGCTGGTTCCTTGCGTCTTTGGACCTGGCTAACAACATGCTTTATAGCCGACCGGACTCTCAGAATCACGAGATGGGCGCAGAGGCAATGGCGCTTGCTGCGTTTATCTTCGCTCTGCCTGAAGAAGTCGCAGCAACGCCCGCGGATCCGGGGCATGCTCATTAGCAGCTCGAGGGGGTGGTGGATGGTGGATAGATATCTCTACAAGTAGGGCAATGAAAATCGTGCAATATGATTATATGAATTAGTTGCCATCAAATGAAATTGTATCATGGGTGTATCAGTTAAGTGGGAGAGCCTTGCCATGCCGTGGCGGAAGCAAATCATTGAAAGTTGAAACCGAGTGCCAATCCTTGTGAGTTGTGAGCTGGTCCTGAAGGTGATGGCCAGGAGCGGCGGAAAGTGCGATTTGTTTGATCATCGTATCATGGCATGCTCTTGAAATTCTTCGTAATTACACGGCACAATCATTCGAAGAACCAACGCCGATCACCAGACGAAACACCAAGATGCCACTCTCCGTGTTGATAGACAAATTATCGTTGACCGATAGGTATGGCGGCTGAAGTTCATCCTGAGATGTTGGAGACATCGCGCACGGACCACACTGTTTTGTTTACACTTTCAAGATCGCCCGCATCCATTTTAACGTGGAGCTACATCATTCAGCATTATTATTTCCACCATGATTTCAAAGCCTACCAGGCTCATATTTATTACATTGGATAGCCGGACATCTATTTGAAGGATATTGCTAAACAATGGATTTCAACCCCAGGATGAGCACCGTCCGCGGATCCACAAACCACAAACAGTCGCATAAGCAACAGGAGGAAGATGCGTTCATGAACCTTGTATGTTCATAACCATAACAATGTACAGATCGTTGAATATACTGACGACAGTAGCCTGACAAAGAGATCGCATCATGCATCAGCGACATCGGCCTCAACTTCACCCTCGCCGACCTCCAAAAGCCCAACCCACAACAGATCCAGAAGGTCTTCGAATGGTTCGCTGAGCTGCTCATGAACACGACACGAGACGTCGTCGCACCGGCGATGCGTGCAGCAGCAGATGATATAGCCGGCCAGAACGCCGACGGAGTATTCACAAGCGACACGCGCGATCTGATGGGATTCTTCGTGCAGTTGCGCCGCTTGCTGCAAGAATGCCAGATCAACGACTTCACCTTCAACGACCTTTACAAACCGACGTACCCCCGCCTCGTCAAGATCTTCAGCTATATCATCAACTTCATCCGGTTCCGCGAGTCGCACACTGAGACCATCGATGCGCACTTCAATAAGTCCGAGCGCACGAAGCTGCGCATCGAGCAGCTCTACTCCGACAACGCCGCCGCCGAAGCCCACCTGATCTCCCTCCAACGCCACCGCGAAGCTACCGACGCCTCCTTGCGCGAGAAGGAGAAGCGCTCCAACGAGCTCAAGCAACGTCTGCTCGACCTCAAGAAAGGCCAGGAGCGCGTGTCCGAGCAGCTTGGCCTCATCCGCGCGGAGCAGAGCCGACTGAAAAATCTACTCGAGCAGAAGACCGAGTCGGCGATGGCGCTGCGGCAGGAGGCGACGAAGCTGCGGCCGTATACCACGCAGAGCCCAGCGGCGTTGGAGACATCGCTGCGGGAGCTGAACGCGACGTTGGCGGGCGACAAAGCGAGCGTGGAGGCGCTGGACCGGCGCGCACGTGCATTGCAGACGTCGGCGAACTCGTTCACGCAGGTGACGACGAGCGTGGTGGACACCTCCCGGCTGCTCAGCGAAGTGTCGGCGGACCTCGCGAAGGAAGACGAGGAAGGGATGAAAGCGACACGACATCGGGAGGCGCTGTCGGAGCGGTCGAACAACGTGCGGGAAGTGGAGAAGCAGGAGCAGCTGCTGCGGAAGCAGTTGGCGAGCTGGCAGGCGCGGACGGAGAAGTTGCGGCGGCAGGCGGAGGAGCGGGGGGAGCGGGCACGGGAGCGGATGGAGGTGTTGAGGGGGGAGCATGAGGAGTTGAAGAGGGAGAAGAGGGAGAGGGGGCAGGAGGTGGAGAGGAGGAGGGTGAGGATCGAGCAGGTGGAGAAGAAGGTGAGTGGACGGCGTAGTTGGATGTGGGCTGTGCTAACTGATCTTGCAGATGGCCGATCTCAAGGAGAATATCGAGAATGAGGTTAACCACGCGAGGGATGAGTATATGAAGATGGAGAGCCATATTCGGCTCTACGTCACCGAGATGGAACAGTCCATCAATTGAGGTGGGCTTCTCCGTGGATCGCGGGTTGGGTTGGGGGTTTGGGCGCTTGGTTGGCCTCGATATCCGGGAATATGACTTTTTCTGTAGACATAGGAGTTTACGAGTACGGATGGTAATGATACCCTTGCTTGATGATTTGGAGCCTGTCTCTAACAATATCTCTCCGTGTTCATAGTTCGGGCTGAAAGGAGCCAGATGAGTTGATTTGCTGCTCCCGAACGAATGCTTACTGTATTAAATCATGCGGGACAGATGGAGACCTTTTACGTTTTATGATGAATGCTACGCCGTCGAACGACGGGCTTTGAAATTGTTCTGGCCATGATAGCATCAATACCAATCGGTTGCGCAACGACAACGAATGTTTCATCAATGTTCTTCTTATCCTCCCTCAACGCCATCTCCAATATTCGCCTATCCGTATGCAAGCCCTACTAAAGCTACCCATTCGATGCCCGCTAAAACGCCTCAATCACTGCCCGCGCGCCAAGTACCATCAGTAATCTCTCGTCCTTAACGATCGAGGTCGAAGATGCGAGAGTCGACTAATAGGCGTCGGGCAACTGTCATCTCCCAGTTAACCTAAGTGATTTAAATCATGACCTCAAGTTTGCATCGCATCACCATGAGCACCATGAGCACGTCGAGAGTGGCTCCCATTGACAGCGTCATCTTCCCCATCTTCCTCTTCGTCATTATCAAGGCCCAGTGGGATCGTCTTCGGTAGATGCAAGCCCTTTTTGCGGGCCTCTTCCTCGGCCCACGATCGTAGCTTAACCAACCCGCGAATCCGTGCCTCTTTTGGGAGGCCTTGACTCGACAGAATGGCTTCGTTGACTTCAATTGCGACTTTTTTCTTCAAAGCTGGGTCGAGGAGCTCGGACAACTGAGCAGGCAGGTTGTCGTGAGAGAAGATCAGGAGCGCCATGGTGTGTTCGAAGTCTGAGAGGAATTTTGGATGGGTGGGTGCTCGGGGAGCTAAATGTGTTGTGGCGAATGTAAGGGCTTCGGTGATGTCGGTGTTAGGCGGGGTGGTACATTTCCGGATGAGTTCGATTAATTGGAGACGGAGAAGGGAGAAGTGAAGGGAGGCGTTGAGGTCGAGGATCTAGAAGTAGAGATTGATCAGCACACATCTCGCTTAAGAATGAAGATATCGAAGAGATGTATCTGAATGCTTGATCATTTTTAATGGGTTTATTGTTTTCGTCCTCATCACGGCCACAACGGACTATGAGTGGTGCATGAAACAGCTTTTAATCATTTCAAGCTTCAAAGAAATAGTAGTTCGACGTACCTGAGGGTCTAACTCGTTGATCTTCTCTATTGCGGTCTGAATATCGCCCGCATGGATTGCATCTCGAATGGCGACTCGGTCCTCTATTGACACGATTTCTGGTGTAACTGCAATGCCGGCTTCCTTGGCGAATCTCTTCGCGGCAGAAGGGTAGCCAGCATTGATGAGGTAGTCCATGATGAGCGCATTGATATCCCTGTGTGTGGTAAAGAGATGAGTTAGATGTCTGAACAGCATGACGAAGAATGAAGGGGCATCAAAGGTAGCGAATAGCTTCCACGTTCAGAAATAAGTTATGTAGTACTCCTCATGTAATTATCGGAGAGATTCCCAACTTTGTAAAGATACATCATGTGAAGCTTGAAGGATGAGAGGAAGTTACATACCCTTTCGATGGACGCGCCTCCTCCACCCGCCGCTCGAAGGGCGTACGGGTGAGAGTTGCTGTCGACATGGTCGATGAGCCTAAGCTCTGTAGAAGGGTTAGCGAGGCGTCGTTGTAATGTGGGTTGACCGGAAGGGGTTTGTTGAGATAGGACATTCAAAGAAGATTTCATTGAAGGACCAAAGGCGCAGATGAACACATACCATATTTCAGAGCCGTAGCGCGGTCCTATATAGAGCACGCGAGATGAAGGTGCAGAGGACGAGAGAGTGTAGATGGAAGGTTTTGATGAGAGGGAAGTGAGGATGAAGTCGGTACAAGCTTCAGAGCTCACGACAGGGAGCTTATCCATCAGCTGGCAAGGTGAAGGATCGCCCTGTAGGACATCTCTGACCACATTTGGCTAACAGGCACATGGAACCTGAGGCCAGATGGGTCGAGGAGGTTTTAGACAACATTGTTAAATGTGTTTGAAGAAATTGTGAGGAAGCGAGGATTTTCATTTAGCTTTTAAACTAGTTTTTGTATGCACACTCTGATTTGGGTATATTACCTAGTATTGTTCAGATTCTTATATATTGGGGCAATAGCTCAGTTGGGAGAGTGTGTGACTGAAGATTCGGTTCTGGAGTATCATAAGGTCCCTGGTTCGATCCCGGGTTGCCCCAATTTCTTTTTGTTTTTTTTTGCATTTATCTTTCGATCAGATTGATATGAAGCGTATTAGCCATCTTTTTTATTAGTTGAATATACCTTGTTCTGTGTTGCCTCACCGTTGAGATTATTGATCTGACGTCTGTCTGTTCCCGAAGGTATATTTGATCGGTGAAGGAGTCATCATAAGCAACCACAACGCGTAGCCACTTGTTGTGATCCCACATATATATACTTTCCACTTGTGCGAACGAAGGCATGGGAAGATGACAACAGATTCATTAGTATCCTTGAAGTCGCCTAACGCTGTCGAGCGAGCCGAATACACGCCGCCATGGGCGAACACGAGCATCGTCGGTATCGCAGGTAGCTCGGGATCAGGCAAGACATCGTTGGCATTAGCCATTGTCGCGCAATTGAATCTGCCATGGGTTGTGATTTTGTCGATGGTATGGATTGAACATTTGCTATTCATCTACTACATCGTCTCGGGTACCTCTGCAATAGGAAACATCAAGCTAATATCGGGCCCAGGACTCGTTCTATAAAGTCCTCACGCCCGATCAATCCGCCTGTGCATTCAGGAATGAATTCGATTTCGACGCGCCAGAAGCGATTGACTTCGACGTTCTGGTGGATCGATTAAGGGATATCAAAGCAGGGTACTGATCCAGCCTCGTCCCCCTCCCTCTGATTACCTATGCTATGCCCCCAACAGTGTATATCATGCTCACAACCACGCAGAAGAAAAGCGGAAATCCCCATCTATTCCTTTGAGAAACATTCGCGACTGGACAAAACGACCACCATCTACTCCCCGCACGTCCTGATCCTTGAAGGCATCTTCGCCCTCCACGATCCCCGCGTGCTGGACATGTTAGATCTCAAGGTACCTATCTCCCCCTCACTTCCCTTACCTGTAATATTCGTTCTCCCTCTCCGTCTCACCATCCATTTATAGATCTTCGCCGAAGCCGACGCCGACGTCTGCCTCTCCCGCCGCCTCCTCCGCGACGTCGAGCAGCGCGGCCGCGACATCGCCGGCTGCATGAAACAATGGTTCCGCTTCGTCAAGCCCAACTTCCACAAATACGTGGAGCCCCAACGCCACGTCGCGGACATCATCGTGCCGCGGGGAATCGAGAACCCCGTGGCGATCGGGATGATCTCCGACCGGGTGCGGAAGATCCTCGAAGATAAGAGCCGCCGACACCAGGGCGAGTTGCGGCGGCTGGGGCAGTTGGCGAGGGCGGAGGGAGAGGCGCGCGGGGTGGGGCGGAATGTGGTGGTGGTGGAGCGGACGGCGCAGGTACGGGGGATGGAGACGCTGGTGATGGACAACGATCTATCGCGGGAGGAGTTCGTGTTTTACTTTGATCGGTTGGTCGGCGTGCTGGTGGAGCGGGCGGTGGGGCTGCAGGCGTTCCTGCCGAGTCAGGTGGAGACGCCGCAGCGGACGCTGTTTCTCGGGTTGCGGCCGGCGGGGGAGATCACGGCGGTGGTGTTATTGCGGGGGGGTGGCGCGCTCGAGGCGGGGTTGAGGAGGGTTATCCCGGATTGCTGTACGGGCCGGTTGCTGATCCAGACCCACGAGGAGACAGAGGAGCCGAGTCTGCATTTTCGGAAGCTGCCGCCGGATATCGGGCGGCCGCGGGCGGAGACGGCGGGTGGGAGTTGGCGAGATGGGGAGAGTAGTGGGAGTATCAGTAGTCGGGAGGGGGAGGGGGGCTTGGTGCTGTTGCTGGACAGTCAGTTGAAGACGGGGGGCGCGGCGCTGATGGCGGTGCGGGTGCTGGTGGACTTCGGCGTGCCTGAGGAGAAGATCGTGATCGTGTGCTACGAGGCGCCGCGCGTCGGGTTGAGGCGGATCTTGAGCGTGTATCCGAATGTCAGGGCGGTCGTGGTGCGGATCGTGGAGGATGGGAAGGTGACGGATCGGTGGGTGGAGCGGAGGTATTTTGGGACTTGATAGGGGAACCGATTCTAGACTTTCGTGCTAGATGAGAACATAGGATGTAATGCATCAACTTGGAAGTAAGGGGTCATAGAACGAGATGGTTTACTGATCATTACAATTTTTTTTAGCGTCAATTCAACGACCGGACGAGCTCATCCGCAAAAACCGGGCGTGCGACTAGGTAGATATATAAAAAGAGTGATGCATTGTTTTGCCAGTAGAGAACTCCGCTCTCAGAAAGATCGGGAACCCGGACGCCGTTCACACGAAGACCATCCCGTCAGGAGCGACAAAAGTAAAAGAAAAAAAAGGGAACCAGAACGAAAGTGCATGGCCGAACTCGACCCAAATGCTGGTATCTACCTGGGAAAGCCCCTTCAACCTCCGAATTTTGTAGACGTGTCCGGATCTCCCGACTCGACCAATGTAGGCCCTCCGTCAGCAACATCAAAGCCAACCCCTCTCTCACAAGGAACCACCGAACCCACCGCTCCGTTACCCTTCAAGGGCCCGAACCCTATCACAGAACCCCCGAGCTCGAAACTTGAAGCCGATAGGAAACCATCCTAACCGAAGAAAAACGAAATACCCGCCCCCACCGCCAACGTGGCCGCCAATCCGGCATAAGCTCTCGTCCTGACCTTCTCTTTCTTCACGACCGCCTCCGTCTTCGCCTTCTTCACACTCGGTCCTCCGGCCGCGACCTCCACCGCCTCCTCGGCCTCGCCCTCCTTCTCCACCTCAATCTCTTCCGCCTTTCGCTTCGCGCCCCGCTTCTTCGACGGCCCCTCCAACTTCTTCGCCTCCGATACCATCTCGCTCGCCGTCGCCACGAGATCCCCCGTATCCTGCGGCAGAGGCAGGTCCGGGTGCTCCGCGGGGATCTCCACGCGCACCGCAGTCGTCGTCACCTCCTCCGGGCCGCGCGACAACACCGCCTCGTCGACCTCCACCTGGACTCGGTCGTTCGGCCCCGTGGCCGGCGCACTCGTCTCCCCTGCCACCGCCGTGCTTCCGTTCGTCACGACTTGCTGAAGGGTCTTGCTGGCCGCGCTGGCGCCGCGCGACTTGCCAGCGCTGGGTTTCTCGGTGGCGGCCGCCTTGCCGTCTTCGGTGGGCGTCGCGTCTTTCTTGACAGTGCGCTTGCGTGGTGAGGCGATCTTGCGGGCGGGGGTGCCGGAGGTTTTGGAGGGGGAGGCGGAGCGGAGTTCACGGCGGCGCGCGGAGGTTGGGGGTGGGAGGGAGGCGCCGGAAGGTGGGTCGGCGGGGTTGGTGGACTCTTCCATTTCTTTCTTAAGGAAGCGCGGAGGGACGTTGTAATCTGGGGGGGATGAGATGTCGAGGTGGGCATCTTTGCCGGGCTTCTCGATGTTCTCCGAGGAGAGGAGGGCGATGATCCAGGGGAGCATCTTGTATTCGTCGGAGAGTTTGAGAGCTGGTCGAGAGCGTCAGTATATTGGATCTGCGTTAGATGCGCGTCGTGGGGATGGCTTACCATCTAGTGGAGAAATCCAGACGTTTCCGGCAACCTCGCTGGGACCAGCAGACTTCAGGCTCTTATGGTGAAATCGCTCTGTGGTCTCCTCTTGCACGGAAGCCCAGGGGAAAGCTGCCTTGAACATTCCCGTCGCGCTGATGAATCCATCGCTGCTTCGTCTCTGTATCATTTCCGTTAGCCCATGACCTTAATTCCCACACGCGACATCAAAGCGCGTCATTTCGTGGGGTTCGATTGCGCAAGCGAGGGGTATCCTACCATCAAAAAATACGATTCCGGGTATGTCTGGTTTTTCGCCGTGAAAATGCCCGAGCCCTTGAGGTCCTTCGGCAGGGGCACGCGCAAATGCGCGTAGTCGAACTTCCCCAGGTTCTCCGCATTCGACGCGTTGGCGACGCCGGCCTGACCCGGTTTGACGGAGAGATCGGTCTGGCCGAGTTTGCGACGTTCGGTCAAAATCTCCTCTGCGATGCGGATTAGGTTAGTTGCGAGGCTGCGACGCGCTGGAGTTCGGGCGAAGGACACGTACGAGGAGGAGTATGCTCAGCATCGACCAACGGGTTGCGCTTCTCGGGCAAGTCGCGCTTTGGAGCCATTGGGAAGATTGTGCGACACGAGGATGATTGCTATCCTTGACAATAGGAGCGCGGACGCTGAGGGGGATTGAAACGGGTCGGAGACGGCGAGCAGCGCGTGCGCAGACTGGCGAATGAGACGAGACCAGCGCAGCAACGTATTAACCACTATATGAAAGGGTTGAGAAGAGAGGTGGTGCAACAGGCAATGATAAGACAATGCAAAGACAATGAAATTGCGATGCGATAAGCGAGTAAGAGAACAGAAATCTGCGCGGTATGCGACAGAAGGAAAATGGGAGGTGGTCGAATGGGGGGGACCGGGATTGGGGGGAAGTAGTATGGAGGTTCAGGGACGGGAAGGAGTAATAAGGAGAGATGGGGAGGAGCTCCAAGACAAGAAGGAGCGCAAAGTGCGTGTGAGAGCAGTAAAGTCAGCACGACAGAACCAAAGAATGAGCACAGAGAGGTGTAATGGAGCTGAACGGCCAGTCGGGGAAAGTGAGATGGACCCTGGGATGGGATGGGGGAGGGAGGGCTTGGCCATGCGAAGAATTCATTTTGATTTTCGGGACCGTTTTGGCGTAATTGGATGGCTGGTCCAATCAGAGGCCGCTCGCATCACACATTCACAGTCGACCGTAGACTCGCAGAGGAGGATTTGAGGTGAAGGATGAAGTCACATGACGGCCATTTGATTGACATTGAATTAACTAAATAATTAATTGATTTTACACTGTGGGATCACTTGGAGTTTGGAGGAGACGGTATCGAAAAGAAGTGAATTCAAATACGCCATCCAATGGTTGGACAGGAGAATACACTAGCAATTTAGCGTTGGAAAGAAATGGCACATGTTGATTTAACTGGCTGAACTTAGGTCGAATATTGACACTAAGCTTGTTACTAAGACAGTGCCCGACCCTCAAGTGAATGTCCATTTCGGTTTCGGGGACTCGTCAGGAATTCCGGACTGAAGGACTAATTTGATTAATATAATCAGGCATCCAAGAACTGAAACTACCATAAGGCAACTACACGCAACCGGAGCCACCTCCACTCAGCCACGCTGGCCACAGTCCACACAGCAACCCCACACTGCTAAACATCCCACCACACCACCTTCAGAGCTCGCTTCCATTGATGTTTACACCGCTTTCCACCCCTCTCCTCCTCCCTACATACCACCCCTCAATTGTCTTTCCCATCAATTGCCCACCATGCCCGACAATCTGCAACACGACATCGCCGACGATGAGCTCCAACCCGAAGAAACCCCTAAATTCAAGGTTGGAGAGAAGAAGACCCTGGATGAATACCAGAAGCTTGGTACGACCTCACCTCTTCTTCAGCGTTCAACCACCACCCATCCGCTCCCAACAACCCCCCCACAACCCCAATCATGACTGACGAATCCCAAATCCAGACGAAGATGACCCGGCCATGCGCAAATGGAAAGAGTCCTTAGGTCTCGGCACGGGGACCGACCTCTCCGACCCCAAAGACCCCCGCACCGTCATCATTTTCTCACTGGGCTTGGAAGTCGAGGGACGTCCAGATATCATCATCAATTTGACTGAACCCAAGGCACTGGAAAATCTCAAGAACAAGCCGTTCGTGATCAAGGAGGGGGCGACGTTTCGGATGAAGGTCCGTTTCAAGGTTCAGCATCAGATCTTGTCCGGGTTGAAGTACGTGCAGGTGGTCAAGAAGGTGGGGGTGAGCAACAAGTTGGAGGAGATGATTGTGAGTGGCTATATGAACAAGATGTTTGTCATGGAGATGTTCTAACCTAGCATAGGGATCTTATAGCCCCAATACCACGGACAGGACAGAGTATGAGAAGAAATGTTGGTTCCCCACCTGCTATACTATACTGTTGTTGAGCAAGGAAAGCTGATATACCTTAGTCGAACCCATTACCGCGCCATCCACAATGGCCAAGGGGCTCCGCATGTTCGTCAACGATCACTATGATGCCGTCTCCAAATTCATCGACGACGACAACCAAACCCACCTGAAATTCCAGTGGTCGTTCGATATCAAGAAGGACTGGCAATGATGGAAGAGGGCCTACAAAGGTTGCTCATGACGGAGAACATGCAAATGATGTTGAATGACTTGAATGATCATCGAGAGCGAGGAATAGGTTATGATGGAAGAGAGGAACGACAATGATGTCTTGAGTAGTTGGGGATGATTCATGATTCTGGCTCTGACATGGCTGTCTGGCCGTCAATCCTGACTGAATATGGGGAGTATTACAAGCAGATGCTTGCAATCAGAACTGAAGGCCTGTCAAACCATGTGCCCTTCTTTCTCAGAAGGCTTTTGGACACTGGCATGACTCCTTTCATCACCATTCAATATCGGGTATCATCAGTGCTCTTACTATCACGTTTTCTTGTGCCGTGATTGAGAATTAAATCCACTGCTTTCTCACCTTTCCCCAGAACTTCCCTTGATTCGTTAACATTCCAGAAGCCTGTCTCTCTGAAAACAATCAAAGCTTCACACTTGGGCAAATCCCGGTCTACTCTCCTATCCCAATATCATCCAAGACCATCAATATCTACAGTCTGCAGGATGATTGTATTCCTCCTTCTCTTCATCGCAATATTCGGCAACCTCGCCTTTGCACAAGTGCCCCGAGTCAGCACTGATCCCAACGACTTCGACATTGTCCCGCTCACCAGCACGGATGGCGGCAACTACACTCTCGGTCCGGCCATGTAAGGGATTCATCCCACACCAACATTCTGACCTGGTGCTTACTCTGCGTCTAGGTAGACTGGTCAGATATCCAAGAATGGACCCAATGTCACTCTCTACGGCAAGTCCGTGACCGATATCTTCCAGTACATTGATGATCAGAACCCCCCACTATAAGCTGGATTTCGCGGACACGGTCGGCCGACTTACGGGACTGGACATGGAACGGAGCACAGCCAACTCGAACTATGATCCTGTTGTATGTCACAAGTCGCCCAACGTCCACAGGTAAAAAAAGTTAACCCCCCGTGACCAGAACCCCGACGACCTCCTCCCCCACTGCGGACCCCTGGTGCCCGGCCAATGTCGGATCGGTGGCAACCCCTACGCATGGAAGGAAGCCATCCCCTACCTGCAGTCCCGCATGAACTACATCTACATGTCCGAGGGCTGCAAAGGCTTCTGCTACCGCATCAGCTGCTGCTGGGACACGGGGATCTACCTGTGCAACGACAAAGACGATGCCCAATACATCCACGCGCGATATCTCGGTTTCCTGCTGCAGTTCCTACGCGATCGCGGGTGCCCGAGCGGAGACAAGCATCAGGAGCAGCCGTGGAGTCAGGTGTATCATAAGCTGTGGATGTTCTGGCTTTCGATCTGTGCGACGACTGTGTGGGATGGGCTTTGCTGAGAGATGATGGGTCGAGGGAAGAGAGTGAGGGGCTTGCACACTGGATTTTCATGGATAGTGCTGAAAAGGATTCTAAGACGAAGGCAGGTTAGCATAGGTACCTTGAGGAATATTGCAACTGTTGGGGTTACATAGATACCAGACAGGGCATCAATTACGAACATGAGAATTCTCTTATATTTACAAATTGAGTTTTATCCTATCCATCATCCCGTGACATGTATCTCCAAACAAACGCCTCGCAATGCACAAGTACCCAGTTCTAAACCCACATGGTATCTCATATCGTCTCTCTCACGAAAGTCTCTCACAAGAAATACTCCGTCTGCACCTCCTTCCCCTGCTGCTGCTGCTCCGCTCGATGCACATCATTTTCCGGCGCCGCCTCAAACACATTGAAGAACCGCTCTCCGGTATCGCTCACCTCCAACACGCTCGCCAAGTTCCCGCATCGGTAGCAATAATTCGGCGCGCTCCACACCGTACTCAACCGATCGTCGTACAGCACCTGATACCCCTCCTGACACAGCTGATGCGCGCGCAGGATGTGGCTCATGTTGTTCACCTCCAGGAACTTCTTCACCACCTGCGCGCCGAACGTATACCCCGCGCCTCTCGGGCTCAGCGAGAACTCATCCCGCTCCGCGTCCGGATCCGACCACACTAGATCGGCCATCGGCCCCTCGTGCGGGATCTCCCGGAAGCGGTCAATGATCTTGATCTGATCGATGGAGTGGATGCTGGGGCTCAGGCCGCCGTGCACGCAGAAGATCTGGTCGTTGATGACGACGGAGAGTGTGAGGAAGTCGAACATGTCGGTGAAGTAGTGCCATACGTTGGCGTTCCCATATTTGCGGGAGCATTCGGTGTAGAAGCCGTAGGATTGGGTGACGCCGCGGGACTCGTGGTTACCGCGGATGAGGTGCACGCGATGGGGGTAGCGGAGTTTGAGGCATACAAGGAGGGAGATGGTTTCGACGCTGAAGAGGCCGCGGTCGACGTAGTCGCCTTCACGCAATAATTTGTCAGCCGCTGGGTGCCGCGACGGGAGTCAGATGGGAACGCTTACCGAGGAACAGGTAATTGGTATCCGGACAAAAGCCTCCAATCCGGAAGATCTCAATCATGTCGAAGAACTGCCCGTGGATGTCGCCCACTACAGTGACGGGCGCGGCAATGTGCACCACGTTGCTCTCCTTCATGAGCAGCTCTTTCGTCTTCGCGCATATTGCCTCGATAACCGAATCCGCAAGCAACTCTTTTTTGTATAGCCGCGAAATGCACTCGTCAAGGTCCACGGTGGCTATTTAGACGTATAAGTTAGCTTCTTAGTCTCCAAATGCTGCCACTGCCAAGAACATCATCCATCTCCCCATGAGATGAGTCCAGCGCACAAATTCCGGACAGCACCTCGAGTCAGAGAAAGGTCATACCAGGTAATCCCGGCATCGTAACAATATTTCCACCAACGCTCGCTCAGCGTGGGTATATACGTGCTGAACTATCAGCGAGGACGATGCCTCCGAAAACGAAAGGTAAGGAGGGTATGCTCGCCGCGGCGTTGTGGAGCGAAGCGCTCATGTTCGTGTATGTACGTCAACAGACCAAGGAGCGCATGCTGGAGAAAGACATGTGGATTGGACTGCTGCAGTGCAAAGAGAAGCTAAGAATGGAGGTTGGTGACCAACATATTCGCAGCAGGAGTGGTGGGTGTGGACGTTGACTTGGTCGAGACATCAAAGATCATGGAGTGCAGCATCATCGTATTATTATGGAGTCTTTGGAGGCGGGAGAGAGTTAGCGCTGTGATTGGCCGATAAATACCCCTGGCTTACTAATTCCCGCAAGAGACCAGGGAGCTTCGACAACACTCTCTGCTCAGGACGATGAACATAGTACAAATTCAACTGAGTGCCATATGAAGATGAGTTAACGCATACTAGAACGGATTCTGTTCGAGAACGAGTCTCTTTTCACACATACATCTCCAAAGTCCTAACACACAATGTTTAACCAATCACTGGAAATATCTGTTGGCCAATCAGCGTGTCCTGTCGAGTACCCTCATTTCGCTCCTCTGTCTTGAGTATGCTCCATTATGTCTACAAGTTCATCATTTTATGCTAGATAGCAAGGGATTCGGGATATCAAAGGTTTCATTAAGTCCATGAGTATATCGTACTATGTAGAATAGAAGAATTGCAGGCTCCAAAGCCGTGCAAGAGAAGATGGGTATTGGTTGGTGCTGGACCCCTTCGGCATAACTTCGGGAATCGCATATCTCGGACCCAACACCTCAGGGAGCCCACTCAGCCCAGCTGCCGTCCAGGGCACGGTCCCTGAAGCCCAAAGTTGTGAATCTTCAGTTCCAGGTCATCAATGTTGTTTCGATAATTCAATCACTGCTTGGTCTAATACCCTACCTATGTCAAACCTCTTTGTCTTCTCCTATCCTCTCATCGCCATGCTTTCCCAACAACATCCATCCTATTCTGCACCCGAAATATCCTAAGCCTCACGTCCCTCCATCAAAGCAGACAGGAAAGGGATCGGGTATCAACCCCGTTGTTTGCTCTCAGCTCCTCTACTTGCTTGGTCATCTCCCTCTCAGCCATCCGTTGACTTTCTGAACCCATCCCCAACTTTTCGATCATCGCGCACTTCCGATTTTTGGATGGTGCTTCTCCGCCCTGTCGACAGCTGGATCCGGGAAGGGTGACCGGGGGTCGCCTTGACGACGGCGCTGGCGAAGCGAAGGGTTTCCAACTAACCAAACCCCGATTGAGAGAACGCAAGACGGAGAATATCAGCTTTGAGTCTTTTGATTCGGATCTGCTTTCGCCTTGATTGACGAAGTTGTTATCTATTGCGGAAGCAGAATTTCCTTGCGTCCAGAGAGCCGTCTGCTTACCCACCTCCCTTGCCTACACACATCTCATTGCCTACACCTATCCCGTTGCGTACACATATCCCATTGATTACCAGTCGGAGTACGAGCCAGGAACTGGAAATACTACCTTGCATCCCCGTCGTTGCCTACATCGTAATATTTTCACCTTCTCACCTCTTCCTTCAATCTCATCTCCTATCACCTCTCCTGTCTACAACTCTTTTCCGAACAAGGACGCGAGCTACCGTCATCAAGATTTAAATGAGCGGACCACCATATGGGCAGCCTCCATATGGAGGGCCTTCCAACTATGAGCAACCGTACGGTTCAAGCCCGACGCAACAGTATGGGCCGCCTCAGTACCCCCCATCCAATCAGCAGCGAGGGCCTCCTTACCGCGGGCCGCCAAAGTAAGTCATTTCAATCTAACGCATTTCACTGCGTGCAGAGAATGAAAGAGTCTTGTATCAAAATCTGAGATGACCTTTTGGACCATATCCTAACAGTTTTAGTCACCATCAAGCCAAGCGGCAAAAGGGGAACGCAGTGGTGACTCGGTACCCTCCTCCGCCGAACTATCGGCAACAGCCGGGTCAGCAGAATATGCCTTTCAATCAGAATCAACATCCGTCTCCCACTGGACCCTATCCACCAAATGGATTCCCTCCGCAACAGCAACCTCCCCAAGGTTACCCACCTCAAGGGTACCAGCCGCCGCAAACTCCTCAAAACCAAGGATATGGCCCTCCGCCGCCACAAGGGTATCCCCAACCACCGCCACAGCCGCCATACCAGCAGCCACCCAATTATCAGCAGAACCAAGGATACCCTCCGCCGCCTCAGCAGTATCCTCCACCGCCTAATCCTCCCCAACCTAATTACCCTTCCTCTCAGCAATACCCGCCTCAGCAGTATCCGCCTCAACAGGGATATCCGCCTCAGCAAGGGTACCAGCAACCTCCGCCTGCCAATCCTGGGTTTCAAGGTCCGCCAAATCAATATCCGCCTCAGCAACAGTACCCCGGTCCATATCAGCCACAGCAAGGCTTCCAGGGACAGCAAGGAGCTCCTAATTATCCTCCTCAACAAGGACAATATCCTCCACGTCTAGGTCCGACATCGAAGACATGGCCTCCACCGGGTTACAAGGCCCCGCCCTCAGATCCGCAGGCCCAACGTCAAGGTTCTCATGGAAATTTTGGTCAAGGTCTAGACCCTACTCAACGACAGGCCAGCGGAACTCCATCAGCAACGCCAGCTGAGTCTACAGTCGGCCAGAACCGTCCGCCAAGCCCTCCGGCTTATGTTAACAAGAGTATCTACTCGGACGAGGACGATTGGAATCTTGACTTTGATGGGGCTTTATGGCCCAAGGCAACCGATCCCATCAATAATGAATTTAGCATTGGGATTACTGGTATGACCGAAAGTGGACAATCTAGGGATTTGAGCTAATTTATGATCCAGTATGGCACCCTCCGAAGCTGGTAACGCGAGCCTTGCCGGCCACGTATGCGGAGTGCGAGCTTCTGAACAAGCGTCCAAATGATCCACCGTTGGAGAATGGGAACTCTATCTCAACCTACTTCACTCTCAGCAATTCTTGGAATGCGTTCCTCAATATCCGACAGACGGACGACTGGGAGCACATGGCGGAAGACCCGATCTTTAGAGAATTCCCCGATCAGGGCGAGCTCATTCACATGGATGAGGTCCGTCAACAATGGCGGAATCGACCTGCTCTCGCCGATGACAAGAAAGACGTACCCATGGTAGATGCTGGACGTACTGAAGAGGGCGAGGTGGCGGATGATAACCGAAATAAGGCCTGGAATGTGATGGATAACCTAGAGCAAGCTCTTTTCGGAGAGGATTCGTCCAAAGCTCGCGACAAGCAGTCCCAAGACATTTCCGCCTACAGTCCGCCTGCATCAACCCCTATCATTCCACATATGCGGAACGGTGTGGCTCAGGAAGTCTTTTCTGAGAGAAGACACAATGGCTCACCGAAGGCTGGTTATCCAACGCCCCGTCCTTATGGCCGTTCATCCAGTCGGAACGGGTCATCAGACAGGTATGAATTGAATGTTCGCTTTCCATTTGCATGCAAACTAATCGATGATCCAGGCGTTCATCCAGTTACCACCATAAGCCACCCTCGGACTTCCATTCTAATAAGAACATGCACGGTTACAATCATCATGCCGGACCTGGGGCAAATCGATCACCACCAAGAGCTTCGCCACCCCGCCGACCCTCTCCTTTCCTCGATGCCTGGTCTACTGACACCGGCGATGGAGCAAATGGCCACGGACCATTCCACAGTGCCGACTCTCCTCGATCCGTCAACAGTAACCGCACTCAAATCGGTTCTGATTTCGCCGACCCAGCCGACCCAAACACCCAGCTCGTCGGGGAATCGCAAGCCGCGACTCTGGGCGTGGAAAAGACCCGACACCGTGATTATCCGCGGTCGCACAGCGGTTCAAGGAAACGGAGCTATGCGGACACGGACTTCGCGAGGGAGACGCAGGACTCGGACCGGCATCGGCAGAGCGAAGATCCATCCCGGTCGAGGAAGAGGCCGTCCCGAGCCGCCGCAGCTTACGGGTGAGTAATTTCGCATTTGCAGTGGACGTTATTTAATGCCTCGTAGGAGACGGTAATTCCGCGTTCATACCCAGTCCAAGTCTTGAGCCGTCATTGCACTCATATATCTTCTACGCCCGTTGCACAGAGCTTAAAGCCACCACCCTTCGTCATACATGGGGCTTCAATACCGCACTAACGTTCTCCAAACCATCGAATTTTCTTGACGGCCACAAAATCGCGAGGAGTACCAGTGTCAACTCGCTGATCACTCGACACGCCTCCGCCGGAGTAGGAGCCGTTCAAGTTCATATCGTTGACAATTTTGAGAGTCACCGTCGATTTTCTCCACAGCCGATTCGATTCATCAGCGCAACCGCGCCTTGGAAAAGTCTTGCTCATTCAGGGAGGAGTTCATTTTGCACGTTACCGAGCATAGCATAGCCCAACGTTTTCCTTTCTATTTGCTTTTTCAAGGCCACACCGCCGAAGTCACTGCCGTATCATGGCGTTTTCTACCACATTTGCAAGACTCTGAGTTCAAGGGAAGAAGAACAAGTCGAGGATATGCCTTGGGGCGTTTTCAGGGAGTTTGGAGAAGACGGATGTTTTCCCTGTCCAGATGAATTTTGCCCGTCTTCACCACCTTATTCATGTATCGTCTTTAGTCAAGAAAATTGCCTCGTTTGCCTTGCAATTTTGAGTCAACGATCCATATTCCTACAATGCTCCGGTGCCAGGATATTATCTCACAGTCAAGCCAATCATCTCTTATTGCAAGCCACAATCCGGAATTGCCAGCCATTTTCTCCAACAAATTCGCCATCAAAGGAGAGTCTCATCCTGCAAAATGCTTCCATCCCCAAGTCATTCAGATCAGAGTGCGACTATGTGCGGACAATTCATTTAAAATCCAGGTGGATTGTCGTTGAAGCTGGGGATATAGCAGTGCGAGCAGAACATAAAAACAGGTAGGTGATGCGGACTGACGGAAGTCCATCATGTGCTCGCTTCTTTGATTCTCGGATATGCTCGCTATCATTGAGCCTATGCATCCTTAATTTATGCCGAAGGTCGTAAAGCCGCCGATTCATCATCCGTGCCCTCATCCTCCTCGTCCTCCTCGCTCTCCTCCTCCGTTTCCTCCTCACTACTCTCCTCCTCCGTCTCCTCACTTCCGTCACTTTCCTCATCCTCTTCCTCCTCATCTTCCGCCAACCAATCATCCAAAGTCTTCTCCCTCCACCCATTCGCCCTCCCAGTCCCCCTCTCCTCTTCCAGCGCCCGGTCAAGCCTCTCGCTCGCTGGCACCTCTTTCTTCACTTCATACCTTCCCGCCCCGCCTTCACCCCGCACCGTCGCGATTGGCTGCTCCCCCTCCCGCACCCACTCTGGCAGCGGTTCGTATCCTCGGAACCCGCCCGCGGCGACCTCGTCGCCGACGACGAGGCTGGCAGACCCGATCGCGTAGCCGCGGCGGGACTCGGAGGGGCTGGGGATTTGGGGGACAGGTTTCGGGGCAAGGAGGAGGAGGGAAGCGAGGTCAGTGGAGGTGGGGATAGCGAGGAGTGATTTGTAGACGCGGAGGCGGTCGCGGAGGTCGTAGGAGGTGTCATAGCGGGCGAGGAGTTGGACGTATTGCCAGAGGAGGACGATCGGGTGAGATTCATCGATGGGGATGTTCGGAGGTGATCGCGTTTCCATGTCGCTATCTGCGGCTTCATCCTTTTGAGAGCCATTTAGGTCTTCTTCTGTTTCTCGCGCCGACTTTTGCGTCGCGTTTTGGACATTTAGGTAATGTAGATACACCTTCGCGGCCAGTAGAACGATCTGCCGCTTCGCCTGCTCGCTCTCGTCGGCGAAGTTCCGCACCAGGATCCGCAGCACGTCCGGCGCCATGCCGTCCTCCGCCTCCGGCGCGGCGAACTCGCCCACCAGCCAAATGATGGATGCGCGCGCCTGCGGGTTGGTGATGCTGTCCAGATTCTTCGCCAGGCGGACCACCGTGTGCGTGTGCGACAGCGGATCGCGCTGGATCAGCTGCCGGACGACTTGTAGCGATTCGGCGACGACCAGCGGGTCGGGGGAGGACACGCGGTCGAGGAGCAGGTGAAGGCAGCGGCGGCTCGTCGGTTCGTCGGAGGTCTGCGCGCAGCGGCCAATGGCGCGGACGGCTTCTTGCACGAGGGTGGGGTCCTGGCTGGCGGAGAAATGGGCCAGCTCGGCGAGAATGAGGCCGGCAATGTGGGGCGGGGCGTGCGGGAAGATCAAGGTGAGGAGTTCGAGTTTCGAGCGGCGGATCGCAGGGGGTTCGGAGAGGCGGATGAGGAAGTGGGATGCGTATTGGACGAAGGGCTTGGGGTAGATTAAGCAGACCTGCACAATGTTATGTAAGGCGACCAATTGAATGTCTTGTGGTGAGCGCAGGAGTGCTATTAGTGGACCGACGGCCAACTCGAGGTATGTAGGCGTGCCGAGATAGAGGAAGCAGCTGGTAACGGCGATGATGACGGCGGAGCTGCGATTGTGGAGAAGGGGTTGGGCGGCGCGGAGGAGGAGGTCGAGATCCGGGTCGAGGATGATGGCCTCTTCGAAATCTCCTTCGCCTCCGTCTCCCTCGTCCTGGTCCTCCCTCGTCTCCTCGTCGTCATAGAAGCTGTCAGGATCCTTCCCCTTCCCTTTCTTCTCCGCCCCACCCTTCCGTATCCGCTTCGTCCGACGCGGAAAACACCGCCGACAGTAGCCCAACATGACCTTCAAGAATGCGAGCTGCCCCCACTCATCCATATCGACCATCTGTCTCACCAGCTTCCGATAATACGGGTGCAACAGATCGATCCGATCCGCCCAGCACTCCGCATACGCCTGCACCGCCGCACCCGCCACGAAGTACTGCTTATCCCCAAGCAACCGCACCAGCCCCTCCACCAACTCCGGTTCCAGTGCCGGGTCCAGCCGATAGGCCTTCGGGATGGCCAGCGCAGCAGCCCGCCGCACGTAGGGGCTCATGTCCTGCACGCCGCGCTTGATGGCCAGCAGGACGATCTGGGAGATGGCGGGGACGCGGATGGAGGACATGGTGCGGAGGGCGAGAGAGCGTAAGGGGGGAGCGCTGTCGGAGAGGGATTTCTGGAGGGTGTTGATGGCGAGGAGGGCGGTGTCGGGGTGGGAGGGGGCGAGCTGGATGAGGATGTGGGCGACGAGTTTGCGGACGGTGGGGAAGGGGAGGGAGAGGGTCTTGAGGGCGTGGGTGAAGTATGGGGAGATGGATTGGGAGGTGTAGGTGAGCTGCCATATTGTATTTATTAGCCATGGCTCCACACGGTCGTCTCGCCTTTTGAATCTCAAGGAGCCAACTCAGCGTATGGAGCGTCGTACAGCGACCAGCCGCCGCAATCCTTCCAAGACATCTCGCTCTAACCGGCTGTCCAAGAGAGCTTTGAGTTTCTGGGCCGGTATAGGCCTTGCGGTCCCTTTTTTAGCGGCACTGGCGTCACGAGCGGCTTCGAGAGTAAGATCGCGGGCTTCATGAGGTTGTATATTAGCACCTCTCCAGCGACATCGCAAGCGCATTACGTACCCGTCTCGAGCAAGCTCGATATTCTCGAGATAGACTCCATTTCCTATGAATCCTCCGCTCGGCCCCCAAGGCCTATTATCGAAACCAATTAAAAAATAAAGTCAGGTTTCAAAAGCAGTCATTATTTGCTTGAGCCTGAAGATCTACAATGAACTGGAGGTTGAAGTCGAGCTGCCCCACATGGAGATGGTGCGGTTCCCACTCAGACGTCGATGTCGACATTAAGTCATTCTCCAGTTCGGATATCAGCAGAACACCGCTAATATTATATTGATGAAAAGCCATAATCCTCATAGGAGTTGTATATTGAAGGATCTCGTTTGAAAATCGTGACAAAGTTCTTCCTAGAGATAGCCCTTCAGCCTCCTTCCTAAACAAATATGCAGCGCAAGAAGATAAATGCAATGTCCATATGGAATTGTTAGATGCCTTTGATTTGGACTCTTCCTCCACCTTTCCCATTTTTTTCATAATCAAAGTTCTTCAAATTACTTCAAATGGCTTCATTTCCCCTTCTCACGTCCATCACCAGCCATGGAGTCCAATAAACGTCCCCTCGCCGTCCGTGGCAGCCTCCTGGCATTCCTGACACATTTCCTGTCAGTCCAAAGGCCCCCATCGAGCCTGATCATCTGCAGCACCGAAGAAGGCTTCCTCGAAGGACTCACCGGGCCATCCGCGTCAGCAAGTCTGGGCGTCTTACAGGCGCTCCTCTGCCCTACACTCGAACACATCCACACCCACGAACAAGTCCATGTGGCCTTCTGTCCGTCCGTCCAATCGCTCAAAGCCTATCTCAGCGTCTTCGAAGCATGCAGCAAGCCAAACCCAGAGCACGAGAGTGGCCAGCGGCGGCCGATCCTCGCAGTCATCAATCTGATCTCGGTACACGAAGGCACTTCCTCAGACTCGGCGCAGGGACTGAGCCGGGCGTGTGCGATGGCGGTCGAGGCGGCGATTCGGACGGGGCTGGAGTTGATGTTTTTCGAAACGGCGGAGATTCCGAGGGTGGTTGTGGCGGGGGATGAAGGTGGGGATTGGGAGGGTGAGGGGATGGACTGGATGGAGGAGGGAGGAGAGGAGGAGGAGGAGGAGGAGGAGGAGGAGGAGGAGGAGGAGGAGGAGGGAGAGGAGGGGGCTGGGGCAGGTGGGCAGCGGTATGATGGGTGGGAACGACAGGTAGGGATTCTTAGTTCGACAACAAGGAGTTTTAGATCGGGAGAGAGGGCGTGGGTTGGGAGGACGGTGCCGGTGAAGGCGATGCTGGGGAGATGGTGTCGCTTCGTGGAACTTGAGGAAAGCCTGTTCTAATCGTATCCACGAGTTCACGATGACGACTAGCGGTTACATTGGGATGACGATTGTCTACGGATACCCAGATATCGTATCATGCCGTGGCAGATATGCCCGATCCATGACGCCTATTTACAACCATCGATGCCCTTGTCCCCCTCACTTCGTCCGAATCTGCTTCAGCTTCTTCGCACTGTACAAAAAGTTGTTCGCGTACACCTTTGGCACGAACTTCCGCTCGTTCGGCTCCTGCACGAAGTACTCGTACCCGTTCTTGTTCGCGAACCGGATCGCATCGTCCTTCGAGTGGAAATGCAATCGCTCGCTCTGCATGAAGTCGGCGGACGACTGCCATCCTATCAGCGGGTTCTCCCATCGGTGGCCTTTGGGGAGCGGGTCCCAGTCCATGCGCCAGCTGTTGCCGTTCCAGTCGCCGGATTGCGTGGCGGGTTTGACGGGTTTGTAGATGCTATGCAGCGGTTAGAGTTGTCCTGACGTGTGCACCATGGGTGTCTTGGGATCGTTACCGGACGGTGCGGGCTTGTAGGTCAACGGGAGCACCGGATATGACCGCCGCGGCAGTATCGCCCTCCTCACCCCCATCCATCACCTTCTTCGGAATCGGCGACCATCGTCTGTCCGCATTAGCACATCTATCCCACCCATCCACCCAACTGGAGTTCTCACGATGTCCGATACTCCACCGCCACATCGTAGTCCGGCTGATGCCTCGGCAATCCTTCTGCCGCTCCTTTCGGGGAGATGACGGGCGCTGGATTGACGAAATGGGATTTATCAGCGTCCTTTCTCGGAGGCCCGGTGGAGAGGGGGTCGGTGGTCTCACGTTGACTCGGCTCGCCGGCCGAGAAAGTTCGCACGGAGCCGGACCATGGTTGGGTAAGGGAGAGCGGGCGGGTTGGGGTCGAGAGGGCGGGGATACGGGCGCGTCGGAGGAGAGACATGGTGGCCTTGCTACGCTCAGAGGGGGTGGTTGGAAGCAATTGGAAGTGGAGGATCGATGGCGTCTGGCGATATGTTGAAGTGGTCGACATTGATGCAAGAGCTGGCTGGATTGGGATTAGCGTGGATGACATAAGCGGATTCCTCAACTTTCGACTTCGGAAGGAACGACCATCTGCGTGAAGTAGCTTCCGGTTGTTCATCGACTCGATCTTGACAACATTTCCCGAATTTTGCAGCGCAATTGCATTGAATACGTACGTTGATTCTCTCTGATCCTCCCTTGGCCGCATTGAGATGCGTGTAGATGGGCACCGTAGCTAATCTCGCTCCAGAAAGTTCAATTCAAGATGAGCTTCATCGTCAGGCGCAGTTTGTCAACCCTCATCCCACCGAAGGTATGGATCTCGAATGCGTCGAATGGGAGACATATGGCTAATTGACTCTTTAGATTGCATCTCCCAATGTACGTTATAGCCTTTCTCCATCCGTTCCCGATCACCCGATGGCCTCGAACCTTCTCCCATCTCCTTCCGACGAAAATCCTCTCCTCGAAGCCGTGAATCCCCATCGCTCCGACCCCCATCTAACATCTCCTAGGCAATCGGTGCGGCTCAAGATGCGGCCCGCATGACGCGCGTGGTCAGCTTCTACGAAAAGCTCCCCCGCGGCCCGGCTCCGGAGCTCGCGAAGAAGAACCCGTTCACATCGCCCATGCAGTGGTATTCGCAGAAGCACTTCGGGAAGAACTCATCGGGGTGGCGTAAGTGGGATGGACGACAGTATAGAGGGGTCATAGACTGACGGAAGCAGCACTCATCCACGCCATTGCGGCGCTCTCGCTTCTCGGTTATGCGCAGAACTACTACTTCCATCTCCGTGAGTGATTGAGGGAAGACTTGAATGGGACTAATGGCTAACGATTGCAGGACACCACAAGAACAACGCGCACTAAAGCAGGAGTCACTAGATATCCGATTCTGAGCCGATTAGCATAAAGTGTTGTGTGTATATAGGACTCATGTCTGACTAGAATTCAGCCGTTCAAGAAGAGTACGAGGTTGATGTATGAGGTTGATGCGTGATTCATCGGTGTCTATAGATTTCGCTGAAGGGTTCTCTGTTGTTAGCAGTTGCCTCAGCATGGCATGAAGGAGGTCCTGTCCACTGATGCCTAATCCTGTCTACTTTCATACTGTGGTCTCTGTGACAGTTCCATAGCATGTTCGTCATTGAGGGAGAAACTTCCATCTATCAGGTCATACTGCAAACTCATATTTCGTGATTCCCCGTCCTTTACCCTATTGCCTCGACAATCATCCCACATGAACGTGAAATCTCTCAACCACCAACACATAAAATGCTGCGGTGAGTGGTGCTTGTGGTGTATCGTGACATTTCTCTTTGTGTAACACTTCCTTCCCCATACAGTACATGTATACCAAAACACTTCGAACGTTCAATGCAATCAACGGTAAATCGTCGAGCTTTGAGAATTCAAAACTCTTTTCCGCCCAAATATACATCCTGATCGCGTCTAAAACCTCATAAATTGCGATTCTCTCTCCTCCCCGTCACCGGATCTCCGCCCAACTCTGCCACGCTTGACGCTTGGCGTGCCAAGACCCGCAACGCGACGTCCTCCCATCGTCAGAGTGTCACAGTGTCTGAGTGTCACACCTGCTCCGTTGCATGAAGTCTTCTTCGACAACTTTAAACCCGGCTGTTTGAAAGCCTCTCATCCTTCCTTCGTAAATCCGACATCTACGTCGCCTTACCCATCTCCGAATTCGAGCTTGCCTTCTGCAGCTCCCTGGCCGAACGCCCAGCGAAGAATCCAAACCCTTGAGCGCGCGAACGCTTGCCTCCGTGTAGGGAGACATCTTCGGCTCCACGTCAGCTTCATAATCCGATCCCCCATCCTCTTGCAGCTCGAGACTCTGCTGCGCTTTCACGGAAGCGCCATCCTAGTCCTCGTGGCCCGACTCGCATCCTGACCAAGGTAGCCATCCCTTCTTATCTTTCCCCGTCTCGCCGCTCGGAGAATTCCATCAGCCCGCAAATCCTCCGGGCTTGCTTTCGACGCTTTCTGAACCGTTCTCTGGCTTTCGCAACCCGCCGAGATCAACCTGCTAATTCCGTATATGGACAGACCCGAGATTTGTTATGGCAGAGCAGACCACCCACGATGTGCTAAAGGAAGCCAAGTCGGTGGGTGAGGCTTTGCCCATCGACGAATCTGCGACACCTACCACCACCAGCGACGCCAGCAACGGCAAGGAAAACCTCAACCCATCGATTCACGGAGGAGATGACAATCCCAGCCTGGGGAGCGACGGCGCGCAAAACGCGAACTCGGCTGCGTCCGTCCCGGATTCGGGAATCGTCGTGGATGGCCCCCCAGGCTCTGAGGTGCAGACGCCCGACGGAACGGTCCGGCAGGTGGTGGTAGATGTCAGTGGAGGCTCCGATACCGACACGAGTAGAGGTGACCCGAGCAAATCTGGAGAACCGCACCATGTCCGGAGTGGATCGATGAAGAAGCCGGCCGCGTTCAAATCTGTGTCGGTGACGAAGAACTTCCTCGCCAAGACAGCTACGGCTACGGCTCCGGCTCGGATCGGGGAGAAAGGTACTGAAGTTGAAGGTATTCACTCGAGGACACTGCTGATTGCTCTAGGAACGTCTCCGGCGCCCAACTCGACACTACAGGCGGCAAAGCCTCGACTTGTTGCGAAGTCGGGAAGTGGACTCACAGGACTATCTCGAGTTGGGAAGTTGAACGGCGTCGCAGCTGGACCGGATGCGAGCAAAGTCTGGAACAAGAACCAACGTGAGATTTCCTTTGCTTCCACTGATTGTATATGAGTTTCTAATATGGCTTATTAGCCGTTCCGACACCGCCGCCAAAACAATTTACGGACGAAGAACTGAAACAGCAGTACGGAATTCACATGGCAACACGTCTGGGGGCGGATGAAGTGGGAAAGGAAGCCAAATGGGCCGATATCGACGATGACGAGGACGACTGGGCTCCGGAGACGGTGGAATGGATGGACGGCACGAAGACAAGCGGCGCAATGCCAGTATCGGAACCCCATCCGCCACCGCCGCCAGTAGTGGTTGAACAAAAAGCCATGCCACTGAAAGATCAGACGCCTCTGCCCGCTGCACAACCCGTTGCACAACCCGCTACACAACCCGCTCCACAATTCGCTGCTCCAGCAGAGAAACCTACGCTCTCCAGCACGACGAAGACCATTCTGAAGCCAGGGTCCCACTCTGGGAGTTCTGGCCAGAAATTGGCATTGGGCGGAGCCGGAAGATCAACGACTGACCAGAAGCCAACCTTGGTTGCCAAGCCGTCCGTTGCGACGGTGAAGTCGCCATGGGCAGCCTTGCCTCCTATCGAAAAGGCCTCCCCAGTTCTTGTCAAACCCCCCATGCAGCAGCCGCAGCCCAGATATCCCCAAGAACCCCAAGGGTATGGTGCCGCGCCATCTGCGGCCAAAGAGATCGCTGCCGATGACTTCAATCGCACCTGGAGAACAACCGATACCGGAACGAAGGAGTTGTATAACTCGCATTCTGGTCGTTACGAACCTGTGAATGATGCTCGGAGAGGGTCAAGACACGAACATGGTGGCTATCGCCAAACCTCCGTCCTGCAGAGATCTGGGGGACAAGGCGGCCCGGCAGAGCCCTCGGCTGCTTTCCAGACATCTCGCTCCAGTGGCTCCGAAGGGCAGCAATGGGCCCGGCACCGAACCGGTTCGAATGTCAGCGGTGGTAGCGGACCACAAGGTCGACGAGTGTCCTTCACACGACCAGACTTCTCACGGCCGGACATGTCCGTTGGTGAAATGCCCGGCCCGATGCGGCGTGGATCTCATGCTGGTTCTGAAGTGTTCATGCCTGGTGGCACGGTTCGTTCGCCCTTCATGCAACACCGAGTCCCTTATGACCGTGGTGTATCTCCTAATAATGCCGCGTCGTACGCAAGCTCCTCGCCCACGAACAGCCACGTTTTGCCCGTCGCTCCGGTTCCTGGTACAGAATCTGGCCAGCAATCGCCTTCCCTGAGTGCGGTGGAACAGCAGAAGGTGTTGATGCGTACGAAGCTGGAAGCTGCGCGTCTGGCCAAGCAGCGGGAGAGAGAGGCGGAAGAACGCGAGGAGGCGGCCCGAAAGGAACGTCTGCGATTGAAATTGGCGGCGTTGAGCCCTGCACACGAAGTCAGTGACAAGGATATCGTTGAAGCGGTCAAACAAGTGAAGGACGAACTGGTGATGGAGAAACAAAGCCAACAAGTGCTTCCGCAACCATCACCACCCAAACCTCCGATTCCGACGGCCGCAGATGGTGGAGTGGCTCAGTACGGGTTGATGAAGGTTCATCAACCTCATCCTGTCAAGAAGTACTCACCGTCTGGAAGTCATGTTCAGCCGGCAGCGGTGAATCACGCGGGCACAACCGGGGAGACAATTCCTTGGTCACCGAGGCGAGGGCAAATGGCAACATCACCAGCAAAAGCGTCAGCGCAGCCAACGCACGCTCCGAGACTGGATACCCAAGGCCCTCAACGAGCCGGTATGACTGATAGCGGTATTCGACACATGGGTCCGCCTGCGGGAGAGACAAACAGCACGAATGTTGGGCCCGCGCATGGTCACACGCAGGCGCAATCACATGCGTCGCCAGCAAAAGTCTCATCAGCACAGTGGACGGTGGGGACCAGTCAAAACCGTCCCGATCTGGCCGTCAGCTGGGGTGATAGAAGCATTTCTTCAACGCTCTCTTCCGCACACAACGTCTGGGGTCCTCCGAATCGCGACAATCGCAGTCTGGGGAACGGAACCTTCGGTGCCTCTTATTCACAGATCCCTTCGGCTCCTCAATCGATGCGAGCCTCCATAGGGAACCAATCACAGCGACCTCACGACAATAACGGTCCCTTCGGACAGAACCAGCAACCCATAGCCGCTTATTCACAGACTTCTGTCGACAATAGAGGTGAAAGCGGTTATCCTGACAATAGCGGAGGTGAAAGTGGAAGAAAGGAAGCCAGCGGTTTCACCTTTCCCGCCGAGTCCTCCTCGGGTATAAAAACCCCTCTCCCCCCCAACTTTCCTTCTTCCACTTCTCATTCACCCACACACACCCCCTCGGGTGAATTTCAATCCACTTCTGTTTTAGCCACTAACTTTTCTGATAATCTTGCGCCGAGCGCTTCTGTTTCTACTTCTACTTCAACTTCCACCAATCCCCACTTGGTTTCCAATACTTCAATTCTTCCGTCACAACCTTCATCCACTCATCCATCCACTTCTTTCAATGATTCCCAGCATCAGCTCACTGTTCCTGGAGAACACTCGTCTTCTTCTCAACAGACCTCATCCTTTGTCTCTCCGTACATCTCTGCAAAGATGCCTGCCGGTCATTCTTCCAGCACCAAGAACGCCATGGCCAGTTCTGGCATTCGTGGATGGGCTGCTTTCGCCCAGCACGGACATGACGCCGAGCTCGCCATCCTGCCTGATCAGATGAAAGTCCTGGATGCTGCCAACCTCAGACGAGGACAGTCTAACGAGGACGTCGATATTAGCTCGCAAGTGGTTTTCAAGCAGACCACAAGCAGCAAACCAAAGACCAAGTCTTCTCGCGACACCAAACCTAAGGAGACTATCATCCCTGCTCACCTGAAGCCCAAACCCGAGTCTCAACCTCGCAGCGGATACAAGCCTCCGCACCTCATGGAGAAGCCCGCAGCTCCTACCACTATCACTGCTCCCTCGCCGAAGCCGAAGGCGGAGTCCCGATTCTTCCCGGCGACTCTCACTCATGGTCATTCTATCAAGACCACGATCGAGCTCAATGGCAACGGCCCCGCTCCCGATGACCAGGAGCACAATCATCCAGTCTTCGATGGGGCGACGGGAGGTCCTCGTGTCAAGTTCCCGACCCCTACCCCCATTGTCAATCTCCCGGGCAGGAACGTCAAGGCCGCCAATAAGAACGAGGCGATCTTGAACAAAATAAACGAGCTCCTCAAGCATGCTGAGGTGAAGATTAACCCCCAGACTGCCGCAGTCGCGGCTGTGGAACCTGTGGCTCCATCCACCAAAGCTCAACTCGAGCAGGTTTCGGACAACGATGACACCACTGTCAACTTGCCTGTCCAGAAGATTGACAAGGGGAAAGAACCTGAGGGCCACATCACGCTTGACGACTTCCTGTTGTTCACAGAGATGGTAGAGAAGAGCCCCGGGCTCGAAGCTAGCCGCTGGGCAGTCAAACCTGGCAACAAGCCGGCAGCAGAAGAGGAGGTCGTCGAGGAACCTCAATTCGGATCGACCCCCCGCATTGCACCTCCGCGTCAGTCTCACAACAACGCGAGGAACCACCCCGGTGCGCCGGTCGTGTTCGCACCCCAAGGCCGCGCTCCTCGTCCAGTCGCCTCCACCACTCGTGCTCCTCGCGAACCCAGCCCGAATGAGGACGCCAATGGCCGATTTGTCCGTGTCAGCTTCAATGGCAATGCTGCTCGCCGCATCACTGTCAACCGCAGCGCTGCGCCGCTACGATCCAACGCCAACCCTACCCGTCCTACCAACCAGAACTTCCAAGCTGCACGTAATGGCACTGGAAACAGCTACCCGCAACCCGCGCGTGCCGGTCCAAGCAACTACACGCAGGCGCATGCTGGTCCCAACAATCACTTTCAAGGTGCACACAACGGGCCCAACCACTATCAAGCGCCTCACGCTAGTCCCAACAACCCCTATGTTGCCCACAACAACGCGAACTTCGCCGGACCATCTCACCCGGCCCATCAACAGATGAATGGAGCCACCGTCCCCGGCCAACCCGGCAACACCAATTCCACTGGCGGTCATCCCACTCGCAACTGGCACTACCGCGGCAAGCGAGCCGGCAAAGCTCACCAACGTGGCAAGCGCGCCAGGGAAGCTGCTCAAACCGCCGCGGACAACAACTGAGCGCATTTCGACGCGGATTTCGCACACGCATAAGCATTTCTCATGCCAACGAAACGGACTTCCTTCCACCACTCACATGGCGTTCACATGGATGCGATTTCACATTGCGCGAACCAGCGGCTCACATTCCGAGCTTCCGGCGTTTTCAACTATTTCCCTCCCCGCTTGTCACTTTGTTTCCGATTTCACCCCAGGCACCGCAATTTCACCGCCGACGCACACAGCGGCTGTCAACTTGACTTTGTGAGGCATCCACATCATGGACTGCTGCGCGCATTTTCGGGAGGGCATCAGACATGGCAAGCACCTTGACCATACCACTAATAATTGATGCGCGCATGTTGCTTTTGTCCCGTTTCATCCCTGCTCCGTTGTCTACACAGTCACACATTGAGCGCGATACGAAAATGGTGGAGCGAGAGAGCGAGACACAGACAGAGAGATGGATCCGATGGTGGATTTGTAGAGAGATATGGCTAGTCCTGCTGGATCTCGTAGCTAGCAATCATACAGATGCAAAACTTTCTACGCTTTGGTGCTTGTAGGTCGTGATGTGATGAGTGACTTGATTACGGATGCCTATCACCGTGCTTCATGTCATCGGTATGCTCCAAACTCAACTTCCTTCACACCCTCGCTGCTTTCCAAGCCGTTGCCATTCCTCAAATTACCTCTATTCTAAAGCCACCCCCTCCAGATCTCGGTATCTCTCCGAACGCTAGTTGTCCTCCCACCGTTTGAGCTGAATTATGCACTATAGCTACGTTGTACCAGCCTTGTGTTGCCCGTCCCGAAGCTTCCCGAAGCTTCCCCGATGGCTAGTTATCCTCCCACCGTTTAGACGAATGATGCATCATAGCCACGTTGGATGTGTCTTATGTAGTCTGTCCTTATGCTTGCTGATTCCACTTGCTCCTTGAACAAATCACCCACACGGTCCATTTCCAGCCCATCCGCAGCCCTTGTTGTCCCGTGTGCTATAGAAGAGTCATGTCCATGAACTGCTTCCAAGATGTCCTGTCCGGCCTGCCACAGTCCACCGCCGAGAAATTCCATGCATTTTCTAGATGCTGTTCAGTGTCATCGGCTATCGGGGTGCTGTCGATGTCTGATCCTCGTCGCCTACCCGAGTCGGCTTTATCCCCATGTTTTGGGCCGAACTTGGTGACGGTCCGTGGTATGTCAGCTCCACCGGTCATCACTTGGTGTATCTCAGTGCAATTCAGTTAGACGTTCCACAATCTCTGAGGTCGTAGGTTCTAGAATAGTCGTCATCGGGCCCGCCAAATGGGAGGTGACTCCGAAATCTGAAACGGCATGACTAATAATGGTCTCTGTGTCTAATGCAATACGTCATCGCATTGATTGATCGACCCCTAAGCGGCATCCATAGGAAGGCAAATATTTGTGACTGAGTTAACCCTCGCCGAAGCCGTTTGCTGCCTTTGCTTGCAATGTGGTGCCTAATCATGAAGATTCATTATCAGTAGTTGTCAAAGAAAGATACCCTAGCACCTCAGAAGAAACCATTTGTTTCCTGGCTGCCCTTCTGACTGGGTCCACTGGACCACTCCTATAAGTATTTGCGATCTCCTGCTTGCGTTTAGATCCTCAAGTCACGCATCCCTATCGGGTGATTGATGCATTTTGTACCAGTTAGTAGTATATAAAATCATTCAAGGTGTTGAGCACATCGTTCTTCATATAGTCTTCCATTCGTTCGCTAGCCACCTGCCGGCGATCCATTCCCTTGGCACTATATTTGCCCCCTCGACTTGAGATTCCAGCGACAAGTTCAGGAGGGCCTTCCTGAAGAGTTGGCGGAGGAACTCGAGGGTCTGGCAGTGAGCGATCTCAGCTTCGGGCAAAATATTTGGAGCCTCACGGTTGATGGCATTGGCTCCCCGATTCACTTGTCTGGCATTCTCCGGGGCGTTTGCCGGACCTTTGGACAACAGGAAGCTGTTACTGGTAGTGGACGACGTGAAGAGAGGATCCCATACCGCACGGGTTGAATCCAGGGAAGTTACAGCTCATGACAGTGACTCAACTAATCAACTCCTTTAGACCAGCGCTCGCACTCAGCGTTCAATCTCCAACTTTGAAGGCGTAGTGGAAGACCGCCACTGGTAAGACTGACGAATTAGTCCCAAGGATTGTACGAACCACCGAATGGGCAATTATAGACCCCCAACTGCTATAGTTCAAATATGGAAGAAGAGACCTGGCCAAGACCTGGAGGTGGATGTGATGTCGCCGAGTACCGCGCATGGGGCGATGTCAACACAGAGACTTAGTATTCTTATGGACAGACAGATGTCGAAAGCCCTAGTGGATAATGATGAGAGATGGTTCGTGCTCTTGATGCTCGGTGTTGTTCTTCTTCGTACGGCTTCTTGTCGCTTTGCACTATCCCCTCTCTACATTATGCAGTTAGTCAGTACGCACCTATATAAGTTACTCGCTTCCGAAGTGAGCAGCTTAAAGGGTTAAGCTAAAGTTTCCCTCACAACATGATTCCTCATATTGATCGTGATGGAACGAACATTGACGTACCTTGCTCAGCAAGCACCATCAACAACCAGTCTTGAGATTGGCTGAATAAATTAAAATTGTAACCTATCAAACATCGACTTGAGAGTCCATTCGAATTCTGATAAACATCGTTGACAAATTTATTTTATTAATTATTTACCATGTATAATGGTAGAGACTGCCTTTGTACGCATCTCGACCGAGTCTCTTTAAGTCTCGCATCTCGACCGAGTCTCTTTAAGTCTCAGGCATATGACGATCGCTGTGCCATAATTCAGTCTACCATCATTCCTACTGAGGCCGGCAAACGGTTGGCAACATCTGGAAAAAATGACCCTTTTTCCTTTGCTTCGCCTGTTGGCTGCCCACGATGGTTTATCTCCACTGATCAAGAAAGGAAAAGTCCTTTTCTGTGTAGATGCATCTTCTTTTTCTTCTTCTCTTCAGTGACGAGAATCAATACAAAGCTGTGTGTTGCGAGTCAAGACTATCCAGATATGTCAATATCCGTGCGTGATCACCTGATCTATCGAAAAGTCTTTCTTCCCACAGAATGCTATCAGGTGTGAGGTGATGGCCATGCTTCCCCCAAAAACACATTCTTAGGAGGACACAGGATAGTGAGAGGGACTCCTATACCATCTCGAGGCCCGGGACATTCAGGGGATACTAGGGACTAAATACTTTACCAAAATCAAAACACGCAGGTAGACTAGTTGTAAATTGGACCTCTCCTGTTTAGTTGGCTTTAACAATCTTGCACATTCCAAGATCCCATGGCTATCTGTGACACCGTGACACACTCTCTAGCGATAACAATCATTCGGAGTAGGAGTACGGTGCCGTAAGATGATTTAGAGACCGTGATTCGACTTATATTCCGAAGCTCTGGCCGGGGGTTAGGGGAAAGGAAGCGAGACTCCAGGAATATTGGAGATACTATATATGAATAGGGAGGCTTATCGCCACAGTCATATGGCGAGATATCGACATTGGGTCCTAAGATAGTTTCAAGAGACTTGGAGAAAACTAGACAGGCAATGAACCATACCCCTACTGTCATACAGACAAAAGCAGCAGAAGACTTCATGAGATGATGAGAACCATGAGGCATATGACCCAAAAAAAAGCCGACGCTAATAATTGCAAGTCACAGGGCGTTCATAATGACGAGATATAAATGTTAATGTTACCATGTATGTGAGTGATTCATAGATCTGATCCACTCGGCGGTCTCCAACAGGAGAAAGAAAAAAAGAATAGCTCAGGACGGCCTCGATCCGTCGACCTTCGGGTAAACTCATTCACAAGATGTGTATGAGCCCAACGCGCTAAACCCACTGCGCCACTGAGCTGTTAATAATCAACAAATTACTGGAACTTGGAGCGGCGTTCGTGGTTTTGCATCAGGCGAGGAACAGAAGTATGGCCTTGCGGTTGTCACGCCAAGACCACGTGGAGCGGAGTCACGTGGGCGGAACGCCGGAGCTTCGGAACCCCTGAACCACGCGTCTCCCCGATTCGGGGATATCAACCCAACAGCCACTGGAGATATGGGCGGACGTGAGGTTGCTGCACGTGTTTCAGACACATCTTAATGGGCAAAGATAGATAGGATGCAGTAGCATGGAGAGTGAAGTATGAGGATGTGTATTAATTCTGTTGAGATTGCAACTCATTTGATCGATCATGACGTGAGCAAGCTTGAGCTTTGAAAGCCAAAGATACGAGCTGCATAGCCGATAGCCGACACATTCGACCGTTCGCGAACTTTGTGAATCTGGAGATATTGAAGTTGTCAACCTCATATCAATACAATAGCATACGAACAGGAGTTGGATGAGAAACGGTTATCATCTGAATTTTATGGAAATGGAAATTGGTCAACAGGCAGATAAGGATTTCGTACTCTACGTAGTAATCCGTCGAAGCCGGAACCAGGTTGACGGATCCGGATCCTGTAAGCCACACTGATGCTGAGGTCATGCTCAAGGTGCAGAGAACGATTATGGGTTTGCCTTTAGTTCTCTCTATCCCTGGCGCTAGAACATCAGGTTGTTGTAGAGGACTCAGCCGAAAAGGACAGCGTACGTGCCAATGCTATACCACTGGTCCAGCTACGTTGAAGCAATTCGGCAGAAATATTTCGGTAATGTTTTCATATCGTACGTTATTGTTGCAGGGGTAGTGCTAAACTGGTTGGAAGTCAGGAGATTTGGTGACAGCAGCAAAGTTGTTATATTATTGTGAGTTGTGTGTTCTATCTGAATAGCCGGTTCCCTGGTCCTGCAGATATACGAGACTCATGGCAAGATACTTAATGCAGTTTGTAGCCTCAGAATCCTAGACCTAATCCTTTGGCCTGCGACAATCCCACTCCTTACACAATACAAGCATCTCACTCCCTCTGCCGGGTAACCTATTGCTTCCGTGATTAATTGACACATCCGTACCAATTAGGCAATTAACACATCTTGAACCGAAAGGCTTGGTGACCAGCCGAAAGCTATTGTTAATTCCACGGGGCTGAAGGGGCTTCTCCGTTACCTGGAGCCGACATCACTCTGGCCACAAATTGTTGTCCCAGTCCAGGGCAACAGACCTGTCTTACGAATCGCATCCGGCTGACAGCGGTTGCCCGACCGCGTCGCAGGGCACGATATCACGGCAAGCGTGTCGACGGGCGATGCTACAAGACGGCAAATACAAAACAACCGAACAGGAAGCAGCCCCTATTAGCATCGACGATGGGCACTCAGACCGATCCTCCGGGCACACGCACGGACTTCGCGCGTAGAGAAATCTCGTCACACGCATAGATACGACGATGGCAACTATAACTATGTACAAGCGACATGTTCAAACGAAACTAGGTACGCTATCACTTATGCTCATCAGGGTACTCATCTTGTCTGCATAATCAATCGGCCCTTCAGCAAGATCATCCTGCGTCCAAACAAACCTGACCATCGTCTTCAGGCTCTCCAAGCTCCTGACATGCGCCTTTCTTTCAGTTTTCGCAATGAGATCCAGAATAACCATCCGTTCCCCATCACCACGCGCTTCGCACGCAAAGATGAGCAACGGAAAAGGCCACTGACATGTCTCGAGCTCCCGGAATATGCTGAAAGCACTGTCCACTATCTGAGTGACCTTTTCTGACTGACCCGATAACTTTGTCGACGTGCGCTCGAGGTAGACCAAGGTGGCGAGTTGATACAGCTTTGCTACTATCGGGGCGTCCGGCCTCGGTGCCGAGTGTGTCATCTGGGTAGCGTGGGAGGGACCTGTGGCTCTTTTGATCCTCCATTCCAAGACTTCAAGATAGTTGCGATACTCGTCTGTGTTGTATCTGGAGTCAGATGGTTCAACCACATTGTCATAAACCTCCGAGAGGAGGCTGAGGATCTCGTTCGATGGCCCGGATGGATATGGGATCTTGTCCTACGGGTTAGTACTCTACCTGGCCTCATGGAGTGCGACGAACCTTAGCAAGCCCTGTTCCACAAATGCCAGGAAGCAGACCCGTGAAGCCTTCATCCGCCACATAATCTCTCTCGAATGCCCCGTGGCCGCGCCAATGCCGGAAACTGAAACGCGCGACCACCTCGTGGTATTGAATCCAGCCGAGCAGCAGCAGGAAGTCACTATCGTACCAAGCCAACCTATCGTCACAGGCTCTGTAGAAAATTCCTTTGCAACCACAGACATACCATGGCCAATGGCTAGACGTCTCGGTGGGATTCTGAATCTGTCGGGTGTCAGAGCGACTTCCTTTCTGGCCCCATAGGTGCTCAAATTGACGTACTTCGAATGATGCTAATAGCATACCAGCCGCACCGTGTTGAATAATCTCCTTGGTCTCCAATCCACGTTTGGAAGACTCGTTGAGAAGTTGAATAGCGGAGAGCTTATAGTGGGCTGCCCGAGGTTGGTGTCCGTAGCAATGTAGCGATGCAACAGCAAGCAGAGATTGCAACACTGCCGCAGATGCTGGAGCGCTAGACATAAACGCTAAGCGAAGTAACGTACTCCGAAGTTTTAGGGCATCAATGCCGACAGTTGTGAGAGAAAATGAGGCATGAGATTCGACTTGAACACATCAGCCGCCTTGTTCACGATGTTCTATACTCATTGGCTCACAGTATTGAACTAGAGCTTCCTGCGAGGCATCTAATTGGTGTGGAATCCATCTTACCGGCGTGGTAAGAACTGGACTACCAGAGAGATACTTTCCCACTGTCCCTGCACTCGGTATGAGCCATTGGGTGCCTTGTATTCAATCAGGGGTGGCCCTGGAGTCTTACGGTTCCATCCTTCAGCCGACAAACGATAGTGTATGCGCATATCCCACGAAGTCGTCTGAACAAAGGAGATATCATCCGATTTATTAAAAGACGATTCGTTGCGAGGAGGAACAGTGAAGACTGCTCGCTTCCGGTCGCTACTGTGTGGCCAGGATAGCCGGAGACCAAAGCCATCGCAAGTACGCCCTGCTTTAAGACAACGGGCACAGGATGGGATGGTTCGGTCACATCGTACTCGACGCGCTGCGTGTATAAGTCTTTCGGATTCCCGAAGAGTCTGTTCTTGGCGCACCTACCTTGGCATACTCCGCACCCTCGCTCTGGCGTGTTCATCGTTTCTCCGCTTGCAAGTAAAGGGTAGCTACTTTATCAGGCTAGGTATTCCTGGAAGCGTCGGCCAACAGCACTAATGACGATGGCTCGGTGAAAGTTGCCTAGGCCATGATATATATCTGAGGTCGCATATCGCTGATTTAAACTCAGAGAGAGTCGTTTGTCAGCTGAAGTATTGAAACGGCTCGGGCCCCACAGTTATGCACGTCAACGCCCAAAAAGGGACTGTGGCAAGTTTGAGCGAGCCACCACCGGCGCTAGTCTCAATACGACTTGTCTTCCCTGAACTTAGAAGCCACCGATACGAGTCATGTATAAGCTGTTGGTTCAACATACACAGTACGATGATGGAGAGCTGATTGAACATCAAGTTTGGCACTCTGATTATAATCGCTAGCGTGTTACTCATCTATTAGCCTGCGGTGCTTTGAAATGCGCGAAGAGCCGCATAGAAGCCTGCGGAGATGCTCGAAGTCCGCTTCAGTTCATCGATCCATAAACACAGGCCGTGTATTCTACAGGTATATAAAGAGGCTCAATACACCTCGAAATGCCAAATGATCAATCAACACCTCTTCTACTCCAAGTTTCTTACATCTAACAAACATCAATTACATTCTGTGCCCCCGCACCATTTACGCGAATGGCTTCATATCTCGTTACCGGTGTTTCTCGCGGCCTCGGAGTAAGTTCCTAATGGACAGGTCAACGAAGGAACTTCTGCTCATCATATTTCTAGTTCGAGTTTCTCAAGCAACTCTCCAACAACTCGGACAACACAGTCTTTGGTTTGGTCCGAGACAAGGCTGCCACGGACAAGAAAGTGAAGTCGGAGTTGGGCGAACGGGCAAACGTCCACATCCTAGCGGCCGACATTACCAACTATGATGCGGTCAAGGTACGGTAAATACCCTAGATATAATGAATTCTCATTGATAGGTTTAAGAAATCGGCCGACCATGTCGCCAAGGTGACCGGCGGGAAGCTCGACTACCTCATAGCGAACGCTGCCTATCAGTCTGAAGTCCGCGCTTCTGCCGGAATTGGTGACTTGTGAGTGTACTCTCAATAACTCGAAATTGTTCACAATGCCTGACAGTATGAGAAGTACCGACCAGCCAGAATTGCTAGAGAAGGACTTGCTCGATTCCTTCAACATCAATGTCGTCGGCAACATCCATCTCATCAACCTCTACTTGCCGCTTATCCTAAAAGGTACAACTAAGAAAGTCATCGCCATCTCGACTGGCATGGCAGATATTGACTTCATCGCCAAGTTTGGTGTCACTATTGGTTCCCCGTATGCCATTAGCAAGGCGGCGATGAACGCTGCTGTGGCTAAGTTTAGCGCTCAGTACGCTGGGCAGGGAGTCTTGTTCCTGAACATCTCCCCTGGCCTGGTAAATACCCGCCCTTTTGACAATCGTAAGACCAGATAAAGTGCCACCAATGCTTTGCGGCCTGCTGACTAGACAATAGCTACCGAGGAGCAGAAACAGGGCGCGGCGATCATGTTGGCCAGGTTCAGGGATTATGCACCTCACTTCACGGGGCCCATCACGCCTACAGAGTCAGTGAACCATGTAATGTCCGTGATCAACAAGGCGAGTGTCGAAAATGGCGACGGAGGCTCGTTTGTATCTCATTTTGGCAACAAACAGTGGCTCTAAAGAAAGGCCGACGCCACCGAGATGTGCTAGTGGATTACATAGAGGATTATCAAGGAGATAGTCATGTGGGAGCTGTGTTAGGATAGCAGAGAGGAGAGTTGATATCTCGCACACAGAGGCGCTGGGAGATATCTTCCATTTCTCTCTCTTCAGTTTAGATCAATGAAACTTGGTAATTGCAGATCTTGCGCATCCAGACCGTGTCACGTAGCCAGCGATTTGCTTCAATTGTTGATTCCTAAATTTGAGATCATAGTTGTGGACTTTTGCTGCGTGATTTAAGAAATCTGATGCGGTGTTAAATATCCCTATGTTCTTACATATTTCCTTGTTGTAGTGTAGGCTATCTTGAGCTATGCGGCTGAGATGCTGCGTCATAATATGACGTCGCAGTGAATCACAGCAAGAGAATTCGTGTTGGTCTGGACAGATGATGCAAGCTTTGGTCGGGATGTTTCTCTCGTTAAGGCTAGGAACAGATTGTTCTTGTGTCGGTAGGGTCTTATCGTTCGTCCTATCGCTATCGTCGCTGTCGTCTGCATTCCAGCTTGTATCCCTCAGACGGGGAGGCTCTTGGAGATCACAAAGCGCGATCATATCCTTTGTAGCTTGAATTCTCTTGCAGAGAGAAGCGTCGTCTGAAAGGGTGTCTGCGTCTGGCCCATAGAACGTATCCACGTTGCGAGGCGTTCCGGAAAAGTGTACTTGGGAATTAGGATAGGGTGGTTCCCAGTCGACTTCTTCAGAGTCTTCTTCGGATTCTCCGTCGTCTTCGTCTAAGATGTTCCCCTCTGTACGACGAAGAAGCTTCTCGATCTGCTTATTGATTTCATCGTTTGGCATATCATGAAAGCAATCCTCTTTCATCTTCTTCTTCGCAACCCTGTACAAACTTCTCTTCTTCTTCATTAGTACTTTAGAGACCGCTTTGTGCTGCCGATAGAGTATAGGACACAGACTCGTGCCCTTCGTCACAGGCCCTGCCAAGGATCGAATTTCCATTGCCAATTCGTCTCTCTCCGCCCTCAACTTGAGGATTTTAGGATGGCGGCGAATAGACTTTTTCTGCTTGCTCTTGATATCATTAGGTGCTAAAGCATCTCGCATGCTCCTTCGAGCCGCCTTGGAAAGCGGTTTTTGCGGTGGACGAGCCTGAACGAACTCCTGCAAGTCACCAATGAAATTAGATTGGTAGTGTCTCTCAAACACCTTGTTTCCGGGATATCCCAGGGCTTTCCTCCTTTCAGAAGCGACATAATGTACTGATAAAAATAAGCTTTGAATGTCTAAGAGTAGTATTATGAAGAAAACTCACAGTTTATCTCATTTGCAGCCCAGCGCCTATAAAAGTAGAACTTTTTGAGTAACTCATACCCCAATCCCTCGGAGATATGCTTCAGTGCACTGTCACTGGTGCTATACTTCATAGATAAGATCGGATCGAGTACCCATTTTTCAGCAGTGTGGTTCATATTCCGGAGAACAGGAACCTTTAATAAGGCTTTCTTCCCTCTGATTGGTAGTTTAGGAAGTCGACAGGGTACACGGAGTTGCCGAATGAATTCAGGGGTCAGGTTCTCATTTTCGAATGCGTTGTCTCGGAATGCCATCGCAACGATTTGTAAGATCGGACAATACGCTAACTGGTAGTCACAATGTGGAAAGTATCTTGTCCTGCAGAGGTGGTAAGCGGCGAATATACTGTTCTACGGGCTATCCCTTATCCATCCGCACCTTCTGCTCTTCCTTTCATATTGTGAAAATTGAGGATCGCGCAAAGAATGTCCCTGCTACCATGATTTGGAAGGTAGAATAAATCAATATCCTGTCAACAGACCGTGTGGGGGGTACAGTCGAATGAGATATGGTATGGAATCTGGCTTTTGAACCCCTGATTCCTGCTGCCATGTTCGTTGGGAACAACACCATCCTCTAGAATCACGCCAGGTCGTGTCCCAGTTATGGAAGACCATAGCTGGAGAGTGGACTGTTGAACGATATAATTGCCGAACCGAAAACAACTGGAGTTTCTCCAAAGGAAACGCTGGTGAAGTACCTGCTCCTCAATATCAAGGGTCTCTTTTGGCCTTGTGTGAGGGACCGGGCACTCAGCTGGAAACAGATGCTGCAAGTACTATGTCTCTTATTAGCTAAGTAACTCATCTAAACGCCGAGAATCCGTACTCTTCCTACCTGCACGATAGCATTATATCTTAATTCGTGCCTTGCGAGTCTTGAAAAGTACTGAGACAAGCGTCTCCAGTATGCCTGATATGATTGAAGTCTCCTCTTTCCGTCATCCAGTCAGTCGAAGAAAGCCATATAGACTGCGGGCTCCTCTGAGAGAAGATGTTCTATATAATCCACATTTATATGCTCACAATACCTATTTGTCTTTGTCAGTGTTATCGTAGTAGTACCAATTTTGAGAACGGAAAGCGTACTTGTACCAATATCTCTCAACCACTGCCATCCGTCGTAGGGTACTTTTATTGTAGTTCGGAGGTATCCATCCAAAACTTCTATAATGTTCTAACTTGGCAAAAGTTTCCGGGCGAGTCCAAGTCCAGGACTGAAGTTCGTTTGCACCTTTGGACAGCGGAGCATAAAGGTGTCGAGGCATATCATATTGGAATCACGATTTGTACGCAGCTGTGAACAAGAGGGAGGCGAACGAAGGATAGACCACTTATCACGGCGCACTCGGCGCCTTTGAATAGCAGCCATGATTTTTGCTAGTAGGGAGCGTGGCATGGGGGATCACTGGTAAAATGGGAGTTGCAGGCGACAGATTGGGCACCTGGGGGTAGAATTGGCGATGTGGTGATCACGTGACATAGAGTAAAGTATGTGGTTATTAATTAGGTGAAGATGGAATTGCCGCAGAAAACTGCCTAACTATAAAACCGCAACTTTCTAGTAATAAACAGATTGAGGGGTAAGCAGTTGAGATCATGTGACTCAATAATGTGATTTGCCTTGTGGATATCATGTCACCATGTGTATGCCTCTGTGGCCTCACACTGGTCCATCAGAGCATGATCGCACGGTAGGTAAATTTACATGTGATCGACGACGCCACTTCGTATCCATGTTTCAGCCCCTGGTACTCGTCGGTCTCTGCCGTGTCCAGATTGAAGTTTATTACAAGCATCGACCAATCGAAATGTATGTACAACTTCCTCATCAAAACCAGTTTCCAACACCGAATTCGAATGATTTGCCCATATAACCACTTAATTACATGAAATTTTCGGTCAGAAATTGAAGAAACTTATAAATAAAGAGTAAAAGGTCGTGTTAAAAAAAAACCCTAACTGAACTTTTCCTAGTAACTAACGGCGGTCGAACCGTCGAAGTAGAACTAGTTAGGTAGTTGGTCAGAGGATTAAGTTAGAATCCCTAGTAAGACACTAGTTTTTGAGCATTGCAGCCATCAATTAACGGGGATAATTACGTCGTAGGCATCCGGCATCCTGTCAATTTAAGATGAGTGCGGCACAAAGATGATAAAGATCGCGGTATATGACCCTGCTTGTTCTTCTTGTCCAGTCCGCCCCATTTCGCCTTTCTTAGATCTGTCACGTTGCGAGTCTCCACGGTTAATAGTCTTGCGGACACCCTTTCATCATGTTTCTCGCCATAGTTATCGCAATATGCCTCGGCCAGTCCTTCGTCGGCGCAATCGAGCTGACCACCGGTTTTGTCCAATTATCAACATTAACCACGGATCGACATTTCGTACGCACTACAAAAACCGAGACCTACACTCAAACATCATCGGTCTGGCCCACCGCGCCAGTAACCGGCAGCCCGATATCTAGCTCTGTAGTCACGCTTGATGGCCTCCCCATAACCAAAATTGTTGCCGCCATTCCTACAGATGCACCTTTCGCCTCAACAAACCCATCGCGACAGTTCGGCAATGATGTAACAAGCTCTTCAACACTTACCGTCATCTACGGACCCGTAGTCGTCACGCCGCCACCATCATGCACCCGCACTTCCTTCCGCTACGTCACCTCCGCCATACTCGGCGACCTCAATAATCTCCAGCCGTCAGAAATCGAAGCCGCCCTTTCCCAGATCGAAGGCGCCACGCGCTCCTCCTTCTCAACGGACATGCGCCCTGGGCAGCAATCACCGGGCACGACGAGCTGGGCTCAAGTCAATATCTATCTTCCTACAGGCGTGGCCTCTCCTACCCTCACCAGTTCCGATCTCGACCATCTCGCACAATGTTACGATCCGCGCCGTTTTGGATGTCCCATGGCGGAGAACACCGCTGTTATTGCCGGCTGCCCCATTGACCGGGTGCCGACCGGATATCCACTGCCCGTCGACGGGGATTCCGGCGCAACTCCAATATCAAGCTCGATGGGTGGTGCGGCAGCACCGACAGGACAGGTTGGGGCCGTGTTTGTGGCGGCAGCTGCTGGATTGGGGATCGCTATCGGTGCTGCGATATAGATCATACTCTTACGATCCGGCCGTACCAGGCGACGACTCGACATTTGAACCAACCTGCTTGGTTAGCCTTGCGCACGGATTCTTAACTACTTAGCAAATACGGAGTACCATAGAAATTTAGAAGGCTGGTGAGTTTTGTCCACCACGCTAGCCATATTATTACTACCGTGGAATTATTTGCGTGTTATTTTTATAAGCTCTTTTGATGGTTCCGAGGCCTCGACTGAGAAGAATCTAAAGCGTATTCCGATGTCTCGTCATATTCATGCATTAAAGTACTTAGATTGATAGATTCTACCAAGGGAACAGGCCGCAGGCCTGGGACCATAACAATTCCACGCAATTGTTGGGGTACAGGAAGCATTCACTCCTCTTGTAGCCGGAGCCATATTCCGTGCTTTAACCAGTTCTGTCGGATCGTTTTCCTGTCTTGTTTCCGCCAAAAAAATTGGTCACTGAGACTATGTTACTGCAGTAAAATAGGACGGGCTGAAGCCGTCGACGCTCGATGTCGGCTAAGAACTCTTCTAACGAAGGAGGCTGCTAAGTACGTAGCCATGCTGCATACCATGGGTTCTGAGAGCATTGTAGGCTTCATCGTAAGAAGCGTAAAGACAATCTGGTGGAGGAGCAATACCTTCCATGTTTCGATCTGTGAGAGAGAGAGAGAGAGAGAGAGTAAATTAAGATTTAAAGTTGACCTAACGTAGTTAAGTTAGGGAAAGATTGGTGATAAATTGGCATGAGTTGTTCAAGGGAAGATTGGTCGTACGCTAGGCTTGATTAATCCATTAGTTTCCCCGATTCCTAGCGTGGTGGAAAAACTGGTTTACAAATCTCACCAGCCCAATTAGAATACACTGATAGCCGATAATATTCTGCCTTCAATATTACATTTTTAGACATCATGGCGGTGGTGGTGGTGTAGATTAGGAGGTGTAGTTAGAGACGTGACGTGGCAGTTCGCTTGTGCACTACATTATTACCATTAACCAATCTTTGTTTCCCCGTACAAATTACGATAGTCAATACGAGCTGCAGCATGGTAATACTACGAGCGCAACAATACAATGACCCGGCCATCGGCGACAGAACAGGAACCATCCTGGCTAGGACCCATTTGAACTGTGGCGACAGTAATGTGGGTAGGTAACTAGTTTGCTAATACATAAATACAGAATAATTCTTCTCGAAAAGAATGCTTTTTCAGAGTCGACACGGATACCATCAGTGATCCGAGGATCGATTGCCTCCCGGAATTCAAGCGAATCAGACAAAAGCAACCCAGACTACCCCGGTTTTGATGGCACCTTATCTCTACTTCTCCCTCCCTTCTTTCCCCCCCATCCTGCATCGAGCATCCTCCATCCGCTCCCCAGACCCCAGGGCACAGTCCGTCCCATCATTGATGGCTTGAGGGTACTGTCAGCCAACACCGAACGAGCCACAGGAAAGCTACGTTCTGTAAGCCGTTGTTATTGGTTTTCGTGCTGTAGAAATGGTGCCACATTGATATCGCGTTAGCCCCGTCCGTGCTCCGCGCATACGAAGCGACAGTTTAGCGACTGGCTTGCATCTGCAAGTTGCCATGTTATCTACGGAATACAAACGCCACGATGCTCATACCGTGTGTCGTAAATACCATGCATGGACAGTTGGATGTCCAAATCTTGAGGGGCGCCGTCGGCGATGAAGGACTCGTGGTTATTCTGACACAGGACACAACACCTGCCATCTGCAGCTAACCAAGCGGATAACAATTAATAGGACATTGAGACGGGTTGAACCTTTAAAAAGTAAAAGGATTCACAACCGTCGATACCAGCCTAGACGATATCCTGCCGAATGACAAGGCGAACTCGATGACAAGGTTATGGAAGATGGAGGAGTTGATTGGTGCGAATGGTGACGAGACGCGTTCTTATCAACACTTAACTATCACCACGTTGCTTCGGCTCACCACCCAACGAAATGTTATCTCTGGCACTGTCCCTCCACTTCCTAAAACAGTCTGATATGATCCTTTGCAGTTAGGCCCTGGTTTACGGATGATTTCCACATTCCACTCTTTCGAACACCACCCTGCTTGGGAGACGCGAAGCCCTGACAGATGTACGTGCATCCTCGTGGGCGATGTTATTACGCGATGGCAAGATAAGCCATGCGATAGTGATGCCAAATACGGAAGCAAGAAACGACTTGCCAGTAGGTTGGTGGCTTGCGATGTTTTGAGAGCGGGAGGGTATCTATCACTCAATTCTATATCTGGACCATGTCCGCCATATCTGAATGTTCTCCTGTCTAGCCTCCGTCCTTGATCCTCCTCACCTTCGTCTGGATTACCCTTCCCGGTCCTTGTCGATGTGTTTTCGTTCTACTTCAGTCTCTCCCTTATATACTTGATCTAGCATTGAGCTGGAGATTCCGTAGATTGCCATTCAAGAAGATCGTGATTGAAGGACTTCCGCGACGATGGCCGAACTAACTCCTGTAAGCCACTCCATATCTCGATTCCGGTGTATTCGACAAAGTAGTAACTGATACCGTCGTCTAGCCGGAGTTCAACGAGACGCAGCCCAATGGCGGTGATTCTCTTCTCGTCGATGTCAACGCCCAGTACGCGGGTTTTGAGATGCACTATATCTGGATTGCCGTTATGTGCTTCCTGGTTTGGCTCATCATCCCGGGTATCGGACTTCTCTACGGAGGGTTGGCGCGGAGGAAATCCGGCTTGGCTCTCCTGTTCCAGTCTCTTATGGTCGCGGCGATGTGAGTTCCTGCAGTAGATGCATAGCCATCCACTAACTATCTACTGCCTCGACTAACACTTCTCCAGGGTTACGTTCCAATGGATGTTCTGGGGCTACTCCCTCGCCTACTCCCGCACCGCCTCCCCGTTTATCGGCAACCTGGCCAACTTCGGCATGAAGAACGTCAGCGCTGCCCCATCCCCAGGATCCGACCTCCTCCCCGAAATCGTTTTCTGTTTCTACCAGATGTTGTTCTGCGCCTGCACGGTACAAATCGTCATCGGCGGGTCCTTCGAGCGTGGCCGTATCATCCCCTCCCTCGTCTTCGGCTTCCTTTGGGCCACCATCGTGTATTGCCCGATTGCCTGCTGGACCTGGAACTCCAACGGCTGGCTGTACAACCTCCCTTCCCTCGATTTCGCCGGTGGTGGCCCCGTCCACATCGCGTCCGGCTGGGCTGCCCTTGCGTATGCCTTCGTCCTTGGAAAGCGCCGACATGTTGGCGAGAAGTCCCACCACAAGCCGCATAACACCACTCTTGTCTTCCTCGGTACCGTCCTCATCTGGTTCGGATGGTATGGCTTCAACGGCGGTAGCGCCCTAAACGCCTCCGTCCGTGCCATGACCGCTGCGTTCAACACCAACACCGCCGCGTCCATGGGTGTCCTAGGCTGGTCTCTCGTCGACTACTTCCGCCACGGCCGACGATTCTCCGTCGTCGGTGCCTGCGAGGGCGCCATCGCCGGCCTCGTCGGCATCACTCCCGCCGCCGGTTTCGTGTCCGTCTGGCTTGCGGCGCTCATCGGCTTCCTTACCGCTGTCGTCTGCTCGCTCTGCCAGGGCATCGACAAGATCCTGCGCATCGACGAGGGCATGGATGTCTTCAAGCTCCACGGCATCGGTGGCATGGTCGGCTCCTTCCTCACCGGCATCTTTGCCCAGTCCTGGGTCAGCTCGCTCGACGGCAGCACGCTGGCGCCCGGCGCCATCGACGGCGAGGGCATCCAGGTGGCTAAGCAGCTCGCGGAGATCGCGGCCATCTCGGCGTACAGCTTCACGGTCTCGTGTATCCTGTTGTATGTGCTCAAGTACATCCCCGGAATGCATCTGCGCGTCAGCGAGGAGGCGGAGATGGTCGGTCTGGATCTCGATCAGTTCTTCGATGAGCAGATCGGGGACTGGAGCATGCTGGAGCAGATGGCGTTGCAGAGCGAGCAGGGAACCGCGACTCCGACCTCTGGAATACAGAAGGAGGCGGTGGCAGCGCAGCAGACGACAGTGGAGACGTAGGAGGCTAAGCATGATCGAATTTTGTTGGATTGTTGTTTTGAACTTGGTGCGATACCACATAAGTCGTGTGTGGCGGGGAGGTTGGACAGTGAAATATACTGCCATTTATTTCTAGCTTATGGATATACCTGATTGAATGCATCACCCACTAACTTGCATTTAAACTCCTCCTACGTGCTATACCATTGTGTTGGATAACAACCCTTCCGTTCAATTTCGCGTGCCATTTTTTTATGGAAAGCGAGCAGTACGAGCGTTGAGTAGCGTCCGAAATTGTTCAGTGCTATCCAATTATTACTAACAATGTGCTGTATATAATAGTATGAGATGAGGCAGCGGTCATACTTTGGCCCGCATCGCGTACCACTTACCAAGCCCATAAAGCGACCAAAACATAACCGACATTGCCCGTACTCCATCAACTCGGCGGTTTCATGCATTCACTATGTCATCGCAGCGGGGTTCTCTAGCCCAAAACTGCCCCCATCAACATATCTGTAATCGCACTTCTCTCCTCCACCACCTCTGCAGGCCTTCTCCCCCAGTCAATCTGCTTCATCGCTTCCACTGCATTGCTACTGCCTAACCCGTCGTCATCGAAAACCATCCATAATACTTCCGCGGCACCAGTACGGACCACGGCGGCCGGATGTCGCAGCATGGTTACCACCTTTTGGAGCACTAGTTCTCGGATCACTGGCACCTCTGCGAGGTTGCGATAGATCGACAGGGCTGTTAGATGGAGTGCCGGTTGGGGTGACTTATGGTGTGCTTTTTGAACCAGCGAGAGGAGCCTGCGGAAAGAGAATGCGGGCGCGGTGGTTGTAGGGTCGGAGGATTTGGACTTGTCGGAGGCACCTGGGGGAGTGATAAGCCGGTGCAAAAGCCGCATGTCGAGTAGGAAGGCAAGAATCTCCAGTATGCTCGGTAGGAGACGCGGGTTGCCGAGATTGTCGTTTAGGGTGGAGAGGAAAAGGTCGAAGAACTCGAGGACGCTGAAATCATCTAGCCTTCCCTCTGCTGTTTCCCTTGGGAAGGTAGATTCGATACCAAGAGCCTTGGCCAGTGCGATCCGCGCCGTTCGCTCTACCGCATCCGAACCTTGCGCAGCGGAAGAAATCATGCCTTCGAGAACCGCCCGCCGAATTGATGGATGGACGTCACATTCCATGAAGAGGATATAGCTGCGGAAGTAAGACTCTGAGGATACATCTTTCTCCATGAGTTCTGGTCTGTCATCTATCGCAGCGTAGTAGAGTCTGGGCCTTGAGACGAGTGTGCGGGCTCGAGAGCGAAGCTTGTCAAGCTTTTCGAGCGAGAGCCGGAGGAGAGACGCGTATAACTGTATCTCCATATTCCCCTCTTCTGATTCCGAGTGAGTTCCCAGAGCTATATCCGATGACCATATACTTGCAAAGATGGGGAGTGCTTCAAGGCGGACAAGCGAGCCGACATCTCCTTGAGAGGTCACCGTGTAGTCATTGAAACTCTTCAACAGGGTTTCCTGTAATCTAGCAAATAGCTGTGGCTCCGCTCTGACCCTAGGAACAAGATCCGGCGATATGTAAGTATTCAGAGCTCTTAGAGCGATAACTCGTTGGTCGATTTTACGCGGCGGATGCGCTGCCTCAAGTAAAGTTTCGAACATCGAAGTCCAAACCTGAGGGCTCATGTGGAGGTCTTGAAGTGAAGAGCCAATTGCGAGCATATATCCTGAGCTAGGGTTACTCATGGCATGCTCCGATTTGACCTTAGCATGCCATGACCCTACAAGCCGAATGAGTTCAGACTCGGGCAGTGAATGACAGAGTTGCTTTGCTGCTTCTGGGATCGCTCGGAGAACACCTTCATCGTTGCGGTGGAGACAATGATTGAAGAGTTCAATCAGCATATCGCCTGAGTCGCTTGTATTTGTTGACAGCCATGATCGGAGCAAGCTCAAAATCTTGACTAGAGAGATGACGGCAATAGCGGTTAGTCGTGGTCGTAGAGCTGGGGAGGAGAAATCGATCTCCGTAAATTTCAGCCGGCTGGGGAGAGCCAGGTACTCTGCAAAATGAGATAACCCCTCGACTGCTTGTGGTCGGCGTTCCGTAGGGGGACCGGTTCCCCTCAAGCTGCATTCTAGGATGCTGGAAAAGGCAAGGAGCAAACCATGCTTTTCCTCGATCTGGCGTGGTTTCAACTTCGCCAGAATCTCGAGAACCTCATCGAGCATTCCCTTTCGCACCTCCTTCCCTTTGACCTTTGCTAATGAGCCCAAAGCCAGCGCCGCGATCTCTCGGGACTTCTCGTCATTTGATCCCGTACCCCGCCAATCGACGAGACCTGTAAACAACCCGTCCCAGTACAGTTCGCTCAGTTTGCCTGCAGCCGATCCAACTTGAATCATAGCACGTTGATGCAACCCAACTGCCTGGAAATCGATCGTTTGGACAACCGATATCCCTTCCATGACGGTGTCTGGATGACGACCAACAAGCTCCTGCAACGCGGCGGACGATCCTCGTCGGATGTTGCCTGCTGGATCGAGGCACGCGGAAATGACAAGTTCTACAGCGAGCATCTGCAGGACAGATAGATGGTGGGTAGACGAACTTGCTGCACGAATTGTAGACGTGTCGATTCGGGTGAGCTCCTCTGTCGTGTAGCGCCGGGAGAGTGCCCAAATGCCGAAGTTCGCCGCGTCTCGAACGTTCGAACCCACCGAAGTTCCAGTAGCGGATCGTTGCTCAAAGTTCAGTGCCAGAAGGAGGGCATTAAGAACGTCAGGGAGCTGAGTAGGTGGGGGAGCACGCTTGTATAGAAGATGAGAGAGGGTCAGCGTGAGACCATGCCACCGGAGAGAATTGACAGCGGTAACGCTGCGCTTGTGTCCCTCCCATAGGACATTGTCTTCAAAGCCTCCAATCACTGCCTCAATTAACTCAACGGCCATGTCTTGGTCCAGGCTAAAGGTGATGACGCTTATAGCTTTGCTTGATGCAAAGCGGACAGGCGCGTCGCCGTCTGACAACGCCTCAAGCAGGAATCCAATGACATCCTCAAGAGTAGCTGTGACATCAAGGCCAGTTAAGCTATCCTCTGCTCGAAGGCAGTGTAAAACGATGATACGAAAAGTCTTCACAATAAGTTTTCGGGTAATTGCCAGAGAGCTCAAAAATTTGAGTGATTGAGAATCCAGGATTGCCTGACAAACAGAAAAAAGCCTTGATATCTGGATACCAATCTCTTGGACGGTACCGGAAGCGATAAGACGGGAGATAAAGGTAAGCATCCCTAAGCACGCATGGACATCATGTTCCTTGTGTGCTTCTTGAGCTCGATCGGCCCCGAAGAACCCGACTGCCCAAGTCACTACAGCATCAAGGAGACCGGCCTTGCGCATGTCCGGCCGTAGGCAAATTCTTGACAAGAGTCTGGCCGACGCTCCGCTCTCCTTGGTGGGACTTCGAAGGTACTTGACACAAAGAGGGATAATACGTCGGGTGATGCTTGGCAGTTCTTGTGGAAGCTCGAAATCCACAGGCTCAAAATGAATTGTAGGATCGTCTGAGGAAATAGATGAAAGATCGAAGGGAGCGAGCATCAGGTGTGAAAGCCAGAGAAGGAGGATATACCGCTCATGCCATGTCGCTGAGGGGTTGTTTCGGCAAGCCTCCAATGCCCCCAGCATAGGTTCAAGATATTGAGGCTCATTGTTGAAGAAGCTGACGATGACCTTCTCCCCGCGGATTTTGCAGAGGTAATACAGCAGTTGTGCTACGGTATTTTGCACGGTACAAGCCCCGGATTTGCTCTTGATATGGCCATATTGGACACATTCAAGGAATCTGTTGACCAGATCTGGGACAATTTGGGGAAGATGCCTATCGAGGAGCTGCGGATCTTCTTGAAACGGGTCAATCTGCCGCGAATTGTCAGTACGAAAACATAAAGACCAAGCATGTTGGCGAGCGATTTGTAATCCGCGTAAACTAGGAGTATATTGCATACCAGTGATATGAGGCGAGATACCCTCGAGTCACGGATGTATTGTTTTGCGCCAAGGGCTTTTTGCAACTGTAAGCGAAAATCAGTTAGAAGCTGCGGCGATGCCCGCATGAGTTGCAGGTCCGAATCATCCTTCAAATCCATTGTCATAAAACTTCATCAGGCACCTGGAGTGCCATTCGTCGACTCGTTCTATCATTCTACATGATAAGGTAGGAATATCTCATCGATGTGTAGTTTGGACGATTCATACACCTCTGCTGCAGCTGCCCCCCTGCAGCTGGGAGGGAAGTTTCGACAAGGCGCCAAGGCATCTCTGGTCAATGGCGGGGCGACCAATCAAAACAAGCCACTAATAATGCGCGCTATTCCCGATTCGGAACCATGTGTGTAAACATCCCAACTCCATCGCATCCCACTCAACTTCAAATCTTCAATACAGCTGAACTTCAGCGCAATCCCTGAAAATCTTCGAGACATTTGCTTCCGCGGGTATATATACACGCGATTATGCCTCCCCTACCGCGTCCTTCAAGTACCAATACGCGAAGAGCTATGCGACCCCCTCCTCGACCCGTCCCTTCTCGATCGCAATCCGTGACCCCTTCTTTCAACGGGCGACAATCTCCAGCTGGGTCCGTAACTTCGACGACATCCTTTTCCCGATCCAAATCGCCGGCGACGCAGATGGCCGGCTCGAAACGCAAAGAGCGCGAGTTTGACCAGGACTCGACCCATGAGACCAACATCAATGTGGTGGTGCGATGTCGTGGTCGCAACGAGCGCGAAGTGAAAGAGAATAGCGGCGTAGTTGTGTCCACGGATGGCATCAAAGGGAAGTCGGTGGAGTTGTCGATGGGACCGAGCGCACTGAGCAATAAGACATACCATTTCGATAAAGTTTTTTCGCCAGCAGCGGACCAAATCATGGTGTTTGACGAAGTGGTGGCACCCATTCTAGATGAGGTTCGGGCTATACAAGCATCCATGGTATAGCAATCCCTAACATTTGGCAGGTTTTGGACGGATTCAACTGCACGATCTTCGCATATGGCCAAACCGGAACTGGAAAGACGTACACAATGTCAGGCGACATCTCTGATATACTCCCTCTGCCCGATGCAGCCGGTATCATCCCTAGGGCTCTCCATTCCCTATTCAATAAACTGGACAGTGATGAAGGCGACAAGTCCGTGAAATGTTCATTCATTGAGCTGTACAACGAAGAACTGCGCGATCTGCTCTCTGTGGATGACAGAACGAAACTCAAGATCTACGAAGAGAATACGCGAAAGGGGCATGCCGCCACTTTAGTCCAGGGCATGGAGGAAAAATTCATCGAGAGCGCATCGAAGGGTATCGAATTGCTTCGCGAAGGAAGCCACAAGCGCCAAGTTGCAGCTACCAAGTGCAACGATCTCAGTTCAAGAAGTCACACGGTCTTCACGGTCACCGTGTACGTGAAGCGATCATCTGAAACCGGTGAAGAGTTGGTGAGCGCTGGAAAGCTGAATTTGGTCGATCTTGCAGGAAGCGAAAATATCCAGCGATCTGGAGCTGAGAATAAACGTGCAACTGAGGCGGGCCTGATCAATAAGAGTCTGCTGACTCTCGGTCGGGTTATCAATGCGCTTGTGGATCGTGGCAGTCACATTCCTTACAGAGAATCCAAGCTCACACGGCTTTTACAAGACTCACTTGGCGGCCAGACGAAGACATGCATCATAGCGACGTTGTCTCCCGCTAAGAGCAATCTGGAGGAGACGATTTCATCACTTGATTACGCATTCCGGGCAAAGAATATCCGAAACAAACCGCAGGTCAACCAGGTGTTCTCCAAGAAAACTCTTCTCAAAGAGTTTACTGGCGAGATCGAGAAGCTCAGGAGCGAACTCATCGCAACCAGACAACGGAATGGAGTCTATCTTACTTCGGAAATCTATGAAGGGATGACTATAGAAAGCGAGTCTCGAAGAATCCTTAGCGAGGAGCAGCGGGACAAAATTGAGACAATGGAGGTCAACCTCCGCAACAAAGTACAAGAGCTCTTTAGCCTCACAACCAACTTTAATAATCTCAAGAAAGACAATGAGGCATCCAAGGCCGTCCTGGATGACACAAAGAACATCTTGGAGAACACGGAGATCGTGCTAGGCCATACTCGACAGAGCCTGGCAGAAGAGAGGGTCATCCGAAATGCTCATCAACACACCGAACTGGAGCTGGCAGGTATAGGTGCAAGCATGATAGGTACCCTTGAGCGGACCACGGAGCATATCAATGGGTTGGATGCAAAACTACGGCGCCGATCCGACCTTCACAACCTCAACAGGGATACTTGGGCCAGTTCCCAAGACCTCGTTTCGCTGGGCGCTAGGAGCGTGGAGGAACTAGTAGGAAACTTCCGCGAAGAACAGGATGGCTTGCTAAACGACCTTGCCGGTCGCATGCGAGGCTTCGTGGCCGATGAGATTGCGAACCTGGAGAAGACGGATGGCTTCATTCAGGAGCAATCGAAATCATTCCACGCCTCGACAAAAGAAGTCATGGATCAAACGGAACAGTCACGGTCTGACTTGAATGCAGTTCTAGGAGACATTGAAACCGTCCGAGAGGATGCGAAGTCAAAACTCGGCTCGGGACTAGATGATCTCTCAAGAGCATCACAGCGCATCTCTGCCGGCATCTTGACTGAAATTGATGGGTTCCAGACCCAACTCCACTCCTCGTACGCATCGCTAGGGAAAGATTTCCGATTGGTCTTCGACGAATTGTTGAAAACGCTTCATGAGCAAGAGTCAACAATCACCGAACTTCGGACCGAAATATCCGAGGCGAATGCAAGGATGCTAGCATCGACCCAAGACCAAGAGACTCGGATACAAGCGGCATTCGAATCCGAGAAGCAGAAGGCATCTGAGGACAGGACAACACTTCTGGCGCAGATCTCGTCACTGGTCGCAGCGAATGCTACTGCGCAAGAGACGCGGTTCTCCGGATTTCTGGGACAATGGCAACGATCTTTCGCAGCATCTTCAAAGGAGTTCTCAGAAGCCAATGCGGCCTATGGTTCAGGAATGGATGCGTGGGCCGGCAAATCTACGGGTCTGATTCAGTCAATGACTCAGGCTCGGGATTCAGTGAAAGGCAAGATAAAGGGAGACTTTGCGGTAAGTAATTTGGTCAGAGCAAGACATGTACGGGAGACTGATTTTTATACAGAAAGCGAACGAGCATACGGAGACACTTCGAACGACCACCTCAGCGGTTCATGACTCCACCTCCCGGATTGTGGAAGAGCAGAAAGGCCACATGGACTCGCAGTTACAGGCGCTCGACGGCATTGTGGGCCGTATCAAAGAGACGAACGACGCACACCACAAATCTCACCTCACATCACTCGAAAACCTTGCCTCAACCGCCGAGGTATCCTACTCAAGCATCGGCGCGCATTTCAAATCATCCCTCGACACCGTCAAAGATCTGGATAGCGACATGACCTCTCGATTTGACACCGCCCGCGACACCCTTTCCCAAGTCTCGCCATCCGGCCCCATCATCGACAAGCTCCAAGACCTCGCGTCGCAGATCGAAGATCGGCAGCTGGAAGAGTACAAACCCACCGGGAACACGCCCAAGCGGACGACCTACGAATATCCGGCCTCCCTCCCCCGAACCCAGAGCCATGATCTCCTCATCGCCAGAGCACGAAGCCAATCATCCGAATCTGCAGATGGGACCGGTGCCAAGAGCCCCAACAAAGCTAAGATCTTCGCCGACGCTGATAGCTCTGCAGTGCCGGTGTCGCCGTCCGTGTCACGGCCGGCAACAAGCACGTCGACTAGCTCCTCAGGTTTGAAGGAGCTGGATGTGAATGTCGTCGGCATGCCGACTGGGGGGGATTCTAGTGCTGTGTCTGTGCCCGATGCGCTTGGTAAACCTGCGCAGAAGAGACAGAACACGAACGCCGTTGGGATGCAAGAGAAGCTGAGCTCGGAGAGCAAGTTGCCGATGAAGCGGAATACGCGGATGACAGTCGTTGGCGTGGGACATGGAGCGGATCGGGAGAACGTGCCGCTTGTGCAGAATTTGAGCGCCAGTGTTGGACACGCTGGGGTCGGAAGGAGGTTGAGGAGTCAAAATTCCTCCTGAGTTGGGTATTCATTGCTTTGTTCTTATCCTTGCTGGTGCGGTGGCGGAATTGGATATCATGATAGAATAGATGTCCAGGCACGAGCACGAGTATGACTAATATTTAATCCTCGTACGTATCGGTCAGAATGGAATGTCTTCTCCGAAGCGGTCCAAGAATCGTCCTGAGTCTTTGCTTGAAAGGCGGTCGAACAGCGCGATCATGTCGCTAACACTCTCCTCGGCCCTCATTGCACCCTGCTCCTTAGCCAGAACGAGCCCCGTCTCGACACGGCCGGGATGAACCATGAGAAACGTCATTTCAGGGATATCGACGGCGAATGACTTGACGATGGCGTTCAGCGCGGCTTTTGACGCACGATATGCGTATCCTCCTCCTGAATTATTCCCCGAAATAGAACCCATCCGTGACGACATGACCACGACCTTGACTTCGTCGCCAAGCTGTAGCGCCAATCTGAGACTGGAAAACAATTCCTTGACGAGCAAGAAGGTCCCCAGCGCATTGATTTGGAACGTCGTAGTCATCGTCGCCGCGTCCATTGACTCCATTGTCTCTGCGCTTCGCACGTCGGTCGGATTCGTCTGGTGGATCGAAGAGACCAGGCCTCGTATACCGGCGCTGTGTATTATGCACGAGATGGAAACCTGCTTCAGCTTTTGCCCGAGCTTCTCAATTGCCGTCGGAGACGTCAGGTCAACGGTATACGCTAGGACCGAATGTTCATATCCTTCCGGAAGCCAGTCGAGTGGGATGGGGACATTATCCACAGCGATGCATATCTGTTTGGGGGCCCATCGTTTCAAGAATTCGAGTCCGATCCCTGATGCGGCTCCGGTGATCAAGATGGGCATTTCTGGCTGTAGAGTAGTTGTCAAAGTTTCGTACTTTTAAGAGACCAGAGTTGGAAATTATAATGTAGGATCATATGAGTTTTAGGTTCTCAACAAGCTTGAGGTTAATAAAGGAATGACGAATAGGTACGGACTCCTCGGTGCTCTTAGTGACTTCGTATCCTCAATATTTCGCCCGTCGGCTACGCTTCCTGGAACGGATATGTTTCCGCGACACCCCTGCAGAACCCCTGCACCAGAGACCGCGACGGGTTCATATGATTGGACAGAATTTCTGCGACATCAGACCCCTGTCAACGAAATCTCAACTTTATCAAGATTTTCGACAACAGCACTCTTGATCAACCGTATATCGCAGTGCAGACTTGAACTGTTTAGCCGATTACTCGTATTCAAATCGGTCAAAAGTACGGCCTTGGTGGTTGTAACCGCAAAGTCCGGTTAAAATGTCGAAAAGACCTCATCACGACGATCATTTCGCCAGGAAGTCTAAGCAGAGAAGACACGGCGAGGACGGAAAGAGCGAGGAACGACGACCGAAGAAGATCAATCCGAATCATGAGACATTGGGTCCTCGAAATACTGATCAAGATCGCAATGAAGCTGTTCTTGAGGATGTCGTGTCCACCAGACAACTCCACACCCTGTTGGCATTCCAACAACATGACGTCCAGCCCATGAGACATGGTAAGACGAATTGCGTGTCTACATCGCGAGGGTTTTCTAACACGACTAGGAATCCGGACATTCAAAGGTTTCCTAGACTCCATCTTGTACGGTGACCCCGACGGAGCCAGTCCGAAAAGGGCCGTTCTGAAAGAGTACCTCGAGCAGTTGCGAAATGTCCAGCCTGAAACCGCAGACGAGGTGGACTTCGCAAAGGACCTCTGCAAAATGTGGAGCTTCGCTAGCTCGACGGATAATGAGGCCCTCTATGCTGCTGTGACCGCCGTCCTGGCATTGCTCATGAAGACCATCTCTACCGACGTCGATTTGACGCAATATGGCGATCTACTTGGCAAGTCGCTTTTGCACGCAACCTATGCAAAGCTATTCTCCCGTGGTCTATCGGCCCCGAAGCATAGAGAGTACATCATCTCTCCATGTCTTCGGCTCCTCTCCGAACTTGCGTCATTCAACGGTGGAGCTCTCGTTCGGCTTGTGTACCGGAATCGAGACTCCACCTTGGAGCCGAAGATTATGGCGCGGAATCTATCGATCCATCGTGATGAGGATGAGCAACCGGATGAAAATGGTTTCCAGAAACCGTCGGTCCGATCGAACGCAGTGCGCTACTTGCTGGCTATCCTTAAATTTGGCAACGAAGGGATCAAAACCGATCTTGTCAAGCAGGCAAGCATCTTCGGACGTCTGTTTGAGTTCGCCAAATTCGATCATCCCGGTTTGGCGCTGGAGACCCTCGATACGTTGAAGCAGCATGTTCTGCTGGATAAGCATCTCATGCGGAAAGACAAAGGCCGAATTTTCAATGGACGAAGCTTGACAAACTTATTACCTGTAGCTCGTCGCGAGGTACCAGCGGGCGACGGAGAGGATGTAGCACGCAAGGTAGTCAACGCTACCTATGCTTTCCTCACTTTCGTTTGCACGAATCCCGAGTCTGGAGTCTTACCTCGCCTTCGAAAGGCAGATCCCACAGGTGGCACGGAAGGAGAACAACAAAACGAATCCGGTCCTCAAACTCGGATCCTATCAGATGTTTGCAATGTTTTGAGGCCCCACAGTATTGCGGATGAGGCAGAGATTCTGATGCAAATCTTCGCTCGCGTGCCGCCTGTGCTTCCCATTTACTTCAAGAAGCCTGAGGCGATGCCATTCGACCCCAAACTAACCGCCACCTGGATCGGCTATGCCTCGTTCCTCTTCAAAGCTGTGCAGGCCCCATTCCCGGAACTTACTTCGAAGACATCCCAGGTGCCTTTAGAGGACCTTGTGGAGTTCGTCCTGCCGGGGCCACTTACTGAAAAGGCCTTGACACGATGTTTCAACCACAGCTCCGAGCTCATCAATCTCTTTGCAATCCGAATTCTTATCAAGAGCATGGAGAAACTACAGGCCGTCACAGCCCAGTTGCGCCAGCACCCACAGTTTGAAGACGCATTGGAGACCCTCCAGGCCGAATTCGCCAAACGATGCCCTGACATGAAGACAGCCGTAACCATGTTCCGACGTTTGAGCGACGACAAAATCATGGAGCGCGAAGCAGCCTCTCGCTTACTCACGATGTACTTCTCGGCGCTCCCACAAGTTGCTTTGCGCGAACAATTCGACATCTCGGTTGCTCTGACGCAAAAGCTCGAGCGCTTGGCGAAAGCCCCCGCTAACAATGGAGGGAAAGAAGAGTCAGCTGAGGATGAGCACGAACGACAATTGCATTTGCTGGACCTGGAGCACCTTGTATATGTTGCTGGCTGCTCGCCTGGATTCCAGTGGTGGAACCGTTCGGAGAAGCTGCAGTACTCGCCTTTCATTGCGCTCTTGAAGGTCCTCGTGGCGTCCACTGACCGTGCTTCCGGCCAAATTCTGGATGTATTGACGAATGTCGTATCCGACAATGGCATCCTACAGTTGGAGACCAAGCCGACGGGATTGAGCGCGCTGGTGACCAGCCTGCGTGCTGTCAAAGACGTGGATCAGAGCCTGGCGTTCCTGGATGAGTGCATCAATCGATTCGTCCGGAAGCAGATTAAATATGGCGATGATTTGGAACAGATGCTTGCTGCAGACGAGTCGAAGTCTGATGGCGTTGTCAAACCGGTTAGTCCGATAATCGCTGTTCTGGCTGAACAGTGGCCGTTCCTCCAGAAGAAGGATGAAGCGACCGTTACTTCAGTGTCAGCGTGGGTCAGCGGACTGCTGGTGACACTCGCCGGGTGTGGTGAAAATCTTGCGGTTTTGAATATCGTCAGGCAGAAGCTTTACGACACCTGCAGCTCGAAGAAGTCGGCCAAGTTGCTCCGCGTTGATCTCAAGGAAGCAAAGCTCCCGCTATCGGAGCAGCCCGTTGTGAAAGAAAAGGCTCCAGCGAAGACGGATGAAGTAACAGAGGTTTCTCCCACCGGTGAACTCACGGTGCCGGACTTCCTGGCCGCAGCGGGACTCAAGGAACACGGAACGGATGACTACCCCGGACTGACGCGCTGGATGCAGAAAGACGTGGAATCCGCGATCATGGATGGCGACGTCGCCGAGCTGATTCTCTGCCTCTGCGCCGAGCCGCCCGAGATCCGGAAGCAAGCCATGCTCAACGGCTGGAAGTTCGCTGAAAAAGTCAAAGCCTCGTCTTATGCCGCCGCGCAGCAGACCTACATGATGTTCGGCGAGCTGCTCTCGACGGCCGAAGATATCATTGAACAGGAGCGATTGCCGTTCACCGCGGCAGCGTTCGCGATCAAAGCGTTGCCGATCCTCGCGGAGCCGTCCGGGGCCCTGTATCCGAAGATCAACATCTTCCTGATGCGACGACCGAAGTGGACGATTGATCGGATCCCGACGCATTTTGCGGGGAAGATCCTGCTGAATTCGTCGCAGGAAGGGGATAAGTTCCGGATGGAGACGCTATGGCTTTTGGACTACTTTATTGAGGCGCTACGATCTCCAAAGGTGAGAAGCACAATGGTCTATCATAGGTACATTGCTAACGTTTCGAAGGACATGGAAATCTTTCGTACGCGCCAGCTCTTTGAGCGGATTCTGATATTGTATTCCTCGCCCTATTCGACACTACAGATTCGACAACGGGTTCTCGCATTGCTATACCGCGCGACGTTCGTCGATGGCAGCACGGCCCTCATTACCCGACATGGGGTGATCGCCTGGATCAAGATGCAGATGAAGTCTTGGAGCAAACACCAGAACGATTTGAAGGTTATTTTAGGGAGGCTTTTGGAGATGTGTGATAAGGAGAAGGTGAAGGAGTGGAGCAATGGGACGGCGGAAGGGATTGTCGATGATACCCTGAAAGCCTGAGCTTGTAGATCTAAAACCAATGGAGGAACGCGAAGGGGCCATGCCGTTCTGCTCCATGTATGCAGCCTATGTGGTCTATTTCTATGAACCAGTTCCATGCTCGTCATGAGCCGAATGTATCGCATGGTTTCTCATATGCCGAGAATCTAGCGCTGTGTAAATGCGACTAGTTGGAAATTCCTCTGAACATTGGCCACCAAGATACCCCTAGCATATTCATGGCAAAATAAATGACCTGGACGGTCTCCCCATTGTTCAAAGGGGAGATAGCGTAGAGAGTGGTGGGTTGGGGACACCGGTAGGTCCGCATCACACCATCAGACACATACCTACACAAGGATTGGTTGTGTGGCCGAATTCTGGTCTACTTACCAAGCCCGCGCTATCGAGTTGGTCACTGGTGTATAAATTCGTCAGCTCCTACGGTCCCAGAAACGGCATCCCAGACGACAGCGGTCGGGTGGACTTTCAGACCTCTATGGAGTCGTCAGACATATCTATGTTGATGTTAGTGAACAAAAGGGAGTGTATACGGTCCGCTGATTACCAAACCTTCCTCGCCTTGTCTAGTGAGGCTTAAATTTAACTAATTAATGTTCTAATAGGTTTCGCACAGCCTCATTCCTGCAAGAGTTTGAATCACCCGTGGTTTGACCGCACTGGTAACCATGTACAGGACGAGACTTCTCGCAAGGAAATTGGAGGCGTCCTTATCACAAAACCGGCATAACATCGCTGCTATCATGTAGATCACTTACATTTGCCCACGTGAAGACACCTCCTCTTAACAGGGTCGATATGGTTTCTCGAATCGCCAGTGGCAAATGATATGACTGAGGAATAACGTCCACTGAGGGACGTGCTTGCCTAATATCTAGCGGATTGCGTCAACATCCAAGTTCCACTCGGGACGGGTGTTTGCATCAAACGTGTCAAAATATGGGTGAAACTTCAACCCGTCTAGTTCGCCGGCGAATGTTTTCATGTCTCTTTCCATGGCTCTTTTGCGGGACATAGATTCAGGGACTTTGGAGAGAGCCTGCTGGATTTTTCGTTCCTCGAGAACCTCACGGAGCATCCGAATCCGCTTAAACAGCTAAGCGAACCATGACTGATCACTTGTTACCCAGAGACGCATAAACTGCTTAAAGCCGCTCCTTTGATGATTGATAATATCTCGCCGGATCTAGAAATGGACTTGAAGTTCATCAATACGCGTAATCACGTGATAGAATCATTATATATGCCTAATTAGCCTGGGGCTACTATTTCGAGCCCTGCCACACTTTTCGCATCTCGCCCCACATTAAATCGAACAGCCACCAGCATGAAAACTCAACTTTGAGGGGAAAGTAGCTTTCTACATCTCCCGACCGTTTTGCAATAATTCGATTAGACAGAATCAGAAAACTCCCTACGCCTCAAGATGGGTCAATACAAGAAGGAAGCGGCCCGAAAGGATCGGGAAGGGAAAATCAAAGGCGATCCCAAAATTAAGGGCGAGAACTTCTACAGGTACGAGAGCACACTGAGCCAACGGATGGATAAACGGTTACTAACTCTAGCCGGTAGAAATGCAAAGAAGCTCAAGACCCTTAATATGTTCAATGAGGGGAAGGCAGAGAGAAACGCTTCCGGCAGGATCACGAAAGCCGCAACCTTTCAATCAAGAGACATTCCAAATGCGAGAGTCGAGCCACACCGCAAATGGTTCACGAACTCAAGAGTTATCTCCCAAACCGCCTTGAATGCATTTCGCGATGCCGTCACCGCTCAGACTTCCGATCCCTATTCCTACCTCCTCAAACGCAACAAGATCCCCATGACTTTGATCCGCGACAACCTGCATGAGAACGGCGTGAAGAAACATAAGGCCAAGATGGCGCTCGAGACGATGCCGTTCAGCGAGACCTTCGGCCCGAAAGCGCGGCGAAAGAAGGTGCAGCTGGATGTGAGTTCCATGGAGGATTTCGCCAAGCGGGCGGAACAGATGCAGGATGATTATGATGGGAAGCAGGAGGAGGCCAAGGCACTCTTCCCGGACAACGATGCTGATGGCAACGTTGTTATGGACTTGGATGACACGTTGAACACTGCCAAAGAAGCAATCTTCTCCAAGGGCCAGAGTAAGAGGATATGGAACGAGCTCTACAAAGTCATCGACTCCTCAGACGTGATCATACATGGTACGAAATCCAAGAAACTTTGAGGCTACAATTTCTAACTTATGCCAGTCCTCGATGCCAGAGATCCGTTAGGTACACGGTGTCGGAGTGTGGAGAAGTACATCCGAGAGGAGGCTGCACACAAGCATTTATTGTTCGCCTTGAACAAATGCGATCTGGTGCCCTCCAGGGTCGCCGTAAGTCCTATTTCCTTCTCCCCTTTCCGATCTAGATTCCCATTGTTAAGTCAAGACTCCTTCCTTATCTCCCGTGGAAGGGGTCTGTTACAACTTTGGGAGATAAATTCGACCTCGCGCTCCCATGGTCGTTTTGATTATGGGAGCAAGCCGCCGGCCGTTCTGGCCTGGCTTTGAGGTCTTTCGTGAATCTCTCGAGTTGGGCGCAGCCTACATTTCCGATGGCTGCACTCTTAGTGATGAATCATACATTCAACAATTTCATGCTTGAACTTGCGTTTATACGACGGTGTACTGATCGTTTCAGGCCCGATGGGTGAAGATCCTTTCCAAGGAGTATCCAACAATGGCGTTCCGCTCCTCGATCACCAATCCGTTCGGCAAAGGTGCCCTGATCAATGTCCTACGACAGTTTTCGTCGCTGCATAAGGATCGAAGACAAATATCCGTAGGATTCATCGGATATCCCAACACTGGAAAGTCTTCGATGATCAATGCCCTACGAAGCAAGAAAGTCTGCACCGTTGCACCCATGTAAGTTATTCTACATTAATTCCATGCTTATTCGCTGACCATAAACAGCCCTGGCGAGACAAAGGAATGGCAATACATCACCTTGATGAAGAGGATATACCTGATCGATTGCCCTGGTGTTGTCCCACCGAGCAACAACAACACCGACGAAGACATCCTCCTACGAGGGGTTGTCCGCGTCGAGCGAGTCGAGCACCCCGAGCAATACATCGACGCCGTGCTCAAGCGGTGTCGCCAGCGCCATGTCGAACTGACCTACGAAATCAGCGGATATAATAATTCCACCGAGTTCCTGGAGATGATCGCCAGAAAGCGTGGACGGCTGCTGAAAGGCGGGGAGGCCGATCTATCGGGCGTGGCGAAGCTGGTCCTCAATGACTTCCTCCGCGGAAAACTGCCGTGGTGCACGCTGCCTCCGGGTTGGGTGGAGGGCCCGAAAGGCCCGATATCAAAGGTCGGTGGTGACGATGCGGAATCGGAAGTTGTTGAGTCCGCTGGTCTGGAGAGCGATCCTTTGTCGGATGAGGATGAGGATGAGGCGGGGAGCGATGACGCTGAGGATGAGGATGAGGTTGAGCAGGAAGGAGAGGGAGACAACGATGACGACGCTGCCGCTGCCGCTGAAGCATCGGAAGGTCAAAGCGATTTTGAAGGCTTTGAATCATGAGCACGATGCATTCTAATGAACCTTATTGCATCCTTCATGAAATTCCTCCCTGGGCCTATGATACACGTATGATGCACGACCTATAGAGGTCACTCTATGATCAAAACCCGTCTATCCCATCTAAATTAAGACATTTAGTTCTGCAAGTCACCCCCCATTCCTCCCAGGGTTATGCTCTTCATCACGAGGTATTCGTCAATGCCATAAATACTTCCTTCTCTCCCGAACCCGCTCTGCTTAATCCCACCAAACGGCGAAGCGGCATCGCTGATCAACCCCGTGTTCACCCCGATCATGCCCACCTCCAACGCCTCGGCCACCCTCCATATCCTCTGAACGTCCTTCGAAAAGAAATATCCCGCCAACCCCACCTCGGTGTTATTTGCCAGCGTGACGACCTCCGCCTCGGTCTTGAACGGAAACAATCCTGCCACGGGGCCGAATGTCTCTTCGTGCGCAAGAAGCATGTCGGGCTTCATATCGCGCAAGACTGTGGGCTGGAAGAAATTGGAGCCGAGATCGGGGAGCTTCTGGCCACCGATCATGACTGTCGCGCCTTGGGATAGGGCATCCTGGACATGGCTTTCTGCCTTGCTGACGGCGCGATCGTGGATGAGGGGCCCATGGGTAACGCCTTCACCGTAGCCACCGCCAATCTTGAATCCCTTCACCTTCTCGGCGAACTTCGTCGCGAACTCCTCATAGATCCCCTCTTGGATATACAACCGATTCGCGCACACGCATGTCTGGCCGCTCGAGCGGAACTTCGAGGTGATAGCCCCCGTAACCGCCGCATCCACATCCGCATCGTCGAACACGATAAACGGCGCGTTCCCCCCGAGCTCGAAGCTGCATTTCTTTATCGTCCCACTCGCCTGCTTCATCAACAGCCGCCCCACATTCGTGCTCCCCGTAAAGCTAATCTTCCGCACCAGCGGATCCGTCGCCAACGTCTCCCCCACCGCCGGCGTGTTTGCCAGCGACGTCACTACGTTCATCACGCCCGGTGGCAACCCCGCACGTGCCGCCAGCTCCGCCAACGCCAGCGCCGTCAGCGGCGTCTCGCCCGGCGCCTTCGACACCGTCGTGCACCCGGCGGCGATAGCGGGTGCGAGCTTCCGCGTGATCATCGCGGCGGGGAAGTTCCACGGGGTTATGAGGCCGCAGACGCCGACGGGCTCCTTCGTGACGAGGACGCGATTGCCCGGGATGCTGGCGGGGAGGACGGCGCCGTCGATCCGTGTGGCTTGCTCGGCGAACCATTCGATGAAGGTGGCGGCGTAGTTCACCTCGCCCCTGGCGTCGGCGAGGGGCTTGCCGTTTTCCCAGGTGATGATCTTCGCGAGGTCGTCGGTGTGCGCGACTGTTAGGTCATACCATTTGCGGAGGAAGCGGCTGCGTTCCTTGGCGGTGGTGCGGCGGAATGAGGCGAGGGCGTCGTTGGCGGAGCGGATTGCGCGCTGGGTTTCGGCGACGTCGAGCTCCGCGACATGGGTGATGAGTTTTCCGGTCGATGGGTCTATGGTCGAGTTAGAGTGCGAACTGATTGACTGATATTAGGTGACAGACCCTTTACTTCGAACGTCTTCCCTGAATCAGCATTTACCCATTCGCCGTGGATGAATGCCTTCGATTTCAGGAGGGATTGGTCGTTTAGCTGGTTTCAACAGATGAGTACTTTGAATTCCCCTCTCTGCAGAGCTCTTTTGACTTGAATCTGCACATACTGGAGGTATTGAATGACCTGTCGCGTAACATCTGCTTGATATCGGAACTGTCACTCGAAGCTGTAGCGTTGACACCAATGACCGCGTCGACGATCTTGCCAACATCGTAGAAGCCATTGCGGGCGACTGTGTCCTTTAATTTCAGTGAGGGAAGCTATATGGCAGAGGACGAACAATTTTCGATCCTCAATCCACCCTATACTTCGTCTAGCTCGTTGGAGATTCTGACTCTCCGAATTCGCGATACTCCCCAAAACAAAATCCCCGCAATGGCCGAAGATGGTATCGCGCATATGACGTCGGCGCCTGATAATCGCCTTGATGCCTCACTCCGTCACAATTTTCAACTTCTGCCTGAGGCATTAGTATTGTGATTTTGCAATGCTCTCCGAGTATGATATCCAGATCGCAGAACTATCAAATATTTTATTCACCGTGTACTTTGTCTTCATCCTTTAAACATGTCGGAAGTAGCTCCCCCAGCTAAGTTTAATGCCGAAGAGGCGGATAACTTTGAAGATGTATGGCCGATGATCTGGCTGAACAAATGAAGTCGTTACTAATGATCAAACACAGATCGAGAAGCAATTCGCCGTCAAAGGTCTTTGGCATCCGAACCATTTTCATAGACGTGAAAAATTGACTTAATTCCAGCCGTCCAGCAGATGCTCACCTATTGGGCGATCCTTCAAAAGATGCGTGGTTCCCGTTTACGGTTGACCAAGTACGACGACGAGATCTACGAGCACTTCAAGAAGGAATTCCCGGACTTCGACCCGAAAGCCACCATCAATGAAGACGAGATGAAGAGCAAGGCCGGCAAGGAGAGATGGCGGAATTTCGTCAATCAGTACGCGGAGAAGATCGAGGATTTCAATTATGGGACGATGCTCCGTGCCAATCCCAAGGACGAGTACGGCGAAAAGGAGACTATCTTCGGTTTGTTTTGCGATGATTTGGCATGGATATTCAATGATTGCTAACGGGATTAGCCGTACGGATGCAGTTTTATGCGATCGAGATCGTGAGGTACGCAAAAATTCTATCATGACGTGTTTTCATCCTTGGACTAACCGATCTACAGGAATAGGGAAGGCTTGAACGATTGGATTTACGAGAAAGAGCATCCAGAGGAAGCAAAATAAGCCAGTCGTCCACTGGCATGTAATGGTTTTGTTTCCCAGACCATCGACCAAGGGGGGAGAAATCAACAGCTGTCGACCATCATGCATCTTCAAAGAGCAAGAGATTGAAGCAGGTAGCTGAGACAGGATGGTACAAAATCTGTACATATCTCAGTGTGTTGTATTAACAGAGCTCGACATTAGTTCGGTCTACGGATCCACCAGGTTAGAAGGAGATCTGTTTCGCTGAATTGTCATGCTAAATCCTGGGACGTGGAACATTGCTCTAATACTCGATGTCCATGAAATGTTACATATCGAGTCAAATTGCAATCAGATAACCCTAAATCCGTCTATAACTTGCTAGGCTTATCAAGCGCCGCACTCTGAGCCCTAAAGTGTTTCACCAACTCCCTGATTGACAAATCCAGGAGCACATCCTCGCTACCACCCGGTATCCGAGCACCTGGGATCTCACGGTACAGCTCTGGTTGCGAATTAGTATCCTGTTTTCATATACCAAGCCAGAACAAGGGGATGGATAGACTTACTCTCAACGACCTCTCCCTGTCCACTCCGGGTATATCCATTCCCCCCAAACAACAACACCGCCGTCCTCACGCATTCATCCAGCACCATCCCCGCCTTCGCCTTCGCCAACGCCGTCAACCCTCCCAACTCCCGATCTGCATCCTCCTTCTTCAACTTCGTCATCATATACACGAACTGCTCCACCCACGCCGACAAGCTCTCCAACTCCGCCCCGGCCTTCGCCAACCGATGCCGCACCACCGGCTGCTCGATCAGCGCCTTCCCAAACGCCTCACGCTTCATCACGTACTCGAACGCCGACGACAGCGCCACGCGCGCCGACCGCGTTACCCCGATCGCGATATTCAGCCGCTCGTGGTTGAAGTTCGTCATGATCATCTTCATGCCTTGGCCTTCTTCGCCGATGAGGTTCTCCACGGGCACTTTGACGTCGTCGAGCTCGATGAAGGTCGTGCCGGAGGTGGCGGCGCCGCTGTTTTTGAGGCGACGCATGGACACGCCTTCGTGGCCAAGGAGAGGGACGACGAGGAGGGAGAGGCCGGTGCGGCCAGGACCGCCGGTTCGGACGGCCATGGAGGCGTATTGTGACCAGACGCCGTTGGTAATCCTATGAGCGGGATATCAGTGACTGTATTCAAGGCTGTCTGCCAAGATACTCACCATTTCTTCGAGCCATTCACGATATAGTACTTGCCACACGGTGACTTCTTGGCAGTAGTTTGTATATTAGCGACATCACTACCCGCACCCGGCTCCGTGATCGCAATGCAAATCCGCTTCCCTCCCCGCATCAGGTCCGGCAGGAACCGATCCTGCAACTCCTTGCTCCCGTATTTGAGGATCGGAGGCACGCCGTACGCCATACCCGCGATCACCGAGTTCGGCGGCCCCGCCAGCCCCGCTCTCCGGATCTCGTTTACATACACGTAAAAGTGCAGGTAATCAAAGTCCTCCAACCGCAATCCGCCGGGCAGCTCGTAGATGCCGAGTCGGTTCAACGCCTCGACGGGGAGCGGGGCCGGGAGGTTGGGAATGAGCATGTTAGCCTCGGTGAACTTCTGGAACACTTCCGGAGGGACTTCGCCTTCGTCTTCCCATTGAAGCGCATTCTCATGCAGGTTCTTGCCGATGAATTCGCGGCAGACCTTTTGCCATTTGCGGTGGGATTCGTTGAAATATGGTGACGGGAGGCCGGCGAGCCACGGGGGTTCTGAAAAGGGGATGACCTTTGCTGGAGAGGCCATTGTAAGTGGTTGAAATAGAAGCCCCGAAGAGGGTAGTGATTTTGTATACGGGCGACTTCAAGGGTGGAAGTGGATGACAAGAAAAAGACCTGTAGCCAAGAACGATACTAAGAACCTGCTGTGATCGACGTGTATAGCTATGCTTTCTTGAAGAATACTCAAGTCTTGAGGACAATGAAATATAGAAAAGGCCGCCGTACAGCACTCGGCTTGTCCCCTCAAGCTCGGCTAGAGGTAAGTACAGGTATGGGGTACTCCTCCGACCCCGAGGTGCCAATACTACCTGTCTGCATCATCCAATCAGCGTATGGAAGAATAGCTGTAGATCACCTGATCCTTGTGAGTATCGCGCTCTAAATGCTGACTTAAAGCTGATCTCCGACATGTGGAACACGAAGTAGGACTGTTGGCTGTGGAGATATACCGAAATCTACCGCGACGGACAACACTGGCGACTCTGGGGTCGGGAGGTTGCTGGTGGGCCCGAGGCCGGATGCCGCCCGATGCCCACATAGCCGTGGGCACAGACCGTGATTGGCTGAGGCCCCGTATTTAGTCGCGTAGAAATCGGGCTTCCGATCCGAGACAATCAGATATCTAGTCACCTCACCAGGAGCATAAAAGGTTGAAGCGAATATTTGAGAAGATTTCACCTTGGAGGTCAAACTGTATTGGCAGCTAAGGTCGAATGAAGTGAAGGCCTGTGGACTAAGTAGTGATCTAGTCTGGATATTCAGCAAAGCGCACATCTGATTGGGTTAATAGAATACATGATTTGCCGCTAAGAAGGTCGCATGCCATTGATTGGATAATCTCAATCCCACCTCCTCCTCACGCGGCTAATACCACCACGTCTCCTGGACTTTATATAGACGAAGATCAAAGTGAGGACGACTAAGATAATCGAAGATATATTGATAAGTATGTATAATGCTGCATGATTGCAGCGGCAATATGATAATACATGCATCAGCGGTATCAACAGGTATCCTCCACCTCATATGAACTCCGCTTGCCATGAAATAAATCCATCGTGCTGGGTATAAAACAACTGTACAAGAACAGAATTCCTCACCCTCTACCAACTCAACTGCTCCTGAACTCCATATGCACCTCAATTACTACCCTCACCCATCCATCGTTACCAACACGACCTCCAACCTTCAGATAACCCGCGAGAAGAGCCTTCCACCCATCCCCCACACCCTGCCCCCTCTTTCACATAATCTCACACTTCAAAACCCTCCTCCTCCTCTTCCTCTTAGGGCCCACCCCAGCCCGGCCCCCCATCAATCCCCCGGCCTCCCCCTCCCTCAACACCGCCTGCCTCCAATCTGACGCCCCATCCGACTCCTGTCGCCCCTCACCATCCTCCCGTTCAATCCCCGCTGCGTCGAGCATCTCGTCGCGGTCGCTCGGGTGCCCGTGGCGGGTGAAGGCGCGGGGGATGGTCATGGGTGGGGGGAAGGGGGAGCCGGAGGACGATGGGGGGGACGGGAAACGGGTTTCTTCTCGCGGTAATTGTCACCTGTGGCCTCTTTCGCGGGGCCGGGTTTGGTGGTGGTAGGTTGGGGGGGTGTCGTCGTAGGCGATGCGGATTTCGTCGCTGTGGCGGGAGGGGTCGAGGTCAGGTGGGTGGTCGTGGGATCGTGGGTGCGACTTGGGGCTGGTGTCGTGGTAGCCTGTGACGGCGTGGTGGATGGGGGTGGACTCGGGGCTGATGCTGCCTTGCTTCGTGTGGCGTAGGGAGCGCTGGCGGCCGGATGACGGGGGTGTGTTCGGGAGTGGTTTATCGATTGGGCTCGGCCCGACCGGAGTCTTTGGGCTCGGTCCAGCAGGTGTGCGAGCGCTGGGAGTGCGTTTGTGGGAGTGTGCGGGTGTGCGTGTCGTAGTGGAGCTTGTTCGGGTTGTCGCCGGAGATGTTCGTTGTGGGGTTGTAGAAGGAGGGGACACACGTCTTGAGGCTGTTCGTGATGGAGGACTTCCAGAAGAGCGACGGCGGAGTCTGGTTGTGGTGGATTGGGGTGATCGTTTCGAATCAGAGGGTTGTCGGGCGTGCCGGGGTTGTGTGGATGCCTGTGAGGTAGGGTAAATCGGCATGGGAATTGATGGTACTCCCACTGGCCGGGCGGTGGGCGGAATGTATGTGTAGGCATAGGACGCTGACACAACAGGGTCGTGCAGTGGACCAGAAGGTCGCGGATGACGCATAGACGGGAGTTGAACGGCAGCTGTTCGTGCTGGGCTTTCTGCAGTAGTGTCTCGCCTTGGAGAAGGTTTGGTGGTCACTGGAGCAGCCCGTGGTGATTCCCGAGACCGCGCTGGTGATGGCTGACTCGTTTGCGGCACCACGGGCTGTTGCACTGCTCGTTCCGGTGTCGATTCTAGTGGCGTATGCTCTGATCTTGCAGTGCGCTCATTCTTTTTCCCTTTCCCTTGCGGCGTTCGCTGTTCTTCGCCCTCTGCATCTGGTTGGGGTGTCGGCTGCTCGCCAGGCGCAACTCGTCTCATCACGCCGCCGAGTAAGCCGACCAACCCTGCAACAACCTCAAACTCGGTGTCCGTCAACCCTTCGTCGGCGCGATATACCTCCCTAACCGCTCCTCGTGCGAGTCGCTTGGCCCCATCATAATCATGGGCGACATCCCACAAGAACGCGGAATGCTCCAACGCGACCGAAAGTCGAAGGGGATGGGAGCCGGGAAGGAGAGTTGTGGATAGACTCGTCGCATGTGCGAATAGCGATGTTGTGGTCGGTATGTAGTTCAGAGCTGGAAGGATGAACGAGCTAGGATGTGGAGGAAGCGGTGAAAATCCCGGTGGTAGCCCTGGTGGCAATTGAGTTCGAGCTACTGAGCTTGGCCCCGCACCCGAAGTTGGAGTCGGAACCAGACCCGTGTTCTCGGGGCGTAGGGGAGTAATATTGGAGTATGGATTGGTGATATACGAGGCTTCCGACGTGATGCTCGGGATTGGGTCTCGCAACTTCGTGCGCCCTTGACCATTGTTGGGAGAGTTGTCCTGAGTCGGGCCTCCAGATTTCCGTTTCTGGCCCGTGCTCGGCGTTCTTCCCTCCAAGGCCCCAGATCCAGTCCCTTGTGCTGTTGGCTTGCTTCCGGAGCCGGGCGAAGATCCTCCACCAATTGATGTCACTGGTGGATTGTTATGGAAGAGGCAAAAGATATGGTAGAAGCTTGCGCGTAGCTTTGCTGCTAGGACGCGTAATTCCGCACTATGATCTGCACGCTCGACGTACGGGAGTACGCCGACCTCGAGGGTTGCAAGACCTTCGCGGCTTAACCACAAAATGTGATGGTAAAGGTTCAAGCTCTTGGTGTCTCGAGATGTGTCCAAGCGACGCAACTTCCGGGCGCGGAACAATCGCCGAGAAAGGAGAACGGAGAGACCGAGGATTTGGTAGAGGGACGAGGAGAGGAGCGCATGGGACTGAGATAGCGCCGCGAGTTGGCCGAGATACCTTTGGTCAACATCAGAGGATGCCATGCCGCAATCGGCTGGATGATGGTCAGCCTTGTCTAAAGTCTCGGCAGATAAAACACAAGATGGATGAGGTTGCATGTGTGGCGCCATGATGTGAGAGTGAGCACGAGTATCGCTTGAGAATTCGAAGAATGGTGTCTGAGTTTACTGGAACATGGTATTGTTGTGGAGAAGAAACGAGTGAGTGAAAGAAGAGCGAAATGCATAGTAAGTGAAATAGATTCACGGTTTGAAGAAATGAAGCTACGATTGTCATGATGCAACTGAATTCACTCACCATCTGATTTTGGTTCTCGTTACTCTCGCAATTCGTCTTCCACGGGGAGGACTGATTTGCAACCAACTGTTTGCCGGTGTCTTGTGGTCAAGCTGCCGTGCCGAGATGTTTGCTTTTATCTTCCTCAATGCTATAAGTTCTTGATCCAAGCACTTCGCGGTTTGATGTTTGAGTTCCTCTTTTCAAACCTCCCGTTAGGGGTTGATGTGCTCACGTCCGTTTCTTGCAGTCTCTCAGAACCTCGTCGCGTTATACCGGTGGCGTCCGATCCAAGCCTCCGGTCAAGAGTGGTCTGGTCCAAAGGAGTGGAATGATATCAGGACAACTTCTCGTTTCAGAGATGGGTAACTGACAGCTCAATGGCTTAGAAAGGGTATAGAAAGTGCATTCGGTTATCCGAGAGTCGACAAAGGATGAAAGTTTCCAGCTCTCGATGGTGGCAATGTAGCTTTGGACTTCACAGTGATTTCGGATGCCCAGCAGACGATTCTCAAGTACTCGCGAGTCACCTCCGGCTCTCGTAGATCGATCCGGTACCAGTTTCCTTGGATGATGAGCCGGACTCCCCAGCCTCCTAAGCGCAGGGACTACCTTCGACAGTTTCAGAGACCCAGCGGTACCCGTAGTCAATGAGGAGCGGTCAGCACAGAATCTGGACGAGGTGATCCGACCCGTCGATGCCCCAATGATCTCGTTGAGATGCTATTTCGCGGTTCCCATTCGCCCACCCCCGTTGCCTTCGGTCCAATCAGGGGTCACGCCGCGTCTGGCTCGGAGATTTCAATGCGCCTGCAATTGCGGATGTTTTCCAGAACGGGGCCTCGTGGAGGCTGTCGATGTCTCTATTTAGTTCCTTCGTGTCCGCTTTGCGGAATTCCTTGGGTTGTGTTGTGCCCCCTCTTGATTGACGCCGGCTTCGTTGGTGCCGGTGATGATGGTGTCGGATGTCAGGCACGGCCCGATGCCACGGTCCTTGTAACGGGACGATGGGCGATGTTCCTGTCCACTTGGATAGATGCGAGAAACGGGGATTGAATCATTGCGCTTTGCAAGGAATTCAAGATCGTTCACCTCTATCAATTGGAACCCCACAAGATCAATCGCAACGGCGATTTCAGACGGGTATGGAAGAGCCTTTATGCTGACTCTTTGATGAGGCGGTGTGGATATGGCCAGAGCTTTCCGCGCCTCTCACTTCGTCTTTGAATCGTTTCAACGTCACGGTAATTTGCAGGAACCGATCTTTCTTCCTTTTGCATGCTTCGTTTGGCTTGCTGGCCGCTCAATTTGGCGACTTGTCGTCCATTTGTAGCCTGTGGGGTTGAAATTTGAGGATTCTTTCGTGCCAACGTTCGCTGCAAGCTGCAGGGAGCTCTCGTTCGATGACACTGCGGCTGCTGTGCAAATGCTGTGGCTCACAAGCCACCAGTTGGTCTCGCTTCTGCTGTAGAATCAAAATCTCATGAACCAAGTTACAAAGATGAGCAATATCCTTTGCAAGCTTATTGCAGCACCGCGACGAGTTGACCAAGGTCAATTGTTTTAAGACAGAGAGTTTAGACTTCGCACTCTCGAGCAGCAAGACAACAACGAAGAAATGACACACATTCCTCTTCAAAGCCGGGCAGGCCAGACCAGCCGATGAACTGGCAATTATTCTTAGGGAAAAGCTATAGTTACAGGGTTATGATAGAACCTCTGCATGATTGACACGTAGCCCAGCGTCCTGCAGTCTGATGCAGGACCCAAACCAAGTTGGGGAGTTCACGTTGGATTGCCAATACCACAACCCTTTCTGCTTTAAATTGCCCCAGATGACGCTGATGTGTCGCCAGAATCTACCCGCGGTAGGAGGGCTTTCCGGCTCCGCCCTGCGATGGATTGAGCGTTGGTAGCCTCTTGATCCATCGAGGGATGTTAAGACTTTTGGGCATCCTCGGACTTTGCTCCGCTGGCAAGTGTTTCAGCTCAATTGAGACGAGAAGGCACGGATCCAGTGGCTTTAGCATTGACTTGAACGTTTCGGGGCTGAGAGTCTGGGGAAGCCAGGCCCCCGCCTGTATCGCCTCGTAATTTGGAGACTCAACGCCTTGCACACTTTGAGGCTCGAGTATGCCGCCAAAGAAGCGCTAGCCGGGCTTAGTTTGGTGGTGAACAACTCCCAGCGTGCCACGCAACCCTCCAACTTCATCAACCTTATGTCGACTTTGAGTACTTGCTGTTAACGTCGCGCTGATGATGACGGTCGTGCCATTGGACCGACTGCCAGGTCATCACTCGAGGCATGTTCCTTGTATCAAAATCAACGATGACATGGGACTTCGGTGTGGCCCGTCATCGCCCCACCCCGAACAACCAAAACTCCGTGTCCTGTCGCATGTCAATACGCATGCCCGTTTTGCCGTGACGCTTGTGGATTCCTGCAGCATCAATCCGTTTGCTTGGGCTCTTCATACATGGGTGAAGATTACTGAATGGACGGCAAACAAACGAATTCTGACCCGCGGTACAGCTGCTGGTACCTCATATCATCATCCAGGCACATCTTGCTCTTCAAGTCTTCGTCTTTCGTTTAATTTCGAAGCCAAAGCGACCATAAACAGTCTTCATCACCAACTTGCCGGGCCGTTTCGGAGATCATCTCCCAAGCAATTTGGATTGGATCCGTCATTTGCTAAACTGGAACAGCCATGGTCTGAAGAATGCAGGCGATGCATCCTTTCCTTACCGCCCAAAAAGGAGAAAGACGGTGAGGCACGTGATCTTATTGAGATTGCTTTTTCGGTGCAAACTGACGGTTGATATTTCTGAAGAGGAGGATTTTCGATGTTACAGGTAATCTGAGCAAACAGGTTTCCCGTCAATAATGTTGACGTTTGTTTAAGCTGGTGTCATTCCTTGGTTCCGTTCGCCCTGGAGGACCACCATCTGGCACAACTTTCCAACATCCAAGTCTCTTGCTTCAACGTCTTCTTTGTAGAAAAGCAGCCATGGAACTGTCAGAAAATGGTTGATCCATTACGTCGTCTTCGGACCTAAATGTCTTGTCATTTCAGCAGCAGAAGTCTAAAATATCCTACTCCCTGCGTCGGTTTCAGTTTGCTAGTATGTTCTTTTCGCAACGTGTTGTCTCTCGCGAGAATTACATGAAAGGTATCTTCAAACCCAACTACTACCAGGGCTGCCCGGGCAGAAATGCTAACTCGACCGACACACGCGATGGTAGAATAAAAGAAAAGGACGATTCCTTGGATGCCGCTCTATGCGAAGTTCAAAGGCCTAAGGTTCGGTGTACCACAGGAACGACATCCTGTACAGAATCTATGAGGAAAGCTTGCACTGCGCATCATCCTCTGCTCGAATCAGACCTTCCTTTATGCCCTCCAATTCCCGCGGGTCCCAGCCGTGCTTCTACGTCTCCTCCATAAATAGTTATAGTATCTCCTCCTTTCGATATGTCTTTCTCGTGTTTCACACTTGCATATTCTATATCCAAGTCAATATAATTACTAGTATAAGTCCATGCTTCAGATGACATTTATGATCATAAACCCGTCCGACAGAGTAATTCCGTCACTCATCTCATTCATGTCCACGAATCCTCCAATGAGCCAACGATTTGCGAATCCCCAGTCGGATATCGAAGCCTAACTCCGTTTCATATTAAGCCTTCTACAGAATTTCCCTTCCACATGAAGAAATCCCTTTGTTAGAGAACTGAAAGGGATTGTTTGGATTCTCTGTGAATACAATCCCGCAAAGATCAGCGGAGCATACCCTGTGCGATGGCGCACAAAGAAATGTGTGCAGTGACGTCTCAAGAACGAAGTTCCACACGAGATCGAGCGGTTGAAACACAAGTTCATCAACATCATTTCCCATGCGATCACATCCTGTGTATTGGAGAAATGACGACAATATCAGTCGCCACCATGGCAGACTGATGCAAACCCCGCCACCGCCGCCAAACGCACTTAGATATTCCCAAACATTCGGAAATGCCAATAGCGTCTATGGCGAGTGCCGCTACATGAGCATCGACCATCGGCTAGCGCTTAAGTCACCTCTGCTCTCCGCCGAGCCCCCTCCTACCCCTTACCTTTATCGCCACACCGCTAGTCGCAGGAAATAGCAAAAATAGCACATCAGCCAGCGAGCCGACAACCGTTGGGAACCAAATCCAAAAATACCCGATAGGTGCTTTGTCATTTGCGGTTACAATGGCTACTTCATTACAGGAGCGGATCGACGTTCATCGTACTGGATGATCAGCGCAATGCGCTGGCTATTTAGGCTGAAGATTTACCTTGCCGCCGCGTGTGGGACGTGGAAAACTCGACAATGGGTATGTGAGACTCGTAAATATGGGTTTGGTGGTTTCTTTTAGGCGGTGTGCAACGTATTTGGTCGAGGCCAGATAGTACGCGGTCTGACAACCCAGTACAACCTTACCTCAGCGCATCGACAGAACCTACCACGACAGCAAATTCCATGAGGTCATTTTCCAGTGGACCTGGGGTAAGTTTGCTGCCCATAACTGCGAGGTCTGCCCTTGGTCAATCTCTGATGAAATGTGGCTAGCAATTTCGCCAGCCATGTTGAACACAATTTCCCGTCTCCTGATCATCAGGCGGGATCCACATGAACAAGTCCTGCAGAAATCTTGTCGTGTTATTTGTTTCTGTGAAGATTTCTTGCACCAGTCTCCCCGTATCCTTCTCATTTCGTTCTTCCGGGGAATCATTTGCCACTCTATGACCAAAAGTCAATGTTCTTATCTTGTCCTTCTGTGGCTTAGGGAGTTATTAGAAGGATCCTAGTTGCGCTTTGCCCTCGATCAAGCAAATACTATAAGCGTGTTATCTATCAACAGCCTATTATGCCAAGCTCAACGTTATCATGTCAACCCCTATCGCCCCGACGCCTCAGAATGGGCTTGGGAGCTTAGATGCCTTTATCAGCGAAGTCAGAGCAGTTAATGGAAGCACTTATAAAACCCCAGAAAATGGAAGGCCAGGTAGGGTAACTAGATGGACGCCAACCTGTAGAAATGGTGTCAAGTTGAGCAAAGCTATATTGTCCCCCGCATGCTCACAACTATTTAAGCATCTATCCATCTCTCAATTCATCCTCTTTTCTTTTTTTTTCTTACACTAAAATCATCTACCTCTATCTCCACCTCACCGCTTGTGTTGTTACTTGCGCGAGAACAAAATAGGTAAGTTTCGGAGGATGGAACGCCGGCTCAGTGCAGTCCACTCCTTGTATACCTGGGAGAAACACATCCAAGGTGACAACGAACATTGTTGCCGGCTCCCTCGGTCTTTTGGAATAAAGTCCGCCAATATACCAGCACTTAATAACAAAAGAACAAAAGGCATATTAATTCAAGCAGCACTAGCACCCCGGCCAAGTACTTTCTCAGTGGCGGTCTGGCAATTTTCCTTTGTCCGTTCCTTCCCTACAACCATCGCGAGCCTTCGCATCCTCTTCTTGCCCAGCACGGGCAAACGGGGTCATGTCGTTCCAAATGGGTGGACAGAGTTCACCAAATGCCAAAAACCTCTCTCCCACTTCAAATGCTTTATTCCTTGCTTATAACTCACTCAGCATTGGTATCTCCAAGATAGAGTTTGACACTCCGAAATACCGACGAGCAGCACTGTCGTCAAGGAGCTTCAAGGCCAGCCCTGCATCTATCTTCACATGCATGCCTCTGACCAATCGTTCATTCGGATGCAATGTCCACATTTATAATGCCAATAATCCCAATACTATGCCTAGCGGCTTGGTTCTCACTACCGGGGCTATCATAAATACGAATGTCCATAACTATATAGTTCCCCCTTTTAAAGGGACGAACTTTCTCAATTCAATTCATCTTCTTAAAACTATCTACAAGTCAAGCAAATGCCTTTTACCTTGCCTTTATTACAACATTGTTACACAAAGGAGGGTAGTTCAGGATCTACTTCTTAACGAATCTAGCACAGATTTTGAAGGCTTCAGCACATAACGTTTGGGATCTGGGTGTGTCTATTGACGTTGCGACGCTATCTCATGGTCGTTCTCTAGGCTTTTGTTTGTCTCCGTGCCTTCTGCTGGATGGGAAACTGGGACAGCACATCCAAATAATTCGTAGAACCAGTCTGCCCAGTCTCAAGTGCGACTCGTAGCGCTCGCCATTGGCACCCCGAAGACAGGGCCAAGAGGCCCATAATTTGCTCAAAGAGAAATATCAGGGTCAGCAGCCTATCAATAGAAACGCCGAACAAGAAATTAACGTGGAGCAGATAGAGGATGCCTTCGACGTGTTCGCAATATTGCACAAGATCAGCTTCGACTGCTACGAGTCTTTTCGAGGCCACCGCGACCGCCAAGGCGGTGGGCAACTGGATAATGGAACAGTGTCTATCGGGAGGAATCCTTTGAATCTGGTGGCACTGGTTCTCACAAGACCAAGACTCCAGTCTATCAGCGCAAGAGGTAGGGTTGTTGACAGATAGAGGGTGAGTGATTGAAGACTAGTAGTATTATTGCTGGCATCTAGCATTATAGAGCTCGAGGTAACAAACACAGCCCTAGAAGAACATAAAGCCAAAACGGCCGATCTTCGCCACCAGTTGGAGCTATCCCTCCCCCAGCTGAAGCGCAGAGCAACGATATTCTGGGGATGGTTTCGAATTCCAACACTAGCTAACTTCAATCAGATTGTCACCACTTGGATCTGCTCAGATTCGATTCACGATACATCGGGATGAATACACGGGATCCAGCAGATTCAGGCTACTTCATGCTGCCCTACAATGTTTATGGACACAACATTTCATTACCTTGGCAGTCCACTTCAGGGACCACTGGGGTTTCGTGTTTCTTCGACCAGCCACTCAAAATGGGGTGTCTACGCCCGCCCACTGATTTTTACAGTGAGAGTCCTCAGCCGCTTCAAACGCAAGGCTCCAAGCATGCCAGAGTTTAATGCCTATTTGTAACGAGCAATACGGTATTCTGTATGAAGAACTAGTAGCAATGGCACTGATTTAGCAACATCTCATATTCTCCAGCCCCTTGACGTCGCTTGCTTTCCCCCCCCGAAGACCAGATATCACCAGCAATAATCCCTTCTCAGCTCCCTTGATGATGCTGCTGAGATCAAAATCATAATTTTATAGATATATATAATAAGTTAAGATCCCAGGCACTGGATGTACGCAACATTTGTTCCAGATTCGCGGGGACCGGAATAGTTCCGTTTATCAAGGCTAAAGTATTAATAAATAGCACCCAATTGAATGCCAACCATGATATTATTATACGGCCTACTACACCCGAACCTCATCCTGAATATATATTCCATACACCGCAAGACCTTAATTAAGATAGTCTACGAGCAAAAATTTGATGATTTGACGGCAAGGAGTATCAGGGGGTTCGAGGGGAAGGTTGCAAAATCTCTCAGCGCAAAGAATGCGAAAATTGCAGAGCTCGAAGCAGAGGATTTATTCTCCGAAAAGCTGTTGATGAACTATTAGGGGGGACTTAGGGCAAAGAGAGAAAAAGAGTCCTAGTAAATCTAAACGAGCGATTCGCAACAATTGATCAAATTGTTGCGGCTCAAGACAAGGCCAGAGGAGTCAGCAATGGCGGCAAAACGCCGCATATTTAATGCGGAAGAGACATCATGACAAACTTGAGCAGACTGGTGTTAAATCGCTTTGCTCCCAATTTCAGTTAAATTTAAGTAGAAATAATATGGTGGTGGATTTATCGCGAAAGTTCTACAATTCTATGTTGGAAGACAGAAGCTTTGGGGTGGCTGGTGAACGGGTGCCTTGTCCTAAGTAATTATTGGGGGAAAGGGAAGAGGCGATTTCATAGGTAAGGAGGAAGGAGCGACCCTCGGACTCGGCACACTCGGACATTATACATCAGTACGTCAGCATTCAGATTCCTCCTTTCAATCAGTCAATCACTCAAAGCAACACCTGGACACACTCGAAGCATGATGGCCGAGTTTCCTGGTCAAAATAGAGGGGAAAAGTCGAAGCCAAAGCCATCTGCATACCGCTCTGAATCAGCCGACAAAAACGAGACGCCAATTCTGAACCGCCAAATGTATCGGTCTCGAACTCGCAAGCGCTAGCTCTAGTGGATGTATATAGAATATAGCATTCAACATCGTAGAACATGATGATTATGATTATCTTTTTAGTGCTGTGGCTCAACAAATCGCGGATCTGGATACCCATCTGGCTTTATATCAGGTGGCTCACTGCACGGGAACCTGTTGCGGACACAACCATGGCCAATTGCAGATTGCGCGGTGTAATAGCTGGATAACCGAAGTAAGCAGCACTCGGGGGCTGGGGGAGATTCAAGGTCGATAACCATGCAAAGAAACTGTGAAAATCGTACCCATCCTTAAGTTCCGTGATGATAAAGGAACTGGAGTCGTTCAAGGCTTGAAGCTATGGAGTGCGCCACAGCCGACGCACCCCTGTCCAACCTAACTTCCGCAGTTTGCCCGCATCTCCAAATCACCTCAAGATCACGAATTGATACAACGGACTTTCTCCCCTTCGCAAAGTCTATATGATGACTATATCCACGCTATCCTAATCCTACCCAAACCACTTAACCACATCGCCCCTACAAACTCTCCCACAATGCCAAGCGACGCGCCGATGCCGTCCTCATTCGACGAGAATGAGTATGTCCCCCATTCTCGTCACCTCTCCCTCTACCCCCCATCCCTCCATAACCATTCCCTCAACTAACCCCCCCCACAGGGACTTCTACAACGAATCCCGCGCCGACAAACTTCTCCGCCTCCTCAAACAAGACCCCCTCGTCCCCCTCGGCTGCGCCCTCACCTGCTTCGCGCTGTACGGCGCCGCCTCCTCCCTCCGCCGCGGCGACTCTGCGCGCGCGAACATCATGTTCCGACGGCGGATCTACGCGCAGGGGTTCACGCTGTTCGCGGCGGTGGCGGGGTCGTATTACTGGGCAGACGACCGGACGAAGCGGCAGCAGTACGCGAAGTTGCAGGAGGAGCGGGCGGGGAAGGAGAAGCATGATAGGTGGATTAGGGAGTTGGAGGCGAGGGAGGAGGAGGAGAAGGAGGAGAGGGAGAGGGTGAGGGGGGGGAGGAGGCAGGGGGAGGGGGAGAGGAGGAGGGAGATGGTGAAGGGGGTGAGGGGGGAGGTGGATGGGGGTAAGAAGGAGGTGGAGACGAGTAAGAGTGTGTTAGAGGAGTGTGAGATGAGGAGGTTGAGTGTGGTGGAAGCGGTGAAGGAGATGTTGGGGAGATGAGCATGGTCGATCAGCCGGGGCCATCGGGGGGATTGTATATATACTGTGAAACACCCTCCTCACTGTTTAGGCGTTTGGGGCATACAGGGCACCGGATGGGGTACCATGACTCTATCGAAAGTCCGGACACACGTCCGCTGAACCGGAATAATGAAAATCATCAAATATTAAGATGGTTTATCAATATGAAAATCATGCACCGCCAGTGCCTCCCAAAAAACACCGTGCAAGCCGCAAAGGCGCCTTGTGCGACTCCCTATACTACAAGAACAATGCTGTGCGATCGCCGCACCTAGGGTGACCGAGCAGGCGTTGGGGATCGCGACCCGCGAGATGGGATCTCGCCGTCCACCTGTCCTGCCCTGTACACCATTCAAGAGTCGATCGCGCGCGTCCGTCTCCGTCATACACCCGCTTCTATTGTCCCTGCAACAATACTCCAACAGTCCAACCCTAACAATTACACCCCTGCCCACCCTGCGTGTTCGCCGCCTCCGGCCGCAAGTCCACACCAGGTCTTTGCGCCGACCGGATATTCCGCGGGCCGGCCTGATCCAGCGGTAGCTTCTTCGCGATGGCGGTGAACAGCTCGCTCACGTTTTCGGAGGTCTTGGCGGAGGTTTCGAAGAAGAGGAGGCCGGCTTCCTTGGCGTAGGCTTCGGCTTCCTGGGTGTGGATGGCGCGCTTGTCGGGGCTCTCGGTCACGAGGTCGAGTTTGTTGCCGGCGAGGGCGATGATGATATTTTCGTTGGCTTGGCGTTGGAGCTCCTTGACCCAGGATTTGGCTTTGTCTAGTGAGGACTGATGGGGAGTTAGCGTTAGGAGAAGGGAGGGGGAATAGGGGATAGCGTACGGCTTGGGTGATATCGTAGACGACGACGGCGCAGTTGGCATTTCGGTAGTACATGGGAGCGAGAGACTTATAACGTTCTTGACCGGCTGTGTCCCATATCTCGAATTTGACCGTGGTGTTCTCATCCAAAGCGATGGTCTGTGTCAGGAAAGCGGCGCCAATGGTCGATTCTCGGTAGTCGTCGAATTGGTCCTGAAATGATAGGTTAACTTCATGCCATGGACCGGGCTACGAGTGTGTATGGACATACTTTAACAAATCTAAGGACAAGTGAACTCTATCGTGATGTACATTAGCTATGACGGAGCTCAGATCAATGAACGCCGGCACCAACCTTTCCGACCGCTGATTCACCTAGACAACACATTAGCCTCCTGATATCCCGTACGGAAGAAACAGCAGCATACCTAGGAGAACAAGCTTGAACTGAGCGAACCGCGAGCCGCCAGGGCGGGCGCCAGGTTGGATCCGTGCCGCCATCAGGCAGACGATCGGTGACTTCGGGGAGGAGAGGGGCGGAGAGAGACGATTCGCAAGGCGTCGAGAGATAGATCCGGGTAGATATTAATTCAGGGGTGGTTTCGGTGGCAGATGGTGGGGATGGGGTGGATTTGGTGGAAGGGAGATGGAGCGGATGGATGGTTGATGGTGGTAAGAGTGGACAATTGACATGGAGGATTGAGGTGGAGGCTTGGAGGCTTGGACATGCCCACGCGTGACGAAGTACAGCCAGACCGCCGAATGTTGGGCCGTACCGCCACAACACCGCCACATTATATTTGCAGGGTTTATTACGTTAATGTCACGTGACAGAAAATAATTACGCCACATCACGTGAGATTGACTGCAACTGCAGTGGCTGGTGAAATCTAACCCGACCCTGACGCCAGAGATGGACAGATGTTATTGTTATTTGCTCCCACGTCTCGAAGAATTATGATTGATATGTGTTGATAAACTTGATATATGGACTACCATGGATCTTCCATAACCAATATTGAAGTAATTTGAGTCTCATTGGCTGATCCCCTGCACTGTACTTCTTGTTTACACTACCCAGTGCTTTGTCCAATTCACCGTTGACATCACACACCTGTCCATCCCTCGTTGTGCCAACCGACCCAACAGCCCACGATATCCCCCATGGCTCCTCTCCTCCCATTCAGGGACATCAATGTCCATGTTTCAGGCTCCCACTACTCCTTCCTCTCCCCCTCCTCCCCGAATTCACCAACCCTCGTCGTGGACCGTCCGTCCGGCGACCTACGGCTGCACGATGGCAAGCTGCTCGGAGCACGGCGCATATCGAGCATCGCTGGCATCTTAGGCATCATCCGGCTCCGACTCGACAAATACATCGTCGTCATCTCGAAGGCGCGACCGGTCGGACGGATCCGGGGTCATATGACCTACAAAGTTCAGGAGACCGAGCTCCTCCCTTTGCGCGAACGACCGTTGCATGATCATGACGAGGATACATATGTAGCGTTGCTCAAGTCAATGCTGAAAACGGGACCTATGTACTTCTCCTACTCAATCGACATTACGAACAGCTTCCAGAGACAGGGACAGGCGGATCTGGCTTTGCCACTGTGGAAACGCGCAGACGATCGGTTCTTCTGGAATCGATTCATTCAGTCGGACCTGATAGACTTGCGATCCGGTCTGGCAACCACCGCTGGATACCGCCATTCTCAAGGACCGCAACCGGGAGCCGATCCTTACATTTTGCCGGTTATCTTTGGAGTCTTGGAAATTCGACCCACGACGATTAAGACTACACCGCTCACATACATCTTGATCACGAGAAGATCACGACATCGAGCAGGTACGAGGTATTTCTCCCGAGGGATAGACGAAGAAGGTCATGTTTCAAATTTCAATGAGACCGAACAAACGATCGTTTTGAACGACAGTGGCAATGGCGGATTCGGCGGGAGACTCGGATCGGACAACAAGGAAATGCAGGTTTTGTCATATGTCCAGACGAGAGGCAGCGTCCCCGTCTACTGGGCGGAGATCAACACGTTGAAATACATACCGAAGCTCCAGGTTCGCCCGATCGAGAGTTCCGTGCGCTCGGCGAAGTTGCACTTTGACGAGCAGATCCAGACGTACGGTGACAACTATCTGGTCAACCTGGTGAATCAAAAAGGGCGAGAAATTCGAATCAAAGAAGCCTATGAGCAACTGGTCAAGATCGTCGTCTCTAGCCCAAGGGAAGGCGTCGAAGCTGATAAGATCACCGACGAGAAATTGCACGTTATCGAGCCGAAGAAGGAGAAGTCGAAATATGATCGACTCCATTATGTCTATTTTGACTTCCATAACGAGACCAAGGGCCTTCGCTGGCATCGTGCACAACTCCTGCTTCAGCAATTGGAACAGGGACTCCGGGCGGACGGCTACTTCCGCGGCGTGGACTATCCAGGCGATGCCGACGGCCGAATGGAAGTCCGCAACCGGCAGACGGGCGTCGTTCGCACCAACTGCATGGACTGTCTCGACCGGACGAACGTGGTGCAAAGCATGCTCGGCCGCTACATGCTTACCCGCATGTTGATCGACCTGGGAATTCTCCGCGAAGGCGATGAAATCTCCCAGGAACTGGAATTCGAGAACCTGTTCCGGAATATTTGGGCGGATAACGCGGATATCGTGTCGAAGGCATACTCTGGCACCGGGGCGCTGAAGACGGATTTCACCCGGACCGGCAACCGAACGAAGGCAGGCATGGCGCAGGACTTGAGCAACTCGTGCACGCGATACGTGAAGAACAATTTCCTCGACGGCCCGCGACAGGACGCGTACGATCTGTTCCTGGGAACCTACCTGCCATCCACCGGCGGCGCCGGCAGCAATCTGATCTTCGTCGATCGGCGTCCCCTCTTCATCCAAGCGATGCCGTACTTCCTCGCCGCGAGCATCTTTTTCGTCCTGGTCGGCTCGTTCGCACGACGGGATACTAGCACCGCCGTCTGGCCGTTCCGGTTGATCATGCTGGTCTTCCTTGGCATTGGGGCGGCGACGTTCCATTTCATCTGGTCGCATGGGACGCTCTTCGTAAGTCTCCGAGCCCTTTGTAGCGACCGTGTTCCATAGCTAACGACGAACAGGTTAATTGGCCGAAACTCAACACCCCGCCATACGCGGTCGAGGGATATCAGGATGCATTGGACCGTGTCCGCACGAATCCAATATTGGGCAGCACAGTGGCACGGCATGAGAGGGGCAAGAGCATCGCCCGACTCGGCTTCATGGAAGAAGGGAAGAAGCGCATTGAATAGAGCTATTGTTGGCTGGCGTTTCTGCTCTTCCCGGAAATATTGCCCGCAATTCTCGATACGACATACCCCCAATTGTTCGTTCATCCCCTTCATCTGTACAATCCAATTAGAGTCCTCAGCATCCTCGTATTCGATATGGTCGGAGTGATCAGTAATCTGCGGTGTATCATGATTGGAAGAGTCGGCGCGCAGCTCGTGACCCCGCGCGCATTTCGCGTCTTGTATCACCACGGCTGCAGATTTCATGCCGTTTACGTGACGCGACAATCAGGCAGCGATGGGTCTGGCGGTGAGATGCTGCAGGAAAGGAAATGGATTGGAACATCGAAAGGTCGAGGGGATGTGAGGGGGCTTTATCGCTGAGAAGTCTGCTCGGGCATAAATATACGACATTTCCCCATTTCAAGTCAATTGAATCGTTCCCATCACCTCCTCACAAGACTTTCCTCGCGCCAATTCACAATCTAACAACCCTCACTCCACTTCAAGTCGAACCACAATCTACCTCACCCAAGCACAAACTCTCACCCCTCTCTGAAATGTCTCACCCAACCGATCCCCCAATCGACCCCTCCCGCCGCTGGACCCTCACCGCTAGCCCCTCCTACATCGACGCCCGCAAATCCCTCTTCCAAGCCGAACTCACCCTCCGCTCCCAAATTGAGCACGTCGCCGCCCTCCGCCGCGCCCTCCCCCCGGGGCCCTTCCTTCCCCCCTACACCTTCACCGAAGGCCCCCGCGACCTCTCCGCCTCCGGCCCGTTTACCCATCCCACGCTCGCGGACCTAGCGTCCAACGGCCGCAGCCTGGTAATGTACCACATGATGTTCGGGCCCGACGACGAGAATGTGTGTCCGATGTGCGCGATGTTCGTGGACGGGTTGGAGGGGGCGGTGGGACATTTGGAGGAGCGGGTGAACGTGGTGGTATGTGCGGCGGCGCCCATTGAGAAAGTTCGAGAGTGGGCGAAGAGGAGGGGGTGGGGGAAGTTGCGGTTCGTGTCGAGTGCGGGAAGTGGGTTTAATCGGGACATGGGGACGGAGGTGGAGAGGGAGGG